CGTCTCTGCCACATCGCCGGCTAGGCGAGTTGGCCAGGCAATACGGGCCTCTGATGCTTCTGCAGCTTGGCGAACTCCCGACGGTGATAGTGTCGTCGGCAGAATGGGCCAAAGAGTTCATGCAGACCCACGATCTCAACTTCGCCAGCAGGCCCTTCATCCCGGCGGCCAACATCATCTTCTACGGCGGCAGAGACATCGGGTTTTCCCCCCACGGACCCTACTGGACAAAGATGAGGAAGATTGTAGCCATGGAGCTTCTGGGCGCCAGACGTACCAAGATGCTGCGGCCCATCATGGAACAGGAGATGGCGAAGCTCGTGGGCTTGATCTCCACAAACTCAACTGTCAACCTCACTGAAATGATGCTCTCCCTGGGCAACTCCATCACTTGCCGCGCCGCCTTTGGCAAGATCCAGAAGCAAGAGGAAGTCTTCTTGCCATTTATCAAACAGTTCATGAAGGCGCTCGGAGGGTTCAGCCTCGTCGACCTCTTCCCTTCCAATTACTTGCTGCGTCTACTCGTCACCACCCCGGCCGAGAACAAGCTCAGGAAGGTTCACTCCGCGGCAGATGCCATCATGGAAGCTATCATTAACGACCGCATAGCTCAACGCTCATCAGCTGCTGCAGCTGGAAACAACGATGACGATGAAGATCTCCTTGGTGTTCTTTTGAATCTCAAGGACAACAACGACCTCGGCTTCACTGAGATTAAAGCTGTCATTCTCGTAAGTCACTCACGACTCCTTCTCATTACATATAATTAATTTTGTTATTCATTCATTAATTAATATCGATAGTTACTAACCATCATGCCTTTGCCTGCAGGACATGTTTCTTGCCGGGTCTGATACCTGGACCATCACCGTAGAATGGGCAATGTCCGAGCTCATGAAGAACCCCAGAGTCATGGAGAGAGCACAAAGAGAGGTTAGACAAGTTTTTCATGGAAAGGGAGTAGTTGATGAGCCATCCATTGATCAACTACCATATCTACAACTAGTTCTCAAAGAAACTTTGAGACTACACCCTCCCGGTCCTTTGGCTATTCCGAGGGAATGCAAGCAGACCATCCTCGTCAATGGATTTCAAATCCCCGCCAAGACAAGGGTCTTCGTCAATGTGTGGGCCATTAATAGAGATCCGCGTCACTGGACCCAACCCGAAGTTTTTTATCCCGAAAGGTTCCTCGATAGCTCCGTTGATTTTAGGGGCGTAGATTTCCATTACCTCCCGTTTGGAGCTGGACGAAGGATGTGCCCCGGCATGCATTACGGACTTGCTTTGGTTTATCTTTCCCTTGCCAATTTAATCTATCATTTCGACTGGAAGCTCCCTCACCAAATGAAACCCCAAGATCTGGACATGGGCGAAAGATTCGGCATTGAAGTGAAAAGAAAAAACAATTTAATCCTCATTCCCACTCCATACCACCCTAAATGAGCTATCTTAGCTGGCCTAACTACTTTTGTTGGATTGTTGCATCCCCTCTTTCATATTTGAACTCTCCATGTGTCTCATTTCAATCGTGCCAAATGAAATAAATGATTAATTTCTATAATGTGATGATTATTGTATTCTCGTCATTATTTATTGTCAATTAGTTTACCAATTAGTTAGTGGTCATGGATTTTATTATATCATCAATTTCTATTTTTTTATTTTAAAATATTAAATATTAATTTCGGTTTTCTATTTTGGATTTTTAATTTTGGATTAATTAGCTACTGAATTTAATAGGGCAAGTTGGTTTTCCTTTTTTAACCTATGGAATTTAATGCCGAGATTTTTTTTATTCATTCCGTGCCATTATGGGTAGTTAATCAATCATTGCTATTGTTTACCTCTCTACTTTTTCTATTGGCTATAATGGATTTAAGATCCTCCTTAAGTAATGATGTTGGAAGACTATATCCAACCTGTGCTCTTACCTTATTCACCCGCAAAGGTGACTTTTGTCAACAAAAAAAAAAAAAATAGTTAATTGATATCATTGTGATGTGTGAAATAAGTAATGATAAAAAATAGGGCTAATACCACTTAAAATACTGACCGTTAGCGACTTTGCCATTATATTACTGATCGTTTGATGCCAAGTTAATTGCTAGGGTTACAGACAGTTAATTGAAAAGAAAAATAAACATTTTGGATTGTTTAAATGATTTGTTAAGGTGGTTGGGAGATCACAGTCTTATCATGCTGGCAAGAGGTGTTGACTGATCGTGTAGAGGTGTTGATCCTAATCGTAGCCGAGGCACGTGGCGACAGATGGCCAGTGGGATTGATACATCAAATTGGATTCCGATTTGGGAGCTCCCAATCCTTCCGGAGTTTATGATCTTTCTCTGACAAGTTTTTAATGCATTCTCCCAAGTCCCAACCCCGGAAGCTCTGGTCGAGAAGAAGGTTCAAGTGTTACCTTGATGTCTGGTATGTTGTGCGGAGTTGGAGGCAATGGAGCATCTTTTCTTAACTTTCTGGTGGCAAGGGAAATATGGGATTACTCTAGCCTAGAATATCTTGGACAAGGTATACCTCTCCAAAACTTCCCACTCTTTATCAATAAGTAGGTGGTCGCGGCCCTCTGGCGGATTTGGAAATCAAAGAATTTGGTTGTCTTTGAAGGGAAACAATTCCAGGTTCTATCTATCTTTGATGCGACAGTATCATCAACAAGTTCGGGAATGGATTGTTTACCACCCGCTAGAGTGACATCATCTCCCCTAGATTGAGAACGCATATGTTTCCAACCCAGTCTTGTGCACTTGCATGTGGGACGGTGCAATAAGGAATGGATCACACTCACAGGGAGGAATGGTAATTAAAGACCAAAGTGGGTTGATTGTTTTGTCTAGGGGAGTTCATATCAAGAGTATTGATGATCTCCGCGCTTCTCCGTTAATTATCATGTGATTCAACGGGAACGAGGGTTTTTTTGAGGGTTTCGAGTAACATCTAATTCTCGCATTTGTTTGCGTTTATTCGTGTTATTTAGTGGTTATTTACGTAATCCGGTGTATTTTCGCGTAAGAATTGTGATGATTCACACAAATAGAAACCCAAACTTTGTTTTTTGTTCACCTAATATTTTGTATTGGTTATATTTAATGGAATTAAATTTCAATTTTGTTTTGTAAAGTCAGTTACATTGATCATAACGTACACAATGACATCGATTTTACTATATTTGAAGAATTAAAAATTGATTTTAGAATGACGTGAATAAGGAACAATATCAGCGAATAAATATATACTAGCTAGGTTGCGTGAATGACCATTGTTATTTGTGTGAATAACCATATTATTAATTGCGTGAATAAAACTGATATGGCGAGAATATATAAACAAAAAATTACGTAAAAGCACGTGAATTAAATAATATGCCTCTTTAGGAGCAACCAAATATTCTCTTAATGGTTTAAACCTTTTATTATTTTTCTTTTCCCTCCGTCTATGATGGATGGTTAATGAGCCCATTTCATGGTTTTCTAATCACATGGCGCCAAATCAAGGTGCGAATAATTTCTGGTCAGCGCACACCTCTTGTCTTCCCGGCGTTCCGTAAATTAAATATCCCATTCATGCAGTAAGGAAAGACAGCTCATTTTATAGTCCCTCCCCACTAAGACTACATCAATGGAGTTGTTTTTTTAGAAGAGTACATTAATGGAGTATCAGTCCAACACATGTGGCCGATAGTATATGCATGTGGGCTTCTGTATATTAATTTGATCCATTCTTTATTTTGTTGAAATGGCGCGGTCGGTCGCATGTAGACTGCGGCCAGCCAGCGAGATCCATTCTACTGCGGATGCCTTCTACATGTGATTGTACGTACGTAAGAAATTAAATAGTGTATAGCAGTGCGTACGTACTGCGGCTTCAGAGGCTATATATAGAGAGACTCAGAAGCATTGATTCACACAGCCTACAAGTTTATTTATTACCATCCCATATCACCTTCTATAATATATATTATATCATATTTCTTCCCGCTCTCAAGTTTAAGCTCAACCGTACGCATCAGCAATGGCGGCCGGGAAACGCTTGCAAGGCAAGGTAGCTGTGATCACCGGCGGAGCCATGGGGCTGGGAGCCGCGGCGGCGAGGCTCTTCTCCCTACACGGAGCCAAGGTCCTGATAGCCGACATCCAGCCATCGGAACTGGGCCAAACGCTCTGCAAGGAGATCGAAGCCGAGTCGGGCCATCCCGTGACCTACCTCCAGTGCGACGTGACCAGCGACGCCGACATGCAGAACGCGGTGGACACGGCCGTTTCGATGCACGGGAAGCTGGACATCATGTACAGCAACGCCGGGATATCGGGACAGAAGATCACCCCCACCGACCTCCGCATCTCCTCCGTCACCCCCGAAGTCTTCAGGAAGGTGTTCGACATCAACGTCTACGGATCATTCCTGGCCGCCAAACACGCTGCCAGGGTGATGGAGAAGAGCGGCAACGGTGGGGTCATCCTCCTCACTGGCAGTGCCGCCACTGCCAGCTATGGGATGGCCCCACACGCCTACACGGCATCAAAGCACGCCGTGGTGGGGCTCACCAAGAACCTGTGCGTGGAGCTGGGCCAGTTTGGGATCCGGGTCAACTGCATCTCGCCGTTCGGGGTGCCGACCCCGCTGAGCATGGACATTACCGGGATGGACGAGGCCGCCTTCGAGGAGGCGTTCAAGGCCAAAGGAAACCTCAAGGGAGTCGCGCTGAGGGCCGACGATATCGCCAACGCGGCGTTGAATCTTGTGAGTCACGAGTCCAAGTACATCAGTGGGATCAATCTTCTGGTCGACGGCGGTCACTCCCTCATGAGCGCTTAATCGCCGATTGATTAATATGGTTTCGCCATGTGATCACTGAATTTCAATTTCGTCTTTCTCTTTGAGGCTTTATGCAGTTACGCATTTGTGAGTTTCTCTATTAATTATGCCAGCTCTCCTGTCTTTTGTCTGAATAAATTAATGAAGGGTCCAATTACGAATTAATTGAATAACATTGTATATTCAATCATGTAGACATCCTTCAAGTCATATGTTATTCCATATCATAACTCATTGTTCAAAAGTGACCTTTCAATTGCTAGCCTAACATAAGAGTCAATTTACAATAAGTATCATTTTCTCAAGCAAATAAACTAAAATATTCATCATGGTATCCAAAAACTTTTTCTAAAATCTACTAGAATGCGGAAGCACAACACTACGATTTACGTGGTTTCCCCGTTCCGTGAGCGAGACTACTCCACGGAGAGCCGAAGCTCTCAGTTTATCTTATTATGTTTGCAGAGAATATGAGCTGCGCAGAATACAGTACTCGGCTACAAAGCCCTCCTAATATACCCTTTCTAAAACGTCACTAGGGCAATTAGGTTAGAGAGGCAAATAACAGAAAGGTCCTCAAAAAAGAAAATGAGTGCAAGAAGATACACGGTTCAACACTCCCCCTCAAGCTGCAGCATGTAGGTCTCGAATGCCAAGCTTGCAGAGAAGACGTTGAAACTGTTCCGTGCCCAAGGCTTTGGTGAAGATGTCCGCCAACTGGGAAGAACTACCAATCTTCACCGGTGCTATCTCCTTGGAGACCACTCGCTCACGCACGAAGTAGCAATCCATTTCTACATGCTTCGTGCGTTCATGGAAAACGGGATTGGCAGCTATGTGTAAAGTTGCCTGATTATCACAGTGCAGAGGTGTCGGGCATGGCTGCGGCACACCAAACTCAGTAAGGAGAAAACGCAACCAAACAACCTCGCTGACCGTGCTGGCCATCGCCCGGTACTCCGCCTCAGCAGACGATCGAGATACCATTTTTTGCTTCTTCATCCTCTATGAAACCGGAGCACCTCCCAGCTGTATGTAGTATCATGTGGTCGACCTGCGAGTCGTCTGGCATCCTCCCCAATCGGCATCACAATATGCGGTGAGCTCGAGAGACCACTAGGGTAATTATGTAATGTATTTGTAATTTACATACTGTTATAGTATGTTGTTAGTTAAATCCCATGTAATGTGTGGTCTAATAATCAAATCACATTATGAGATTTCATCTTATTGAACTGTAATAGCTACGTAAATATTTGCGTAACGCAAATTGACGAGATGATTAATGTTTTCGTTAATAATAAAAGAATTAAGGTTGGAAATCTTGGAAGAGAAGTTGTTGGCCTCCATAAAGTTTGCTTGGCTGGATGATATGGTGAACTTTATGGTTATGATAAACTCTTTAATTATATCATGGAAGAGGAGTATAAAGACGGTAGTAAAAAATCCAACAAAAAAGAAAAGGGGGATTTAGGACGTTTGGGTGAGTACGCCCACAGATAATTCGGGCGCTAGTGAACAGTGGCTATGGCCTATGGGGAGAAAAGTTGGTAAGGAACCGTGCATCCAAACTTATCCTTTTAATTAATTGATTTATTTGCATCATGATAATGAGAATTATGTTTCCAAACTATGCAGTCCTTGCACCATATATACTCATCCTACCGGCCATATTAACCAAGTACTTACACTAATTTAATCATTTTTATTTTCCCAAGCGGATCCCAACACCACACTCCTTCATCGCACTTCATTTATAGTGTTTATCAATCTCATATTTGTTATATTTTACTCTTCTATCAATGCATCTTTAGTGATTTTGACTATATTTCATATGAAATTAGTTCCCCACTGTCATAAATTCATAATCTTGCCTAATAATGCACAGCACATATTGACCGCCATTATACTTCCTCATAATTCCTTGATGGTTTCGGTTGTGTTTTTCAAGGCTTTCTTTGGTTTTATTATGCTGATTGTTTGGTCTTTCGTTTGCTTATTTGAGGAGGTTCTGTATTGCTTTTTGTGGTCGACCTATTTTGAGAATCTTGTGCGCTGGTTGTCTATGTTTCTTGTTTGTTTCGTCTTGTTCTGTTTTGCTACTCTATTTTTGGTTTGTCACTGATAAAAATTATATGAATTGATTTTATTTTCCAAATAAAAAATATTAAATGAATATTAAAGTCAAGATCTGCCTCCTCACATCGTCAGTATTGTAGTAGTGTGACTAAATTGTTTTCTTTTATCTGGTTTGTCCTTTTGTCATAGAAGCATATGAAAATGATATAAAAAACATATTAATTAATTTATCTTCTAATTTACAAATATAAGATAAATATTAAAGTCAAGATCTATCGGCTACGGCTCGATCCCGCCCATCCTGGGGGTGGCAAAGCATTCTCTTTGGGCGGCAGTTGTTGACTAAGGGTTTACGCTGACAGATTGGGAATGGTCAAAAGGCCCCTTTGCTTAATTCAAACTGGATCCCGAATCAGCTTCCTTCTTCTCCTATGTATAACCCCCGGGTTCTGCCGGCGGATGAGGAAGTGATGGTCTCTGCTGTCCTCCGTCCATGGGAAGGGTGTTGGTGTGAGGATCAGTTAAGCCAGTGGTTTGACCCCCCGACTTGTCAGGCGATTAAATTGATACCTCTGCCTCGAGATCAGGTAGAGGACCGATTGATCTGGCATGATACGGAGGATGGGATTTTTACTGTCAAATCGGCTTATCATTTGGCAGTTCGGCTGGACCAGCAGAGTGGGAGATGGCGATCGCAGGTGAGTTGGATGGATAAGTGTAGTTGGATCCGGGTGTGGGAAGCTAATGTCCCTCCGAAGCTGAAGGTGCTTGTCTGGCAAATCTTGACAAGAATTCTTCCAACGACTGAGGCATTAATTGAAAGGAAGGTGTAGGTCATGCCCCGTTGTCCGGTCTGCTGGGCTTCAAGCGAGACAATGGAACATTTGTTCCTTGAGTGCCCTGTGGCTACGGCCCTGTGGGCGCAGGCGGGGCTGGACTCTCTTGGTGAGGGGTTGCCCCGTCATACTTTCCCCCTATTCCTCAAGAAATTGATGGCTGTTTTGCATCAACCTTCGCAGCTCATGGCGGTTATTGCTATTCTGTGGCGAATTTGGAGATCCTGAAATTGGGTGATCTTTGAAGGAAAACAGTTCAGCATTCAGGCTCTCATGAGACAGTATAACTAACAGGTAGGGGAGTGGCTCGGCTTGCCTAGGAACCCTCAGACTTCTCCTCCTCCCCTTTATGCTCTTCCTGCTGTGGACGTAAGTGGAGCAGGGGGACCTGTGTGTCGTTGGGATGGAGCTGTTCGACGTGGGTCGCACTCTGTAGGAGGTATGGTGATTCTCAACGAGGCAGGGCAACCGCTCTGGGTTGCGGGGGTTCAGTTTCCCAATCTGGATAATCCAATGGTGGTGGAACTCCTGACTCTTCGGGAAGCTGTTCGTTGGTGCTTGGCGCAAGGGTTTCAGGTCATGCGGTTTGAAGGCGATGCTAAGGTAGTTATTGAGAAGATCAACAGAGCTGATATGCATGACAGTCGGGTGGGGCTATTTTGGAGGAGATGATTCGCATCTTCAGGGGTAATCCGGGCTTTAATGTGCGATTTGTAGGTCGGGGTAACAATAGGGTAGCTCATTTGGTAGCTAGACAAGCCCTGTCTTTGTTCCCATCTATGTGTCGTTATTTTGATTTCCAGTCCTGGCTGGCTTTCAGGTTGTAACTATCGATTGGTTTCTATCAATTAATGATTATCTTTTGTAAAAAAAAAAATACAATTAAACGTGGGAAGTGAATTCAAGTGTGTGTTATTAAAAATGACAAGACAGAAGTGGCAGATTATTATTTAATCTTAGCTATCTAATAAATGCATTAATTAATACATGATTTAAACCTCCCAATTCAACCATCTCTGCCCCAACGAGAACCAAAGTGCCCACATGCATGCAAGTAGCCAAGTACGTACGGCAATTCATCAATTAAGCGCTCATGAGGGAGTGACCGCCGTCGACCACAAGATTGATCCCGCTGACGTACTTGGAATCGTCACTCACAAGATTCAACGCCGCCTTCGCGACATCTTCGGCCCTCAACACAACACCCTTGAGGTTCCCTTTGGCCTTGAACGCCTCCTCGAACGCCGCCTCGTCCATCCCCGTGATGTCCATGCTCAGCGGCGTCGGCACCCCGAACGGCGAGATGCAGTTGACCCGGATCCCGAACTGCCCCAGCTCCACGCACAATTTCTTCGTCAGCCCCACCACGGCGTGCTTGGACGCCGTGTACGTGTGTGGAGCCATCCCGTAGCTGGCAGTGGCGGCACTGCCGGTCAGGAGGATGGCCCCACCATTACAGCTCTTCTCCATCACCCTGGCCGCGTGCTTTGCGGCCAGGAACGATCCGTAGACATTGACGTCGAACACCTTCCTGAAGACTTCGGGGGTGAGGGAGGAGATGCGGAGGTCGTTGGGAGTGATCTTCTGCCCCGATATCCCGGCGTTGCTGTACATGATGTCCAGCTTCCCGTGCATCGAAACGGCAGTGTCCACCGCGTTTTGCATGTTGGTGTCGCTCGTCACGTCGCATTGGACGTAGGTCACGGGCTGGCCGGACTCGGATCGATCTCCTTGCAGAGAGTGTGACCGAGTTCCGATGGCTGGATGTCGGCTATCAGGACTTTGGCGCCGTGTTGGGAGAAGAGCCTGGCCGCCGCGGCTCCCAGCCCCATGGCTCCGCCGGTGATCACCGCTACCTTGCCTTGTAAGCGTTTCCCCGCCATTGCACAGTTGAGGTTTCTGGACGGCTAGCTTTTTTTTTTTTTTTTTTTTTTATGGAACATGATAGGATTGATGGATGGAGGAACCGTTTACGTAAATATAATACAATGGATCTGGGCCATCTGGCTGGCCTGCCGGATGCCGGATGCCGCAGTCCGTCAGTCTCCATGTCAAGTCATAGTCTTTGAACATGTACGAATAGTATATAGTCTTTGAACGCATTTATTACGTGGTTTACTAACACAGTATGTTAGTTAGTTTACAGATAAAATAGAGTCCATTTCAATATATTTGAAGCTATACATATTACAGAGCGATTGTGAAGTATATAGTACTTTTCTAGATTGCCTAATCCTATCCCAAGCTGGTAAAAAACAAAGTTACTAGCCAACCTTAGAATAGAAATTCAAGCGAGTATAAGCTTATATATTGTCTATAGGTGAGACCTCACAACTTTTAGTCGATGACATATAATGCGATTCAAGGCATGTCAAAAACAAAATTAAGCTGACTGTAACATACTAAAACCCCATAAATATTATCACTCTAATATTGTAAGGAACTAATATAAGATCAATATTATAATAAAAAAATATAAGATCAATATTTTGTATATCTCATAACTTTTCAGATTAATATTGTAATCAATTGGTACTTAATATCAAAACATTTGACCTTGTTTTTTTGGTTGGAAGAACACCAAAAGCAATATAAGATTTTTTTCCCGGTCTTTTAACCAAACGCATTATTGTAATCCATTAGATGCTCGAATATACGGTGACCAGCTAGGGTATAATTAACAAATAAAACAAAGGATCTAAATTTTGTAGCAAAACAATATGGATAAGGGGCAAGAACTTTTTTCAATCAAGAGACATTTCAATTCACGTATGCCGCCGTAACCACACCTCAGTGACTTGAATTCAAGGTGTTGAATGGATCGGTCACCATGGCGATTTAAATGTTCACTCAACCCAATAAATCGGGTCACCTTTATAAATTTCTTATGTTGCTGGCTGATGTATAGGCTCACGGTATTTGACTATCTTCACAACATACTCAGACGTGTTCTCAATACTTCGTAATCACGTCGTGGTTGGCTGCTAGTGATTCAGCATATGAACAAAGCCAAAGAAAAGGTGACGAGATATATATCAAAAGAATGTATATACTATGTCAGTACACAGCCAAAAATCGAAACAGTCGACCCGGTCAAAAGCGGGTTGAATATGATGATGAGTTTTGGATCGAGAGCGAGTTTTAATTACTTTTGTAATTGGAGGGTTGGACGTGAAATTTGTTAAAACTCTACCCGCTTTTCGTTCAATCCGCACACAAACAAAATTATAAAAATAAAATTCCTTTTGAGAACCCATTTCTACCATGAGATAGTGTATAGATAGTCTTTCAAACTATTATCTAATAAATCAATAATAGCTTTAACATTATTCCAAATTTCTAAATTTATGAACCGCCGCATAGCACGGGCTAGTTATATAATCATTAGTTATGTCTTTCATTTTTTTTTTTGTGTGTGGGAGCTATGTTTTCTCATTAAATTATTTTTTTATTACACATTGTTTTGGTCATACACCTTATAGCTTTTTTGTTCGTAGACAAAGCTGATTCCGAATTATCATTCATTTCAAGGATGACTTTCGTCAAGGGTATCTTCCGAATTTCCTCTACCATTTTCGTAGGAAAAGAACTCTCCATCACCGCTTCATCCCATTTCTCCAGGTCCTCATCTATCAAATCTCTCACCGTGGCATCCACTGGCAGTCCCATGGGTGCAGACTGAATAATAAACCCCGGTGTTGACAGAAGCCAACGATCCCCCCATATCTTCACAGACGAGCCATTCCCAATCTGGCATCGTACTCCATCCACCAAAAATTCTTGAGCGCTCATTAGGCTCCGGCATACATAGCTTGGGCGATAGCCAATACTCGCATCCAGAATCGAAGTTTTCTTGTGGTATTTTGCCTTCAATAACCGTGCAATGAGGGAGGACAGGCGCTGAAACAGGTTCCACAGTTGACGCGCATATTACGGGCTTTCGTGCTAGTTATATAATCATTAGTTATGTCTTTCATTTTTTTGCGTGTGTGTGTGGGAGCTATGTTTTCTCATTAAATTATTTTTCTATTACACATTGTTTTGGTCATACACCTTATAGCTTCCTTGTTCGTAGACAAAGTTGATTCCAAATTATCTTTCATTTCAAGGATGACTTTTCTCAACATTTTATAAATTGGGAATCGACTTCACTATCTTAAGTTCTTAACTGACTAACATGTATTATTTACGACAAAAACTAGCACATATCTGATGTATATAATACATGCTTATGTTCACAAATATTAGGTGCATTTTATATACTTTGATGAATCAGATTTATCGATTATCATTATTTTGATTAAATTGATCTTATGGATTTGGTTTAGAAATTAGGAATTGAGGGTCATCAATTAAAAGTTATGAAATAATATCATGTCTAAAACTTTGATGAAGTCATTATTCAAATAACAAAATTGGGCATAAGATAAATACAATAGCCTAAACCATTATTTAAATGAAGAACTTAAAACTATTATGTTGAATATTATTATTCGAATTAACCAAGCTATAAACTGGTCCTTGTTTAATGACATGCATTAGGATCTCATATGAGAGCTCAAAAATATTTCTCGAATAATGATTACAACAACACAATAGACCTTTTTGCCTTTGCTGTCATTTTCATTGCTATTTCTGGCGGTCTTCGTTCCTTTTTGCAATAAAAGTTTTCGTATCATCATTAATAAAAAAAAACACAAAAGACCAAAAAATCCAAAATAATTTGATTATCATAAGAAGTGATATAAATGTTAATGATAAACAAAACTCATTCGTCCAACGAATCCGTAACAAAGCTTGTACAAATACATTCACACAAGCCTTGACTAAAGATTAATTCCATATATGGATGATCATTCTCCTTTGCTTTTTATTTTTTTTTATTTTAACTGCATGAAGTGACTCTTGGCTCTGAAAGAAACATGGAAGACGTCATAACGAACTCTGGCTGGGAACAAGAAGCAGAGGTCGTTCCTTCTCCAACGTGGTCCCGAACTTCTCACTCATATCCAACTCCGTCGGATCTTCTCCATTGGAAAGGCACCAATCGAAGCTTCGAACCAAAGCAGCCAAAACCAATGGAATTTTTCGGGTGGCCAATGATACTCCAGGGCACATCCTCCTCCCAGCGCCGAACGGTAACAACTCGAAATCTTGCCCTCTAAAATCCACCTTCGAACCAATGAACCTCTCCGGCTTAAACGAGGAAGGGTCATCCTCCCACACCGTCGGATCCCTAGAAATAGCCCACACGTTGACCAAAACCTGAGCCCCTTCAGGGATCGTGTAATTCATCACCTCGCAAGTCTCCTGCGCTCGATGCGGCAGTAACAACGGCGCCGGAGGGTGTAACCTCAGCGTCTCCTTCACAATTGCGCTCAAATATGGAAGCCGAGATACTTCAGATTCGTCGATTAGCGGTTTTCCCTCGAGCAGTGGTGACAATTCAACCTTCAGCTCCTCCCGCAGCTTGTCCATCGCTCCTTTGTTTCGAATCAGCTCGGCCATCGCCCATTCTATTGTTGCCACGCTAGTATCCGTACCGGCGGAGAACAATTCCTGCAAGAAAACCAGAGGAAAATCAAAGCTCCAAATTGTAGCGTAATCCTTCTCATAATAGGCAGAAAAAAAAGTAGCAACAATCTCAATTAGCTCCTTTGCAAAGCTAAGCTCAAGATAATTAATCTTGTTGTGTGTGTAAACCACAAAATCGAATTGACATTTTTTTTCTTTCTTTTGAACTTACGAGAGTCAACCAGTCAATCTGGTCATCATCGAGTCCATTTTCCAGGAAAACATCCAAGAAATCTTCAACACCAGATCGCTCTCGCCCCCGCCGTCGCTCCCTCCTCTCTGTGACGTAAGGCTGCCAGACGGAGTAGAGCTCATTGCAACAGCGAAACATCTCGCGTCTCAGCCCCTGAGGATCCATTTTCCTCAGAACTGGAAAAAATTCGGCGAGATTAGTTTTAGTCCCCAGTTCCATCATCCTCCAAATCAGCGACTTCAATCGCTTCGCAGTCTCGCTGCTGCTTTCGAACCCGATGCAATCTCGCGAGAACATGAGATTCGACAGCGAGTCGAAGATGGCAGCGAAAACCACTTCGCCGATACGAACCGGCTCCCCTAATTTTCCATCAAGATATTCCACCATCTGGGCGACCTTCCTCTCCCTGACGGAGGCCTGAGATTCGATCGCCCTCGCGGAGAATATCTGGTTCCTGAACATTGATCGGAAGGCCTTCCAACTGTCATTGTTGCAGTTGGAAGACCAGACGATCGCCTTACGGTCGAGCTCTGCCGTGTCGTAAGGCACGATGGTGGCTACGTATCTGGCGGAGAGGAGGCGGTCGTGGTTTCTCAAGATTTCTGCGGCGGCGGCTGGGGAGGAGGCGACGATGAGGAGCTGGGTGCCGAGGCGGAGGGAGATGAGAGGGCCGTGGAGGTGGGAGAAGCGTTGGAGGGAGACGTGAATTTGCTTGCCGAGGTGAGGGATGTTGCCTATTATCGGCCATGGTTTTGGGCCTGGCGGCAGCCGGTGTTTGGAAGCTGCAGAGGTGGAGAGAAATCGGGAAGCGGTGATAGCGATAAGGATGGTGATGGCGAAGGTGAGGAGAAGAAGATAGAGTACCATTTTTTTTTTTTTTTTGTCCGGAGGTTTGATTTTGATAAGTTGATATGCGTTGTTATTAGACTAGAGATAGTATTTTGCTGGCCATTTTATTTATAGAGCCATCGGTTCAGTCACTTCGTGGCAACTTACAACCAAAATGAAATAGTATTTTGTAATAAAAGAAAAACACTATCCGAGTATGGCGAAATTCTGGAATTGCTCTGCAAGTTCAGTGGCAATAGTATGATGTCCAGGTTCATAAGAAAACAAATAAGTTAACAGTATATGTAGTGCAGGAAAAAAATTGGGGGACGCTCTCCCCAAGCAAGTGGGTGACGAAAGGGAACCAAATAGAATGAACTATTTCAGTTGGTGTATTCTTCCATGTTAATTTTTTTGATAAGGGTGATCCGTGACATAGGTTTCATTTTGTTATCATTAAGATACTAATTAAGAGATTCGAACCTGGAACCTTCAAGTTCTAGGCTGGTAGTATTACAACTAAACCAAACTCTTGTTCGTGTACTCTTCCATGTTAATTATAAGTACCAACTAACGTTTGTATATGTTCTTATATATGTTTGTATGATATGTACAAAACAATTAATGATATCACAAAATCTAAAATTTGAGAGGAAAATCCTTTTCTTTTGTTGGCTAATATAATGATGACAATACCATGTTAAGAAGCTTCATGTTCTTTACTCTTTATGCTTAATAAATTGACATTTTAAAATTGCTTACTTGGATTTTATTTACATATAATATGAAAAATTGAAGTGGGTAATCGATACAAGTTGCATATCATGTGTATAGTTTTGTTAACTTTTTTTCTTTTAATCAGTCGCTTTGCAGAGTTATAGCTACGAATAACTAGACATGATAGGAACTTGTAAAATTTTAATAAGAACTAACAAACAAAACATACAATCCTCATCATTTTTTCGTATAGTCGAGATCTCGAAACTGTGACCATGGGATGGGATAAACACACAATTCAGATGATCAACTGCACGGTAAAAAAACGATGACCACGAACAAATCGGTACACGCAAAACTACTCTAGAGCAAACAAAACTAGAGGGAAAAAACTTTGCCATCTTGTAGGCTTTTCCCCCTTGAAAGAAGAGTCTTACCATGCAACAACAAAATAAAGGACTAAGGCACGAATATGGAATCTTATAAATCAACTATTAATATTAGCAGTCAATAGGTATAACAATTTGAATACAATATCTTTACCTCATCAATCATAACATATTACTTATATATATATTACCAAAAGAATAAAACGCTTTCAATCAAAAGACCTTTCAATTTAAGTATCCCGTTGCGGCCCAAATCATGATTTGACTGGTGGGACTGAATGGATCGGATCACCATGCCGACTTAAATGTTCATTCTCACTCAACACAATGGATAAGTTCACCATGACGACTGAAATGTTCACTCAACACAATGGATCGGGTCACCTTGACCAATTTCTTATGTTGGTGACCGATGTACTCATTCATAAACACAACAAATAAGCCAACGAAATTTGACCCACATGAGCTCACAACATACTCAGATTGGTCATGATGTGTTCTTAATATACTTCATAATCAGGTCACTGTTGGCTGCTATATTATTGTTTAATGTACTCCACAAAATCTGGGTAATTGTTGCCCTCTGACGCACGCTGCTGGCTGCTAGCTAGTGATTCAGCGTATATATGAACAGCCAAATAAATATAGCCGTTTCTAAAAAAAATTAAAAAAAAGCCGCTACCACGTGAAAGGTGACGACTGACGAGATATAACCTTATAAGAAATAAAGGTGACGAGATATATATTAGAAGAATGAATATATATGAAATACTAGAATAAGTCCGCACGTTATTGCCTCGTGTCTGAGCGAGTATCTAATATTTTAAAAATTAATAGTTTGAATTTTGACACAAAAGTAAAGGGTTTGTGATCTACAACTATATGTAGTCGACTCAACGATAAACTTTAATAAGAGAAATAGTCGTCGAGCAAATGATTTCTATGTTTAAGTTGGAACGTGTTCAAGTTGTTTTGATCATATTGAATAGGTGGATACTGGATACCCATAGGTTTGGGTGCTCAACTAAAAGGAAAAAGATAAATGATAAACACTAAAACAGATAAACTCGCTCCATACCAAAAACTTCACACACCGAGCTCAACTCACCTTGAGTGGTTCGGACCGAGTTTTTAACAATTCACACTCGGCTCAACATGCCAATTCTAAAAGCAGATAAAATGCACTTTCGATACAAAACTCATTAGCACTGTGTCTGAGTTCAATTGTCATTCTCATCCAAAAGAAAAAGGAGAAATAAAAATTATTAAAGCGCACAAAAATCGCTCTCACTCCAAAATTTGTGCAACTCGCCTTGACCCAGTCGAATCGAGTTCTTAAGAAATTCACACTCAGCCCAACTTGCCAACTACAAACACGGATATAACTCTCTCTTGATACAAAACTCGTCAATACCATGGGTTAGGCCTCAATTGTCACTCTCAGACAATTGTTTAATGTACTCGACAAAATTTGGAAATGGTTACCCTCTTACGCACCCTGTTGGCTGCTAGTGATTCAGCATATGAACAAAGTCAAAAACAAATACCGCCGCCACATCGGACATGAAAGGTGACGAGATATAAATCAGGAGAATATATGTACCATGTCTATGTAGACGACGACAACAATAACGATAACAATAAATACCAACGAGCCATCGTCGATCAAACAAACCAAACAAAGTTAGAACAGAGAAAACAAGATCATTAGAGATTGAGAGAAGTGATCGATGGGTGAGAAAGTGGTAGAGGTTGGGGAGCTGATGATGGTGAATGACTATTATTTCATCATCCCAATTAGTGTCGCAATCTTGATCACCATTCTTTCCATCTTCATAATAATGAAAAGGACATTAGGGTCCTCGAAATCAGCCGGCGGTGAGAGGACTCCACCGGGGCCATGGAAGCTGCCGATCATCGGGAATCTCCATCAGCTGGCAATCGGCTCCTCCCTCCCACATCGGCGGCTAGGGGAGCTGGCCCGACAGTACGGTCCTCTGATGCATCTTCAGCTCGGCGAAATCTCGACGGTGATTGTGTCCTCGGCAGAATGGGCCAAAGAGTTCATGCAAACCCACGATCTCAACTTCGCCAGCAGGCCCTTCATCCCAGCTGCCAACATCATCTTCTACGGCGGCCGAGACATCGGGTTTTCCCCTCACGGGCCCTACTGGACAAAGATGAGGAAAATTGTTGCCATGGAGCTTTTGGGCGCCAGACGTACCAAGATGTTGCGGCCCATCATGGAGCAAGAGATGGCGAAGCTCGTGGGCCTGATCAGCACGAAGCCCACCATCAACCTCACTGAGATGATGCTCTCCTTGGGCAACTCCATCACCTGCCGTGCCGCCTTTGGCAAGATTCAGAAGCAAGAGGAAGTTTTCTTGCCGTTCATCAAACAGTTCATGAAGATGCTGGGAGGGTTCAGCCTTGTCGACCTCTTCCCTTCCAGTAACTTGTTGCGCCTACTCGTTGCTAACGCAGCCGAGAAAAAGCTGAAGAAGGTTCACTCGGCGGCCGATGCTATCATGGAAACTATAATCAACGACCGTTTAGCTAAGAGATCATCAACAGTGGCAGCTGGTGGAAATGACGATGAAGATCTTCTTGGTGTTCTTCTCAATCTTAAAGACACTGACGACTTGGGCTTCACTGAGATTAAAGCTGTCATCCTCGTAAGTCACTTGTTAATTCGATTAATTGTGTATTGATCGATCGCTTGACGATGACATATAATATTATTGCAGGACATGTTTTTGGCTGGATCTGATACGTGGACCATTACCGTCGAATGGGCAATGTCTGAACTCATGAAGCATCCGAGAGTCATGGAGAATGCGCAAAGAGAAGTGAGGAAAGTTTTTAACGGGAAAGGTGTGGTTGATGAGGCATCTATCGATCGGCTACAATATCTGCAATTAGTTTTAAAAGAAACTTTGAGACTGCATCCTCCTGGTCCTTTGGCTATTCCAAGAGAAAGTAAGGAGACACTTAGGGTCAATGGATATAAAATACCGGCAAAGACAAGGGTCTTCGTCAATCTATGGGCCATCAACAGAGATCCGCACCATTGGACCCAACCCGAAGTCTTTGAACCTGAGAGGTTCCTCAACAGTTCTGTTGATTTCAGGGGAACCGACTTCCATTACCTCCCATTCGGAGCTGGACGACGGATGTGCCCGGGAATGCATTATGGGCTCGCTTTGGCTTATCTTTCTCTCGCCAATTTGATTTATCATTTCAACTGGAAGCTTCCTCACCAAATGAAACCCGAAGAACTAGACATGAGCGAAAGATTTGGCATCGAAGTGAAGAGACAAAACAATTTAATTCTCATTCCCACACCATACCATCCCAGATAAACTAGCTAAACCCGGTCTACACTACTCAGGGAACACAATATTTTATTTAATAAAATTTGAAACTTGAAATGTTGCCCCCCATATATGATATATATCCATCCCACCACATGAAATCAATGACATATAATAAAAACCTGGTTTAGTTTCAATACTCTACATGCAATTTGTTGGTTCTCGTGGAAAGAAAGAAATTTCAGAATATTTGAAGGAAGAGCTCAGACGAGTAAAGCAATTAATCTCAACATCATTACTGCATGGTTCAGTGGCTACAAGCAACCTGGAAGATTGAGGGAACCCAAGCTGAAGGGTTGTTTACTAATTACTTTGCTCATATGGTTTTGGCTGAGTAGTTTTTCCCTCATGTGTGTATGTTTCAATAGTTTTGTGTGGTTCTACTGGTCGATGTTTTGACCTTTTGTTGGGGCTGTCTCTTGCCCTTTTCTTTGTTTAGTTTTCTCTTTGACCAAGGATCCTTATTCTCATAAATAATGAAAATAAGCTCTTTTCCTTGTGTCTTTTTTGAGTTTGTACATTGACTCTTTGTGGTTCTTTAATTTAAGTTCTTATCGTCATAATCTAAGAAATATAACACATGGCTCGTCCTTATTTTCTTAGATGGCTGGTAAGCTAATTAAGCAACAAACTAAATTGCTAAATTCACATGGTGTTGCTAAAATCATATTTGCGAAGGAAGACCATGTTCCAACACTAGAGCAGTATAAGATGGACGCATGTGTCATTACTCATAAGTGGTTTCCCCATCCCATATGCACATCTGCTTTCGTAATCATTAATCATTCACCTTTGTGTCTAATTGCAATAGGTTCAAATTACGACAAATGGAGTTCTAAGTAAACTAAGTTCATGGTCACGGATATAATTGTATAAATTTTTTCAAACATTACTAATGAAGTGAACATTCATATTTTTAGTTATAAGTATATTGAAGAATATGCTACACATTAAAATACCTATTTAACTTTTTTATGTAATTAACTTGACTATTGAACAAAACGTAGTAGAAAGTTGAGTTTGAATTCCATTTTTGATTTATTCTAATTATCTCAAATATATTGTGTGTTTATAATCAGAGATATTATTAATTAATTTTTACTAATTTATTTTATTCTTGTTTTCTTATTTGCAATACTTACGAAAAATTTAGCCTCTTCTACTTTCAAATCCTGACACCGCCCCTATTTGTTGGATATTTCCTCCTTAAGACGTTGCGCTGGTTGTGTCATCTGTATTGGCCTCTTTCCCTTCTTTTCTTTGTATCTTCTTTTCTTTTCTTTTCTTTACACCGTTGATGTATATTTCTTTGGTAATGAATGTAGGATCATATGAGGCTGGGCTTAGCTAGTATTTTTGGGGTGCCTGTTGAAGGTTGAACAGGAGCAGCAGCTTTGAAGAATCCGAATCCTTTCTGGAGAAGGATTACTTAAGGCGCCAAGTTTAAAGTTTGAATGGAATAAAGGAAAACGCCGCCGTTTCAGTTAGAACCATAAGTGAGAGAGTGGGGGATCGTGCAAGGTCAAGATGAGACTGAAGCACAGGGGTTTATAATCTCGTTATTGGTCAATTAATAAAGATGTCAGATTGCATCATATTGAGTTAACATTGTGGTATCAGAGCTCAAGCAAGCTGTAACCAGAAAAGCTTTCAAGCAAAGAGTGTTCGAGTGCTTTCAAGCAAAGAGTGATAGAGTTAGAAGTCTGTTTGAATAGTACAGACTGGGGTTGGGAAACACGAGAGTTACGGTGAGGTAATTCAATTCAGGGTGAGTGCAAACTACTGTCAAGTAGTTGTGAATCTGTCAAGATGAGTGATTCAGGGAGCTTTGCTCAAGTAGGTCTTCCTCGATTTGATGGAGATTATGATCACTGGAGTCTTCTTATGGAGAATCTGCTGCGATCGAAGGAATATTGGCCTGTGGTTCGTGATGGTTTGGCAGAACAGAAGGAGGGAGAAGAACTATCTGAAGTTGAGACCAAGTCAAGAGATGATCAGCTGCTGAAGGACTTGAAGGCAAAGAATTATCTCTTCAATTCCATTGACAAGTCCATCCTCAGGACTATCTCCAATAAAGGTACTGCCAAGGATCTATGGGATTCAATGAAGCTAAAATATCAGGGCAATGCTAGGGTCCAGAAATCAAATCTGCAGGCTTTAAGAAGAGATTTTGAAATCATAGAGATGAAAGAGGGGGAATCTGTGAATAGCTACTTTAGCAGAATCATGACCATAGCCAATGCCATGAGAAACTGTGGAGATGAGATGCCTGATGTGAAAATTGTTGAAAAAGTGCTCAGGACTCTCACAGACAGGTTCAATTATGTGGTCTGTTCCATTGAGGAGTCTAAGGACATTGAGGAGCTCTCTGTAGATGCTCTTCAAAGTTCTCTAGTTGTTCATGAACAGAAATTCAGGAAAAAGAGTTCTGCTGATGAGGATCAAGTGCTCAGAACCACACATGAGTTTGGCAGTAGGGGAGGAAGAAGTCAGGGAGGAAGAAACTTCTTTCCAGGAAGAGGTAGAGGAAGAGGTGCTGGTAGAGGGTGGAATAGAGATGCTGTGGAATGCTATAAGTGTCACAAACTGGGACACTACAGGAATGAGTGCCCAGAATGGTACTCAAATCAACAAGTCCATTACTCCAGCACCAGTCATACTCAGGACACCAAGGCTTATGGAGATATGACAGATGACATGCTGTTGATGGCCTTTGTGGAAGAAGATTCACAGAAAGAAGCAGATTCTGATTGGTGGTTCCTTGACTCAGGATGCTCCAATCATATGACTGGAGAAAAGAGGTGGTTCACAGAGTTGGATACTGAGTTCACTTGTAATGTCAGGCTTGGCAATGATACAAGACTGAATGTAGCTGGGAGAGGAAGTGTGAGGCTGGTAGTTAATCAGCTTTCTGTGGTGGTCCAAGAGGTGTTCTATGTGCCAGGACTCAAAACTAATCTACTGAGTGTTGGCCAGTGGCAAGAAAGGGGCTTATCTTTCTTGATACAAGAAGGTCTCTGCAAAATATTTCATAAAGACAAGGGACTCCTGCTACAAACTGAGATGAAAACAAACAGAATGTTTGTTCTCCACACCACAGTAAGCAAGGAAAAACAAGCTTCAGATGTGCAGTGTCTTCAAACTGGGAGTGCCTCAAAGTCACAGTTAAACTTGTGGCACAGGAGGTTTGGGCATATCAGTCCCCTGAGTCTTCAGCAGTTACAGAAGAAGAGGCTGGTACAAGGATTGCCACAACTACAAGGCAACACAGGAGTATGCAGTACTTGCTTAACTGGAAAGCAGCACAGGAATTCATTCCCAAAGAAAAGCCAGTGGAGGGCATCTCAGAAGCTGCAATTAATTCATGCAGATCTGTGTGGACCAATCACACCAGCTTCAAACAGTGGCAAGAGGTATATCTTCACCCTAACTGATGACTATAGCAGGAAATTGTGGGTGTACTTCCTAGCTGCTAAGTCAGAAGCCTTGAACTGGTTTAAGAAGTTTAAGGTCCAGGTTGAGAAGGAGAATGGATTATGTATCACATGTCTCAGAACTGATAGAGGAGGGGAATTCATGTTAACTGAATTCAAAGAACTCTGTGATGAAGCTGGTATAAGAAGGCAATTGACAGCTGCTCTTACTCCACAGCAAAATGGAGTGGCTGAAAGAAAGAATAGGACAGTGATGAATATGGTGAGATGTATGCTTCAGGATACTCATGTACCTACTGTTTTCTGGGCTGAAGCAGTCACCTGGGCCACACATGTACTCAACAGAAGTCCTACAAGTGCTAATCAAGGAAAGACTGCACAGGAACTTTGGACTGGAAACTCACCCTCAGTTCAGCATTTCAAGGTTTTTGGCTGTGTAGCCTATGTACATACTCCTGATCAAAGAAGGAAAAAGCTGGACAGCAAGAGTTCCCAGTGTTATTTTCTTGGAGTTTCAACTGAGTCTAAAGCCTATAGACTGTTTGATCCTGCTACTAAGAAGATAGTAGTGAGCAGGGATGTTGTGTTTGATGAAACCAAGGGTTGGATGGAAGGCTCAGAAGAAACAGGAAGTGCTAAGTTGGTTTGGGAAGGAAGTGATGAGTTGTGGGATTCCTCAGACACTGAGGAAGAGGTCACTGCAGATACTGAAGCTGCAGTTATTGAAGAACCGGAGAGTCCAAAAACTCCAACAGCTGAGGAACCTGAAAATGAATCTGATGACAATGGCTCTGGACCTGGTACTGATGTGTTGGGATTGCCTCCCAGGTCCAGGCATCCACCTTCTCACCTATCCATCTATGACTGTAGTTTTGCAGACACTGACTGGAGGTTGATGATGGCTATCACTGATGATCCCCAGACTTTCGAGGAAGCATATAAAGATCCAAGATGGAGGAAAGCAATGGATCTGGAGTTTGAGTCAATTGAAAGAAATCAAACCTGGGAGCTAGTTGATTTGCCAGAAGGAGCAGTAGCCATTGGATGCAAGTGGGTCTACAAAACAAAACTGAAGGAGGATGCTTCTCTGGACAAAAGAAAGGCCAGATTAGTAGCCAAGGGATTTGCTCAGAAGGCTGGGATTGATTATACAGAGGTGTTTGCTCCTGTAGCCAGGTGGGACACAATTAGAACCATACTGTCATTGGCTGCTTATCATGGTATGACAGTTTACCAGTTAGATGTCAAATCAGCTTTTCTTCATGGAGAGCTTACAGAGGATGTTTACCTGGAGCAACCTCAAGGTTTTGAGGTTGCTGGGGAGGAGCATAAGGTCTATAAGCTCAAAAAGGCCTTGTATGGGCTGAAGCAGGCTCCCAGAGCATGGTATAGCAGAATTGAAGGGTATCTGCAGAAGACTGGTTTTGAGAGGTGTCCACATGAACATACACTGTTCATCAAGAAGAAAGATTCAGGTATTCTCATTGTATCAATATATGTGGATGATGTGCTGTATACAAGCAATTGTGAAGAAATGATTGCTGGATTCAAGAAGGCCATGGAATCTGAATTTGAGATGACAGATTTGGGAAAGATGAGATATTTCCTGGGCATTGAGGTGGTGCAATCAGAAAGAGGAATCTTTATTTCTCAACAGAAGTACATCAAAGAAGTTCTGGAAAGATTCAAGCTAGCTGATTGCAACTTTGTCAGCAATCCAATTGCACCTGGCATTAAGCTATCCAAAGCTGGAGATGGAGTTTCAGTCAATCCCACAGAGCACAAACAACTAATTGGAAGTTTACTCTATGTTACTGCAACTAGACCTGAGGTAATGTACTCTGTCTGTCTCCTAAGTAGGTTCATGGAATCTCCTACTAGGCAGCATCAACTGGCTGCTAAGAGGGTACTGCGTTACCTAAAAGGAACTACAAAGTCTGGGATCTGGTACAAAAGATTGGAAGGAGAAAACAGGTTGCTGGGGTACACTGATAGTGACTATGCTGGGGATGTTGATGACAGAAGAAGTACCAGTGGTTATGTGTTCTTCCTTGCTGGTGGAGCAATCTCCTGGGCTTCCAAAAAGCAACCAGTAGTCACACTCTCTACCAAAGAAGCTGAGTTCATTGCTGCAACATACTGTGTTGCTCACTGTGTGTGGCTGAAGAGGATTCTGGAAAGCTTGGGATGGAATTCAAGTGCAGAAGGTTGTACAACCATTCTTTATGACAACAGCTCTGCAATTAAGTTGTCCAAGAATCCAGTGCTGCATGGGAGAAGCAAGCACATTGATGTCAGGTACCACTTCATCAGAGATCTAGCTAAGGAAGGGGTTATTGAACTGGAGCATTGCAACACTTATGAACAGGTGGCTGACATCATGACCAAGCCACTAAAGCTGGAGAGTTTTCAGCTTCTAAGAAGTAAGTTAGGAGTGTGTGATCTTGGAGAATTCATGGGAGAAGAAGTGAACTGAAGCTTGGTTCCAAACCAGCTTCAGTTAAGGGGAGGATTATGTTGAAGGTTGAACAGGAGCAGCAGCTTTGAAGAATCCGAATCCTTTCTGGAGAAGGATTACTTAAGGCGCCAAGTTTAAAGTTTGAATGGAATAAAGGAAAACGCCGCCGTTTTAGTTAGAACCATAAGTCAGAGAGTGGGGGATCGTGCAAGGTCAAGATGAGACTGAAGCACAGGGGTTTATAATCTCGTTATTGGTCAATTAATAAAGATGTCAGATTGCATCATATTGAGTTAACAGTGCCATGTGTCAAGAACCAGTTGGTCCCAATAATTCGAGTTGTTGGGAGAGGTTCAATCGTGGATCTTATACCACTCTCTACACGCCCCCTCAAACGAAAGCCAACCCATGGGCTTGAAGTTTGCACAGGCCCACTACCATGTGCTTGAAAGACAACAGTTAACATTGGGAGTCGTGGAGATTCGAACACATGACCTTTCGGTTCTAGGCTCTGATACCATGTCAAGAACCAGTTGGTCCCAATAACTCGAGTTGTTGGGAGAGATTCAATCGTGGATCTTATACCACTCTCTACACCATGCAGTGGAATTGCGGAACAAATTGTTTTGCCTCTTCATTTCCATGTCAAACCTTTAAGACACCTTTCAATCTTTTGAGTTTTATTTGGTGACAAATTCCGTAAAACAATATAGTATAAGTTGTGTCACATTTCATATCACCTAGTGTACTGCCTGTCCAAATATGACAGCTTATTTCCCACACAGACTACTGTATGTGTGAGCTTAGTTCAACCACAAAGAAAATAGTACACACCATTTGCCTTAATTAGGATACATGATGGAAGGCTGAGCTATTTTGTTTGGGGCGGTATATATGGGGTGGGAATGAGTATTAAATTGTGTAGTCTCTTCACTTCAATGCCATATCTTTCAGACATGTCCAGGTCCTCGGGTTTCATTTGGTGAGGAAGCTTCCAATCAAAATGATATATTAAATTGGCGAGGGCAATATGAACCAAAGTGATCCCATAATGTATGCCCGGACATATGCGCCGTCCAGCTCCGAACGGGAGGTAATGGAAATCTACTCCCCTGAAATCGACCGAGCTATCCAGGAACCTCTCGGGTTCAAAGACTTCGGGTTGAGCCCAATGACGCGGATCTCTGCTAATGGCCCAAAGATTCACAAAGACCCTTGTCCTGGCCGGAATCGTATATCCATTGACGACAGTCGTCTCCTTATTTTCTCTTGGCATGGCCAAAGGACCAGGAGGGTGAAGCCTCAAAGTCTCCTTCAGGATTAATTTTAGGTACGGTAGCTGATCAATAGACGCCTCGTCAACTAAGCCTCTTCCCTTAAACACTTTCCTCACCTCTCTTTGTGCTTTCTCCATTAATCTTGGGTTCTTCATGAGTTCAGACATCGCCCATTCGACACTTATAGTCGCCGTCTCGGATCCAGCAAGGAACATGTCCTGCAGTATTACACGTCATCATCACCATGATATCATCAGTTAATCAAATAATGAATCAATAATAATACGCAATAAAATCTAACCAATGAGTGACTTACGAGGATGACAGCTTTAATCTCAGTGACGCCCAGGGCATTGTTGTCTTTGAGGTCCAGAAGGACGCCAAGAAGATCTTCATCATCATCGTCATCGTTGTTTCCAGCTGCTGCTGATCTCTTAGCTACACGGTCTTTGATTATAGTTTCCATGATAGCATCAGCCTCGGAGTGAATCTTCTTCAACTTTCTCTCGGCCGCGTTGGTAACGAGTAGGCGCAACAAGTTGCTCGAAGGGAAGAGGTCGGCAAGGCTAAACCCTCCCAAAATCTTCATGAACTCTTCCATAAGCGGCAAGAAAACTCCCGCTTGCTTATGTACCTTGCCGAAGGCGGCACGGCAAGTGATGGAGTAGCCAAGAGAGAGCATCATTTCGCTGAGGTTGACACTTGACTCCGTGGCAATCGATCGTACCAGCTTAGCGATCTCTTCCTCCATGATTGGCCGCAGCATCTTGGTACGTTTGGCGCTGAGAAGCTCCATGGCGACAATCTTCCTCATCTTTGTCCAGTAGGGCCCGTGAGGGGAAAACCCGATGTCTCGGCCGCCGTAGAAGATGATGTTGGCCGCGGGGATGAAGGGCCTGCTGGCGAAGCTGAGGTCGTGGGTTTGCGTGAATTCTTTGGCCCATTCGGCCGACGACACGATCACCGTGGGGATTTCGCCGAGCTGGAGATGCATCAGAGGACCGTACTGTCGGGCCAGCTCCGCTAGCCGGCGGTGTGGGAGGGACGAGCCGGATGCGAGCTGGTGGAGGTTCCCGATGATCGGCATCTTCCATGGCCCTGGTGGAGTCCTCTCACCGCCGGCAGCTGCTTTAGACGATGAGGAACTTAATGTCCTTTTCATTATGATCATGGAAAGAATGGTGATCAAGATTGCGACACTAATTGGGATGATGAAATAATAGTCACTCGCCATCATCATCATTATGTTCTCTTCTAACTTAGTAGTTTTTGTTTGTTTGATGGATGGATGGCTCGTTGGTATTTATATACAATCAATCAGCATATTTCGTTATACTATTGGTAAATTATATATTTCTTGAAGAAGCAACGAAACAAAACCAGCCGCATGCAGTTCCAAGTTGACAAATCTGATCGGCAAGACTACGTACGTACAATTAATACAGGGACAGGCTTGTAGCCATAATCAATACATAGCTTAGAAATCAATTCTCAAAAGCGTCAAATACATCCGGCGCATCAATCAGCAACGCAAGAAAATGGTCATCGGGTGACTCCACTGATTGACTGTGTGTTTAGTCAAATTGGGTGAGCTTTTACATCGCCATGAATGCATGCATGCATGGTGACGATCCATTGATTATTCGTTCAAGATAGTCAAGTCATTGGGGGTTACTGCCTACATGAATTGAAAGGTTTTTGTCTCGGTCGAAAGCATTGTCACCTTTGATAATACGTGTTATTTTCAAACTAAAAGAAAATTCAGAAAATTGAATGGGTTTTTGTTAGAATGGTAGTCACAAACTTGAAGCTGAGAGAAATCCAAAAGTCTGACTTTTATAACACATCTTTGTACGATTTTCTTAAATGAAATTTAAGTAATTAGGAATTTGAATTTACACAGTCCAACCATGCAATTTCTTCAAATCAACAATTTATATTTGGGATCATTAGAATCCTAACACAAAATCTCTGATGTTCCATGTTAAAAATCAATTGGTTCTATATATTTTTTCTTGATATAACGATACGTTCTTCAAAAGACCATCAAATGGCAGGTTGTCCAAAATTGATTGGTGAACAGCGAGTGAGAATGGTAATAGGCGCACTTCATTCATGTTCTATAGATTGATTTTCTTACATAGTCGTGGAAGGCTTATAGTCAGGCAAAGGAAATATCTAAATGATAACCTAAATACCTCCCTTGATGATGCTTGCGGATGAGGGTCAGGAAGCTCAACAACCAGGATTAATGCACATCGACAACAAATATAGTTTTCTTTCTAACCTGTGATTTTTATGGGATATCGCTATTTCTTGAGTTATGGAAAATTAAGAGGTTTGATCTTCACCCGTGCAATAAATAAAAGTGAGCAATTAACCGTTGAGAAGATTAGACTCCCTATGTGCAAAGAACAATGTAATTGTTCAAGATAAAAGTAGCATACACATTTGTTTTAGTTGTCACATGTGGATTGAAGAAATTATGATAAGACTGAATACATTTTGTGGATTGGAATTATTTTTTTCATGACTAATGTTCTATAAGAGCTACATGATTAGTGAACAACGAAGTGATGTGTGCCTTTAAAAAATGAGAACCAGCGTAAGAATCATAGCATCAAGTCATACTTAAACGAAAAGATCAATGATTCAGTATTTCAGTTCTCGACCCTTTCAATTCTATGACAAAAAAGTATTAAAAATATTAGAAAATATGAGGTTGCCCATATGAAAGGAAAATGTAATTCTTATTGAGATCCCAACCCACAAATACATTTGTTCTCCAAATCACTATTTTTTTGGACAACCAAACTCAATAGGAATGACTAGTACAATAATACATATGATTCTTGTGGATCATAATTCCTTTCTTCGTGACGTTATTCATAGAGGTACAGGATCGGCGAACAGTGAAGCAATGTGTGCTTTCAAAAGGTGAGAATGAGTGTAGCCATCACCATTCTCATATATCACACTAATGGAGCGTGCAAAGTTAAGGACACGATCTGTTAAGGCTACTGGCAATGGTGTTGGTTTCTGACACTCTTCTGCAATGTCCTTCCAAGCTCTAGAAATCTCCTCCCAACAAAATTCAACGGCTTCCTCTTCCGATGCCCCGTGCTCCTTCATGTAACATTCTATTGCTGAAGCAGCATGACTTCTCTCTCGCTCCCACTGAGGCAATACATCAACCATCAACAATTATCATTTGATAGTGTCAAATATTGGTAAACAAAAGTTAATCAATATATAGTTGAATAATTAATGGTTACCTTGTGAGAGACGATATCGTTTTGAATCCTAGAAATGACTGAAGCAGCTCTCACCATCTTAGGCTCGTTGGTGACCCATTCAAAGGCCTCCCTGTTGGCTATTTTAGCTCCCATTCCAACGAAAGCCGATGTGCAAAGGATGGGAAACCCACTTGTTACATATGCATCAATCTTATACTCCTCTAGTGTTGGAACATGGTCTTTGGTACGCCACTGAACCTCTGCCAAGTGGGCTCGGCATATTTTCTTGAGCTGATAAATAATATGCAAACCAACTAATTAATAATGTTGTCCATCTTGAAATTTAGAAAGTGATAAAAGGAAACTTACTATATATGTACATATAAGACTAATCATGACTAGTTCATTACCTCTTCTTTAGCATAGTCGACCGCAAAAGTGGGTCCTGTTTTTGCAAGTTCCATTTCAATTTCGTTGTACAGATCTATGATGATACGGTACAAATTTTTCATCGTCTCTGGTAGTGCTTCCAGTGCGCTTACATGGAAGCTGAAATGAGCATAGAATAATTTATCATAGGTAAACTAGATTGGTTTAGCAGAACTAGGAGTTAATTACTTATTCAATTTGGATAAATTACAAAATTTAAAATTGATATTTGAAGAAAGAAATTAACCTTTCAATAGCTTCTGTGAGCATCTTGACCTCTTCAAACGTAGCAAAATTATCGCAAGTGTCATCTAAGAGTGAAAGCATTGATATGATCTTGGTGCATATAACTCTGGCCAACTGATACTTGGGTTCAAAGTATACCGCATAAATCCAGTAATAGCATTCCACAACTCTGTCTCTTGCATGTGGGAAGTTGGTAGTCACATTCAAACTTTTCCACCACCTAATTAGAAATTCATCAAGGAAATAAGAGCTAAGTAATGCCTAAGTAGATTTAAATATATCAAACACAAAAAAGAAAAAATGGTAGTTCAGAAATTGAAGTTGCACTACTCACTCAGAAATTTCGTGGAGCTCTTGTCGATGCGACTTTTGGAGCAAGTTGAAATCCAACTTTGCAAATCGAAGGAGTTTGTGATTGTGGGAGGCATCTTCGGAATAAAAATCGATGTAGTTCCTAGTAAGTGACCTAGGGACACATTTCCACGAAGGGAGACCGAGAGCGAACTTTACTTGTTTGTGGAATGAAGGGCTGAGTTTGGGAAGAATGGACTTGAGGGTCTTGGTAGCAAAGCTCAGTGCTTCATCCAATATGCCTTCTCCATGGATTGCCACATGTGCTGCTTCATACAAGCTCAATAGCCCATGCTCATCCGAGGCCAACCATCCCTTAAAATTTCCTTCTCCGTCCTTCAAGTTTCTAAACCCATCTGCTAATTAACGTCCACCATGCAAGTTGGAAGTTATGAACTTTTAATTTTAACTACCAATTCAATGAGGAAACCGATTATTTAATCATGGACAGTACTATACCTGGAGAAACTCGAAGACCTTGTTGTCTGAGAAGTCGAAATCGAAGAGCAGCGTTGTAGAGATCATCGGTAGTAGTGTTATCGTCATGATCATGGATGACGAATAGTTCGTCTCCAAGAGCATGCACTCTTTCAAGTGCTTCTTCAATCTCCTTCTCGAAGTGATAGCCAATGCCCAATCGTTGGACTGCATCTATCACCCGCAGCTTCTCCGCAATGGCGGACGGCTTGCCATCATCCTCAGCAGTAACCATCTTCCGCACATCTTCCTTGAGCACCTCGTACTCGCTTTCAAGCACTGGCAGTGGCCCCTGCTGCTGGTGTTCTTCGTCGTCGAGAAAGCGGTCGCCCCACTGTGTGAGAGGGAAGCTTGCTGAGTCCCGATCGATGCTGACAGCATTTTGGTTTCCAACAACGGTAGTAGTCGACATGATGATGATCTCGAACTGGGTTTTGCGGAATTGCTACTTAATTTGTGAAACCGAAGGTTGATATATAAGGGAGTGTTTTTGTTTATTTTTGTAGGAAAGCTTGTATGCTGTGTGTTGTGAATCAAAGCCGATGACTCTGTTGCTTAAATAGCTAGCCAACAAGAACGTCAATCAAAGTTCTAGGAAACCACCCTTAGTTAATTACATGATTTCTTACCCAAAAAAAAGTATAAGAATATGATCACGTTTACAATATTGACTATGTACGTGTACGCTTTCTTGATTAAATAACACTATTAGCGCCCACCTACTGTCTTTCTCTGACCACTATATTTAAGGAAAAAAGAACTTTATATAATCATATATAAGAAAATTAACATATTATTAGAGTATGAGTGGTACTATAGCAATATTGTATTAGAGAGTGTTATCATGTAATTTATTAGAGTTATATTTTCATATCAAAGATCTAGAAAAATAAGGGTAATTACTATATCTCTATAATTTTTTTAAAAATTGTTGGGGGTTTCAAATTCATTAATGATATTATCCAATTTCGACGAGCTTTTGCTTTCTTGACTAGTGTCTTAAATACATTCTTTAGGTGTATGAGACTCCAATAAGCTACATTCTTGTCATCCTATTTACTAAATTGAACTATTCAGTTGTCTTTTCTGTATATTGGAAATTAGTCAAATATCTTAGCCTACGTAATTGTTTTTTAATAGGAAAATTTATTTTGTTTCTTCAGTCTTTATGACTGAAGTAGAGAAGTTAGTACGGTCAGCTTATTTATGGTCGTAAAAAAAAAATTCAAGCCACCTCATCCGCTTGTGACTTGTCAGGAGCAGGAGCACCAACTTATACCCGACCCAATGAAGTCACTGGAGGGGTTAAATTTGCTACATGCAATGTAATGACTAAAAAATAAAAATTATAAGCAGACGGTATTTGACTAAAACCCAATACATATATTTATAATATAATAATATTAAAAAGGGAAAGAACACAAGACTAGAGAAGAGATTCCGATCCACAGAGTGGCACCTGACACAAATGTCGTTCATACTCATCATACTAGTTTACTAGTCTAAGTGAGGAGTAGTCCTTTGTTGAAATTATCGAAGAACGAAACAATACAAAAAAATTAACTAATTATATGGTATTTGCAGGAGGAAGAGAGGTACGTGATTAGTTTGTTAATTATCTACATTAAGAAACCATCCATATTCTAAACGTGATTAGTTTGTCAATTAAATATTTTCAAAGAAATTGAAGGCCACGTAGTAGTTAGTATTTGACACTTCTTAAGGATTAATAGTGGTTCTTCCTCAGTCACCCCATCACTGCTGAAAGTCTTTTTGGCTGCTTTTCAAGTCACTGTAATACTTTTGATTAGGCTTAATTGCAAGTTTGGTCACTCGAATTGCTATAAAATTTCACGTTTGCCACTCAAATTAATTTATTCCATTTATAGTCACTCGAATTAGTTGAACAGTTCAAGTTCGGTCACTCTCCGTTAATCTCCGTTAACTTTGACTGACGTGGCGGTCAACTCTGACAGTTGACCGTTAAATGTGTGACGTGGCAAATAAAAAATAATTAAAAAATTAAATTAAATTTTTAGAAATTACACATCATTATAAAAAAAATTATAAAAAATGAAAAAAAGAAATTATTTTCTTCTAACTTGCAATTAAGCCAACGAATTGCAATTTGCAGAACACTATATCAATACAAGAAGATCAAGCACATGAACTTCTCTTCCAATTATTTTCTTCTAGTCGCCAAACACTAAAGATATCCCCCATGAGAAAAATCATGTGCAGAAGCTTAGAACCCAGAAGTATCCATTATAGTTGCCCACTAAAGATATCCTCTCTGAACTACCATGAACAACAAAAAATGACAGCACTGAAGCCACTAAAAAAGAAAAAGAGACCTGTAGGCATGAAAACCAATGAAAACTGAATGTGTACAGTAGCAGCATATCATTCTTCAGCAAGCATCTGTGTACGGTTGGAGCCACCTCCGAGGGGCTAAAGGCAGGGCGACCCATCGCTTGGTGAATGGATTGCAGAGGAATAACGTTCGCCACAGCTCGCTGCTGTTGTCGCTCCGGCTCGCGTTGAACCCGAGTAAGAGCAGGTCCCTGAATCGACATGTATTTTCTCATACTCCTCTTGTGTACTTTTCCAGCAATAAAATTTCACCTTCATCAAAAAAGATTTAATACTTGTCACTTAGATTAGTTAAAGCCTCTTAAAGCTTTTGAACCGGAATAACCCCAATCTTAAAGGTAGCAAAGCGACTTTTTGTCATAATGGCTTAGACAATATTACTAAGGGTTGTTTGAAAGTTGTGATTGTTAAATAGATGTATTGTTGAGAATGCATGTATAATATTATACATGTATTGTCGAATTTGATGCATTGTAGAAAACAATGTTTGGTATGTGTGATTGTGTATGTCGCATCAGCTAAAAGCTGAGACAAAACAATCTCAACTCAACTATCTCAACCATCACAACTACAAGTTGAGATATAACAATCACTCAAAATGAGTGATAGTTTCTGTCACATCATGGAAACAATCCATGTATTGTTTTTGCTAAAAAAACAAAAAACGATGCAAACAATGCATGCATAATGACAATCTCAACAAAACAATCGCAACTTCAAAACGACCCCTAAAAGTAACTAGAACATGTACCATGGATTTCAAATGAATAAAAATTTTCTCAATTAAGAATTTGAATTTTTTTTTTGGACATTGTGAATTTGTTATTCAAGCGGCCATAAGTTTATATCCTCTTGAAATTGATCACAAGATATGTAATATAGGATAATCAATTTGAATGTATTGATTGGCGGTGATCCAAATACATAGAATAATTGATTGTTGTATATGATAGATGCTTCAATCTTTTGGTGGATAAATATAATACATATACTAAGACTTTATATACCACGATCGCAATTGTTTTCTGAAAAGGTTTAATCAACCTCCATCAAAAGTATGAGTCAATGTTATAGAGTGCTATTAACGTGAATAACTATGATAAATAATGAGATTTTTAACATTTTTCTACGATCGAATTACCCTATATTCAATATTTTTCCCAAATGTGATAGAAAAATCATAAATTTCAAATAAATAAAATAGTTTGAACTTATGAATCAACTTGATTAATGTAATTAAATAAAATTCACCAGACTGACGGGTCGGTACAAAGCTAGTTTAAATATGAGAGTAAATATTAGCGTACTCTTGGGAGTATGTATGTTCCAAGTGATTTGGGCATTTGATGTACTTTGGTAGACTTTGAACAATCAAATTGTTCCTATTAAATTCATCTTGGTGTACGATTTAGTTTAGAGAATTAGGGTTAGAGGTTCAACCATTAATTAGATTCAGGATATAGTATCAAATTCAAATTTTGATTAATTCATAATCCGCACTGATAGAGCCATCTCGCCCGTAGGCTGAGACCTGACCGGGTGATTGTGAGGATCACTAGGAGTGTCGTATACCAAACACATTTGAGTATATATTGCTTGTATGCATACTAGGAAATGTCAAACTCATTGCAGATCATAGTTAATCTAATTTGTTATACAAAATTAATTGAAATCATAAGATAAATCCCAACCTTTCTATTCTTTTGAAAGCTATAATATTCGAGTTATCACTATAACAATACTTTAGTGTGTCATTATACATCATATTAAGTATAGCTTTCTAGTTAGTTTGATTGATTATTCTTGATCACATCTGTTGGGAGTATCGTGAATAAAGCCCAATGGGCGACAGTGTGGGCTCACAAACAGCCCAATTGGGGGGCAATGCCCAAGCAAAAGGGAGGGGACATAAGGACAAGACACTAGAAGCCAAAGAGGGTCAGGCTGTCATGTGGGCCAGCGACTGCGGGCGCCTGTCACGTGCCAGGAGTCTGACAAGGTGGTTGGGATGTCTGACCAGAAAGGGACAAAAGCATTAAATGAAGGCAGGGAAGTGGAGAAGATCGACCTCGAACTCTGGTGAGTATAAATAGGGGCAGTTGGTAGCATTTACACAGGTTGGACTCTCTCTCTCTCTAAACCCTAGTTTGAGACACTTCTCTCTGAAAAGAAACTAACTTGGGCGTCGGAGGACTAACGGGCCCAGGCGCCCCCTCCTTGTTCATGTGTGCAGAGCGGCGCCTAGTGAGAAGGGATTCCAGAGGATTGTACGAGGGTAGCGTGTCACAAACAATTGGCGCGCCAGATAGGGGAATATAGCCAGCAATCATGAGTGAAGAGGCGCCGATGAATGAAGAAAGGGAAGAAATCACGGAGGAACAATCGGAGCGAATGAGAGGGCAAACGCCCGAGACGGAAGAGGGTGAGGGAAGTGAGGGCGTGTTTCGGGGATCCGAGGGCGCCTCGGTCACGAAAAAAGAATTGTTTCGAATCATCGAAGATCAGGACGATGCAATCGAGGCGCTACGGCGGGAAGTGGACGCCCTAAAAAGGAGTGAAGGGATGACGCCCAGCCCGACAAAAAAAAGGGAAAGGATGGAGGAGACGGAGAGCAAATCAGGGTGTCTGAGGCGCCCCATCCTATGGCGCCAACGCGATCACGGGCCGCCGGACGCCAGTGGGTGGAACGGAGGAATCTTGGGACGCCTATCACGCTATTGCCCCGTGAGGCAGCCTCTGGCACGTTGCATACTATCGGAGCCCGCAGGAACAAACATTCCCCCACTACCCGCCTATGATGGAACTGAGACCCAGAGGACCACCTTAATGGATATTTTACCAAAATGCAACTCTATAACAGCACAGACGCCACCCTGTGCAAGGTGTTTCCGTCCACCTTCGCAGGCGTTGTCCTGGATTGGTATCATCAGATCGATGAAGGGCGCATCGATTGTTTCGAACAGTTCGCAGCGATGTTCTTAGCAAAATTTTCCAGCAGGAAAAGGCGCTCCTTGACCATAGGCGCCCTATTTAAGGTCAGGCAGAGGGAGGAAGAAGCGTTAAGGGAGTTTTATGAGAGGTGGCTATCGGTGGCCTTAGCGGTAAAGGACGCCCAGCCGTCTGTGCTGGGAGTGTGCCTGAATGAGTGCACCTCCAGCGAGGAGCTATGCAGGGCGCTCGCAAAGAGGGACGTGGTGTCCACAGAGGACCTGGATCACAGAGTGCAAAAGGTGATTATGCTGGAGGAGACGCTAGCGGCCAGGAGGGCAGATCGGAGAAAGTCAAGGGCGGAGGAAGCCGATCTGCCAAGGAGGCCGTTCCCCCCGAGTGGTTCGGGCTATGCGCCCGCCAGTCAACCCACGCCAAGGAGAAGTGATATGGGGCGCCAGGCGCCTAGGGGGACGGGGCACTTCGCCGAGTACAACGACACTCTGAAGAACGTGCTCCAGCACGTTAAGGAGAAGGGATACCACATCAGGTGGTCAGGCCCCATGAGGGGACAACCCAATGAGCGGAACTTGGATCGATATTGTGATTTTCACCGTGAAATTGGGCACTACACGGCCGATTGTTATCAACTGAAAACAGAGCTACAGGGTCTGGCAGACCGAGGAATGCTTAATGACTTCATTAAGAAGCCTGAAGAAAGAGTACATCGGGCATGTGTGGCTGGAGCGGGGAAGGCAAGGGAGGAGCTGCCTCCCCCACCCTACGACCTGGATCAAGAAAAGGCGCCTGATCGCGTGCGCGTGACCATCGAGGCCATCTCAGGAACAATGGATTTGAGAGAGAAGATAGAGGCAAATCGCCGACTGAGAGCAGCGTCGGCAGATGTGCAGGAGTCGATTGACATTAGCTTCAATAAGGCGCCGGAAGAAGCCTGTATGCTACCGTCTATGGACGCCTTGGAGATACAAGGGGTAGTAGCCGGATGCAGAGTGAGGAGAATGTTGGTCGATACGGGAAGTTCCATGGATGTGTTGTTCAAGGATACGGTGGTTCGCATGCAACTATCGCCATAGATGATCAGACCATCCGAGTCCGTGCTGGTAGGCTTCTCAAGGGCGCCCGCCCGAGTGATAGGACGGGTGTGCCTGCCTGTCACCTTGGGAGATGGGGAGCAAAGGGTGACGCGCGCCATAGACTTCGGGATGGTGGACTGCCCATCGCCGTACAATGCAATCCTTGGAAGGCCCCTCCTAGCCTTATTCAACGGGGTGGCCTCCACTTGTCACCAAACCTTGTAGTTCATCGCCCCTCAGGGGGTGGGCGTGGCCCGGGGGCGAGGCGCCCCGCGTTACGCGAAGGAAACCGGGCGCAAGCGAAGGCACGCGAGGCAAGAATCAATGTGATGGAAGTTGTGGGGGATGAGGCTCCACGAGCGGAGGCAGCCGAAGAATAACTGTTGGTAGCGCTGGAGGAAGGACGCTCAGAAAGATGCGTCAAGATCTCTGCAGAGGCGCCTGCCGAAATGATGGAACGACTCATCGCGCTCCTAAGAGAATTCGCCGAGCTATTTGCGTGGAGCGCGTTGGAAATGCCGGGCGTCCAACCCGAAACGGCCGTTCACAGGCTGGCGTTCGAGGAAGGCAGGCGCCCCGTGCAGCAAAAGCGCAGGAACCTATTGCCAGAAAAGGAGGCGGCGCTCAGGGTCGAGGTGGACAAGCTGATGGGTGCTAACTTGGTCGAAGAAACTTCTTATGTTACTTGGTTGTCGAATGTGGTCTTTGTGCCAAAGCCGTCGGGCGACTGGAGGATGTGTGTGGATCACACAAGCCTCAACAGGGCATGCCCAACAGACGCCTACCCAATGCCCCGGATAGACTTGCTGGTGGACTCCACGGCATACAACGAGATGTTGAGCTTTGTAGACATGTTTTCTGGATATCATCAAATCCCCATGGCAGAGGAAGACCGGCCCAAAACAGCTTTAATGACACCTTTTGGAAACTTCTGCTATCGGGTCATGGCCTTCGGGCTAAAAAACGCGGGCGCCACGTATCAAAAGATGGTCAACAACGTCTTCCGGCAGCAAATCGGCCGAAATGTGGAGGCCTACGTGGACAACCTCATAGTCAAAAGCAGGAAACGAGAAGACCACATCGAAGATTTGCGAGAGACGTTCCAGGCCATGAGAGCGCATAGGCTTCATCTGAACCCCCTCAAATGTGTGTTCGGCGTCGAAGAGGGAAAGTTTCTGGGATTCATGATCACCAAAACAGGTATAGAAGCCAACCCAAAGCAGGTAGACGCCATCCTCAAGCTGACTCCCCCGAAGACGCCCAAAGAGGTGCAAGGCCTAGCGGGCAGGCTGGCAGCGCTGGGGCGCTTTATCCCCCGATCCGCCGACAAGGCCGCTCCCTTTTTTTGAACGCTCAAGAAGGCCGCGCGTTTCCAATGGACCACTGAGTGTGACGGGGCGTTTGAAGAATTGAAGCAGCTCTTAAGCGCCCCAACCGTAATGACGGCGCCTAAAGAAGGAGAACCTCTATACCTTTACATTGCTGTGTCAGAGGTCTCGGTAAGTGCAGTGCTTGTCACAAGAGAAACCCACTCTGGAGAAGACAAGCCAGTGTACTATGTCAGTCGCACCATGGTTTCCCACGAAAGGCGGTACGCGCCCATCGAGAAGGCTGCACTGGCAGTAGTGATGGCCGCAACCAAATTAAGACCTTATTTTCAGGCCCACACCATCATTGTCCTCACCAATCTCCCTCTGAAATCCACGTTAGGGTCAATGGACGTGGCGGGCGCCTTGTCAAGTGGGCGGTCCAGCTAAGTGAGTTTGACGTCAGGTATGCGCCTCGCCCCGCCATCAAGGCCCAGGTCCTGGACGACTTCGTCGCAGAGGGTATAGCTGAGTCAGAGAATGGTACAGAAGACTGGTGGCAAGTTCAAGTCCACGGAGCGGACGCAGCGGCCAGCCAAACAGGCGCCGGCGCTGCGATTCGCCACCTTAAAGACAAACAATGCTGCAGAATATGAAGCGGTGATTGCAGGCATGACCATGGTTAAAGAACTGGGCGCCCACAAAGTCCAGGTCAAGTCCGACTCGGCCCTCGTCGTCAACCAACTTAACGGGACATTCGAAGTAAAGGAGGAAGCGTTGGAAGGATACGTGCAAAGGATCAGGGAATTGGGAGCCTGGTTTTGCGAAATCTCCTTTGTCCACATTCCACGCAAAGAGAACGCCCATGCAGACGCTCTCTCCAAGTTGGCCACCGCCGTGGAATTTGCAGAGGATCGGAAAGTCATAGTCATCGTAGAAGTACCTCGCCGATATTTGGTCGCAACCTTGGGAAACGGGGGCGCCGACTCTGGGTGGAGGGCACCGATCGTACTATTCTTAACCCAAGGGACAGTGCCGGATGACCCGAAGGAAGCCTGGCGCCTCCGAAGGAAGGCGGCACGGTGCTCCATAATCGAGAGAACATTGTACAAAAGGTCTCACTCGGGAGCATACTTGAAATGTCTGGATGAGGAGGAAAGCAGAAGGGCAATTGAAGAGGTGCACGGCGGGACGTGTGGAATGCATGCGGGCGCACGCAGTTTGGAAAAAACACTGCTGCGACAAGTTTATTACTGGCCAACGATGAGACGGGACGCGAAGGCGCATGTGGGCGCCTGCCACCAGTGCCAAATTCATGCAAATGATATCCATGTCCCGACGGTGCCTATGCAGGGAAATGTGGGAGCCTGGCCTTTCGCCCAATGGGGCATGGACCTGTTAGGCCCTTTTCCCAAGGCGCCTGGGCAAATGAAATGCCTGATTGTGGCAATCGACTACTTTTCCAAATGGATTGAAGCGGAACCTTTGGCCACTGTCACAGAAGCACAGGTGCGAAAGTTCACCAAGAAAAACATATTCACCCAGTTCGCCCTACCTGAGTCCATTGTCACAGACCATGGAAAGCAGTTCGATTGCAAGAAATTTGTGGAGTTTTGCGATGAAAATGGGGTCGTATTGCGGTTCTCTTCAGTGGCATACCCACAGGCAAACGGTCAAGCGGAGGCGGCCAACAAGAGCATTCTCCACGGGTTGCACACTCGATTAGCAGGCGCCAAGGGCAAGTGGGTGGAGGAGCTGCCAAGTGTGTTGTGGGCGCATCGCACGACCTACAAAACAGCCACTGGGGAAACACCCTTCGCCCTAACTTACGGAAGCGAGGCGGTCATCCCGGTGGAAGTCAACACCCCAAGCTACCGCGTTGTCCAGTATGACCCAACCAGCAATGGCGAAGCAAGAACCGATGAACTGGACATGGCAGATGAGGTGAGGGAAGTAGCGGCCATCCGGCTGGAAAAGATGAAGCGCCAAGTGGCTCGGTACTACAATAAGAAAATGCATGCGCATGGAATCACCGAGGGCGCCCTTGTTCTCAAACGTGACTTCCGCCCGGACGCCCATGAAGGGAAGTTAGCACCGAAATGGAAAGGGTCATATCGAGTCCGAGAGGTGGTAGGACCAAGTACGTTCAAGCTAGAGCATACTAGCGGCAAAGGTGTAAAACGAACTTGGAATGCGCAGAATCTGCGAGTTTACCAGGAGGGCGCCTCCGTTTGATGAGGACCAAGAAGGCAAAGGGCGGTCGTAGTTGAGAGCATTGTTTGTGTTAGAGACAATTGTGTAAAGCGCAGTGCGTTGTGTCCAAAGCGCTCGTAAAAGTAGCGCCGTGTTGTGTCCAAAGCGCCCCGTGTTTCAGCGCCCGATTGTGACTTCATGTTTTCAATTCTCCTTTCATAAGCAGTAAAAGCGCCCAAACTTCACGCCCAGAAATTTTGTGTGGAACAAAGCGCCCTAACCTTGCGCCCGATTGTGTGTTTACAATTGTTAAGTGAGTAAGCAAAGCGCCCAATTTTGCGCCCGTCAAACCCAAAGCGCCCACAAATTTGCGCCCTACGACAAAACAATACGCGCCCACATTTGCGCCCTCGAGACATGGCAATCAGTGATAAAGGAAATTTGCGCCCAAAACCACAAAGCACCCACAATACTCGCGCCCAAATACTACGATAACGCGATAAGTAAATAAATCCAGCAAGTATGGTCGCAATGTCAGAAAGAACATTTTTATTATACGCAAAAGGGAAAGAGTAAAAAAAAAAACTACGAAGGAAAATAGGGCGCCCATTCGATATCACTCAGCGCCTGAGTTGGCATCACCAGCACTAGGCGCCTTAGGAGAAGGAGAGACAGGAACAGAGTCATGTGGAGGCTCCTCCGCGTTTGATGGTAGGGGCGCATTCCCCGCTTCCGGTGGAGTCTCCAACTCCCCAATCACATACTCGGCGATTTCAGTAAAATCCCAAGTAAGATCAGGGTGATCCCTTTCCAACTTGCTGTGAAAGATCTGGAGGCCAGACCAAATGGTACTGGCGCTCATGTTCTTCCCAGCATCGGACTCTTCGAAAGTGTCCAAAGAGTGGCGCAAGTTGGTGATTTCTTTCCGCGCCTCTTTCAGATTCTTCTTGTAGTCCTTGTAGGCGTCCTGCCACCTCTTCTTCTCCTCCTTGAGGATGTCAATCTCACTAGCCTGGGCGCCCGCCTCCTGTGCCAGCGCCTCCTTCTCAGCCTGAAGGGTGGCTGACTTATTGCGCTCTTCGTCGAGGGCGCCCTGAATCTGCGACACCTGCAGGGCCGCATTCATCTGCGCCTCGTCGCATTCCTTCACAAGTTGCTCACGACGCTCAGTCGCGTTATCAAGGTCACGCTGCAATTGTGAGGCAGAAGAAGAAGCTTCGAGCGCCTCTCGCTTCGTTTCAGAGAGGCGCCGGGCGCCTCTCTCAGCAAAAAGAAGAATCTACACACACAAAATACAAAGAGTTAGCACTTATGCAAAGTTAAAGAAACTCAAAACTCACGAACACAAATAAAGTGGAACGTACCTTGGCGCCCACTTTCGCCAGTTCAGCAAAAAGGTGATCCCCATTCACCTCCGACGGCACTTGCCACATCTTGGCAGCCGTAATTGCCATTCCCATGGCACAGCCCCTGTCGACAGCCACAGTGGGGAACATGGCAGCTCTATGCGCCCAACGTCAGCGCGTGTGGGCTGGAATATGGGGGGGGGGGGGGGGGGCGCCCATCGGGGCCTACATACTGCCCCTCTTCGTTTAAGTGGTATTTGAAGGCGCCCCCTCCCCCGCTTCGGGCGCCGTCGCCCATCTTCTCCTTCTCTTTGTCAGCCCTCTTGCTGACATTATCCAAGGGGGAGCCAGCCCGCTTCCCCCGTCTAATCAAGGGCTCGGGTTCCTCTTCCCCGGAGTTCCCCTCCTGCTCCGAGGGCTTCGTAGTGGGCGCCTCGACGTGGGGCGCTTCTTCCTCCTCCTCCGGTGCCGAGGACGCCACGCTAGCAGTCTTCGTGGTACCCCCCTTCACCGCCCTCTTCTTCTGCTTCTTGGGGCCAGCAGTAGGCGCCTGTGGTTCCGGAGCAGCCGCAACAGGCGCCTTGGGCCTTGGTGGGGGCGCCCCTCCAGCCATGACAGCAATGTGGCTTTTCATCAGCTTCGCAATGCTGGTGAAGTCTGACCCTGCACATCGCTAAGTAAGTTAGCACAAAAGCAAAATTCATTAAAAACAGAGTCACAACAAAGACATTGACGCAATATATGGGAGCCTACGGACCATCATTATAATGCGCCTCCAAAATTGGAGGGCGATTTTCAATCTTGCGCAAGTTTACGCGCGTCTCGCAAATCAGTCGGGCGCCGGCCTTTTCTGTGGGGGATAACTCGACGTCTGCATTAAACTCTTCAACGCTCCCCAGCTTCCACTCTCTCAGGAAGGCGCCCCCACTCTCGAAAAACGAGTCTCGGTATACCTTCATGAAGAAGAACCCGTTAAACCAGCTGCGCCCCAACTTCGGGCACTTCTCCACAAAGTGATAGGGGCGCCCTTTCCTCTTTTGAAGTGATAAGCAGTTGTCAAGAGGCGCCATCTTGAAAAAATACCGAAAGAGGTTGAAGGTAGGCTCCACGTTATGTTCGCGGCATCGCAGCTTGAACAAGATGACCACCACGATCACCGAGGGAGACAAGCGCCCCAATGGGCAGCCACAGGTCGTCAGAATACCCTCCATTATGTGATCGAGGGGGAACCGCAGCCCGAAGCGGAAATATTCTTGATACACCCCTATCCACTTAGGCCCGCAGACGCCCACTCGTGAAATAGGGGAAGGAGGCGCATACCACCAGTCACGGGGTAGTTGGAGACTGGTCACCAGCTCATGAACACGAGCCAAGGTGACGGTGGAGGTGTGCTGTGGGCCCGCTACGTCGAAAGGCAACGAGTCCGTCTCCTTCGGGAGGTGATCGGGCGGAAATGAATTCTCCCACACGGAAATCTTGTATGACCCATCGGCGGGCATGAAACCTGGAGTGGAGGCGCTTGATGGACCCGCGGACGTCGACGCAGGCGCCCTCTCTAAACCAATAAACGACCCAGGCGCAATATGGACGCGGAGTAAGTGACGCCCTACCCTAGAGAGCTAGAATAAAGACAAGGAAAGCAACTAATAGATCAAGGAAATTCCTTACCGCTTCGACTTGGGCGCCTTGCCTCGCCACCCGCATTCGAGGCGCCTGTCCTTGCCTCTTCACCCGCAGTGGGGCGCCCTGGCCGACAACCTTGTCTGCTTGTGAAGACATTCTCGGACGAATAGAAGGAAAAGCTGACGAAAGTGCAGAGGAATCTAGAGAGATATCAGGAGAGAATCTAGAGAGAAGTCAGAGCGAAAATTCTAGAGAGAGGCGAGAATGTGGAAAGTGACAAGGACTGAAGGGGAGGGGGGGTATTTAAAGGAACGGAGGAGCAGGGGGCAAGACGCGCGTCGCGCGCCACGTGTCACCATCAAGGGCGGGCTTTTGAGCTCCCCCCCCCCCCCCCCCCCCCCCCCCCCCCCCCCCCCCCCCCTTTTCCTTTTTGTTGGAATTTTGGCCAGATTTAAGATCCTCTTTTAGAATTTTTTAAATTAAATTCGAAATATTTGCCAAAATTCAAGCAAGAAAAACGTGGGGGCCAATATCAAACGCCCGCCCATGAGGGGGGCATAATGGATTGAGGCGCCTTGAATCTGGCGCCCGAAAAGAAGCCGAATAAGGGCGTGTCGAGAGTGAGGCGCCCAATGAAAAAGGGGAAAGAGAAAGGAGGCAAAGAAGACAAAACAAGGAGGCCGAGCAAGCCGAAGTCGAGACTGAAGTCGGAATAGACAACACGACGACAGATGGCCAATAGAGAAGTCGGACACCATAAGGACGGACGCGCTCAGGAAGCTGGGCGCCTGCTGACTAAAGGAAAGACAAGACAACAACAACTGAGTCAGCTAGGCGCTCAGAAGCAGAGCTATGAGCACCTAGCTGGGGGGCAATTGTTGGGAGTATCGTGAATAAAGCCCAATGGGCGACAGTGTGGGCTCACAAACAGCCCAATTGGGGGGGCAAGGCCCAAGCAAAAGGAAAGGGACATAAGGACAAGACACTAGAAGCCAAAGAGAGTCAGGCTGTCATGTGGGCCAGCGACTGCGGGCGCCTGTCACGTGCCAGGAGTCTGACAAGGTGGTTGGGATGTCTGACCAGAAGATCGACCTCGAACTCTGGTGAGTATAAATAGGGGCAGTTGGTAGCATTTACACAGGTTGGACTCTCTCTCTCTAAACCCTAGTTTGAGACACTTCTCTCTGAAAAGAAACTAACTTGGGCGTCGGAGGACTAACGGGCCCAGGCGCCCCCTCCTTGTTCGTGTGTGCAGAGCGACGCCTAGTGAGAAGGGATTCCAGAGGATTGTACGAAGGTAGCGTGTCACAAACAACATCATTACGTACATGTCTCAAACGCGGTATAGCTACGGTAAACTGTGGAATATTCTCACTTTTTTCCTTTTAGTTGGATAGAGGAGTAATGGAGCCTCTTATTTTTCCACTAGTACTACTTCAAGAGGATCCACCAATTTACGCTGGTGCTCGTACTAAATTTCAGGTATAAGATTCGTTCCACGACATGATTATGGTAGCAAGGTTTAAATCTCGAGCAAAACAGTGTGAAACATTTAATGGCGATTAAAGCGTTGCTAAACTTTCCCGCCAAATGAATACTAACGACAACGAAAAAGTGAGAGATATTATATTTTTTAGCGACTGTTTTTAGGTTGGGCAAAACAACACTATATTTAGAAACTTGTGGCGTTATTTTTTGCTCAGCTTGCTTTTATTCTTTTTGCTGTAGTAACACTCCCTTTCTGTTAATTTTTTTTAAGTTTATTGTTTTCTTCGTTTCTTACTTTTGCCATCTTGGCTTTATATATTGACACTCCATATTCATTTGCAAATACAATAATATCTTCTATGCTCTCTAGTCTCTTCGTTGTCTAAATTAGTTATACTAATGCATTGTTTCCTTCAGAAAGAAATATATTAATCACCCATATCAAAATATTCGGAAATGAAAACGAACAATAAAGGTTGTAAAAAAAAACGAACAATAAAGAGGAGCTGGAAATTTATTCGAATACAGCCATCAGCATGAAATTTATTAGAATACAGCCCCTGTAGAATCCATGTGAAAGCAGGGCTTAGCTAGTTTATTTGGGTTTGTATGGAGTGGGGATGAGGAACAGATTGTTTTGTCTCTTTACTTCGATGCCAAATCTTTCAGACATGTCTAGATCTTCTGGTTTCATTTGGTGAGGGAGCTTCCAATCAAAATGATAGATTAAATTGGCTAGAGCAAGATGAACCAAAGCCAACCCGTAATGCATTCCCGGACATATTCTTCGACCAGCTCCGAATGGGAGGTAATGAAAATCTACTCCTCTGAAATCAACGGAACTATTTAGGAATCTTTCGGGTTCAAAAACTTCGGGTTCGGTCCAGTGACATGAATCTCTATTAATAGCCCATACGTTGACGAAAACCCTCGTTTTGGCCGGGATTAGATATCCATTGACAACAACCGTCTCCTTACTCTCCCTTGGAATAGCCAAAGGGCCAGGAGGATGAAGTCTCAAAGTTTCTTTAAGAACCAATTGGAGATATTGTAGTTGATCTATAGATGCCTCGTCAACAACTCCTTTCCCATTAAAAACTTTTCTCACCTCTTGTTGTGCTTTCTCCATAACTCTTGGGTGCTTCATGAGTTCAGACATTGCCCATTCAACGGTGATTGTCCACGTATCAGATCCAGCAAGGAACATGTCCTGCAATATTATATGCCATCATCATGAGATCAGTAACTACCAATTAATGGATCAAAACAATGAATCAATACGCAATTAATGAGTGGCTTACGAGGATAACAGCTTTAATCTCGGTGAAGCCCAGGTCGTCGGTGTCCTTGAGATTCAGAAGAACACCTAGAAGATCTTCATCGTCGTTTCCAGCTGCTGCTGCTGATGATGATGATGATGATCTCTTAGCTATACGGTCGTTGATTATGGTTTCCATGATAGCATCGGCCGCGGAGTGAACCTTCTTCAGCTTTCTCTCGGCTGCGGCAGTGACGAGTAGACGCAGCAAGTTACTGGAAGGGAAGAGGTCGACGAGGTTGAACCCTCCAAGCGTCTTCATGAAATGTTTGATAAACGGCAAGAAGACTTCCTCTTGCTTCTGAATCTTGCCAAAGGCGGCACGACAAGTGATGGAGTTGCCGAAGGAGAGCATCATTTCGGTGAGGTTGATGGTGGGCTTCGTGTTGATCAGGCCCACGAGCATCGCCATCTCTTCCTCCATGATGGGCCGCAACATCTTGGTACGTCTAGCGCCTAGAAGCTCCATGGCGACAATCTTCCTCATCTTTGTCCAGTAGGGCCCGTGGGGTGAAAACCCGATGTCTCGGCCACCGTAGAAGATGATGTTGGCGGCCGGGATGAAGGGCCTGCTGGCGAAGTTGAGATCGTGGGTTTGCATGAACTCCTTGGCCCATTCCGCCGACGACACGATTACCGTGGGGATTTCGCCGAGCTGAAGTTGCATGAGAGGGCCGTACTGTCGGGCCAGCTCGCCTAGCCGGCGATGTGGGAGAGACGAGCCGATTGCCAGCTGGTGGAGATTCCCGATGATCGGCAGCTTCCATGGCCCCGGAAGTGTAGCTGCTTTTGATGATGATGATGATGATGATGAGGAGCTCAGAGACCTTTTCATTATGATCATGGAAAGAATGGTGACCAAGATTGTGACGCTAATTGGGATGATGAAATAATCACTCGCCATCAGCTCCCCGACTGCTACTACTACGTTCTCACCCATGTCGATCACTTTTCTCTCTATCGATATTTTCTTCTCTTGTAAAATTGGTGTGTTTTTGGTTTGTTTGATGGATGGATCTGCTCGAGACGATGGCTCATTCGTATATATATCCACTCATATTAGTTGACTATTATTATCATCGTCCACATAAATACTAATATGTATAACTTTCCACATACACGGCTGCATGCATGATAAATGTGTTAGCTTGTTATAAGTGGTGAGGAAAAGTGATAAATTTGTTTATTATATTTAATGTCTCCGACTTGCGTATTTGTCTTTGTTACTAATTGTCATTAGTCATAAATTAATTGTTGATTGCTGGTAGTTAATATTCATTCGAGGGCGGCCGACGATATTTATTTGACTTAAATATAAAATGGATTCGTGACCGAAATAGTTTGTGACGATAATGAGGCCACAATCTTTATTAAAATTTCGAGTGGTCATCAGCGACAGAATATTACATGTATTATTTTACCGATGTAGGGGACAAAAGGCGTTAAAAGATCTCCATGATAGATATATGTGTATTCATTCTATTTGTGGTATTTCAAGGATTCGAATTAGATACGACGTAAGGTTGATCATTTGAACATATTCTCCAATGTTTGATCCCTATGACAACAATGATAGGGTTTCATGGTTGGTCGTATCTAGGACTGGAGTTCGGTTTGGTTAACCTAATCGAATTGGCCGGTTACACGAATTCAAATTGGATCCATCTAAGCAACCGTAGCGAGCACCAACATTAAACCTAATAACCCATTAGGCTTGGTCCATAATCTGATTGGACTTTAGAGATGGAATGACATGGTGGACTAGGCCCAAATTCTATTAGATTTTCCGGTTATGGTTGGCCTTTTTATGATTGGGTTCGTTTTGCAATTAAACTAAAACCCTAGAGATAGTCTAAATCTACAATCAAGACTGTTCTATTCGTTTAATTTTTTGTTCTCGACTACTCATTAATCAAGAAAATCGATTGTAGTTTTGATTAAACTACTAATCGATTGTAGTTTTGATTAAACCACTGAACCGAACCTGAACTTTCAGCCCTAGCAGTATCCATATATATTATGGCTAAGGAAACGTCTTCTATCCAAGTTCCAAAATATAGAACAAATACATCATGGTTTATAAAGTGGATGAACTTCTGAATCCAAATGCCAAATGTGCAAGTCATATCAAGTTTTAATGTTGTAGTTGGATAATCAACCTGATGAAAATGGACAAGTATGCAATTTTAAAAGAGCACAACAACTGATGATTGGAATTGTGATCCAATATCTATTTATTCTATTTCTTCACCCATTGCTTGGGGAAAGAGTCTCCAACTACATTTATTTCTTAATTACATGCATATTGTGGTATATATACATTCACAAGTTTATGCTTCAACATATATGGCCAACTAGCGGAGCCACCACATGTCGCGGCCGGTGTCATGATCGGAGGAAACAAAACTTGCGAAATCAAAGAGCAGCAGCACTTCCGGCCCACGGCCGGAGCTCCCCCGGCTGGTGGTCGGAGTGCTGCTCAAGGCACGACGGCATAATGGACACGTGGGGGACCTCCTCGTGAAGGATTGCATCGACCATCTGTCCAGACAAACTTTATGAAACACGTGACAACAAGTCAGCTTCCGGATCTCATCGCCTTGTTCCACCTTGGACAAGCACACCGCACATTCCGAGGACTGCCGTAGATCTTCGGCGGTTGCCGATACGACGTCGTTAGACTCGTAGTACTCTTGGACTTGGCCGTGGGCCGGCTGCTGGTAGTTGAATTCGTCGTTGTAGCTGTAGTTGTGGTGGCGGTGGTGGAAGAAGGAGAGGTGGAGCAGCAAATCCCATCCCCATTTCAGGTAAGCCAACGTCATTCTTATGCTTCCCACCACCTTGATAGTATCCATTCTTAATCTTCTCTGTAGCTAGTGAAGAGAAGTTAGGATTAGTACTAGATAGTAGTCGTGGTGATGAAATAGGGCAGCCATGGCGCCGGGTGGTATATATAGACCTAGCTAGCTAGGTTTGAATAGTATATTATGGGTTTACGATTCAACGTTGGGAGGCCTTACATATTAATGATTACTTTTTTCACTACATATTATTATTTGTCGTGCTATCTCACGTGGTAATATTGTCAGTCATATTGGGCCTTTTCCTAGGGCTGGCTATTTGGTTTCGGACTGTTTGGTTTACTCGAAATCGGACCTTATAATCCGGATTGGGACCGGATAGCAAACAATGCAATCTCATATTCGAGCTTAGATTTGAGGTAAAAAAAATCGGATAAAGACCGGATAAGAGACCCCCAACACCTAAAATCAAGATAAAATTGGGACCGGACCGGGTCAAGACCGGACTGTATCCAATCCAAACTTTGGTCCTTATATTCCCGAAAAAACCGAACTAGGACCGGATCAATTTGGTCCAATTTAACCGGACCGGACCGTATAGCCACCCCTACTTTTTTCCTTATCCTTTCTTTCGTCCTTTGTGATAAATGCGTTGTAGAATTTTTTGGCTTTTTTTGCTTTTCTGTACTACTGAATTTAGTCAAATACAGTCAGCTTATCTGTTAATTATGCAGCCACCAACATAAGAAAATAGTCAAGTGACCCGATTGATGGTGTTCTAGTCAAATTGGATGAGCTTTTGAATCGTCACGCTGACCCATCCGTAGAATATATAGAATCCTTGAAGTTGGTCAAGTCACTAGGGGTCACAGGGAGCTGCTAGATACATGAATTGAAAGGTGGTCTATATATATGTTGCTTGCTTTTTCAATGATAACGGTGGCTTACATAATTTTCTCAATATGAGATTATGTCATGTATAATTAAAATTGATAATTAAATTTTCTTATTAGATATATTTTTAAATTTCAGACCCACCTTATCAAGAATTTATGTACTTAATTGTGGCAAAAATTCTGCAGTTCGTCGGAAGTTTTTGGCATATTGATAAATCAAACAGTAGGAAGGTTGATGATTCCATTCTCCACCCTTTCAATTAAAAAAACAATACAATTTGGGTTCTTAAAACATCAATCTCCACCCACATAAAAGTGATCCGTTAGGAACTCAATCTTCCAAATGCCAAGGAAAAGTAACTAATCAAAACCATACAGATTCATTCTAGCAATCAAATAAGAAACAAAAAGAGATCATGGACCACGAAATCAAGAAAGCACAATGTAATGCAAAACATATTACATTCTTGTAGATTGGTATTATTTTTTGCACGATGTTTCTTCAAAGAGGCACAGGGTCAGCGAACAATGAAGTGATGTGTGCCTTCAAAAGGTGAGAATGAGTATAGCCATCACCATTCTCGTAAATCACACTAATGGAGCGTGCGAAGTTCAGAACACGATCTGTCAAGGCTACTGGCAATGGGGTTGGTTTCTGACACTCTTCTGCTATGTCTTTCCAAGCTCTAGAAATCTCCTCCCAACAAAATTCAACTGCTTCCTCTTCCGATGCCCCGTGCTCCTTCATGTAGCATTCTATTGCTGAAGCCGCATGACTTCTCTCTCGCTCCCACTGAGAGAAAACCACCCCGTCAACAATTGATTCAATTAAAATGGTTTCAAATATTGATAAGTAAATATTAAAGTATAGGGGCATTTGATGATTACCTTGTGAGACACAATGTCATTTTGGATCCTAGAAATGACTGATGCAGCTCTAACCATCTTTGGTTCGTTGGTCACCCATTCGAATGCCTGTATAGTGGCTATATCTGCTCCCATCCCAACAAAAGCAGATGTGCAAAGAATGGGAAAACCACTAGTGACATATGCATCGATCTTATACTCTTCTAGTGTTGGAACATGGTCTTTGGTACGCCACTGAACCTCAGCCAAGTGGGCTCGGCATATTTTCTTGAGCTGGATAAATAATATGAAAAATCACTCAATTATAATGTTCTCCATTGTGACACTTTGAACCTAAAAAGGAAAAACTTACTATGTGTATACATATTAGACTATTATAGTGACTAAAAAATTACCTCTTCCTTAGCATAGTCGACCGCAAAAGTGGGTCCTGTTTTTTCAAGTTCTATCTCAATTTCATCATATAAATCAAGGATGATGCGAAACAAATTCTTCATCGTCTCCGGTAGTGTCTCAAGAGCTTGTACATGGAAACTGAAATGAGCATATAATGATTTATTAAAACAAAAGGTATATAACTCATCTAATTAATGAAAGGTAATTAAATCAGGCTTATTTGATATTTTAAGGACTTAATTAGCTTATTTGATATGGATGAATAACTAAATTGAAAATTGATATTTTAAGAAAGAAACAAACCTTTCAATAGCTTCTGTGAGCATCTTGACCTCTTCGACTGTAGCAAAGTTATCGCAAGTATCATCTAAAAGTGAAAGCATTGATATGATCTTGGTGCACATAACTCTGGCTAGTTGATACTTGGGCTCAAAATACACAGCATAGATCCAGTAATAGCATTCCACAACTCTATCTCTGGCATGTGGGAAGTTGGTAGTGACATTCAGATTTTTCCACCACCTAATTAAAGTAATTAATTAAGAGTAAGCAATGGCTGAGTAGATATAATCATATGAAACGTTGGTAAGCCAATAAAAATGTGATCACTATTTTCAAAAATTAAAGTTGTACTACTTACTCAGAAATATCATGGAGCTCTTGGCGATGTAACTTTTGGAGTAAGTTGAAGTCCAACTTTGCAAATCGAAAGAGCTTATGATTATGGGAGGCATCCTCGGAGTAGAAATCGATGTAGTTCCTTGTAAGAGACCTAGGAACACATTTCCAAGACGGAAGGCCAAGAGCAAATTTGACTTGTTTTTGGAATGAAGTGTCGAGTTGGGGAAGAATGGACTTGAGGGTTTTGGTTGCAAAGCTCAGAGCTTCATCCAATATGCCTTCTCCATGGACAGCCACATGTGCTGCCTCATACAAGCTCAAGAGCCCTTGCTCATCTGAAGCCAACCATTCCTTGAACCTTCCTTCACTGTCCTTCAACTTTCTAAATCCATCTGAAGACACTGGAAGGCCTTGTTGCCTGAGTAGTCGAAACCGAAGAGCAGCATTGTAAAGATGTGCAGTGGTGTTGTCTTGGATGGTGAATGGTTCGTCACCAAGAGCATGCACTTTTTCCAGTGCTTCCTCGATCTCCTTTTCGAAGAGATACCCAACACCTAGTCGTTGGACTGCATCTATCACCCGAAGCTTCTCGACAATGGCCGGCAGCTGATTGTCATCCACGGCGGCTGTGACCATCTTCCGCACCTCTTCCTTGAGAACATCGTACTCTGTCTCAACCAGCAGTGGGGATCTGATCTGCTGGTCGACTTGGTCGAGAAAGCGATCCCCCCACTGTGTGAGAGGGAAGCTTGCTGAGTCCCGATCGATGCCGCCGGCAGCATTTTGGTTTCCGACAACAGTAGTAGTCGACATTTTCGATCTGATGGATTTCTGAAGCAAAGGTTATTTAGTATAATGGGAATTGGTTTGTTTGTAAGCTTGATTGTGGGATGTTGTGAATCAAAGCTCGTGAATCTGTTACTTATATAGCCAACGAGGTCGCTAGCAGTTTCTGGGAATGACCTGCTTAGTTAATTGATTTCTTATAGAATATGACAAAATCATCACGTTTATCCCTTTCTTACTTTAATATTATCAACGGCGCCCCACCTCCTGCCTTCCTCCTGCACCTCGACAACTAATAATGAAAATGAAAAAAAAATCACATGCAGTATGGGAAAACAATTAATATACATACGTACGCATGCTTTACATATGGGGTTCTCGATCCCAACAGGAGATCGAATGAATGGATTTGATTCCATAATTAAAACTTGTTTATCAATGGAATATCTCGAATTTTTAGGTGCATTGCAGGAAATTCCACGAAAATGGGCTACCTGCTCTTACCTTATGTGTACTTAACTAGTAAAATATACTATTTCCATATTTGTCGCCCTGTTTTCTTGTTATTAATTATTGCCAAATTTAGTCAATTACGGTCAGCTACTCAGCTTATAATTAGTGTGATAATTATATCACCCCGTTTTTCTATGAATAAGTAGTACATCGAATGGGCCAATAAGCAAGCCAAGATTCTGAAGAACCCTAAATAAGAAAATGTTCAAGTTCCATATATGATTAAACAACTCCCTGCCCACCGCCCTGTTATGAGCAACCACCTTAATCATTAATTAATTCATTATGTTTAGTCAAATTGAGTGAGCGCGGATCTAACAAATAGATTCGTTTGATGCCAAGTAGCTAGGGTTACATATATAGTAGTAATGAGGAGTTTTACAATGCTATATAGCATTGGTGCTATAGGTTTTTATCTTTATGGTACAACTTGAAATTATACATTTAACGTTATGGTACAACTTCAAATTGTACCTATACTTTTTGTGCAAATTCTTTTATGGTACAACTTGAACTTGTACCTTTATGTGATGGTACAACTTCAAGTTGTAAAGTTATACCATAACATAATGATACAAATTCCTTTATGGTACAACCTAAACTTGTACATTTATTGTTATGGTACAACCTAAAATTGTACGTTAAGTACCAATACTATATAGCATAGTAGAAGTGCTCTAGTAGTAATATGTTTTTTTTGTCTCGGTTGAAGGTGTCAAAGTTTGATAAAAACGTCTTTAGATAGTTTATATTATTATAGTTTTAAGTTAAATTCAGTGAGTGCATCTAACAAATAGATCCGTTTGCTGCCAAGTTGCTAGGGTTAATAACAAGTTTTTTTTTTCTTTTTTGCCCCAGTTTTGGCAAAACCCGTATAGATAGTTTAAATGATTTGTCATGGTATTTGAGAGATTACAATCTATCATGGTGGTAAGAGATTTTTATTATCATGGTTGATACATTTTATTACGGTTGTAACAAGCACTACGGAATGGTGAAGCTACACACAAGGTTTTCAATGTTAGAGATTACAATCTATCATGATGGTAAGAGATTTTTATTATCATGGTTGATACATTTTATTAGAGTTGTCAAAAGCACTACCATATGGTGAAGCTACACACAAGGTTTTCAATGTTATGATTCAATTGCATGAATACTCTGTCTTAATCATCAAGGTGCAAGCTAAATCACAAGCTATCAGATTCAAAATAGCAAAGTTCTAATATAAACTCAATAGGGCTATTAGAAACTGCACACTTTTGATCTAGATCGTCATAGTGTTCTATCCCACGTATTGACCCAAAGGAAGGTCTTTATATAATGTATCAATGACCATGTGAAAATTATAATTATTTGTTGATGTGATGCGTATGGATCTCAAATCTCACAATCTCAATGGTCAACGGATAGAAATAAATTGACAATATCATGTATTTGTGTTACTTAGACTATGCTTATTTATTTTTACTTGAGTGCATAATTTATATCGAGTATTGATCCCTGAATTAGAAATCACTTGAAAATCTCATAAGTCATATTGGGGGAGTTCCACAACTACATTTCTTATTTCACCCGACACTAGCTATTTATCTGCCACTTAAATAGTCTTTACGAAGACACTCGATGAAATTAAAACGATTAAAGAAGATCTGCAATTTGGATGGGAGGAGTTCCTACAACCTTTAGGTTTGTCTAGCAATTTATGTCAATCTGTAGGCCATTTCTTATATTTATAGAGTATTCAAAATGGTAACAGATCTGGTTTCCTTTTCTTGTGCTTATTGATTTTATCTTCTGAACATTTGTATGGAATAATAGTTAAACTGAAAATATCATGTTATCTTTTTTTTATATAAACGTACACTTAATCATCCATGATTTTCATAAATGTATAATCTACTTAGTGTTTTTTTTTTTTTTTTTGGGAACTTAGGATAAAATTCTTTTAAATCTGAAAGAAGCTATGAGTTTTCTCCTGTAATACTTCGAAAAATAAATAAAAAAGTGATAAGAATGATGGGCAGAAATGAGGTAAATACTATCTTTTTTTACCACATATTATTTCGTGGTTTACATTTTTACAAGTCAGGCATCAGCCTATAGCTAGAGCCTAGAGCTAACGGAGCCACCAAGTGTCCCGGGTGTCATGATCGGAGGAAACAAAACGAGCGAAGTTGAACAGAAGCACTTCCGGCGCCGCCCCAGCGGAGCTTCCTTGGCTGGTCGCCGGAGTAGTAGTCAAGGAACGGCGGCAGAGTGGACACGTGGGTTGCCTCCTTGTAAACGAGGACTGACACCATCTGTCGAGACAGACTTTGTGGAACACGTGGCGGCATGGCAGCTCCCGGATCTCGTCCCCTTGTTCCACCTTGGACAAGCACACCGCGCATTCGGAGGACTGCCGCAGATCTTCTGCGGTTGCCGACACGACGTCGTTGGATTCATGGCTGTCGTGCGGATAGTAGGAGTAGGAGTAGCTGTGGTGGCGGTGATGGAAGAAGGACAAGTGAAACAATAACTCCCATCCCCATTTCAGGTAAGCCAACACCAATCTTATGCTTCTCACCACCTTCCCAGAATCCATTCTCGAATTAATCTTCTCTCCGTAGTTAGCCAATAAAGGGAGCTAGGGAAGAGAAGAAATTGAGAGTAGCTGTAAGCAGTAGTAGTAGTGGTGATGGAATAGGGCAGCCGAGGCAGGCGGTATATATATTAGATGTGCCGAAGCTCTGGATTATAATATGAGTATGCTCATAAGTTCAACGTTAGGGCGCTCGAAAATAATTTTATAGTGTGTATTATTATTTTATCAAGGGTTACAACCAAAGTACTGAAAGTTAGGGCTCGTTTTTGACGAGCTAGAAAGATGTACGTAATCTGTCGTGGTTGCAATTTCCCACTCACCTGCATATTTGGTCTTTCTCTTTTCTTGGATTTACACTTTTACTATACCCGTATGTTCAACAATTGGTTAAGATGAAGCCAAACTGCATTGGCTGAAACGGAAAACACTTTGCAAACCCAAAGATCTGACAGATGTTAACGAACTTGTGTTTGGCAAACAAGGGTGTTAATCTTGGGTGATTAGCATAAATGGTCATAAATAACCAACCGAACTAACTCAACCCACCCGAGCCAAACTAATATTCCATACTTATTTTATTTACCATTCTTATTACCATTTAGTTACATCATGAAAAGAAGTGTAACTATTTTGTTACAAAAAATGAAAAGGTTTCTGCCAATTTAGTTTCAAATACTTACTGTAAATTATAAAGTTGATAGTTTGGTGACCACCGTTTATAAAAAATTTTAAAATAGAAATGAAGAGTACTATCTTTTTTTACCTACAAAAAATGAAGAGTACTTACTGCCAGTTCAATGATTTTAAGTGGTGATAATATATAGGCCCTGGTAAGACGGATGTCGGGTGGTATACATTGACCTGGCTAGTTCGAAATTAGTTGCAGAAACTCAGGAATATAAAAATGAGTTTATTCTTCAAAAATTCAACGTTTGGATGCTCATAAATGATATTCTCAGGTCTGTATTATTATTTTATGAAGAGTTGCCACAAACAAAGTACTGAAATTTAGGGCTCGTTTTTTACGAGCTACAAAGATTGAAGTCTGTCGTGTACTGCCCATTCCCACATGCATGCCACCTTTTCTTTCTGCGGTTCTCTTTTATTTTGTCCTTTTGATGAACGTTGTCTACTTCGAAAATGAATGGTTTTATTTAATTTTTGGATTTCGAAAATGAAAAATTTGATGATGGCTTGTGATTCGTTTTGAATTTTATAATTTGAGGTACTATTGGGATAACCCTAAGCTTGGCAACTGCAGGAGTACCAATTACCCAAGAAACCTGTTTGTTATTTACGTGATTGTTAGGTAGTGACGTTTAACAAGGGACTCCTTGCCCAAGTGTTTCTTGTAATTTCATAGTCTTTCCAATTTAACAGAAGAAGTTCACCCTTAGAAATAAATAAATAAATAAATAAATCATAAGCTTGGAGTAACGTAAATATGTGGCTACTCCAATGTGTTAGAATATTTGTATCGTATCATTTTCTGGAGCATATGTATAAAACGAAATTTCATAAATTTTTATGATATCAGCAACACATGATACAAAATAATGCACAAAACTGTCAAAGACTGCATCAGCTAGAGTATTGCTAAGATCCTGTGGATCGACAACAGGTTCAACTACTAAGAGTTAATATGTGCTTGACAAAGAAACCATCCCCTTTTAACAAAGAAACCATCCCTTTTCGTCCTTCCTGATTTCTCATTTTTATGAGCATCTTTTACAAATTCACTCTTAAGCTTTTCCTCATCTTGAATATGTAACTTTATTTCAAATTCACTTAATTTGTACATGTTGATGTTGGTTCTAGTTTCAACTCTTGAAATAGCTCCTAAGAATAACACATTGTGTGGGTAAATAAGATAAATGATAAGAAAACTTATCAATGGACAGTTTTGGACTCAAAGAGTTGAAAATTTCAATAGTATTGGAAGGTGATTTCAGAACAAATGGATAAAATACAAGAGAAAAGTATAAAACATAATTGGATTTGGATAAGTAAGTACGTGATATTGGGTATCACAACTGAATGATCCTCAAGTAGACAAGTGATTCTTAATAAATTGGAACATTAATCAATACTCATAGTAAATTAGCCGACTAGACTGATATTCATAGATTTAAATAGTCCCAAGTACTAGTAGTTGGTCGTACACTAGAAAGGTCATGCTCCCACATACAAATGAGAATTTTATCGCTAGAAATCAAAATCCACTTACACATTTCTGATATATAATACAACCAGGAAATAGAAACAATGAATGTAGAATAGAAAGCATTATCAAGCGAAAAAAAACTAGCCACGTTCTTACAGAGAGAAATTTCTTTTCACACGAGTTCTTCAGAGAGGAACGGGATCAGCTAACAATGAATCGATGTGTTCTTTCAAAAGGTGAGAATGAGTGTAGCCATCACCATTCTCATAAATCACACTGATTGAGCGTGCAAAGTTAAGAACACGTTCTGTCAAGGTTACTAGTAATGGAGTTGGTTTCTGGCACTCTTCTGCAATGTCTTTCCAAGCTCTAGAAATCTCCTCCCAACAAAATTTGACTGCTTCCACCTCCGATACCCCGTGCTCATTCATGTAGCATTTTATTGCTGAAGCTGCATGACTTCTCTCTCGCTCCCACTAAGGAAAAAAAACCATTCAACAATTATTTTCCATTTCAAATGGAATCAGATATCATTCATCAACAAAAGGCAATTTCTATGTGAATATTTAACTATAACATACCTTATGAGAGACAATATCATTTTGGATCCTAGAAATGACAGATGCAGCTCTAACCATCTTGGGTTCGTTGGTCACCCATTCGAAGGCCTCTCTACTGGCTATTTCTGCTCCCATCCCGATGAAAGCAGATGTACAAAGGATTGGAAAACCACTAGTAGCATAAGCATCGATCTTGTACTCCTCCAATGTTGGAACATGATCTACAGTACGCCACTGGATCTCAGCCAAGTGAGCTCGACATATTTTCTTGAGCTGCATAAATGAGTAATAGTGAAAATTTAGTATTTATAACATTGCTCATTTTGAAACTTAGAAGGTCTCCATTTATCATTAATTGCTAGTAATTACCTCTTCCTTTGCATAGTTGACAGCAAAAGTAGGTCCGGTTTTTGCAAGTTCCACCTCAATTTCGTCGTATAGGTCAATGATGATACGATACAAATTCTTCATCGTTTCAGGTAGTTCTTCAAGAGCGCTCTCATGGAAACTGAAATAAGCATACAATGCATGATTGATTAAGACAAAGTGCTAACTCACCTAATTAATTGAATGTATATTAAATTTAGCCAATAGTTGGGACTTAATTGGCTTCTTCAATATAACTAGTGAACTAAGAGTTGATATTTCGTGAAAGAAATGTACCTTTCAATAGCTTTTGTGAGCATCTTAACTTCTTGGTATGTAGCGAAGTTATCACAAGTGTCATCCAAAAGTGAAAGCATTGAAATGATCTTCGTGCACATAATTCTTGCCAACTCATACTTGGGCTCGAAGTACACGGCATAGATCCAATAATAGCATTCCACAAGTCTGTCTCTTGCATGTGGGAAATTGGCCGTAACTTTGATACTTTTCCACCACCTGATTGGCAACCAATTGATTAAGTATATAGTGATATTATATCAAACAAACAGTAGATAAATAAAAAATTAATTTCTCAAAACTCACTCAGAAATTCGACGAAGCTCCTGCTGATGTAGTTTTTGGAGCATGTTGAAGTCCAACTTTGCAAATCTGAGGAGCTTATAATCGTGGGAGGCATCTTCGGAATAGAAATCGATGTAGTTCCTAGCAAGTGACCTAGGGACACATTTCCAAGAAGGAAGACCCAGGGCAAACTTAACTTGTTTTTGAAAGGAAGGGCTGAGTTGGGGGAGAATGGTCTTGAGAGTCTTGGTAGCAAAGCTCAATGCTTCATCCAATATGTCTTCTCCATGAACTGCCACATGAGCCGCCTCGTACAAGCTCAGAAGCCCTAGCCCATCCGAAGCCAACCCTTCTTTGAACTTGCCTTCACTGTCCTTCAAGTTTCTAAACCCATCTGCGCCAATTAATTAAGATCCATCAAATTGGAGTTATATGATTGTGTATTCGAACAACCAGTTCAAAGATGAAACAATTGAGTCTACATATAGTGCTATATATACAGTATATTATATACATACCTGAGGAAACATGAAGACCTTGTTGTCTGAGGAGTCGAAACCGAAGAGAAACATTGTAGAGATCATCAGTGGTAGTACTATCACCGTCACTATGATCATCACGGATAGCGAATAGGTCTTCTCCAAGAGCATGCACTTTCTCGAGTGCTTCTTCGATCTCAGTTTCGTAGTGATACCCAACACCTAATCGTTGGATGGCATCTATCAGGCGGAGCTTGTCGGCAATAGCTGCAGGCTCCTTATCATCAACCTCAACTGCCAGCATCTTCCTGAAGACCTCTTCCTTGAGAAAGTCGTACTCATTCTCCCACACAAGCGGGCGCTCCTCCTGGTCAGCTTGTTCGAGGAAGCCATCGCTGCCGCTCCAGAGTGTGAGAGGGAAGCTTGCCGAGTCCCGATCCAATACCACAGTTGACATGATGAACTGCTAATTTGTCTGTCGAAGGTTAGTATGGGAAAGGACGTTTCTTTGTGGATGAATGTTTGATTTGTAAGCTATGGGATTGATGTTGTGAAGAGAAGCTCGAAATTCTGTTGCTACATATAGCTATCTAGCCAACAAAGTTTTCAAGCAGTTAAATTCTACGAACCACCCTTGGCTTTGATTAATATGTTATAAAATATGACGAAATGATACACGTTTACAATATTTTACCCTTTCTTAATTAAAATAACTTTGTTAGCGCCCATATTCAATAAACGGCAGCAGTCAAGCACGTGAAGAGCCATACATAAAATACGACAATATTCCATAAACGCCGGCCGGCCCTGTCATGACAGCCGTCAGGAGCACCCAACTAAATATTATAACTGTGATTATTATAGTCAACTTGAGTGAGCTTCTAATTAAGGTCCAAAATCAATTCGTTGAAGTCACTAGGGTTACAACATATAGAAAGGAATACATAGATTCAAAAAGTTTGTCGTGGCGTGCTGAAGATGTTTATATTTACGCTATTCTAGTACAAGGTCTTTATAAAATTTAATAAATAATATAAATTTAATATCCGACTCATATCACACATTCTCAAACAAACAAAAAATGTTGGAATTATATGCTAGTTGAATTTATCATGACCCGTTTTCATCTTTTGGAAGCAATTTGAAATACAAACAGTGTCTCAACAGTATTTAGCAAATATCTTTCAACATATTGCACTGTTTATATATAGTCTATCACTCTGGTGGATTGATATTAATATTTGATTGGAAAGCTTGCGCTTATTAGCAAAAAAAATATATATATATATTATTTCAACACTAATAGTTGCAACAAGTCAAGAGATATGATCTTAGAATTGGATCAAATTATTAGCTAATTGGATAATGCGGTTTTAGATTTGAACTTCTTATACTACTGCTCAGGTGTTAATACATTTTCCCCAAATTTTATTGTTGTTGGTTAGTCAGAGCCCCTGGTAAATGCATTTTATCTAAGTGGCATAAAAAAAAGACGTGATTATAAAGCCATTCTTTGGGAAATCAATTGGCAATTTGAGTTGTGGAATAGACTAAAAAGTGAATCATATACTTCTCTATACATGCTCTCAAATGACAATTAACTCATGCGGCTTGAAATTTATATGAGAGTATCAGACCAAGCATTTCATCGAATATGAATATTGGGTAATCATAAGGATTCGAACATGAAACTTCTCGACTAATTAAAGAATCAAATACCATGCCAAACGAGTCATCGGTCCCAATAACTTGAATAATTAAGACAAATAAAAAAAATTATATAATTGCATTTGGGACTGAGAGGGATAAATCAACTTCACAAAACCATTCATTGGGAACTTGAAGTGTTGTGTAAGTATACAGTCTATTAAAAGGGACAGACAAACACTGAAATAGGTGATCCAAATCGATCACTATATATCTATATCTATTATTCCCATGTTCCTATACATCTTTCCATTACACATATTAATATTGCGGAATGCGGATTACATTTGCAATTTAATTATGCGTCAAAGTATCTAGTAGCTATAGCTAGCGGAGCCACCAATTATCGCGGGTGTCACGATCGGAGGACACGAAGCTAGCAAAATCGAAGAGCAGCACTTCCGGCGGTTCCGCCGCCGCTGAGCTCCCCCTGCAGGTCGCCGGAGTAGTAGTCAAGGAACGGCGGCAGAGGGGACACGTGGGGCACCTCCTTGTAAACGACGAGTGACACCATCTGTCGAGACAAACTCTATGGAACACGTGGCGACATGACAGCTCCCTGACTTGGTCGCCTTCCTCGACCTTGGACAAGCACACCGCGCACTCCGGCGACTCCTCCGACGACCCTGCAGCTCCCGCTACTACGACGTCGTTGGAGTCATAGTATTCTTGAACTCGGCGTTGGGCTGGGTGATGGTAATAGTTGTAGTCGTGGTAGCGGTGGTGGAAGAAGGACAAATGGAACAACAAATCCCATCCCCATTTCAGGTAAGCCAACACCATTCTTAAGCTTCTCACCACCTTATAATTAGTATCCATTCTTAATTAATTTTCTCTCTGTAGTTAGCTTGCAAAGACACAGAGATAACTCCTTGATCAGAAAGAGAGAAATGATCAAGAGTGGCAGTAGTGGTAGTGGTGGTGATGGAATGGAGGGCCGAAGGTGGGTATATATATATTATGGACATAATTAATTATTAATATATGAGTGGGATGATATTCTAATTCAACGTTCGGAAGCTCAGAATTATAATATTTGAGTATCATTATTTTACCAAAGTACTGAAATATTCAGCTCGTTTTAAGCGTGCTGAAAAGGGTTGTCCTATGTTAGAATAAGTTGCTAACTATTCCCCTACATCCGATGATGACCGACGGCAACTGTCCTACTTCCTACAAGCCCAACATGCATGAACCTTACAGGCCCAAGCCCTTGTTCCCTCCCTTGATCCAAATCAACTTTGGGCCCAAAAGAGAAGGTTGGATTGGAGCTCAAATTTATAAAGCCCAACTCTTTCACTCTCATAATCTTGGTGGCAGAGCCAGCGCGCGTCACTCACTAACTCCCTCGTGCATGTTATCAATCTTCACTTTTTCACTCTCGTAATCTTGAGCTTCCATGTTGTGCACAGAGTTTTGTTTTGGTAATTTCTCAACCTAACCCTATGTAGCCTACCTTCTTCTAAAAGGTTAAATGTAAGCCGCGGTATGATGCTTGTTGGAAGAAAAGAAATAACTGACAGGCCGCTGAGATCAATAAAAGATATATCGAAAACTTTACCTCTTTCGTGATCTAGTCTTAATATTTGAAATGTCATGTAAACCCGTATATCATTGTCTTAATTCATGTGGTTTTATTTCCTTCTGACTCTGTAGTACTATATTTCCAATCTATGTGCCTGCTGCACCTCAGCTTCTAAGCTCTGTAATTAGCTGATTCATCAGGCGGCTTCATCTTCCTCCTCTTGGACCTACTTGTCCGTCGTCGGAAAGAAAGTCAATTGAGAATTAATTATATGTACACAAAGTTCAGCAATAAATTATTGAAAAGATAAGAACAAATTGTGTCACATCAATAGCCATAATTAATATACAGTTGGGCATTAATTATTGTTGGTCAATTATTAAGAAAAATCTTTCATCAGATACCGTATATAAGATAGGTTAACAGCAAAATTTGGCCTTTTATTATTGGTCTTTCTCAAATGTATCACAATACTATGGCTTCGTTTCGATAAAAAAAAAATCATGTTTGCAAAATCTTCAATCATTCAAAACCTTGATCATATTATTGTATCACGGTGATACGATCATACGACCGGAGTTTTGCAGACAGGGATTTTATACCCTATATGCTCCATTATACTATTTTCATTTTTTTCAAACGTTAAGTAATTAATTGCAATCACTGTCTGGCCTCTACCTCTCACATCAAGATAAAAGTATGGTTAATTGGATTTGGACTGCATTATTGCTTGTGTATATATATAAATAAAAGTATAGTATTTGTTATTATAAAAATAAAAAGTATAGTATTTGACTGAAATATTGCTCACGTATATACATAAAAATTAATCAAGGAAAATTCATAGTTCTTACCCACTTTTACTGTAATGATAGTGACTTAGATATCTTGACATTTTCTAGTAGGTCTGATAGGTTGTATCGTGTAAAACATTATGTTTATTACGTAACGCTTATATAATACATAACAATTGTAGGACGGTCTTATATAATAATTAAATAAAACATGTTACATAAGGCTGATATAATGGCTTCACAATGTACGCTATACAGTGCTAATATTCATTATGCAATAATTCCATCTATTATGTAAGAATTATTTAACATATTATTATATTCTAGTTGCAATTTTTATGTAAATGCAAATACATTATTACGTAATGATTATGGAAACAATAATTATATTGTATTCAACCATCTAGCAAACATTACGCGTAAAACTTTCGTAATGACTTTACACTTTATAAAGGTTAAACTTAATACTCATACATAAATTATCATCTACTATATAAAAGGTTACGAAATATACTGTTTTAACAACGTAAGATAAACACATCTTATATAATAGAAGTTGAATATACTATAACGTTGAAGATACAATTTTAATTTGTACTATAAAAAAGTAGTACAAAAATATATAGGTATAAACGAATTTGTTCTACAACGCCAAATGAATAAATTCAGTTTGTATAAAAAGGAAATTAACGAAATGAGTAGCATAGCTAGAAAGCTCAGTAGACAAGTGGTATAGCTAAATGCTACTATATATAGTGACGGTGATTGTTATGGAAAGTTGACCCTCAAAAGAAAGTGAGAGAGAGGAAGGAAATTAAATCAAAAGGAAAGACACAAGCAATCGGAGCAAGTAAAGTCGCCGGAGAAATGGATGAACTTGCTGCACTTTCCCTCGCCGTCTTCATACTAATAGCGACCAGCTGCGTCACTATTCTCATAGCCCTGACCCGAAAGCCCAAAACCATCGCGCCGCCGCCTGATGGAGCTGGCCGTCGAACACGGGCCTCTTATGCAACTCCAGCTAGGAGAAACCTCCACCGTCGTCGTCTCCTCGCCGGAACTAGCCAGGGAGTTTCTCCAAACCCACGATCTCAACTTCGCCACCAAACCCTTCCTACCTTCCGCCGCCACCCTTCTCTACAACGGCCGAGACATCGCGTTTGGGCCTTACGGAGACTACTGGAGGCAGATGCGGAAGATCTGCGTCGTAGAGCTGCTGAGCCCAAAACGCGTCAGGTCGTTCGGCCCAATTAGGGCCCAAGAGGTGAACGAGCTTGTGAGGTCTATATCCATGGTAGCTGCGGGAGGAGGGCATGAGGAGGCTATAAACTTGAGTAAGTCGCTCTTCTCCATAACCTATAGGATAACTTGCCGCACGGCCTTTGGGGAGAAGGCCCAAAACCAAGAGGAAGCCTTTTTGCCGGTTCTTCAGGAGATTATGAAGGCACTTGGTGGGCTCAGCCTGTGGGACTTGTTCCCTTCCAGTAACTTGGTGCGTCTAGTGAGCGGGACGGAGAGGAAACTGAAGAAGCTCCATTTGGAAGCTGATGTCATCCTCGAACAAGTGATCGGCGACCACGTGGCAAGACGAAGAACAGAGAGAGTTGATGGTGGTGGTGTCGATGATCATGATAAGGATCTTGTTGATGTGCTTTTGAACCTTAGCAGCAAGAATCATGGCCTTGGATTCTCCATCACCCACTTAGAGATTAAAGCAGTCATACTGGTAACTTGGTGCATACTTTTAACTGAGGCTACAGAGTTTTCATGAATTAAGTGTCTCGTTGATCATCAACGATAATTTCTCTAAGAATTTAAGATTATGGGAATTGATTTCATGAACGTATGCCATGTTAGTCTCATGTCTCATTACTTGAATTATTATCTTATTGATAAACTAGGTTTGGACCGGACTCATGACCCGTTATATATAAAAACTCATTTGGGTTTATAATGAATTTATTAATAATATGTGCAGGACATGATTCTGGGAGGGAGCGACACATCGGCGGTAACGGTGGAATGGACAATGTCCGAATTGATGAAGCATCCAAGAGTGATGGAAAAAGTACAAAAGGAGGTGAAAGAGATGTTTGATGGGAAAAGAATGGTAGACGAAGCGGACCTTGATGAGCTGCACTATCTCGATATGGTTATCAAGGAAAGTCTAAGGCTACACCTAACAACAAAGTTGAGTTGGGGGAAATGAAACCCTAGAAGTCTTAGGTGTTTCTCATTCATACTTGGGTTTAAATAGGCAAAAGCTTTGCACTACAAGACAACATGTGCAAGCTAGCATTTGGAGACTACAAAGATAAAACATTAACTCAAACTAAAGTCTAAACACACATTGACATTAAACTAAACTTGATGATGATGATTTCCTCTAAACCTTGTCGATCCACTTTGACATTCATGGTCGCCGGTTTGAGTTTTGACGATAACTTGAAATATCTCCTGATACCCCCCCGCAAGCGGGTGAGCACAGAATGTGCACACCAAGCTTGGAGAGAATACAGTCTGAACTTGAGAATGTTGCTGCACTGTTGGCTAGCTAACTTCTCTTCAATCTTCAAATGGTGAAGCTGCTGCATCTTGCTAGCTAACTTCCCAAACATCTTCTGAAAAGCTGCTGCATCTGTGGCTAGCTAGCTATGAAAACTTCTTCTTCTTCAACTGGTGATACCACTGCATCTTTGGCTAGTTGGCATCCCATCTTGATCTTCTTCTTCTTCTTCTTCTCTTCACCTTCTCTTCTTCTTCTTCAACTCCTCAACCCCCAACTCAGCTTTGTAGCTTGAGTTTCTCCAATTGAACTCGGATAAGCCGCTGCATTTGTAGCTAGCTAGCTTTCCGGTATTCTTCTTCAACTCCTCAACCCCCAACTCAGCTTTGTAGCTTGAGTTTCTCCAAATAAACTCGGATAAGCCGCTGCATCTTTGGCTAGCTAACTTTCCATTCTTCTTCTTCAACTACTCAACCCCCAACTTCAGCCTTTGTAGCTTCAGTTTCTCCAAACAAAGATGGGATATGCTGCTGCCTTTTCTTTTGCTAGCTAGCACTCCGATGATCTTCAAATGAAATTGCCGCTGCATCATGGCTAGCTGGCTGAACTTCACATCTTCAGCTTTTTTTGTTGCTTGAGATGGATCTTCAAAGTGGTCCGGATATGCTGCTGACTTTGCTAGCTAGCACTCCATCCGAAATTTTGTTTTTGTTTTTTTGAAATCAATAGGGGAGTGCTCTGTTGGCTACTTCCCTCTGCTTCGACTTGATGATGTGATGATATGCTGCTGCTGATTTTGAGCTAGCTAGCATTCCAAAGAGAATAATTTTGACTTCAAACTCAACAGGGGAGCCTTTTAGGCGTCTTCCCTCTGCTGCAAATGTGGCTGCTGCCACTCTCTTCCTCTTGCTGAAACAGAACCAAGGACTTTGGCTTGTGACTGCTTCTGCTGAAACACTGCTTCTTCTCTTTTGATTGCTGTTTTTTTTTAATATGCTGCCCCTGAACTTGCAGCACCTTTTTTCTTCTTTTTCTGCTTACTGTGAATCAGTAAGAGATTTGAGACTTGGTCTCCTGAAGATTTCCTCCAACCAATCCAATATTGACAATCTGATCATTCTTCTCCTTCTCAATCACAGTCTTCCCATCATAAAAGAACTCACTCACAATTTTCAGAACGTCCATTTCATTCATGGACAAAATGACATTGACACTAATCTGAAATTTGTCATGATTCTCAAAGATTTTCTCGGCAGCCTTCAATTGCTCATTCAATCCATCAATTACAACCTTGGGTTCAAGATTGTTACCTTCCTTCCGAAGAAATTCTCGATCCTTAAGCTTAAAACGGAGACGGCTTCTGTCAAAGCTGCTGTTTGCTGGAGATGGAGACCTGGACTTGACTCTGAACAGAGCAGCACCCGATTCCTCTGTTGTCGGTTGTGGAGCTCTGTGAACAACTTCAACACTGTCGTCCTTGACCGGTTTGATCTTCTGTGTCTTTTTCACAGTCGGTTTCTTCGTCGCTTCAATACGATTTTTGCCTCTAGGTCTTCTCTCCGCCGTGTGGTCCTCGCCTCTGTTGCGCGAGGTGAAGAAGAAAGAAGTCGAATCTGCCGGTTGTCGATCTGGGTTTTTCGGAAGGAGGGGATTTGTGGGAAAGAAAGAATGGTTTCTCGGCGAGATGAGGATGAGTGGGTTTTGGATCTGGGATTTTTTGGGTAACAGATGGGGGAATGGATTTTTCAGGGTGACTACGAAATGGGGTTTTTAGATTCGGGAAAAGTAAAAAAAATGGCGTTGATCTCTGGTGGAATGGTTTGGTGGAAGTTTAACAGTGGTGAACATGAGTGGAAGGCATGGGATTTGAGGGATGTGGGTAGAAGAGTAAAGAATGGGATCTGGAAATTTGGGGAAGGAATGCAACGAAGAACAACAAATTTTTTTTTTTTTTATGGTTTATATCTGAAAATTTTCAGATCTGGACATAGTCCTTATTCTTGTGGGTTGAAGGTTTTTAGGGTTCCCTAGGATCTAGAGGCTCTGATACCATAACAACAAAGTTGAGTTGGGGGAAATGAAACCCTAGAAGTCTTAGGTGTTTCTCATTCATACTTGGGTTTAAATAGGCAAAAGCTTTGCACTACAAGACAACATGTGCAAGCTAGCATTTGGAGACTACAAAGATAAAACATTAACTCAAACTAAAGTCTAAACACACATTGACATTAAACTAAACTTGATGATGATGATTTCCTTTAAACCTTGTCGATCCACTTTGACATTCATGGTCGCCGGTTTGAGTTTTGACGATAACTTGAAATATCTCCTGATAACACCCTACTGCACCGTTAATAGCTCCTAGAGAGTGTCGAGAAACAACGGTGATCAATGGATATCATATACCCGCCAAGACTAGGATCATCGTCAATGCATGGGCTATGAAACGAGATCCCCGACACTGGAATGAACCTACAGAATTTTATCCAGAAAGATTTTTCGATACTTCAATAGACTATAATGGACAAAATTTCAAGTTCATCCCGTTTGGAGCTGGACGAAGAATATGTCCAGGAATACAGTATGGGACTGTGATGGTTAAACTTTTACTCGCTAATCTCCTCTATCACTTCAACTGGAAGCTTCCCTATGGCATCAACCTTCAAGATCTTGATATGTCTGAGGAATTTGGACTTACTGTGAAAAGGAAACATAATTTGTTCCTCATTCCAATAGCGCGCCATCCTCAACCATCATGGCTTGTGTCCTAGCATATAATTTTGTTTCTAGTCTTCGATTTAAATAAGTGATTTTTTTTATTGTGTTTCGTTCTATTTATACCTAATGTATGGTTCATTCGGTTGGCAAAGAAAACTCATGAAACATGGAACATCAACACCAACACCAACTCCCCTAATCAGTCCCATTAGCCAAGGTAGTCAAATGTCACCAGTTGCCATCCTATAACCGAGCATTTTTAGCCCTGTAATCTTTTTCTAAAAATATATTCAATTATATATATATATATATATATATATATATATATGGTGGCGTATTCGACGCACCCACTTTTTTGGGTGCACTCAGTGCACCCGCCTCATAATCATCATTCTGAGCATGCGATCCATGTCAAAACGGTATCAATTGTTGTTTATGATATTATGAATAAGAAGCACATGAATTTGAAAAAAAATCATTTATGATTTACTTTAATTTGAAGGATTTAGGATTTAGAGGTATAGGGTTAGGGTTTAGGTTTTACAGTTTGGGATTTTACATTGGGATTCCAAATTGAAGGTTAAGGGGTTAGGGTAATTGATTGATTTGTTATGATTATATGTCATATCATCATATTAGATTGAGAGTACTAAGGGGTCGTTTGGAAGTTGCGATTGTTAGTGTTGTATTTGTTAAATACATACATTGTCCACAATACAACGTTTGGAAGTGTCAAGTTGCAAAACAATGCATGTATTATTTTGTGTGGGCCCCACCAACAATCAACAAAAATGAGGGATTGTACAATCTCAACTAAAAGTTGAGATTGTTGTGATTGTTAGTTTAATAATTGAGCATATTTACTTTTCCCAATTATGTCCATAGTTCTTTTTGTTTTATGTTAAAAGTGGAGGACAAATATGACATTTCCTTATAAAGTAACTTTATAACAATCAATTCATAAATTATAATCTCAACAACCAAACAATGTAATTTCAAAATGCATCTATTGTGTCAATGCATGCATTTATATCATAGTGATTCATAACAATACAACGATTTAACATACGCAACTTCCAAACGACCCCTAATTAAAGTTCAAAATTTGATGTATTATGGACACTTTTAGAAATGGGTGCACTGAGTACACCCAAAAAAGTGAGTGCACCGAAGTAGCCACCATATATATATATATATATATATATATAGATCAAAACTAGCATGTATCTTATGTGCACAAATTTTCAAAATGTGAGTTAAAAACGGGTGGTAGCAGTAGGTAGGGCTGGGCATGCGGGCAGATCATCCGCGGGTTTGGGCCGACCCATCCGCATTTGACCCGAATTTCGTTAAGTGGGTGAGTCTGTGGGTGGGTGACGGGTTGCGCTGGAAGCCATCCGCCGGGTGGTGGGTGGGTTGTGGGTGAGTGTGCGGGTGACCCGCTCAACCCAACAGCAAAAAAATCAAAGTCGTTGGCGCTAGAGAGAGAAGAGTGGAGACGTTAGATATAAACTCGGACTGCTCCTGGAGTTTGAACCTCAAAGCCAACCTTCCAAATAGAGATCCCCTCTTCTTCCCTTTACTTTTCCCTCTAATTATTGTGCCTAGATCACCGCTCTTTCCTTTGTGGAATTATTTTCCTTAGTTCCTTGCACCTAATAATCGTCTCAATCTGTAGAAAACTCTTCATAATAGAATTTCTATCCAATTTAAGAACTAATTCGACATTTTTCGCCCTATTTCAACTTCTGGTTACCCTCGATGATTCTCTTCACCTATTATCATGTCAAGTTGACTCCTTTATATTATATACATTGTGATGTGGGTGAACCCACAAACCCACCCGCATCATCCACCATCCGCCCGACCCAACCCGAGACTAAATGTGGGTGGGTGGTGGGTTAAAAATTATCAATCCGTTTAAGCACGGGTGGGTGCATTTTATGGTCAAAATCCACCCGACCCACCCAATGCCCACCCCTAGCAGTAGGTAACCAACCGTAATAGATGGTAACAAAAAAAAAATCAAAATATATCATAAATATATATTATTTGTGAATTACAATAAACTCATTTCATTTGTAATAAAATTCAAAATTCAAATTAAGACAAAGAAGATACATAAAAACAGAAAACAAAAATTATTTTATTCTCACATGTCATATCCGAGTCCACCCAAAATGAATAAATTCATAACCCAGCCAAAAAAATTGCTCTTTAAAGTCCTCCCCTAATAACGTGTGTGAATATAAATTGTTGATGTATATTATATACTCAAAACACATGGTAAGTGAACTTAAATGAAAATAATTTCATATTGTAAGGGATTTTCTGAAATTTAATTTCAAATTAAAAGCTCATTTAACGCAAAAAAAAAACTGAGACTAAACAATTGATTAAGATAACTAAGTGTACGAAATATTTTTAATTTCACTTGGGATATGATAGAAGTCACCATATATATTATTAGCATAGAATATTATTATATATAAAAATTAAAACTTATACCAAATATTGTTTAAAACTTTAAACTAGTTGCGAGCACTCAGCCATACCTAATCAACAAAAGACAATGAGCAAGCATTGAGTTGCCACTTTAAGCTCGTGATTTTTAACTTTAATTTGGTTACACAAAGAGAAAGATGGCGAAGGATCAAACAAAAATGAAGGGTATACGAGAATAATATATATTATCCCTAATAGTTACAGCACTTTGGCCCAATCAAGATCTGAATATCATCAATTAAACAATTGCATCAAATAATAATAATAATAATAATTTAAACACCTTGGAATCAATCAAGATCTGTAATTATTAATGAGTTAAACAATTGCATCGTCGTTTTCCTTGCTTTGTTCCTTTTTTTTTTTTTGTGTTCCATTATTCTATTACATTCATTGATTCAACATATGTGTCCTTCATCAATAAAAAAATATTATAAAAATATGTCGGCCAACCAAACATGGTTGGCTAGTAGCTGAAATACTAATTATATACCGACTGAAATTGTTGCGGAAGATGACCCTCAAAAGATAGTGGGAGAAGGAAAGGAAAGCAAAAGGAGAGATCAGAGAATAGCAGCGGAGCAAAGAAAATTTTCCGGAAAAATGGAGGAACGTGCTATACTTTTCCTCACCATCTTCATATTAATAGTGACCAGCTGCGTCACTATTCTCATGGTACTAATCAGGAGGCCCAAAATCGACGCGACGTTGCTGCCTCCGGGCCCGAGAAAGCTGCCCATACTCGGGAATCTACACAACCTGATGGGCCCAACCTTACCCCACCGCCGCCTGATGGAGCTGGCCGTCGAACATGGGCCTCTGATCCAACTCCAGCTCGGGGAAACCTCCACCGTGGTCGTCTCCTCGCCGGAACTAGCCAAGGAGTTTCTCCAAACCCATGATCTCAACTTCGCCACCAGACCCTTCCTGCCCTCCGCCGCCATCCTTCTATACAACGGCCGAGACATCGTGTTCGGGCCGTTTGGAGACTACTGGAGGCAGATGAGGAAGATCTGCGTCCTCGAGCTGTTGAGCCCAAAACGCGTCAAATCGTTCGGCCCGATTAGGGCCCAAGAGGTGAATGAACTAGTGAGGTCCATAGCCATGATAGCTGCAGGTGAACATGACGTCGAGGCTGTAAACCTCAGTCGGTTGCTCTTCTCCCTAGCCTATCGTATAACTTGTCGTACAGCCTTCGGAAACAAAGCCCAAAACCAAGAGGAAGCTTTTTTGCCGGTTCTGCAACAGATTATGAAGGCACTTGGCGGGCTCAGCCTGTGGGACTTGTTCCCTTCCAGTAACTTGGTACGTCTAGTGAGTGGGACAGAGAGGAAGCTGAAGAAGCTCCATGCGGAAGCCGATGCCATCCTTGAACAAGTAATCAACGAGCACGTTGCAAGACGAAGAACAAACATAGTTGAAGATGATGATGAGCATCATCAAGATAATGATCTTGTCGATGTGTTTTTGAACCTCAGCACCAAGAACCATGGTCTAGGCTTCTCTATCACCCACGTTGAGATTAAAGCTGTCATCCTCGTAAGTATATGTACGCTTTAATATATATGGTTATTTATAATGAGTTGAAGTGTCCTATTGTATACATCTGAGGTTACTTTGACTCTATGATGACCTGAGAATATGTGTAGGACTTGTTTCTTGGAGGGAGTGACACATCGGCTGTAATCGTGGAATGGGCAATGTCAGAGTTAATGAAACATCCAAGAGTTATGGAAAAAGTACAGAAAGAGGTGAGAAAGATGTTTGATGCCAAAATAGTAGTGGATGAAGCAGATCTTGACGAACTACACTATCTTGACATGGTCATCAAGGAAACTTTAAGACTGCATGCTCCTGCTCCGTTAATATCTCCCAGAGAGTGTCGAGAGACAACGATGATTGGTGGATATGAGGTACAAGCCAAAACTAGGGTCATTGTCAATGCATGGGCCATCAACAGAGATCCAAGACACTGGGAGGAACCTACAGAATTTTGCCCAGAAAGATTCATCGATACTCATATTGATTACAACGGACAAAATTTCAAGTTCATTCCCTTTGGAGCTGGACGAAGAGTATGCCCCGGGATACAATCAGGGATGGCGGTGGTTAAACTTTTATTGGCAAAATTACTCTATAATTTTGATTGGAAGCTCCCAAATGAAGACAACTCACTAAATATTGACATGTCTGAGGAATTTGGGCTTGCTGTGAAAAGGAAAAATGAATTATTTCTCATTCCTGTACTACGACATCCTCAACCAGAGTAACTTCTGTATCCTTAGCCCATGGTTGTTTCCGTGCCCCCTTACTCTTTTTTTTTATTTTTTTTGCAAGTAATATAATTTCATTTCAACCGGCCGGTTTAAATAAATTTTAGATTTCATTTTCATTATGTTTTATGCTCCTTCCTTCCTTCCTTCCTTCCTTCCTTCCTTCCTTCCTTCCTTCTTTCGATATATATATATATATTTTCTCGATTGTGCTAGTTAAGGAGGCGTATTATCTAGGAGATGAGAAAGGATGTCAGAAGAATCATGAACAAGTCCTGCTAAACTTATCACAATTTATAACTTTGAAAACATATTTCAATTATCATAAATAATATTTTAAATATCCATGACCAGAGTAATTTCATATTTGTCAGGGCCATAAACAAAACAAAATCAAAAGGTTGGACAATTTAGAATAAGTGATGTATAGTTTGTACGTTGTAATATATATATGTCAAAGAAATGTGTAAGCCTATATTTGGTTCGGTGTTTAGAAGTATTTTTCTGCTTTAAAAATTAAGTTGGAACAAATACACCTATAAGCTCGACTTTAGAAAAGGCTGAAAGTACTTTCTATAAATAAAAGCAAAAGCTCCGATTTAAAACTTTTACGAAAAAATATTTTTAAAATACAAAATCATGCTTATCATACATTAAATTTATTTCATGAAAATATAATTCTTTTACATTTACGCTATAATTTTGTCTTTAATTAGAGACAACAGTATTGAGGGTCATATTTACATATTATATGCGCCGCTAATAGAGTTTGGAGGTAAATATATTATCTATAGACTATAGTACTGGCTAATACTCTATTAGGTTTTCTTGTAATAACCAACAATATACAAGAGCGGAACAACTAATTAAGTTGATATTAAATTGAACCCATTGATTTCCTTTTTTCCTTCGATTTTTTTCCTCATTTTTTTCTTACATTTGCTAAGTGATTCTGTTGATATGGTTTGCAATTAACCTTGTGTGTTCAACTATATGGTTCTTTTCGCAATTAACCACCCTAGTTGCAATTGTCTTGCACTCTTGAGAGATATAGTAAATTAGAATGATGATGACCGACTCGGTGACGTTTTTCCAGGCGCATCTGCTGTTCACGGACGGAGACGACTCTTCAACGTAGGAAGCCAGGTCGCTGCTTCCAAACTGTGGCGACAGTACCTCCAAACCAGTCCCAAAGAAAAGAAAATTGGTAGGATGATGACTGACCTTCGAGATATCAGGCAGAACTCTTCTCCTCAACTATATAGTGATGAAACCTAAACTAAGAGTTTTATTTTTCGTTGATTACTTTCGATCGTCAGAAAAAATCATGCACGTAAATCACCGTGTCATTTATATTTCAGGACCTTTGAGTTTTAAACCCTATCCCATTTTTGTTTGATTCTATATCGAACTATAGCATACCCTTAATTCCATACTGATTAAGCTCCCAACAGGAGATCGAATAATGGATTTGATTCCATCAAGTAAAAACTCCCCAATCAGTGAAATATCTCGAATTATCAGGTGCGTTTGCATGAATCTCCACAAAAATGGGCTTACCTGCTCTTACCTTAGTTGCCCTTAACCAATAAAAAAACTCTTCCCATATATTCGTCACCCTGTTTGTTATAAATTATAATTATTGTCGATTTTCGTCAAATACCGCCAGCGTAATTATTATTAGTGTAATAATCAGATCGCCCTGTTTTTTCTGTCTTCATCGATGGGGGCCACTCAGCCAGCCAAGATTCTGAAGAAACCTAATATAAGAAAATGTTCACGTTCCATATTATTAAACAAGTCCCTGCCCAGCGCCCCATTTAGGAGCAACCACCTTAATTATTACTTTATTATAGTTTCCAAGTCAAATTGAGTGAGCGGGTCGGTCTAAAAAAAGATCAGTTTGATGCCAAGTTGCTAGGGTTGAAGGTGTTTTTAGAATTTGAAAAACGAAATACTTTAGATTATTTTAAAATACTTTAAATGATTTGTTAAGGTGCTTCGGAGATCACAACCTTTAAGACATTCTTATCATCATGGATAATTCATTTTATTAATTTTAACGGCACTGTGATGAATTACGTTTTTAGTGACGTGGTGACTTTTTCGTATTGACTTTGTCATGTTGGAATTGTTGGTATTTTTTTATAGTTAATTAACTTAAACAGTAAAAAGAAATGATCCTTTCATTATATAAGGCAATATAAAACTGAGGGGTAGCGTACATTCATTAAGAAATGTATAGTGGCCGTTCTATCATTTTCTTACATGCGAATAATTTTACAGCAATATACGGCTGTAACAGAGATAGCTAAGTTAATTCAATTTATCGGATAGTTTTCATGAAAATGAACAAAATTTTGCAGATGCAACCAATCCACTATAATTGAGCTGCCAAAATTTGACTAAAACTCAATAATTATAAGTGGCATGGAACCATATTAAGCTTAATCGTACTTTTATAATATGGAGTCAAAATATGGTAGCGAACATATTATCTTTTTTCACATAGCATGCATTACATTACTATTTATTATCAGACCTTTTATATTAATTAATGTACCTACAATGAATTATCTCAAGATCGTGGCTATATATATATAGTAGTACATAACATCCATTAATCCACAGATTACAGATTTCTATAACCCAAAAGCAACCGGCGATCCAGTACAACATATCTATATCGAGAGTTAGGATGTCAGCGGAAGCGGCGGCGCCAAAAACCGGAAACGCAACCGGTGATCCATTAGTTGGTCGAGACTCAGCAACCTTTCTTCCCACAGTTTGGGGCGATCACTTCCTCCACAATAATGTGGACGACTCCCCTCAGGTTGGTTAATTACGTTACTGGAGCTTCTTTATTTCGCTTTTTTATTTTTTTATCATTGCCTTGAGTTAATTAGCCTTTTTCGCAACCAAGAAAATGGAGACCAGAAACACAAAATTGGGTCACTAATACCTCGTGGTGTTGGACGACACATATCCCGTTGCGGAACTCCTAGCGTGACCAGAACGAGAACTGGTTGCGAAAAAGAAAAAGAGTGGAATATAATCATGTCGTTCTTAAATATTAATTAATGTCCCGTATAAGTATATATTAACAACTCGATCCGGTCGTGATTTATCTTTAGGGTGGGCTCCTTTCGGTCGTTATGCATGAAAGCGAGTATGAAGTTTTGAAGGAAGAGGTGAAGAGGATGGTGACAACCGATGATGATGGTGGTGATGATACTCCCCAAGCAATTGCCAACAAGTTGCGGGTGATAGATGTAGTTCAGCGACTAGGTGTTGGGTATCACTTTGAAACGGAGATTGAAGGAGAACTTGCAAAGGTGCATGCTCTTGGAGGCGAACTATTCGCTATTCGTGATGACAATAACACGACCCCCAATGTTGATCTATATCATGCTGCTCTTTGGTTTCGAATCCTCAGACAACAAGGCTTTCAAGTTTCCCCTGGTAAAAATTATACTACTATATATACACTTCCATATTACACTTACTATCCACATGTGATGCTCCTGATGAAGTGACACAACCTGAAGCGTTCATTCGTTTATAAAAGTATTGTTTCACGGTACTCCAAGTATCGTTATTTTTAGGAAGAAATAAATAACATCATCAACCCCATCTTGAATCATGAGCAGATGTATTTAGAAAGTTGAAGGACACCAGAGGAAGGTTCAAGGAATGGTTGGCTTCGGATGTGCAAGTGCTTCTGAGCTTGTACGAGGCAGCACATGTGGCGGTCCATGGAGAAGACATATTGGATGAAGCCCTGGACTTTGCCACCAAGACTCTCAAGTCCATTCTCCCTGAACTCAGCCCTTCGTTCCAGAAACAAGTAAACTTTTCCCTCGGCCTCCCCGCATGGAAATGTGTCCCCAGGACACTTACTAGGAACTTCATCGACTTCTATTTTGAGGATCCATCTCATAACAATAAACTCCTTCAATTCGCAAAGTTGGACTTCAACATGCTTCAAAAATTCCACCAGCAAGAGCTCCGCGAAATATCAGAGTCAGTACTTATGGACACTCAAATTATTTTCGTCAAGTTACTATTGCCAATATAATACCCAACTATTAGACATGTTGATTATGTACCTTATAGTTAAATTGTTTGGTTAATTAGGTGGTGGAAAGGTCTTAAAGTGAGTACCAAATTCTCGCATGCAAGAAACAGGATTGTGGAGTGTTATTATTGGATTTGTGCTATTTACTTCGAGCCTAAGTATCGCTTAGCAAGAATGATACTCACCAAGATCATATCAACGGTGTCAGTCATAGACGACACTTATGATAACTTTGCTTCGTATGAGGAGGTGGAGGCCCTCACAGAAGCTATTGAAAGGTCAGTGCATGCTCACCTAGCTACCTCACAAAATACACAAACCAAAACACAACGGAGTTTTCTAGATTGATTCTTTGCACGAGATCAAGTTTGTTGTTAATTGATGATTAAATGCTTACTTTATCTCAGGATGGATGTTGGGGCTCTTGAAACATTACCCGACACAATGAAGGACCTATATCATGCCATCATTAAGTTGTATGACGATATCGAGATTGAACTTGGAAAGAGGGGGCCTACGTTTGCTGTTGATTATGCTAAAGGAGAAGTAATTAATAATGATATCAATTATTTTTACATTCATAATCCTATCACTTGCATGTGGGGATCTCATTAGATAATAAACTAATATATCATGTATATATATTGTTCTTTAGTTGAAGAAAATATGTCGAGCCTACTTAGCTGAGGTCCATTGGCGCGCAAAAGGCTATATTCCAACGCTGGAGGAGTACAAGCTCGAAGCATATGTCAGTGGCGGTTTACCCCTTCTCTGCACATCTACTTTCATTGGCATGGAACCTGAAATAGCTACGAGGGAGGCTTTTGAATGGGTAACCAATGAACCTAAGATGGTAAGAGCCGTCGCTCTTATTGGTAGGTTCCAAAACGACATTGTTTCTCATGAGGTATTCTTTTGGTCCCTCTTTATCATTCGAACTCGAGTTATAGTTTCTAACGTGGTATCGTTATATAATCAACTCAGCTAGTCCATTGATCATACCACAAGTAGCAAAATGATTTTGAACGGTGAAGAATTTTGTTCCCCCTCAGTTCGAACGAGAAAGGAAGCATGCAGCTTCGGCAATCGAATGCTACATGAAGGAGCACTCGACATCAAAGGAGGAAGCTATTGAATTTTTATGGAATGAGATTTCTAAAGGTTGGAAAGATATAGCTGAAGAGTGTCAGAAACCAACTCCACTTCCAGTAGTCCTCACAGACCGCGTGCTCAACTTTGCACGTTCCATTAGTGTGATATATGAGAAGGGTGATGGCTACACGGATTCTAATCTTTTGAAGGCCCACATTGCTGCACTGTTCGCTGTTCCAGTACCTCTTTAAAGAATATTAATATCAACAATATTTCTTGTTGGTGGTGTTCATTTGCTTAATGTCATGGTTTGTTCTTCTTTTTTCATCATTTTTTCTTCTCGTTTGATTGTTGGTGATCAATAAACATTCAATTATTAAGGACTTTCATCTCTTCTATTTACCCTAATTTTTTACGTATAAGTAATCCTCTTGAAAATGGTGAGGCAAACCTCAATGAGAATGTTGAGTTCCAAAGGGAGGTGTACTGTTATAGTTTAGGCAAAATCTCACATCCGAAAAGTACGAGAGAGATCCATGGTTTATAGAGAAAGCCAATCTTAACTAACAAGAAACGTTTGTGAAATGGATGAGTTCTTATAAGAATTCTGAAATTAAAGTACTCAATGTGGAGCAGTGCAGAGATGGGCGATCTACTTGGAAGTCACCATAATGCACCCCACAACCAAAACTGTAGGGTAAGCCAAAAAATTACTCGGAAAAAAACGTACTTTTAAAAAGTGGATGTAGTATCAAATAAATTTGCCTCCAATTCCTTAATTAGTAACAGATATTATTTGCATCTACATTTACTTCCAAAAGGAATTAGAGACAGAGGCGTCCGGTGCAAATAATATATTTGCTTCAATAGAGATAGAGAATCAAATAAATGTCATTTTAAGTCAAATAATCTCTCCTCTAAAGCTAGGTTTTCTCGTAGTGAATGGAGATAAACCCCTCATATTTGCAAGCTAACCGATCCCCATCTTGTGCATAATTTTTCTTGTTTTCTTTCACATTAGTATGCATGTGTAATCATCATATTCTAAACCCATGATAGCAAAACCCATGATAGCAAGTGTACTAACCATGTCTAAAGAAAATGCATAACAGATTGAGGAACGAAAGTTTGGGTTCGGATATGGTAAGAAATTAAATATTATATATATGTAGAAGATCCACTTATTTAACAATTTAGTTACGTTGAAATCAAACCATTTATAAAGTTATTGGGGTAAGATACATAAATAAACTTAAAGTAGTGTATTAATCATTAAGAAAGACATCCGTGATACTTAAGAAATAATTATCCCTCAATAAGCTCTATTTAATTGATACATTCGTGATATTTAAGTAGTGTGTTAATCATTACAAAAGTATTATATAATGCGTCTATTTAATTGATACATAAAAAATAATTATCACCCGTAAGCTTTACGTATCTTAATCATTAGGGTTTAGTTGTTATTTGAAAGACTCTGTATTGAATCTCTATCAATAACAATAGGAAAGAGCTTGTCTGATTAAGAATCATTGGGAAAAAGAAAGCAAGTCAACTACCTTCGTAGCTCGACCGATAGAGAGAGGAACGAAGTAGCTGACTCATGTATTATCTTTGTTTAATTGACAAATAAGAAATAAGCATCCCTCCGTAACCGGATACGAAGGACAACTTGTTAAGTTTATGTGCTGCACAAGAATTAATAAAAAAGACGATACAAGTCGATTAAGAAAAATAAGAAACTATGAAAAATCATTTAATTTCGACCAATTAATTTTGTATCTAAAGCACAATTAAAAACTTTATTGGAAACTTGGGTAAACCTTTGTAAGAAAGTGATTAATTGTCATACATGTACATCTCCCAACAACTCAAATATTAAAGACCAATTGATTCTTGACATGGTATCAGAGTCTTTTGTGATTGAGAGATCTTCTGTTCAAATTTAAATTACCCCATTTGTTAGGCATATGATACTAAAATTTGTGCAAACCCATATATGAATATGATGGATTTTCTTGATTAGCCTAAAAAAGAAAATGTAGGGTCCACCCTAGGATTAGCGGACTAAAGCGTCACTCTAATCCGCCTACAGGCTACAGCTTAGTAATCCTGACTCCTGAGCGATGGTTTAAGCGCAAATTTGAAAGAACTGTACGTTCAAAGAGACCTTTCCCTTTTCCCTAATTAGTAATTTCTCATTTCCAATCGGCTTCTCCTCCTCTTTCTCACCCTCGCAGCTAACGGCGGCTATTTCTGTCGACGATCAACAGAACGTCGGACCTATAACAGTTTGCTTATCACAATCATATAATCCAGCCAGGTAAAGCTTCTCAGTTCCACATAGTCCGACGAACCAGATCGAGATATTCACAACGTATATATGTGTTGTTTACAAACTATCATGTATGTATGGATTGATTCAACTGCTTCATCGCTTCAGGAATCAATGAATTGGTTGGATTGCGGTCGACAGCGAATTGATCGGTGAGAACGTCTTGCTGCAGCGAAATAGAATAGCAGTATCGCCTCGATCCCCTGATGAAAAAGGTACACGGAGGTCAATCATTTTCATCCTAGATTGAGCAATCTTGCGGTCTGTTTGTTTGCTTGCTTGAAAGAATCTAGATTCTAAGTTCGGATGCTCATGCATCAAATGTTTAGCTCAGTAGAATCTATTGGATTTGAATTGGTTTCTATAGCGTGATTATTCCCCTCATTTGCTTCGGCGTTAGCGTGTGTTCTGAGAAGGTCGAGCATCATGTGGAAGCATACCTGCCATGTGTTTGTGTTATTGTTTGTGTGAGGAGCTTCAGTCGATTGCACTTTTGCTGATTCAGTTTAGGAATAGATGGAACAACTTTAATAAGTCCTGATTTATTGAAATAGCTTACATACTAACATAGAATGCATACAGAACACAAGAACATAAATGTATCTCCTATTCGGAAGATATACTCATGAATAATATATTCTTAGGCTGCCACACTTTTGTCAGAAAGGGGGGTGGAGGAGTAAAAAGAACTTGTGTCTCTTTTCCATGAATACGTCTCTACTTAGGTTCTTAATCGATTTTAGCGGCGTTTGAGATAACTCAGGAATCCAAGCACCAACAGTAGAAGTCTGATCTGGATAATGCCAGCAGACCTTCTGGGCTCATCCTCTCCAGCTCACTTTGCCTCCATGCGGCGAGGTTGTTTCGGTTCTGTGGGTCTGAGGCAAGTGAGTAATCTTCTGCCCCATGTCGCTGGGATCTCATTCGAGTATACAGTCTCATTGTTGCCACACAATCTTCAAATGGGTCCTGGATCCCGGTTTGAATATCATACCTACAAATGGACATGTTAGACCAGCTAAGAACAAGGTTTCATCATAGCAAACAACTTAGGATATGTTAAAGGCATCAATCAAATACTTACCCAAGATAGGCTTGTGTTAGGTACTTAAGTGAGTTGCTGAGCTTGCTTGTCTTCATTAATGGAGGGTACTTTGCTGTATCCCTGTGTAGTTACATCATTCCATCCATTAATTTATTCCAGACAGGATATTTCATGGTCAGCCGATCCCATTTTGTACGAGGGACACTGGTATATAATTCAAGCATCTAGCCTGCTAGGAAAGGTCATGTTTGAATATATAGCTTTATACCTGATCATCACAGCTGGATATTCCACTTGCAGACGGTCAAGGTCGTGGTCCAAGCCATGACCGACAAGAATCCTAGCCCTTCCCCCTCTAGGTTTGACTTTCCACATGGGCTCTCCATTACAAAGGAAATCTTGAATCTTCTTTTGGGCTTGGCGTAGTGGCATTGCGTCCCTCAGGTATTCTGGCCTTATCCCTGTGGTGTCATACCTAGAAAGTTTTTTGCAAGAATCATGATTGTTAGTGCTGCTTTTTGAACACTAGAAAGCTCATAGATGCAGCTTTTGACTAGATATTCACCATATAATAGTTAAGGAAGTCACTAGATGATTTGATCATACCTGTAATTCGTGACTGGAATCAATGGTTTGATATAAGAGTGGAAAAGAATATTCTCATTTTCATCAATGAGGCAAACCCTTCCGCAAAGGTCGAGGGAGCCATCACTTCCTCCTCCAACCATCTTGCAGGCCAGTGCAACTACTTGTGTTCCTCTGGAGTAGCCATTGTCAATATTCAAGCTATCTCGTATGCCCAGGGTAGCCATTCGAGCAAGTAGTCCCTGAGGAAAGAGGCTGTAGCATGAGATATCATCCGGAAAAAACTTCACTAACTATAGAATACGTAATACGAAGAGATGAAATTGAAGAGGGGGATAAACTAATTAAGTTTCATGAAGCTTTTCACATTACCGCATTAACATTAGAGAATTGGCATCTTTCTTGGTGAACCCTGCGGGCATTTGAGCTTTCGAGAATGGTTAAACAATATCTGCATCCTCGGATATTGAAGATGTTCTTGCATTCTTGTTTAGGCAATGGTCCTGGAAAACCCAGCCTAGCATGTAAATACCTCATCGAAGGAAACCATACCATAGAGGGAGCTATAAACCATGTTTAGAGGGTCCTTCCGAAATTTACCGATAAGATGTTCCCTGAGGGACTCAAAGGATCTGCAGTGCTTCCTACAGATCCCGCACTTGGATTCATGCACAGAGTGGAAGGACGTCCTCATGTGATCCACCAGGTGTTCCATTTTGTTGAACTGCCTAAAGCACGCGGCACACTTGTTCCTGCCACTGTTGGAAATACACAAATCAATTAATTGTGAGCTCATGAATTGAAACAACTATGTGATTGTGAATGTGCGTGTGCATGAAGAGCAAAAAAGAGAGATGGGAACCTCGAGTTGTCAGATGACTCATATCTATAATCCATATGTAGGGATTGTTTTGATTGGTGAAGAAGCTGGTCTACTAATGTTTCAATATTACAGACAGATGTTGGCTCGGGAGAGGAGTGAGCTTATGGAAAATAGTCAGGGGAAAGAATGGTATTTATATTGGCAGGGAAGAAAGGTTTCTTCCAAGTTGAACATAGAGATGATTCCTCTTGTGGTCATTATCATGCATGAACTCTTTTGCCTTATTCTCTCTTTTTTGTATCTATATGCTCTTTGATAGCACTGCATTTTGCTGAACTTGGGAGGGGGAGTCTTCTTTCCGTCGAAACATCACTGTTTATTACATCATCACCATACAGTGCCTTTAACATTCGTGGTGATCTCAATCTTCTTTGAGCCCACCAATTGATTCACCACTCAACCAGAATGATCCTCTTCTATATACTGTTTTGACTTTCTTTTTGTTTTCTAGGTAAAGAAAGGTGGAATATGCGGAAGATTAATGAAAGCTATTCAATTTCCACCCAAGTCGATTCCCCGCGCTTTTTACTGCATATCCTCAGAGAAATGGGGGACTGGGAAGGAAAAAAAGCTACCTGCAGCAGAGCAGAGGATATAGATGAAAAGTGGAAGGAATCTAATTACATGGGGCTCTGCTGATAATGGAACGATACATGACAATCATTCTATAGCAGAGAGGGCAGTGTATATCATGTAAGTGATTTTTTACCCTAAACAGCAACCGCTTGCATGATTATCAGTTTTCTTTATGCTTTCTGCACGTTCTTTAATTCTTTCGGTTAATGGTGATGCCATATCCTTGCTTTTTTTCTCATCTCCCTTTGAGTGGGTGGAGGCTGATATTATTGCGGTGCAGTCCTAATATTCTAGATTCTCCTTCTTTCAAACCAAGAACCAGCACTTAAACTTGGCACTTCCATTAGGATTTGCGTAGAGATGGAAGAAGAGAACCCTGATTAAGATACTTTTTGTTGTTGGGTTTGTTTCAGATGATTTAGGAATCTGGGTAGCTGTTGAAACGAAACCTAATTACGGACTGTACTGAAACTTTGCAGAACTTCATGTTTTGAGTTGTATGACCCAACTTGCTGGCTAGGTAGGGTTAAATGTTGATTAAAGTCAACTCAGAGCTAGCTTGGTTTAATTATGGCCTGCATTCCGTTACAAAACCCCTTTCCCGCAAAACCCTGGTTGTATGATCATATCACGACTTGTGTGATACGATGATACAACACGATTATACTTAGTATGATACGATGATACGAGCGGGTTTTGCAGGCCAGTATCTGCTCCCTTTAATTATCTAGTAGATGTATACCAAGATAAGACTTAAAAGGTCGACTATTCAAATGTTTGGTTGTGGTGGTAATATGTTGTAGTGAGCACTCATCCTTATTTATTTCCACGCATGTTGTCGGCATCCCTTGAGTTTTGTTTTCTTTCAAGTTTTTGGCCAATGTTTTTGGAGGTCTGGAACCAACGGCCCATCAACTCGACTAGGGATGGGAAGGGTGAATGCATTTTGGCCTACACAAACAAACACTCTTCAGTTTGTACCTCGTCCCCGCCTTTGTTTCCTGCTCGATCTAACTTGTGCTTTGTGCTTTGATTCTTTAGGAGAGAAAAATGGCAGTGTCAAAGTGGCCATGGGGTTTCAGCTTTTGGGCATTTCTGATCCTTATCCTGCAGAATTTGCAACTGCTCATGATGCTCTTTCCTGCTCCTCGGTGGTGTTTGTAGAAGGAAATTCCATCGAGACGTGGTCGGCCGCAGTCATGTTCCCCGAGATTGTTTTGAAATGGCGTTAGCTTTAGATTCAGGTTTAGAGGGGTCCCTAGCTAGGAATGACAGTTGGATTACCCACAGAATTACACACAAAGCCTTATTTCTGACTAGGATAGACACAAAAAAAAAAAAAAAAAAAATCAACACTCAACTTTTTTTGAAAGTTCAGTTCTTTGTTGTGTCTCATAAGGATGTGGTGTATATCACAAGAGAAGGGAACATTACTTGCATAGTAGAAAATGATCATAACTACAAATATCTGTCACAAAAGTGGTTTAGTGCTCATTGAGGTTAGGACGCTCTAGAGTGATCCATGGTCACTGGATTGTTTCCTGATTCATGATTAGTGATGGCAATGGGGCGGGGCAGGGTGGGGCGGGTCGATCCATTCTTACATATTATTTGAAAAAAAATACATGCAAATTTTACTTTTTGCGATAAAACGAAGAGAAAAACACTTTATGAATGAAAAATAGTGATAATAGAATGTGTAATTAAGTCTAATAAGTTGAAAGATCGACTCTAACTAGTTGAAGAAAAGTCAAAATAGAAGAAATATGTATAGATACTGTAAAAAATTGAGATAAAATGGGTCTAGAACGGGGCGGGTCAGAATTAGATACCCATATCCCGCCACACGCTACTACGGGTCGGGTAATACTCACCCCATCGCAGATCAGGTCGAAATTTCCATCACTATTCATGATTGTCGGATACAAAATCGCTCTACTGTGTATATTAGACTCTGGCACTAACCCCAGTGAATATATAAGCAACAGAGTAAGTACTAGTTAGCAACTGGCTGGTGAGGTAACAACAATAACGAGGAAAATGGCATGCTAGTGGAGCAGCATAAATAATTTTGAATTGGATGGGCTCTTCGCTTTAATCGAACCATATGCTTTTGGTAAAGGAAAAAAAAAAACAAAAGAGGAAACATAGCTGCAGACAAGTAGTGGCTTATCATAAATCTTTCTTTCCCTTGGTCCAGTATGAGTTTTGTAGGCACTGTTTGGAGAATCTCGGAGGATGAGGGAGAGGAAGGCTGACTTTTTTTTCTCCCTCCCTTCATCGTAGAGGAAGGACCTCATTACTTTTTTCTGTATATACGGTGTGGGCCGTTTTGGCTCTAGATTCCCATTCATCCCTTTTCATTCCATGTTGAACGTTTGACTGCCCTTATTGAGAAAAGGGACGTTTTGAGGTCCAGTAGCATCATCCCTGGGCTGGAATAATCCACATTCCACACCAATGAATGAAGGGGATGTTCCTTTTGATACCCATGACATGACTCCTTTCCCTCACACGGTTGCAGGCTTTGGTTCGTTCTCACCAGGGAGGTGGAGGTGTTCAAATAAGAATCTCTATCACATTCAATTTGATTTCAAATAGTAGTGTTATTAAAGATAGAATGCAAATCGATGCATAATTTTACAAAGCTTAGTAACCTTACTATGAAGACCAACATAAACCCATTTGGAAAAAATAAAACACTCTACATTTGTAAATCATCTTTATCTTTATTTAACGGGTTAATATATTTGTATGTTCTGAAATTTTCACAAATTAAACATTCTGGTCAATCTTTTCGATCTATAACTTCTTGGTCTCAACTATTTATCAAAGTTACAAAATTGGCCAAAACCCAGATTTGACCATTATCTTCGACGGTCAAACGCGTTGACTAACGGTCAAAGTGTCATGTCAATGCCAAGTTAGCACAGGTCACTTAAAAATTTTGGTTTTTTCCACCTATTACCTTTTGAACGCTGACAATTTTTAATTTCATTTCCTTTTTTTCAAAATAAAAAAAGAGAAATGTAAATAAGTGGAATAACCAAAAAAATTTAAGTGGTCTATGTTGATTTGGAAGTGAAGTGGCACATTGACCGTTGGTCAACGCGTTTGACTATCCAATATAACGGTCAAATCTCGGGTTTGGCCAATTTCGTAACTTTGATGTATAGTTGAGGCCATAAAATTATAGGTAAAAAAATTGGCCAGAATGTTTGATTGTGAAAATTTCGGACCATACAAATATATTAACTTTACTAACTCAAGTAACTCTTTTGATAGGTGTTGACACGTAACCACAACAAAACAATACAATATTTAACGGTGTTGAATAAGAGGAGAAGAGAATGAAAAGATCTCTTGATTGTCATATAGTTTACGCAGAAGATAGAAATTGGTTCTTAATGTGATTACTGATTAGTGCATGGATGAGCAAGAAATTATTGAGACGGTTTGACTTTGTTGAATTTCACACAATCTAAATCCATAATCCAACCATGCACAATCATTATTTTTTTTCGTTGAATCACAATCATTATTTTCAGTTCTCACCCACCCACAAAATTTATTTAGGATAATTAATACATATGATTACTTGAATTGAGTAGCATAAATGGATGGAGTTTCTGAGTTTCGGGTTGTATTTGATTCGAGGATGTTATAGCGACCAATCATATAGCTAGCTTACTAATTCTAGACTACACGTAACACGTCCAAAATTGTGTCCATGATTGGCCGTGGTCGTCATTTTTCTTTGTTTCTAGTCACAGTGGTGTGTGGTGCATGCTGTTTATAGTGGTTGACTGTCTTTTTGGGCCATGGAAGACCACAGTCTTCGTATTATGGCATTTATTCTTTGGACTGTTGGAGAAGGACTTGTAGGGCTTGTGTGGACAAGAAATTTTGGAAAGGTTTGGATACAATCAAGTTACGTTTGAGTTATATATTTTGTAGTTTGTGCACAATATACGTACGTACCTTGCCAATGGTGGATAAATCCGTAATTTACTCATCTCAATCATTCCGTTCTTACATGTTTTAATTTCTTTCTATCATAAATTGTTGGATTTCAATAATATTATTTTTTGTGAGAACGTTAATCATAGAATCTTATATCATTTTCTTACACGTCTTTCTCAAACGAAAGTCAGCTTACAGGTTGAAGTTTGCACACATTCACCATATCTTGTGGTTGAATCAACTATTGATAGTTGAAGTTGTGAAGATTCGAACAAACTATCACTCGGCCGAACCAGCTCTAGTACCATGTCAAGAACCAATTAGTTATCCCAATGACCATGGTTCAAATCCTTTTAGCTACAAAATTTTATAGCCCCTCATTCACATTTCTGGTATGACTACTGATGGCTTGAGTTTCCATTCATAAGTTCTGGTTATTCGGTTTCGGTATCTTCGTACGATTGTGGTAAACTAGTATAATTACGTAGAGCAATGGTCATCCACGTAATCCCTCCCCGTTCTTCACACGATTCACTGAGATTTGGAGAAAGAATCCAACTATTCATAAGTCAAAGCCGTCGTACACCAATGATGCAAAAAGGAATGAACAAGGAAAAAGATAGAGGAGCGAACCTCAAAGCTTTATCGATAGATATATACAAGAGGAAAAAAGATTGAAAGAATTGATTCAAAATTCATATGCATTTGAGGCCAAAAACGCCGAGACTCCAAATCCTCCTCCACCCCATTTTGCCATATTTACGTAGGAGTTCCACAAGAAATATTTTGTTTGATAAGTGTTGCAATTGTGTCTTCATATAGCACCAGAGCAAGGTTTAATAGAATAACTTTCTACCAAAAGAATTGGACATAGTTATTCATGTAGATGACCAACATTTACTTAGTATATCTTTTCTTTTTCGAATATGTAATTTTTTTTAATGTGAATAAAATCTCATATTCAGTTATTCACATTGATAATCAACATTTACTTATTATTTGGAATTTTTTTTATCAAACAAACCATCAAACCAATCCACCATCCGTCATCACCCTAACCCACTCATAATAATACAAATGACGGGTGTATAATTTTTTCGCCACCCACAAAACTATAAGTATGAGAATTTTTATCCTAATACACACTCAACCCATACATCGCTCATCGATGATTTCCAGGCTCCAGCCGTGGAATTCCTAAAAGAAATCTAATTGATTAACATATCGTGGGTAAAATAACTCAGGTACCACTTAAGTTTGAAAATTGGGGCAGACATACCACTTAACTTTGAATATGGCGTCGGGTACCATTAAAGTCGCCAAAAGATGGATCCGTCTAGTTTTTCATCCAACCCAAAATTTTAATTGCATTTTGGTACCCAAATTTTTTTAAAATATCCAAAACTACATTTCAAAAATTATTATCTAATAGAATAATTAGACAACCTTCTAAACATAGTATTACTAGAATGACTAATGAAGCAAAAACCAACGAGAAATGCCCATAAAGACGTAACAAAATTGGGACACACTATTGGTTTGGGGGTGGGAAATTGGACTGTTTGTCATTGTTCTGTTGTGATGAGACACTGCTGACTCCCAAATACATATAAAAACAACGAATATATATTTTCTGCGTTGCTTTGTTGGGTATGGATTCGCCATCATTGAATTGCTGGAACACCTACCCCTTCTTCTAATCAACCTTAGCTCCCTGCTTTATCATCGCAGATTCTTTCACCTTCGTACTGCTTAGTCTCCCTCTCAATCATTTTCTTTCTTTCTCTTCCTTTTTTTTATAATAATTTCTAAGGATAGGTTACAAAAATTATTTTTCAGGACGAGTCCTACCTTCTTTGAAGATCCAGTGATAAACTAACAGATTGACTACTACAATACAATGGAAACCAAAAGTCACAAAAATTACATTGATTAACTAGGTAGTATGTACACTTGTTATTCTCTCTGTAAATATGAGAAATAATCAGTAATTACATCACAATCGTACTTAACCAGCTACTTGAACATTGTCGTACAGAAATTGATGTGATTTCCAATAAAACCAGCAGTTCGGTACTCATTATTACGAGATCTGGTATAATTTTTATTTATTTATTACTTGCCACTTCAACTAGTCCTCTTCAATTTAGAACATATCACTACACATCCATAGCTATGCTAATTATTGGAAGTTTTGTCTTAATCACTTCCATTTCTTGTCAGCTCAAAGGGCACCACCACTCAACTGTTAGTGTTGTGGTATATGATCCACGATTGAACCTCTCCCAATAACTCGAGTTATTGGGACTAACTGGTTCATGACATGGTATTAGAGCCTTCTGTGATCGAGAGGTCTTGTGTTCGATTCCCGATGACCCCCATTTGTTAAGCACATGGTATTCTTGTCTTCAGACCTGTGCAAACTTCAAGCCCTTGTGAGTGGCTTTCGTTTGAGGGGGCATGTTAGTATTGTGGTATATGATCCACGATTGAACCTCTCCCAACAACTCGAGTTATTGGGATCTAGCAATTGGTTCATCACACCAACTACTATACTCCAAATATCTTAAGCATATCCTCCGGCAATGGATGATAAATAATTAGTAGGTTGAGTTCGGCGTTGAAAAGTTTGTAAAACCCTAATTAAACACATATACCTAACATTAAAACAGGGCCCCGATATATTAAGCCCTAAATTACGTCGACTAACCACCTGCAGGCCCCAAGGACAGGACATATATAAAGGGGTTGCATTTTCCATTGCACCGTCGGAATATATGCTTTTGGTCAAGATCAATTGAGTCATAATTCATCAATAATTAACAATAATACTGTCCTGTTCATTTGTATATGCATATAATAATGCTTATTATCTATTATTGTTATCAGAACCAATACGCATAACTGCATGGAGATATTGTTATTTATTTTAATGAGGAGATTATTGACGTCCAGTCCAATAACAATATTTGTCCTTTGGGTCTAGTCGACCAATTGAGTTTTGTGCTCGTGTGGGTAGCTTTCCTTTCTAGTTGATTTCCTGACCCTACGCGTATTTGTGGTTTGATTTGTCTATAGGGACAAATAAGAAGCCAAGAGTATTATTATTCAAACATTTTGCTAATGAAGTCTCTAGCTCTTTTTTCTTCCTTTTCGTTATATCTCTGCATTAATTTGTACCTATTTGATATCAATATATAAACGCCGCCCATAGCTACGCTGCTAATCACTCTAATATTACTGATTAAGTTATACTTAAGCTCCTCCTCCATCTACTAGAGAGCGGTTTGCCACGTGTACATAGCGCTACCAAAACATCCCGCATGTAGGAATTTTCCTACAACGAAACAGAATGGGCCGTCGTGCTTCTCCATAATGGCCGGACGGCGCCCCATAACTAGTACGAATCTATATTAGCGCCGGCGGCCGCCGTCCCACCATGGACCACAACCGAGGAGGGTGTGGGATGGGAACAATCAAATGTTGAGTAATGTGCAGCCGCAGACAGCTGGCACAGCTGCTGGTGGTCCACGTGGACCCCGCTTATCCGGAAAGTTCAGACGATCCGTAGGAACGGACTCCTAGAAAATGACGAGACAAAATAAAATTTTCGGTCCACGTGTACGGCTGTCATTAAGCCTTCATGCTGTGTACTCTGCTGTCCGCTGTCACGTTTGCCTCTACTCTGTTTCTTTTCAGTTAAAAAGCCGTTAATCGCGCCAAATTTCCCCCCTCGAACGGCTTTCCCTTCTTTCATGAATCCCAATGGACAGGTTAATCGAACCGGAAAACTTTTGTTTCATGTATCATTCCATTCCTTTCTTTTCCATGAAGAGATGGATCGTGTTCCTGCCTCGCTAGCTTCATAACTGTAAGCATAGATTTGGAACTTCACGTTTTGCTAAGCTAGCACTGCTAAGACCCAAGAACTCACGTTTTGCTATTGTATACCATCATAAACTAGCTTTTACTAAGACTAGATCGTTCATTCAGAATTCGAAATGTTTTATAAACCCGTACTTAACCCCACTTGACTTTGGTATTATTATAGTTGAAGTTTTCATCAATTTATGTATCTAGATATATGAAGATACATACCCGGGGAGACGAGGAGAGAGAGAAAGAAAGAGACGAAGGAAGGAAGGAAGTTGGAGAGAAGTCGCCTTCCTTCCTCTCATAGTCTCATTGCTTCAATACTCCATCTCTATGCAACCCCACAACTTCTTCATCCAATACATCCATTACATACACTGATACATCATAAATATATTCCCATTTTATAATCTGCCCAAACCTATCTGTATAAAATCCTTCCAAGAACAACTTTCTTTTCTTGTATTAACTTAATGCCACTTTCCTTCATCTTCCTTCCATGTGTTCTGTTAGCTTATATATATGTAACTCCAAACCTCAACAACAACACCCCCACAACACACGCACACTTGCCCATTCACCCACCTCCATCTTCGTCCCCCCTCTCCTCATATACCTTCTGTACATACATGTAACAATTTCACACCAGAATCACAACAAGGAGATTCATACATCTAAGAAAACCAGAAAGGGGGAAGAAAAGGTATGAGTTGCTTGTTTTTGAACTGCAATTCTGTTCTGGGTTCTGCTTTACTTGTCATTTTCTCTGCATACCTTACTGAATTGTGTCTCAATTCATAAACCCATTTGATAATTTCTGCTGATGTTTCAGAAAGTTCGAAACTTTGACAGAAATGCCAGGGCTAGCCATCATGGGTGGTTCAGAAGAAGTACCAAATGGTGGCCACAGCAGCAACAACAACAACAATGGCGACTTCTCTCCAAACAAGTCAATTCTCGGCTTCAGCCAGCAGCAGAAGTCGCCAAGGAGCACGTTGAGCCAACGCAGCAGCGACTCTATTGACCTAGCCATGGACGGGGTGATCGACACTTCAATAGAGCAGCTGTATCACAATGTCTGCGAGATGCAGTGCTCTGACCCTTCCCCTTCAAGAGGGAGCTTCTTGTCCTATGGCGAAGAATCGAGGATCGATTCAGAACTCTGCCACCTCATCGGGATTCCAAACATGAAGGAGATCACAAAAGAGGTTTTTGTTGTGGCAGAGAACAACACAGAAGAAGAACAAGAACAAGAAGAGATCATCAGAGAAGTCAACAGCGCGGCCATTGACCAGAATGCCAATTCAGGGAAGGAGAGAAGAGTCTATAATCAGCAAACAGAATCTTCTAGGAAGAAGAGAGCTTCCCCTAGAAGGCCTCTTCCAAATGGAACTAGTCCTTTTCGCAGCCCAAGGAGACTTGCTTCATCTGTTGCTGAAACTGTTGCAGCTAATAATGGGCCTTTGTTGCTCAAACAAGCAAGAGACATGATTTCCTCAGGCGAGAACCCGAGGCGGGCTCTCGTGTATGCCCTGAAAGCAGCAAAGGCATTCGAACCATCATCAAACGAGACACCAAATTTGGAACATGTCATGTCGCTCCACGTTCTAGCAGCCATCCACTGCAGCTTGGGGAACTACAACGAGGCAATCCCGGTTCTAGAGAAGTCAATCCAAATCCCGGCCATCTATTTGGGCCTGGACCACGCTCTGGCCAAGTTCGCCGGCTGCATGCAGTTGGGTGACACCTACGCAATGCTGGGCCAGGTAGAGAACTCGATCCTCTGCTACACTGCTGGATTGGAGATTCAGAAGCAATCCTTGGGGGACAAGGATCCACGTGTCGGTGAGACGTGTAGGTATCTCGCCGAGGCTCACGTTCAAGCATTGCAGTTCGATGAGGCTGCCAACGTATGCCAGATGGCGCTCGACATTCACAGAGGGCCAGAGGAGGAAGCAGCGGATAGGAAGTTGATGGGGCTGATCTGCGAGGCGAGGGGAGATTATGAATCTGCCCTCGAGCATTATGTTTTAGCAAGCATGTCTATGGCTGCGAATGGACGGGAAGTGGAAGTAGCTTCAGTGGATTGCAGCATTGGTGACGCGTACTTGTCGCTGTCGCGCTACGACGAGGCTGTGTTCGCATATCAGAAGGCGCTCGCCACGTTCAAATCGAAGAAAGGAGAGAGCAGCACCTCAGTGGCATCCGTTCTGGTGAAGCTGGGTAACTTGTACAACAAGATAGGTAAGTTTAAGGAGTCGAAGACTCAATGTCAGAATGCTCTCAAGATTTACGAGAGTAGGCCTAACTCCCATCAAGTGGAGGAGGTGGCGAGTGGTTTCATCGACATTGCAGCCATTTACCAGTCGATGGACGAGCTTGATCAGGCAATTAGGCTGCTCAGAAAGGCACTGAAGGTGTATGGAGATGATGTGCCGGGACAGCAGAGTACTGTGGCTGGGATCGAAGCTCAGATTGGTGTTATGCATTACATGATGGGGGAGTTCTCTGAGTCGTATAACTCGTTCAAAAGCGCCGTTTCGAAGATGAGGGCAAGCGGGGAGAAGAAGTCTGCCATGTTTGGGATTGCTTTGAACCAGATGGGGTTGGCTTGCGTACAACGTTATGCGATCAACGAGGCAGCTGAGCTGTTCGAGGAGGCGAGGGGAGTTTTGGAGAAGGAGTATGGTGCTTATCATGCTGACACTTTGGCTGTCTACAGCAATCTGGCTGGAACTTATGATGCTATGGGAAGGTGAGTGTCTTTATGATTTAAATAGCGGTTCTAACAACATTCAATACAAAAGCATTCTAAAGTTTTCAGATTTTGATTCACAGGTTGGATGATGCAATTGAGATTCTAGACCAAGTTGTTAGAATGAGGGAGCAGAAGCTTGGAACAGCTAATCCAGAAGTGGTGGACGAGAAGCGACGGCTGGCTGAGCTGCTGAAGGAAGCAGGAAGGGCAAGGAATAGGAAGTCAATAGCTCTGTTAAGCTTCCTTGACACTGAAGTTCAGAGTAAGAAGAATGAAGGCATTGAGGTAGCTTAAAAGAAAAATGTATGGAGAAATGTGTATATATGTATACAAATACAAAATGGTTCCTGTTATGTGTAACATATTTTCTTTGTAAAGAGAGAGAAAGAGGCTAATTGGTAATTACAGACTTGGTTCTAGTGCTGTTTGGTGGTGTGCTGATTTTTGGCCCATTGGTTAATTTTAATTCTTTTGTTGAATAAAGGATGAAGCATTTATTAATGTTGGGAGATCATTTTCAGTTTGATGGTGAACACCAAACTGCAGCCATTACAGCTGAATTTTAGTTGATACTTGAAGCTTTCTTTTAGTCTATAACAAAACTGTTCTGAATGCAACTTAGGATCTGAATTTTGTACTTCCCAATGCACTGCGGTTTTGCTTGGAAGGATAGGTAAGAGGCCTGAACTAGAAAATACAATCTTCTTGGGGTTCACAAAAGAAGAAAAAAAGTAAAATACCAGGTACCGAAAAGTAAGACATTGAAACTTGTGGTACCTGAATTTGCAAGGTTCCTATACTTGTTGCCTTGTAATCCAAGTCACGGAGCAGTAAGTTGAAGAGTCAAAAGTTATCACTTTGGTTTTCACTTAGCTTTCTGAGGAGTCCAAATCAAGTAAGGATTCCCTGAAAATCTGGGTTGCTATTTTGATTAGTTTCTTGGTCCCTTTTCCCCAGATCCAAAGCAAAAAGTAAAAACCATATATAAAAGAAAAAAGAGGATGCCCAGCTCCTGAAGCAAAGAGTTTAAGCTCTGCTGAATTATGTACAATGAGGTCAACGTTTCACCACCAGCAATGAAACGTCACAATACAGTTAGCTACTAGATAAATTTGAAGAAAGTATAACATAGAAATGGGCTGGAGCCAGGAAGCCTGGAACAGAAGAACCAATAAGCTTTAAACTTTCATTCATCTCTCCAATTGCATGTTGTATACATGGTAAGGTTACTTTGAACCGAAAAGAAGGCCAAGCCCCTCCTTAATGGACTGAATCCTCCTAACTAAAGAAAAGACTATAACTAATTCCGATTAAGGAGTTGTTTACCTTGTGGAAGTTGGCTCCACTTCACCAAACCAAGTAGTTCTCTGGATAGGTTGGCTAGCTATTTGGAAGTGGCTTTAGTAGTGGCTGACGATGATGACGACGATGTTGCAGAGGAAGATGATGCAGCAGTAGCAGAGTCTTGTGTTTGAGCGAGCTTGCGAAGCCTTTCCTGAAGACCCCGAACTCTGTCCTCGGTCTGCCGGAGCTTCCTCCATCTGTAGGTGAGATAGAGGCCAAACCCACCGTACACAACAATGTAGGAACCCCACACATAAGGGTAAGATTCTGCATGCTCTTTTAGCTTTCGATACTGATCCAACACTCTCCCTTGAAAACCACCAGAGGAAGTGCCATTTGTCACCACGGCCTGAGCCTGCTGCTCATCATCAACTCCTTTCTGTTCAGTAGCCATCTCGTTCCCTCTAATAGCCTGCTTCAACTTCTCTTTCTAGGGAAGGAAACAAAGGAATGGGGAATTCCCTTTTAGTTAGTACCTTAGTCACACCTCAAACTCAAACAAGGGATGTTTTCTATAGCTTAACACAATGTTTTAGTTCATCCAGGAGCAATTCTATGGAGAAAGGAAATTAAAGATCGAGTCTTTTTTGGGTTGTAACTTCAGACCAGCAGAGCTTCTTCTGCTTTAAGAATGAAGTTAAAGAAAGAGTGGTAGACCCTAGAACGAGTGTTCTGCCTTTCTATTGGACTTCCATCACAACAATTACAAGAAAGCAAGCCATTACTAGAACTTCAAAAAAGCCCCAATTGAACTCCAAACCAAAACCCCCAATCCTACCAGCTGTTGATGTACTGAAGTCGGATCATGTATATGTAAGTTCAAGCAACTAACCAGATCACGTTTTCCTCAGTCAAATCTTAAAAAGAAAACCTAGAAGAGGAAAAGGGCGTTACTTGATTGTTGAATCAGGCGGAGGCGGCGAGGCTGCGTCGATCTTCAGCCTTCGTTCAGTCGCTGCTGCTACGGCAGCGGTGGAGATTGTGGAGAGCTGCGGCAGACGGGGAAGAGAAGCCGAGAGCAAGTGACGAGATCTTCGGCCTTCGTTCAGTCGCTGCTGCTACGGCGGCGGAGATTGTGGAGAGCTACGGCGGACGGGGAAGAGCCAGGGGCCGAGAGCGAGTGACGAGTTGAAAGTGGGATTTGGATCCTTGGAGAAGGGGAAATGGTTGGGCCTGTCTCTGTTGGGCTCCTGGGCCCATTTTGTGGAATCTGAAATTCAAGCTCTCCAGTCTCCACCAGTAATATCCATGGCTAAAGGGATAAGGTGATTAATCATTCATCGTCGGCGGCGACTAGAGGTAACAGAGAAGTGACGGAGGAGATGGAGAACATAACGGCGAGCGAAGTGGCCGGACTTGGGGTCGGAGCATTCCTTGTACTCGCCACCGTCGCTGCTCCGAAAATCGATTCCCTCATCTCTTCTTCTCAGAGAAGGTTTGTGAAAGACCCCAAACTCCCTCACTCTTCTATTCTATCCAAAGGTCGCCTCTTTTACCCTGCATTGTTTCATATGCAAGCTTCTATTGAAGTCATTCCAGACATTTCCCAACTTCCTCTGCTTACTCGTCCAGTCTTCCTAGAGCAACTGGTTGTCTTGTCTGGTTTGCGGAATGACAATCCATATAATGTGTACAATTCTTAGGGATAGTTTATTTCTTGGAATGTGAAAGAAGTGAATTTCAGATATTCCATTGGTTGGTTTCAAATTTTGTACGATGTGTTGAGACATTTTAGAGAAACCTTCACTTTTATTTCACTTGAAATTAGCACATCAACAATAGAATGTTCGATCTTTCCACATTTCATGACTGCATTCCATCATCCAAACCAATTGTCAATAGGAGATATCAGTCAAGGGTAGGATTCCAGCTGTTAATCTACAATGAGCATAGTATTTGGACTCGTGACTGAACTAGGACCTTAGTCCATTATGATTCGGATCAATCTTATTCAAGTCACAGACAATATATAACCCAAAAGTAGAAATGAAGCTATAGTCAGTCAGTCTCCTTAGTAACCACTTCATTTCGGCTGCTTTGCAAAATCAGATGATTCACAAAGATGTGCAATGCAGAAGCTGTGTTTCATGGTGCCTAGCAAATCGGTGAACTTTTGTACTGATCTCTGCCTTTTGCAGTTCTCTGGGGATGTGCAGGAAATGTGGGGACTTAAAGATGGTAGCATGCTCAACCTGCAAAGGAACTGGATTAGCCAAAGCAGGTGGCGCGCCATTTACTTTCTTGGATGACTTGTATCAGTCTGTTGGTGGGGAGACAGAAGTGAACCGGGTGAAATGTAGTAAATGCAGAGCCAAGGGCCACTTCCACTGCCCTAACTGCTCCTAAGGCCAGTCTCTGTAAAATTGTTGGTTACACTTGCCAAGCTTTCACCTTTACACGTTACATATTATTACCATATGAATTCTTTCATCCTCCCTGTGTAATGTTGAACCCGGGGTAAAGCCGGATGTGGATGCAAGTTGGTTGGAAGTAGTCTTTGCTTGTACAGACTAGTGGTAAAATTTCTGCAGCCTTTATATGCAACTTTATGGTGAACCTTACAAGTTTGGTGTAGTCTTGAACTTTCTTTGTCAATGGAAATTGAGACAACCCATCTTTGGCCACATCTTAGACGTGTGGGGGACTGGGAATAAAGAAAGAAACAGTTGGAAGTTGAGCAAAAGAGAGGAAGTTAAGTGCAGAAATGGTGCAAGCTGTATTTCTCATGCATGATGCATGTTTATCTGAGTTTTCGTTGTTGTAGTTGGCAGGAGAAATTATTGCCCAAGTTTGAGTAGTCTGAAATTTTATCAAATAAGTGGAGGTAGTGGTGCTTTGCATTAAGTATGTTACGTTGTGGATATAGCTGTGTTGAGACTTGAGACCCTTTATAAACCGTACTTTTTACAGAAATTTTTTCGTTAATCGGTGTTGGCATCGACTACTCCTATGGAATGCAGGAAGTGCAGGTGTAGTGCCCTGCATCAGAACTGAGCATACTCCTCCTTCATTGCTCTAGGCTGCTCCTTCCTCCAGGTAAAGCGTATATTGACAAATGACAATTGATCTGATACCATCCTTTCTGAATATGGATTGGCTTACTTCCTTTCTTTCTTTCTGAAGAAGAAGAAGAAGAACCACAGCTACTCCAAGAGGGAAAGCGGGGACTACCTAGATTAACTGATTGATTGGTCTAGAGAAAGGGCAACTAGAATGCTGCTTACCACTTACCAGTCTAGGAATACAAATAATTGACAAAAATGGCGAAACAAAAACATAAAATGGTCTTGGGGAGGGCCACAAGAAATAAATTGGTATGGGTCGTCGTTAGATGAATTTCACATCGACAAAGTACGAGAAAGATTTATGGTTCATAAATAAGAAATAGGTCTTAACTGACAAGACCCGTTTTGGGATGAAAATGAAAAGTTTTTATAACTTCGAAAGTAAATGTGCTCCCTATGGAGCACTGCAAGAATGAGTGACGTTATGGGAAGTCATCTTGTTATGCACCACAAGGCAAAATCTGTGAGGGTTTAGCCTCAGAGCTAACTATATCTTGTGGAAAATAGTTCGAGATGTTATGGAAAAAAGGAGTAAATGCATAAAAAATAGAAAAAGAGTCATAAACTTACATGGATGAGTGTTTTTTTTTCATCAAACTATTTTAACACATGCTACAATGGACTTGCATAAACACCAATAACATTTTGCAAAATCATTACTTAAATGAAGGTATAAACACTTAAGATACTGAGGAACCAAAACAATAACAACTTTTCTATTCCACATTCTCAAATCTCACCACATGCTACAATAGATTTGCATGAACACTTTTCTAAAAATGCTTTTACAACTTAGAAATGGAATAAAAGCCCTCGTGTGTGTCATACTCATTTCCATCATTCCTAGCCTTTCTGCATTAATGGGGGCAATCATCAAATCCCATCATTCCTCCATAAAGCCATGTATTAGAGTAAACAATTTCACATTCTCTTTATTACAATTTGGTCACTTTTATGAACCTTGTTCAAGGATTGAAGGACACAACCATATATGTTTTCCTACATATATTTACAACAATAAGAAGGGTTTTTGGTTTGCATGTAATTAAACTCGAAGTAACTCATGAAATTAAATATTTGATTAGATCCATTTACCTTGAATAATCTATTTAATATGATCTAATTTGGTGGACCACATTGTTGTCTACCCTTAAAAAAGAAAGGGTGTCAAACTGTCAACAATTTGGCCTCGTCCATAACCGAATTGAACCAGGTCCAAAAGTAAAGGAAATTAGGTGCAAGTGCAACATCAAATAAAAATATCTTTATCCCCTTTTATACTTGAATATTTCATTAATCAGGATCGGACAATATCATATTTACTCTTATTTAGTTCATGAAAGTGAGTAGCAAAATGCATAATATGTGTTCCGATCCAAATAACGATTTGATCAGATTTAATTGGGACATGATCACATGGAATAGGAGTTGCAAAATTCTAGAATACAGAAGGAAGGGGCGAGGAACAAAGATCTGTTGAAATAAGTAATTAATTAAAATCTCATCCACACACGCCATCAACTCACGAGTCATACCTGACGAGTCGTTCTTTTATAATTACGTGAAAAAAACAACTTTCATCATCTTATCTTATCGTAACTCGGCGGCTACTCCAACTCAGTACCGACTGCTAAGTGCCAACAGTGAAGCTGAGCCAAGCGGAGCTCCCTCTCCATCACCCAGGTGCTCTTCACATTTCTCTTCCTTCCTTCCTTCCTTCTGCATTTAATCTCCCTGCTGTGAACTGCAGTTTCCGTTTTCCCCCAATCCTGTTTCACACTCTCTCGCTGACAGTGACACCTTTCCTTTCTTGTATTTGTATTTCCTGCAATGCCGATCGGAATTTGGATTCTGTAGATTTCGATTCTTCCGCCGGTTGAGGTTTTCGTTGCAGCCGGCGAATCCTTTGAGGGAGTGAGAGAGAAGGGGAATAATCAAGTGGAAGCAGAATGTGGAAGCTGAAGATAGCCGATGGAGGGAGTAATCCGTGGCTGAGGACTACGAACGATCATGTAGGAAGGCAAGTCTGGGAGTTCGATCCGAAGCTCGGATCTCCCGAGGAGCTCGCCGAGATTGAGCAAGTTCGTCAAGATTTCTACAAGAATCGGTTCCACAAGAAGCACAGCTCCGATCTCCTCATGCGCAAACAGGTGCTGCACAACAGTAGCTCTAGTAGTTTTTTTGAATTTGCTTTGTTTCTGCCGCCATTTCCTTTTCTTCTGCGGTGTTTTGAATGGTCACTCAGATGTCAAATAGTTGATGTTACTTTGCTTTGGCAGTTTGCAAAGGAGAATCCGCTGGTTAATGTGTTGCCTCAAGTGACGGTGAAAGAGAAAGAAGATGTTACAGAGGAGGCAGTGACCATAACTTTAAGAAGGGCTTTGGATAATTACTCGACGATCCAGGCTCATGATGGACACTGGCCAGGGGATTATGGAGGGCCTATGTTTCTCATGCCCGGTTTGGTAGGCTGCTTCTTCTGCTATGTTTAATTCGAAATACTGTCTGAGTAAACTAGCTTTGTGATATCAGGAACTGATTCTTTTTCTGCTGCTTATGCAATGGATCAGGTAATTACTCTGTCCGTGACAGGGGCATTGAATGCAGTTTTGTCAGAAGAACACAAGCGGGAGATGCGCCGGTACCTCTATAACCATCAGGTGTGTGAGATTTATGATGAGCATATTGTAATTTGCAGTTTATATGCCCCTTCCAGATCTTCTCAGTTCTTAGGACTACGAGATTTTAAATGTTGCAGAATGAAGATGGTGGGTGGGGCTTACATATCGAGGGACCTAGCACCATGTTTGGAAGCGTTCTCACTTATGTAACGTTGCGCTTGCTTGGTGAGGGAGCTAATGATGGAGAAGGAGCGATGGAGAAAGGGCGTGACTGGATCTTGAACCATGGTGGAGCTACTGCGATAACCTCGTGGGGGAAAATGTGGCTTTCAGTTCTGTAACTAACTTGAGCTTGTTCATTTTGTTTGTGGTGTTTAGTTATTACTTGATGGAATATTATGTGTTGCTGTTTGATTGAACAGGTACTTGGAGTCTTTGACTGGTCTGGCAATAATCCCCTGCCCCCTGAGATATGGCTCCTTCCTTATATTCTCCCAATCCATCCAGGTTAGCTACTTTTTTGTCTTTATGATGGTTGAGTACCTGAGTTAGAATGTGCATTATTTCTACTGGGAAGTTTTAAGCCCATTGTTCTACACTATGATAGTTGAGATTGACTTGCGATTCTCATCTCGGAGGAACCTGTGTTACAATGGATATGTGACATGCTTTTTTGAGTTCCATTCATTTTTTTGCCATAACTTAAAGGCATAATACTTCATGTAGCTTTCTGTCACATATTAAATCAAACACCATTTCCCTCGTTGTGCAGGAAGGATGTGGTGTCATTGCCGGATGGTCTATTTGCCTATGTCCTATTTGTATGGGAAAAGGTTTGTTGGTCCCATCACCCCAACAGTTTTATCATTGAGAAAGGAACTTTTCAATGTACCGTTCCATGAAGTTGACTGGAATCTTGCCCGGAATGAATGTGCAAAGGTCAGTAAATCTTGAATGCTTCACTCTTGATTGGAGGAATTTTGTAGTGAGGAAAACTTCTTAACTGTTCTGTTGATCATTGTAGTCATTTGTATGAGCATATTTGAATAGATGACGCAATTTTTTTTTTTTTTTGAATTGCAAGTGCTTATTGCTTCAATTGTGGTGGCAGGAAGATCTCTACTACCCACACCCTCTCATTCAAGATATGCTCTGGGGGTTCCTTCACAAGTTCGTTGAACCTATTCTGATGACCTGGCCTGGAAAGAAGTTGAGAGAAAAGGCACTTCAGACTACAATGGAGCACATACACTATGAAGATGAAAATACCCGTTACATTTGCATAGGACCTGTAAATAAGGTGTGCATCTTGAATTATCAGTTTCATTAAAAATAGTCATGTCTACTTAAATGGCAACTATGCAGAATGTATTGGCAGATGCTGTATTTTATCCTTCATTTGGTTTCTTTCCTTGTGAGGTTTATGATATGAGTTGCAGTTTGATTTTGTACTTCCTTTTGATTTGTAACTAACTAGGCAATTATTGATTGGATATATGAGTTCCACAGTAGGGTGGTCAATTGCATGGTTGTATCTTCAATTCTTCCATTTGACTTTGAGCCCTTCAATGTACAGGTATTAAATATGCTCTGTTGTTGGGTGGAGGATCCAAACTCGGAAGCTTTTAAGCTGCATCTTCCAAGAATACCTGATTACCTTTGGGTTGCTGAAGATGGAATGAAAATGCAGGTCCAGCACTTGACTATTTATCTCAACTTTCTTTTCCCAAAACTTGCTATATTGATATTTGATAGTCCCTAGTTATTTTGGTAACTTTTGGGATCTCAGAAACCATAGTTATGGTTACCTGCTTCTAAATTGTTTGATGATCGACGTGATATATGATATATCACAGGGGTATAATGGAAGTCAGGCATGGGATACTTCATTTGCTGTTCAAGCAATTCTATCAACCAATCTTATTGAAGAGTATAGTTCATCACTTAAAAAAGCACACACATATGTGAAAAACTCACAGGTATTCCCTTGCCATCTGAAGTCGAAAAAATTCCTTTTATTTGCAGAGATTGGGAATTTGTTTTTACATAATTGTCAGATAAATGTTAGAGCTTATGATATTGAATTGTAACCTTATTCACGATATCTATGCATACAAGGTTTTGGACGATTGCCCTGGTGACCTTGATTATTGGTACAGACACATTTCTAAAGGTGCATGGCCTTTCTCAACTGCTGACCATGGATGGCCTATCTCAGACTGCACAGCAGAGGGATTAAAAGTAACGTCAAATGAATTTGAAGTTGTTTCTGTTTTCTTGCGTTGATTGCCTTAACTAATACAGCTGCCCTATCTAGGCTGCTCTTTTACTATCACAAATGCCATCAGAGCTTGTTGGGGAACCATTGAAAGCTCAGAGATTTTATGATGCTGCAAATGTGATTTTGTCATTACAGGTACCTTTTAATTTAAGCTCATAATAAATTGTGATCTGTGTGTTAAAATATGCAGAGTTTCTTGAAACATTGATTGGTGGTTCAAGAACTAATAAAACCAAAATGTATAGCTTACTCTTTGTGTTTCCACTCATTAATGTATGTAATCTTATTGTTGCTTCATCCTTGTTAGAATGCTGATGGTAGCTTCGCTACGTATGAGCTCACAAGATCCTATAGTTGGTTGGAGGTAGGTAGTCTCTTTGGCTTGCACAAATATTATACCTTAACATCTTCCACTTCTAGTAGACATTTAGCAGCTCATGTTAGACTTTAATTCCCAGCTTTTCATGGTCATCTTTGTTTCCGATTTTGACTTTGTTCCTCTTGCTCATTGTTAGTTGATCAACCCAGCTGAAACATTTGGTGACATCGTTATTGATTACCCGTAAGTTACCTTTTAAAGATTATCGGTGCCATCTTTTCTATATTGTTATTCTTAAAACTCTGGTGCTAGCTGTAACGTCTCTTTAGTTATGTTGAATGTACTTCAGCTGCGATTCAAGCCTTAGTACCATTCAAGAAACTTTATCCTGGACATCGGATAGCAGAAGTGGATGGTTGTATCAAGAAGGCTGTTGCATTCATTGAATCCATTCAGGCTACAGATGGCTCATGGTATGTGAACTTGTCCCAGAAAAGTTTCTATTACAATACCTATATTTGAGAGCATTGAGGTGCTTATTCTGAAAACCTGAAGTTGTTTAAAAGGTATGGTTCCTGGGCCGTTTGCTTTACGTATGCTACATGGTTTGGCATAAAAGGATTGGTTGCTGCTGGAAAGAACTTCGACAATAGCTCTTGCATCCGGAAAGCATGTAACTTTCTGTTGTCCAAGCAGTGTCCTTCTGGTGGCTGGGGAGAGAGCTACCTTTCATGTGTAAACAAGGTTGGTTGTATTTTCTACTCGCTTTTACTGTTAGCTTACAGTTTTAACAAAAGTTGACAGAACTTACAACGATGTAACCTGGAGCATTTAGTGATTGACTGTTTCTTTGAAAGATTTGTAAAACATTGTCCTTGATCTCTTTATATACAGGTATATAGTAATCTTGAAGGTGACAGGGGCCACGTGGTAAATACCGGATGGGCGATGTTGGCTCTGATTGCTGCTGGCCAGGTAGGCGCACACAAGTTTCAGTTCATTAAGATGAACTTATGCCAACTCGATGCGCTGTTTATTTCTTTCCAAGTTGCCAAATTCCCTTTTTTCATTTTTTGTTTGGTTGAGCAGGCTGAGAGAGACCCAGCGCCACTGCACCGTGCAGCCAGATTCTTGATAAATTCCCAAATGGAGAATGGAGATTTCCCGCAGGAGGTAATGTTGTCACATTCTCAACTTTGCTAAGGTTGACTTTGGACAACACATATTTCATAGTCCTAATCATACCGCGGTGCCTGGAAAATGCAGGAAATCATGGGAGTTTTCAATAGGAACTGTATGATTAGCTACTCAGCTTACAGAGACATTTTCCCGATTTGGGCGTTGGGAGAATACAGGACCCGAGTCCTTCATGCGTTGTAAGATTGATCGTTGTCTTCCAACAAATCGAAATACCATTTCCAACAACTGCTGGTTTCTTGGTCCAGAGTGTTGGCCATGATCGACTTGCACTTTAATGCTGCGCCTTATCCTCCTTGATGGATTTGCAGTGTGTTAACGGGCATCAATCATTTCCATTTTCCAGTAGTCTTCTTCAGAAAGAAAAACAAACAAAACGTGGTTTGCTGTAGTTCAGCATTTACTCTTTGGTTCGTGTTACCAGAACAATGTCTTGGTTTCTGAGAGGTTCAAAGTGTAGTGTTAATGGATTAGTCTAATTCTCACTTTAGCATTACTTTCTACTGATAACTAACTTGCCTGTGCAGACTCTTGTTACAGAGTGATTTTGTTGTGCGTCTTAAACTTACACTAGTTTGAAATTTGTTAATGTGAATGTCATCTTTTCAAATGGGTGCACCAATCAGTAACAATCGAGTCATAAGGAAATGATACAAGATATACTTTTGGAACTTATTTAAGTTATTGAGATTCGGATCAACTAATTCTTGACACAATATCAGAGCCTTTAATCGAAATCCCTCGACCCTCGTGTTCCATCCGAGTGGCCCCAAAGAGTGCAACAAGTGCTACAGTGCCAACTCGAACATGGAAAATTTGCCAATATATCGGTTTTGGTACAATATTGTTGATGTCTTTTTATGCTAATAGTCGATTATTTCAGCGACGGCCTTTCAGTACCAATGCCGAATTTATAAATCATTTGCAGCAGGGGTTGTAGAATGCTGCGGTAGCTTCGCTACATAAGGTCCTATAGTTGGATGGAGGTAGTCTCTTTGGCTTGCAAATACTGTACTGGTAGCTTATGAACATCTACCAAGCAGTGTTCTTCGGGTGGTTGGGGAGAGAGCTACCTCTCATGTGTAAACAAGGTTAGTTGCGTTTTGTACTCGGCTGTGCTATTGCTTGCATTTAGACCTCACTGACAGATCATATAACCTGGAGCAGTTCGACGATTGACTTGTTCTGTAAGGATTTGTATACCATTGTCCTTGATCTCTTCATATACCAGGTATATAGCAATCTTGAAGGTGACAGAGGCCACGTTGTAAATACTGGATGGGCGATGTTGGCTCTCATCAGTTCACTGCTGGCCAGGTAGATGCAGACACCAGTTTCACTTACCTTCGGATAAAACTTAGGCAAACCTTGATGTGATGTTCTTTACTTTCCTTTGTGTTGCTGGATTGTGAAGTTATGCATGTTGGCATCTGAACTCTTATTGCATTGCTTTTCCCCTGCGCTATTTTTTTGGTTTGTTTTAGCAGGCTGAGAGAGACTCAACACCGTTGCACCGTGCAGCCAGATTCTTGATAAATTCTCAAATGGAGAACGGAGATTTTCTGCAGGAGGTAACACTGTTGTTTCATCCTTAACTTTCATATGATGGTTGGTCGCGTGCTCTACTTGGTAGGGCTGTAACTGTGGCCCTTACTACCCGTCAGCCCAGCCCGGCCCAGCCCAACCCTATGGGTCGGGTAGGGTCAATCAGTCTTTAGGGCCAAAATAGGGTCGGGTCACATTCTGACCCTAGAGGGTAGGGTATTTTTGGGTTTTACCCTTAAAACCCATTCAGACCCATTTTTGACCCATTTTAACCCTAAAATCCATTTCAGCCCCATCTCTTCTTTCCGCTAACATCTCCTGATCGCATAATCGAGCCAACACCTCCGCCGTATCTCCTTCATCCTCTGCGCCGATCCGGCACTCAGGTTCGCCCTCCGCCGCCGCCCTCTCCTGCCCCCCCGCCGCAGCAGGCAGCAGCTTCCCTTCCTCGTTCTCGCACCCCGTCGTCTCCCCGGCGCGGTTGAAATCGCACGACGTGTCGTCGAAGGAGAAGCGCCTGGAGGAGTAGCAGAAGCTCTCCGTTTCGTCGACGACGCCGTCTTCTCCTTCCTCCTCCTCCTTCTCGTCTCAGGGGCGACCACGGCGCTGGGTTTTTTCACATCCGCTGGAGATTGATGGGTGTGGAGGGAAAATAGACCCAACCCAGCTCTGAATCGGATCCCAGCTTCTCTGCTCCCCAAACCCAGGTTCGACTCACTTTTCGTATCTTAGTGTGTAATTAGTGTGTAATTAGCATTGGAGCCCAGAAACAACGCTGCTCCTCGCCTTAACCCACGCCAGCTCCTTCAATTCTAGCCTGTAAACCTCCACATGATCCACCGTCTCCATAGATCTAGTCGAACACAGAAAAACCAGCACTACTTTCCCTTCTGATTCCACCAAACACTCCCTGAACCCCGGCGTAGCGGCCACATCTGAATCAGGAACCACTCTCTCCTTGCCCAATTTCGTAATCCGCTGATCGAAGTTCACATCTTCTTCTACAACAGCGAGCGTGCCTTCCACACTCAAAGCATAGAATCTGTCCTGAAACCAGATCCCATTGCCGAATCGCATCCAACTTAGGGATGGCAGTTCAACACGGACCCGCGGGTACCCGACCCGACCCAACCCGGTCAAACCGGGTAAAACCCATGTTGACTGGGTTCGGGCCGGGTTCGGGTTTAAACCCGGTGACTGTTTGGGTGGGTTGGGGCGGGTTCGGGTTTGAGGGAACCCGACCCGTGGATACCCGGACATATGGAGAAGAGAGGGGATTAAACCTAAACCTAAATCCCTAATCGACCAAGAGTACTCGGCAGCCCCTCTCCTTTCTCCCAAAGACTTCTGCCGCCCCTCTCCTTTCGCAAATCGCGATCTCCAGTCATCCCTACCAGAACCAGAGTCCAGTCTCCAGTCCGGCACGGCGAACTCTCCTACGCGGCCGCCGCGCCTACGACTCCACTCCCGATTCCGTCCCGGCGAACTCTCCTTTCTCCTCTGCTACGCGGCCGCGCCTCCGACTCCTCTCCCGATTTCAGACTTCAGTCACGACGCCCTCTCCCTGCTCCTCGGCGCGCGCCTCCAACTCCACTCCCGCCGCCCTCCCCCGCCGGCCTCCCCCGCCGGCCTCTCCTTGGTCTTCTGCTCCGCGAGAGCACTTCTGCAAAGGTAAGCATACAGGCTTCATTCCCCTCGAACGACCCTCTACCTTATTGTTCTTAGCCAACGTTGACTGCCAGGGGTCAACAACCACAAGCCTAGAACCTTGTCGTCCCTCTATTCCCTTCGATTAGCCCGCTGCCCTGTTGCTTTACATCGTCGTCAACCATAAGCACCTAGTAGCCACAAACCCAGAACCTTCTCATTGTCGTCCACTTACCCTTTACCTAGCCCTCTACCATGCTGCTCTTTGTCGTTGTTGACTGCTAGTGCCAAGTGGCCACTAGTTGTGAATCGTGATTCCTGACTCACCACTTTCTAAATCATCCTTCTCCTCTTCTGAAAGATTTAACTTTTTTCTCTTAATACCTTTGGATGTAAGTCCGCATTTTTATCTGGATTGATTTCTCTGGTATTTTGCTTGATTATCCAAAGCTTGATGATGAAGAAAAATGGAATATAGTTTGGTTGTTGAATTTCAATTCATGGAACTAAAAATGTGTCTTCAGGTTCTCTGATACTTTCCAGAATCAGTCTATATCATGCTTTATGATTCTCAATTGATGAACTTCTTCCTGATAGCTCAAGAGGCTCTAGTAGTTTTTCCAAGCAGCAGGGTTTGTGCTAAGCTGCTTTACTATGTAGGCTGGCCCTGGCTTGTTATAATCAAGATATACTGCACTGACTTAACTGTTATTGAATTTTGCATTAACCAAGCACCTAACATGCTCTGCCACTTTTCTTAGTGTTGTGATCGAAATTGATTGGTTTAAAGTATCCAAGATCTTGATCTGAACCCTTTGATGGTCACAGGTAATGAAGCCAGTGTGAAATGGAGGACACTGACTGAAGAACATGCAAGAGACAGCTTTGAAAACCTTCTCTTCAGTGTATGCCGGTTCAGAGAGCTTACTGGAACTTATCCTCAAAATATAACGGTATGTGCCAATATGTAGCTTTAGAAACAATGATTTCATATAGAGGGTTTAAGCTAAAACTTTTAAAACGGCACATGATTTCAGTAGATAATATACACTTAGCTCATTCTCTGCTGCCCCATCCTTCATAGTGTTGATAATATATCATCTCACAACATATTCTATAAAGAGAAAAATAAGTCCAAATTCGTTCTCTGCCTTTCTTGTAGCAATTATGAACTATCAGTATAAATATTTTTATTTTTAATAGCTTCTTGTTAATTATAATTTTATAAATATTTTACCAAAAAAACCCGCGGGTAACCCATCAACCCGCGGATACCCAGCGGGTTGGGTTGGGTTTGAGTTTTTCAAACCCAGCGGGTTTTACCCCGGGTTTTTTTGACGGACAAACCCATGGGTTTGGGTTCGGGTTTGGCAAAACCCGCCCCAACCCGACCCATTGCCATCCCTAATCCAACTCCCACGGGAACAATGTGTGTAATCTGCTACTTTGAGTGGATGAATTTACAATAGATAAATGCTTGTCACTTGGAATAGATGATCATCTCACTCTTATCATTCTGATGCCTCCAAGGATAAGTCTAACAGAGGAGGTTTCATCTGTGCCTTGTCCCTTCTCTTAAACTTCCCTTTCCTTTCTGTCTTTAAACCCAAGGCCTCATCAACTGCTTTTCTGCTATATAGGACCGGAGTGTTATGAAAGTACCTGTTCAAGATAACAAAATGGTTTCCTCATTCCAGGCCGAAAGTAGAAAATGTTATCACAAACAAAGATAAATGAAACACAAGAAAAGTCTAAAAGGAAAAGGGGAAAGACAGCACCAGAAAGGAAGATCGAGATATCAAAAGTAGCCCAGAGTTTTTTTGCTATACGCTTGTAAAATTCAGTTAAACATATTCCTTTTTATGCCTCCTTTGACTAACCAAATGCCTGGTTAGAGAAGGACTGTAGAGCAAGATGATGCTACCACGATACTACAACATCAAAACCGAAGTAGCTTCTCCTCGCTTCTAACTCTAATTACACAAAATCCAATGGGAAAATCCAGAAGATTGAATCAGAAGAAACAGAAAAGGTGGTAGAATCACTAATAATCTTTGTAGCCAAAGAACAGAGGCGAGGGATTGCAAGAGAGTAGTGAAACTATGATCCACATGAAAGATGAATATAAACATACCGGATGAAGGATTCTTTAGTCAGAACATTGCCATGAGAAGCGCCAGGTAAAAGAGAGCCACTAGTAAAGCCTGCAACTCATATGTTATACAAGTGAGCCATGATAGTGAAACAAAACTTTCTTAACCACAGCTCCAGAACACCAACACAAGCACTACCCTTGAGGATTAAGATCGTCATTTATAGAAGAAAATCAAGTCAATTGATATCCTAGATTAAGAGTTGCCGTGCAGTTAATGCCTTATACTGCCGCTCGGGCAAGCTTTTACAAAATGATTCAGTACAGTAGACAAGATAAACTCACTAAACTGGAAAGGCAGAACTTCTGCTATTAAGATATGATAATGAACCAAACAAGAAAGCAGACAATAGGCTTTTGTCAAAACATATCATTGAAGCAAGTGAACATCCAGATTGCAGGTTACCTTGTCTACAATTAGCAGCTGAAACTGATCTCACTGTGAAGTCAAGGTTACCTTTAGAGGTTGACCCAACTACATGTTCTTGAGATGACAAAATGACGCGTCTGCCAAGAGGAGACCGAATACCCTGAAAAACAGAGAGTAAGATATAACTTTGTCAATGCCAGACCTACCATTACAGAGTTTCACATTCGAAACCATATCTATGGATAATAAATTGACAAATACAATACATCAGCTAAGCTAAGTATCCCGTTTCTGGGACCGAGGAAAGGAAGTACAATGCTGATAGGAAGTACAATAATAGGAGATCTCTTCCTAAAAGGTATAATATCACCATAACCAGAATGAATCTGAAAAGTCGAGGGCAAAGCCAAGAACTTAATGCATAACCAAGGGATTTATGTAATCAGCAATATCAAGCATAATATTGCACTTTACGGTCCCAAGATATAAGCCAATATGAGGGTTTGAGTTTACCTAAGCCAATAGTTCTTAGTTCAAAAGAACAGTAATCATATAATGTACGATAAAGGCATCAATGATAAGTGTCTCAACTCTCAATCACAAACACAGTCCATCATCTCAATTGAAATCTCATAAGCTCGGCAATGCTTTGTGAAAGTCCTAGACAAGAAGGTTCAAGAACACAATCTACCTTATCACCAATCGCTCTCCAAGCCATTGACAAGCTTCTGCAACTCTGCACAAACCATCAGGAAGAAAACAATCAGTTAGAAAGCATCGAGCACCAACACCCCCAATAGAATAAGGGAAAGACAAGCAAGCTTGTGGCCTTATCGGCTTCCAAGATACCATTGATTTCTTGGGAAGACATCTATTGCCCTTTACACTCCATAACCAATTAGCTTTTTCTCGTTACAAAACTTGTTACATAAACCAGAACATAGAACTCAAATTTCCATATCCAATTACTTATTCTAGTCCCACCCCATCTTAGTAAGCAGGCAAAAGAACCAAACTTTCTATCCATCTTCCATAAATTATAAACAACCCAAGAGGAAGGCGCCAACCCAAACTGAACCCTTCTCATTGATACACAAGCTACAATGCTTACCTTCCGGCAACAAAAACAAACAGCGCCACGGACGAATCACCGCTGCAAGCCAATTACCAACTACGGAACGGATCCTTAACGAAGAGCTCGCAATTCATGAACCAAACTAGTCCGCTTCGCATCAATGAGATCCTCAACGACCGAAAGCTGTCTCCGCTGCCCCGTGTATCCAAAAGATTCAAACTTGGAAGCTGTGTTTATGAAATTTAGCGGATAACAGGGACAGGCGGGAGCCGAGGTTCTCCCGGCCGCAACTGCTACTCCGGAAAGACGGTCCGGTCCGGGTTTCAGGTTTGATGTGAAGCTGCGAGTGGGGAAGGGATTATCTCACAAGTCGTAACACATTTTTAAGGAGTATCAAACAAGCCCTCTGCTTTAGGTCATATACAAACTAACACCTCTACTTTAATTTTGTAACTAAAAACGTGAAACGCCCCCTCCATTTTCCATATGATATGAGTGATTGACTATAAAAAAAAAAAAAAAGAAATTTCCATGTGGGTGCTTGGTTATAAATTAATAAAAATTTCATATGGGTGAGTGACTCTGTCTTAGGATGCCCTAAAATTAGTGATGTTAATGGGGCATGTGAGTATCTTAGTACATACTTGTCCGCATTAAGTAGGATCGGGTAATACCAGTGCGAGTGAGTATGGACGGATAGACTTATTATTGTTATGTATTATTGAAAGAGTTTTTTTATTTTTTAACGATAAAATAAAGAAAAAATAGTTCATAAATAACAGTTTGAGATAATAGGTAGGTTTATTTAGTTCAATTAGTGAAAAGAAGTCTTCACTTATCTAAAGTATCATTGGATGAAAATATGAGTTCAAATAAATCAAAATAGGATAAAAATAGATATTGGGACAAATTGAAATAGAACGAGTCAAGAACTAAGCGAAAGTGCGGGATGAAAGTAGTACACATGCTCGCCCCAAGCAGTCGGATATTAATCACTCAGTATGGATCAAGTCGGGTAATACCCGACAGAGCGAAATCAAATTAGCATAACTACCTAAAACGTAAAAAAGTTTATTATGGCGTAATTGTAAACAAATTTCATCCAACTTGAGCAATCAAATCCATTGAAGCAATCTCTTGGAGGCATAACTTTATTAAGAAATCGAGTGAGATTTTTTACATTAAGGTGACAAATGAATGTTTCTATTTAGCTGTGGGAACATTTTGTTGAATGGGAAAAAAGACGGATCAAGGACGGGCTGTAAATAGAGTGCCAAATCAAGGGACTAGTTTGTTTTACGATTAATTTGAGCAGCAATTTGTATCACATTAGACTTGTTCTGTATTGCGGTTTTTACAAAAGCAGCTTCTTGTTGGAGCTTCCAAGAAAAAAACAACTGTTTGATGGAAAAACTACGTTGCTTTTCACATAGAAATTTTTTGTTCAGCATGAAAAGCAATTGAGTGTACACAGACGTTAGACATACACCAAATGCAAAAATGATCAATCACAAAAGTCACCACTTGAATTCCACAAACATTTTTTTCGTTCTGTTTATTATTGCATACACTAACGAAAACAACAGAATTCTCTACGAATAGCAAGTTATTTGGCAAACACGAAAAAAATACACAACCCCAAACAATCGGTGATATGTTCTACAAAACCATCGAGTTTCTGGACATAAGAGTTGGCAATTCATAATACGTGAAAACAATTATACAATCACGGACATCAAGCAGCAACCTGGCTGAAGAGTAACTTGCGGATCTGCAACACACAACAAGAACAAGCAAAGAATTCAGTTCAGGTTTGAAAGGTAATCCACATTAATCCACACCAAACAGTTTTCAACAGTCGTCGACATGCGAATCTATTTCAGGAACGGAGGTGAACAGGAACGTTCATCCTAAGATTCAACTTTCAGGAATCCCAATAGCTGGGAAGCAAGAGTTCTATTATCAAGCGATAATGGAAGGAAGGCAGAGGCAGGGTAAGACGTTATACGAAAACGCTCTATGGGGAGGAAGTTAAAGCATGGAGTGCTTGTTCCTGCTCTAGAAAAGAAGTGAATGGGAAAAGGTTTGATTTAATCAATGAAACAAATACACATTTTACATTCCAAATTTAGCAACAATTCGTCCTATTCCTCATAGCTTACTCAAATCCCAAAGTCACATCAATAAATTAAATCTCGTTTCCAACTTTGTTCCTTTGCAACAAGAATCTACTTGCCTGTAATAGTTACCTGATTTTTATTATATCGTTTTTAAACACACACCCATCCTATTAGTTACCTTGCATTGCTGTAAACATTTCATAGCCATCAATTCTACTTTTTCTAGAACTCGATCAAATCCTAATCGGAAAGGAAAATGAACTCAGCCAATCCTGATTCATTTCTTCTACCAAACATAATAGTGTCAACTCTCTGTTGGAAGAATGTAAAAATAGAGAGAATAACAGTGTTCATACCACGGGGAGCTTCTGACGGAACACAACATCCAGACGTGCATCGAGGGTATTCTCAAACACGATCTTTCCATCTCGGGACGCCAGGACCACACCTCCAGAGCTAAGCCAGAAAACATTGAAAGTTATCAGGAGAAGGATTTGATTGATCTGCAAACCTCTAAACAAATCCACTACTATACTATTAAATTTAATGTTAACCATAAACTTACCAAGAAAGAGCATGAACATTGTGGTGGCTAGGAGCAGGTGGCAGATAGATTTGATGGTCCAACAGAATTTCTGGTGCATGAACCTGTGCCTTTTCAGCATATTCCTCTTTGGCGGATTCCAAGACAGATTCTACCAGATTGACGTCGGCCTCACGGCATCGCAGCAAGACAGCAGGTTCCTTCAGTCTAAGCAAGCTCTGCAACCAGCCAGAACGTTGCATAGCAATATCAGAACCGAAGACAACTAAAGTCTCACATGACCATATGTAGGCAATATTTTCTCCAACCGCACCAAGGAAAGCAAACCCATGTGCGGTAACAAATCAGGAACAATGTAGGTTTATGGTCTACAAAGAATAAACATTCACAAGATGTTGACACATCAAACAGAAGAGTAATTCATTATAAAAAAGGTATCTTTCCGGTCTCAATGATGTATTCTGGTCATCTCTCATAACCCAGTATATGACTGCACATGTATTGCTCACCTGAACTATGAGATCCTGCAGAAGCTTCTTGTACTTATAATCGTCACCACTCACATTCAGAAGATCCTTAGCTGCTGACTCTTTCATGGAATTGACCACATCACTCTTTCATGGAATTGCTCAAGTTGGATGAAATTTGTTTACAATTACGCCATAATAAACTTTTTTACGTTTTAGGTAGTTATGCTAATTTGATTTCGCTCTGTCGGGTATTACCCGACTTGATCCATACTGAGTGATTAATATCCGACTGCTTGGGGCGAGCATGTGTACTACTTTCATCCCGCACTTTCGCTTAGTTCTTGACTCGTTCTATTTCAATTTGTCCCAATATCTATTTTTATCCTATTTTGATTTATTTGAACTCATATTTTCATCCAATGATACTTTAGATAAGTTAAGACTTCTTCTTTTCACTAATTGAACTAAATAAACCTACCTATTATCTCAAACTGTTATTTATGAACTATTTTTTCTTTATTTTATCGTTAAAAAATAAAAAAACTCTTTCAATAATACATAACAATAATAAGTCTATCCGTCCATACTCACTCGCACTGGTATTACCCGATCCTACTTAATGCAGACAAGTATGTACTAAGATACTCACATGCCCCATTAACATCACTAATTTTAGGGCATCCTAAGACAGAGTCACTCACCCATATGAAATTTTTATTAATTTATAACCAAGCACCCACATGGAAATTTCTTTTTTTTTTTTTTTATAGTCAATCACTCATATCATATGGAAAATGGAGGGGGCGTTTCACGTTTTTAGTTACAAAATTAAAGTAGAGGTGTTAGTTTGTATATGACCTAAAGCAGAGGGCTTGTTTGATACTCCTTAAAAATGTGTTACGACTTGTGAGATAATCCCTTCCCCACTCGCAGCTTCACATCAAACCTGAAACCCGGACCGGACCGTCTTTCCGGAGTAGCAGTTGCGGCCGGGAGAACCTCGGCTCCCGCCTGTCCCTGTTATCCGCTAAATTTCATAAACACAGCTTCCAAGTTTGAATCTTTTGGATACACGGGGCAGCGGAGACAGCTTTCGGTCGTTGAGGATCTCATTGATGCGAAGCGGACTAGTTTGGTTCATGAATTGCGAGCTCTTCGTTAAGGATCCGTTCCGTAGTTGGTAATTGGCTTGCAGCGGTGATTCGTCCGTGGCGCTGTTTGTTTTTGTTGCCGGAAGGTAAGCATTGTAGCTTGTGTATCAATGAGAAGGGTTCAGTTTGGGTTGGCGCCTTCCTCTTGGGTTGTTTATAATTTATGGAAGATGGATAGAAAGTTTGGTTCTTTTGCCTGCTTACTAAGATGGGGTGGGACTAGAATAAGTAATTGGATATGGAAATTTGAGTTCTATGTTCTGGTTTATGTAACAAGTTTTGTAACGAGAAAAAGCTAATTGGTTATGGAGTGTAAAGGGCAATAGATGTCTTCCCAAGAAATCAATGGTATCTTGGAAGCCGATAAGGCCACAAGCTTGCTTGTCTTTCCCTTATTCTATTGGGGGTGTTGGTGCTCGATGCTTTCTAACTGATTGTTTTCTTCCTGATGGTTTGTGCAGAGTTGCAGAAGCTTGTCAATGGCTTGGAGAGCGATTGGTGATAAGGTAGATTGTGTTCTTGAACCTTCTTGTCTAGGACTTTCACAAAGCATTGCCGAGCTTATGAGATTTCAATTGAGATGATGGACTGTGTTTGTGATTGAGAGTTGAGACACTTATCATTGATGCCTTTATCGTACATTATATGATTACTGTTCTTTTGAACTAAGAACTATTGGCTTAGGTAAACTCAAACCCTCATATTGGCTTATATCTTGGGACCGTAAAGTGCAATATTATGCTTGATATTGCTGATTACATAAATCCCTTGGTTATGCATTAAGTTCTTGGCTTTGCCCTCGACTTTTCAGATTCATTCTGGTTATGGTGATATTATACCTTTTAGGAAGAGATCTCCTATTATTGTACTTCCTATCAGCATTGTACTTCCTTTCCTCGGTCCCAGAAACGGGATACTTAGCTTAGCTGATGTATTGTATTTGTCAATTTATTATCCATAGATATGGTTTCGAATGTGAAACTCTGTAATGGTAGGTCTGGCATTGACAAAGTTATATCTTACTCTCTGTTTTTCAGGGTATTCGGTCTCCTCTTGGCAGACGCGTCATTTTGTCATCTCAAGAACATGTAGTTGGGTCAACCTCTAAAGGTAACCTTGACTTCACAGTGAGATCAGTTTCAGCTGCTAATTGTAGACAAGGTAACCTGCAATCTGGATGTTCACTTGCTTCAATGATATGTTTTGACAAAAGCCTATTGTCTGCTTTCTTGTTTGGTTCATTATCATATCTTAATAGCAGAAGTTCTGCCTTTCCAGTTTAGTGAGTTTATCTTGTCTACTGTACTGAATCATTTTGTAAAAGCTTGCCCGAGCGGCAGTATAAGGCATTAACTGCACGGCAACTCTTAATCTAGGATATCAATTGACTTGATTTTCTTCTATAAATGACGATCTTAATCCTCAAGGGTAGTGCTTGTGTTGGTGTTCTGGAGCTGTGGTTAAGAAAGTTTTGTTTCACTATCATGGCTCACTTGTATAACATATGAGTTGCAGGCTTTACTAGTGGCTCTCTTTTACCTGGCGCTTCTCATGGCAATGTTCTGACTAAAGAATCCTTCATCCGGTATGTTTATATTCATCTTTCATGTGGATCATAGTTTCACTACTCTCTTGCAATCCCTCGCCTCTGTTCTTTGGCTACAAAGATTATTAGTGATTCTACCACCTTTTCTGTTTCTTCTGATTCAATCTTCTGGATTTTCCCATTGGATTTTGTGTAATTAGAGTTAGAAGCGAGGAGAAGCTACTTCGGTTTTGATGTTGTAGTATCGTGGTAGCATCATCTTGCTCTACAGTCCTTCTCTAACCAGGCATTTGGTTAGTCAAAGGAGGCATAAAAAGGAATATGTTTAACTGAATTTTACAAGCGTATAGCAAAAAAACTCTGGGCTACTTTTGATATCTCGATCTTCCTTTCTGGTGCTGTCTTTCCCCTTTTCCTTTTAGACTTTTCTTGTGTTTCATTTATCTTTGTTTGTGATAACATTTTCTACTTTCGGCCTGGAATGAGGAAACCATTTTGTTATCTTGAACAGGTACTTTCATAACACTCCGGTCCTATATAGCAGAAAAGCAGTTGATGAGGCCTTGGGTTTAAAGACAGAAAGGAAAGGGAAGTTTAAGAGAAGGGACAAGGCACAGATGAAACCTCCTGTTGAAGCTAAATACGTGCCCCCTAAACTAACACAATATATGAAGTCCTCTCAAGCTAAAATGGTCGACATATTTGAAGGCATGACCATCGTTGAACTTGCCAAGCGTACTGGTGAGTCAATCAGCACCTTACAGGATGTTCTTCTTAATGTTGGGGAAAAGCCCGGGTCAGAGTTTGATCCTCTCAGCATTGATGTTGCGGAGCTCATTGCTATGGTACTTCTCTTTTCTCATTATGCCCCAAAGAAAAGCATAACCATGCTAGCTAACAGAGTGGGAACAAATACTTCTGTAATCTCTAGTATACTACCGACAGAATTTGAATAATTTCAGTTATTTGATTATCAATACTTTTCTGGGTGGAAGTTCATGATCAATGCTCCACATAGACTCTAGGGCTAGGGTTGTTAGGACTCTTACAAGATAGTAGTTCTATTTCATCATCATCATCATCATCTTTCTTAGACCAAAATACTTTTTGCCTGTTTAGAAGCTTACAGGAAATGGCTTCGTATTGGTTCTTGCAGGAGGTTGGGGTTAATGTCAAGAGGCAACATTCATCCGAAGGCTCACAAATCCTTCCACGACCTCCAGTTGTTACAGTCATGGGTCATGTTGACCACGGAAAGACATCTCTCCTGGATGCCCTGCGCCAAACAGCTGTGGCTGCCACTGAAGCTGGTGGAATAACTCAGCACCTTGGTGCTTTCGTGGTAGGGATGACTTCTGGGGCATCAATCACATTTCTCGACACGCCAGGCCATGCTGCATTCAGTGCGATGCGAGCAAGAGGTGCAGCAGTCACCGACATTGTTGTTCTTGTAGTTGCTGCTGATGATGGGGTGATGCCTCAAACATTGGAAGCTGTGTCCCATGCAAAATTAGCCAATGTGCCAATTGTGGTTGCTATCAACAAATGTGACAAGCCAGCTGCGGACCCAGAGAGAGTCAAAGTCCAGTTGGCATCAGAGGGTTTGCAGCTAGAGGAAATGGGCGGTGATGTCCAGGTAGTTGAAGTCTCCGCTGTTAAGAAAACTGGGTTGGATGACTTGGAGGAATGCTTGCTTCTTCAAGCAGAGTTGATGAACCTGAAAGCTCGTGTCGATGGTCCAGCTCAAGCTTATGTTGTGGAGGCAAAACTCGACAAAGGTCGTGGACCACTGGCCACAGCAATAGTGAAGGCAGGAACCTTGGTCTCTGGGCAGCACATTGTGGTGGGGTCAGAGTGGGGGAGAATAAGAGCTATAAGGGATATGGTAGGGAAGTTGGCACAGCAGGCGACACCTGCAATGCCAGTTGTGCTTGAAGGGCTGAAGGGGCTTCCTATGGCTGGAGACGATATCGTTGTTGTGGAGTCCGAGGAGAGAGCTAGAATGCTGAGTGCTGGTAGGAAAAAGAAGTTCGAGAAAGATCGGCTGAGACAGATTATGGAGGACAGGCCTGTGGTTGAGGAACCATCAGAAGAAGACGGGCCTGTAGCTGTAAGGGTTGAGATGCCGATTGTAGTGAAAGCAGATGTTCAAGGAACTGTCCAGGCTGTCACTGATGCTTTGAAGACTTTGAACAGTCCTCAGGTATTATATGAACAGTCCTCAGGTATTATATGCTTAGCAGTATTATTATGTCCGATCTCATGACTAGCATAAATTCAAGCTTAAAAAGTCGAGCAGCTTTTTAATTCACACATTGTAGTTGTAGTGGGATTAGCATTCATGAGCCAGAGTCTGTGATAACATTCCAAAACTGAAAAACATAGTCTCTGACTTCTCATAGCTATCTTCTTGTGTCACTTATTGATTAATGTCTTGTTCGTTGGAATGGTGCTACCAGGTTTTCGTGAATGTAGTCCATGTAGGCGTAGGTCCAATCAGTCAGTCGGATATCGATCTAGCTCAGGCATGCGGTGCGTGCATAATTGGATTCAATGTCAAAACTCCACCTGGTTCAGTCAGTCTTGCAGCAACTAAATCCGGCATAAAGGTACGTAACTTCTGATTATTTTCTTTATCCTAATCCTCCAGGAATTCCTGAATCGTATGTTCTTTAAATGGGTTGGTTGAATGAATGCCCAGATAATGCTGCATCGAGTTATCTACCGCCTTTTAGAGGACGTGGGCAACATGATAGTAGAGAAAGCTCCCGGGACTTCTGAGACTCATGTAGCCGGAGAGGCCGAAGTCCTTAGCATCTTCGAACTGAAGGGGAGGAGCAAAGCCGCAGGAGGAGACATGAAGATTGCGGGCTGCAAGGTGATAGATGGCCGAGTCAGCAGAGCATCAACGATGAGGCTCCTTAGGAGCGGTGAAGTCGTGTTCGAAGGATGCTGCTCGTCCCTCAAACGAGAGACACAGGACGTGGATGCAGTCGGTAAAGGGAGCGAGTGCGGAATGATGCTCCGTGATTGCCAAGATTACCGTGTTGGAGATGTGATCCAGTGCTTGGAGCAAGTCGTTCGGAAGCCCAAGTTCGTTTCTTCACAGAGTGGCGCTGTTCGGATTGAATGCTGACACACACCCTCGAGCATATGGGGGTTGCTTACTATTATTCTTCCTCCTAGTTTGCAGCCTGCAAAGAAGTTTTGATGGAGAAGTGCTTGAGAATTAATCAACACACCATATTATTTTTTTGTTGTTGTACATTGCGAGAAGGGAACTTCATTTCATCTAGTACTAGAATCAATACCCACGACTACGTCGCGGGAACTAAAGTTACAATTGCATGATCAAATGATCATATGGTGGCCAATTGAGGACACATCAATTTGGTGATAGTTGTTCTATTAGCAACGGTGTGGGTTTAAAATTGTTGAAAGTGTGTGCAGGAGACTTTTGTCTATTGAGTTCCATAGTTAATCATTATATGAATATAACCCATGACACAATTGCATGCAATGAAAATATAATCCCATCCTAAATTATATGTACAATCATGAGCATGTGATTAAGCGCTGAAAAGATATAGACAACATCGAATAACAATTTTCCTCTTAACCTAATGAATAGCCGAATAATAAATATACTTTAAGAGTTTCTTAAAGAACCAAACTTATTGACATAGTTCTAGTAAGGAAGAGTTTACTCATAAAACCTTACAAACCTCTATTTAGTTCTACACCTGCATCTCTTAGGAAGAGTCTTCAAGTTCAACCTTCGACCTCTTCACCTATTCTTTCTTTGGTTTGTCATTCCATCTGCAATCTTCACCCTTCTGCTCACCTCCTTGGCTTGCATAATCTCATTAACTCCTAATGTTTTCTCTCCGTCTGGGATTGCCACCAGTTTCGTTCCCCCTGCTGTCATTGCTGCTCCTACGATTCGTTGTCTGATGTGAAGGGGTCATATGATGAGGCTATAATCTGGCCACTGCCTGTGCAAAGAAGAATTTCACATCAGCCAATTTGAATTGCAGGAAAATCTACAAAGGATTGTGAGCATAATTGTTTAGTTGAGAACGAAGTTACTTATACATATTGGCATTCAATTAGACAATTATGTAAAAATCACTTTTGTAATCAGCTTATTCTGCAGTATTGGATCATCCGTTTTAGCCACTTTGAATTCTCACTTCTTGCTTAGTGATGGAGTTCTGCCCTGGTGGTGACCATTCGCTCATTCAAAGGCAACCTGAAAAGTTCCTCCCTGAGCATTTGGATTCTTTGCCTTAATTGGTCTTTATGTCGTTTCTCTCCATAGTAAATAATGGCTTCAATCTAAGTAGGAACAATAACCAATTGATTCAGCCGTAGCCAGAAAATAGTTGCTTCAGCTAATTACTCGGATGAATAAGAGACATTCAATCCAAGTATGTACTAATAGTATCCAAAAATGGTAACAGTAAAGTTACTATATATACTGTCATGTCAATTAAACACACGTAAAAAAACACTTTTGTAATCAGCTTATTTGAGCTTTGCTTTTGCCTTAGAGAAATGGAATTTAAGCAGCGCAAGGTTTTTTACCTTTCTTTTTGTTATCAGAAATTGCATCCTACGGCAGGGATTTCTTTTCTGTTTGTCCAAAGGCAGCATACTCTTTAGGCACTTCCTCTCCATATTTGCAGCTCCCAAGCACAATAAAGACATAGTATTCAGGGTTGTGTTAATCGAATTACCTACAACACATGGAAGAAGATCAAGCATGGTACTCAGTATATGCATTGTTTAGAACTTACTATTATGTGTTCTTTATTTCAGCAAGAATTATCAATCTTAAACTTGCTCACTCAGGTTGATCAGTTATGTAGGAAGAACCTAGTGGCCCACTCTAAGCAAATATAAAAGAACCCATTACCTTAAGCAGCATAAGATTCAAATCATGCTCCTCTGAAACATGAAAAGGGAATCAATTTTATGGCTGCAAAGCAATTTGTAATAGCAATCAAAGAAGAAACGGTGTAAAACAAATGAAATATGCTGCCAAGCAAGCGGAGACCACATTTCACTGTCCAATTAGAAATAAACATGGCAGACACTGATAAGAAATAAACATATGCGTGATTTAATTCTTTGGTGTTGGATCTGTTATGAATGAGCAAATATCAAATATGTTTTGACTCATAAAATGGAAAGAGATACCTACTGGACTGTGAAGGTGTTCTCCCCATAATGCAAAACCATTTCCTCAAACGTATTTCTTACTCAAGTCCTTGCTTTTAGGAGCAGCAAAAGCACGTTTATACTGCATCATGTAAAGGTAAGCAAAATGGAAAAGAGATTTTTGCCTCTAGTACTAAGATGTTCTCAGGCTTAAGGACTCGGAATATGATCCTCAGCATGTACAGGCAGTCCAAAGCAAGGAGAACATCTGCAGCATAGAACCTGCACAAAGACACATTAACTTCATTCATGTAGCTCAGTAATGAAAAAGGCAATCATGGGAAGAAGCAGAATGATATATAGCTCACTAAACTAATTTTGAGGTTGAATTAGAAGTTGAGATAACTAAGTTGGGGACTGATTCGGAGGAGAGAAATCAAGCAAGAAAAAGGGAATTGATTCTGAGAAGCTTCAGCTGGGGAAGGAAATATATGTCTGCAAATCTAACATGGTGATACAGAGAAAAGAAAACATGAACTATTGTGTTATGAACTTCCAGTGTATATTAAGTCCAATACATAATATAAGGGTGCTGTTTCAGAAACTATCAAGTTTATCAGGAAAAAAGACAGTTTTTACTATGCAGAGAAACAAAACAAAAACAAAAAAACAATTAAGAGTAAAGGATCTGAACAGGGCAGCATACTCAGGGAAGAACTTTCCAAGTTGCTTAGGCTTGAGGGAATGGTCACCACCAAGACAAAACTCCATCACAGGCATCTGTTTAAGAGGCTGAGACCGAGATGTTGAGCAAGAGCTCAAAGGAGGGCTGTTGGGGACTCTAGGAACCAATGATTTCTTGTTGGTCTTTGTTGAAAGGCTAACTCCTCCATCATCAACCAATGACTCCATGGAAGGCGGAGCAGTAACTCAGAATTCAGAAACCAAAGCTGCAACAGAAAACACAAAGGGATTGGTTGATTATATGAGATGGCAGAGCTTGCAGCCTTTGAACAGAAAGCACATACTGAGAATTTAGTGAAAACATACCGACAAGTGAAAGTCCGACAAAATCAGCCCAGAGCTCATTGAGCGTCTTCTATTCCTTCTCCTTCTCCGTGTTGTCTTTTTCAGCTTCTCCTGCTGCTTCTTCTTCCACCAGTAAAACAAAGAGAGAGATGGGGAATGAGGTAGGGAAACGCTTCCAGGGTGGGAGTGGTATTCCGCGATGTCACTCTGTCTGCCGGATCATCCCCTTCATTCTTGTCGCCTAACGTCTCACCATGCTCCTCCTGTTCCAAAACGATCCGTCTTCATCCGCTTTTGAGTTCCACGACGGCCAGCAGCAGGAGAAAAGAGGGGGATTATGGAGGGGATAAAAGGGGAAGCATACAATCGAAACCAAAAGGAGGAGCAGAGAGAGAACATATCCAATTTCAAATCCGACAGTAGGCATGAGGTTGATTGAAAACAGAGAATACAATACTTACCGTGCACAATGGAATTGTTAATTGGTCTGCAGTCGTACAAAGAGGATGGCTTGTGCCGTGTCCAAGCAGCTGTACAAAGGCGGTAGCGTGCGCGAGGAAGAGGAGGCAAGGCGAAGCATACAAAGTGTTGAGGTAGGTCGGTGCTCCCATACGCCACAACCCATGCCTACTACAGTCTACAGTCCTAGTCGTACTCATCTGGAGAGACTGCTTTCCTTCTTTGCCTCCATTATCTCGGCTTGGAGTCCTCTCTCTAATGGAGCCATGCTTTAAAATTCAAGCTTGTCGATTCGCGTACGGAAAGAATGGGCCACGAATTGACCAAGTGAGGAGGAGGGAGGGCGTTGATTTGAGAGAGGTAAGCGAAGCGGGGGAATAAAGTGGGTTCAAGGAGTTCTCAACTACTTGGGCGCTAGATGCCAAGAATTGAAACAGTGTTTAGAGTCTTTGGGGCGAAAAAGCGTACCTCCCTTTCATGTTTTATAGAATAGGGAAGCAAAGGATTCTGAAAATTCTTTTTAGGGGACATTCTCTGTACGCGGATTATGAAAGCTGGAGAACTCGTCCTGTGTTGCTCCATGCAATAAGCAGCAGATGAACCACATCCTTTTAAGTCATGGTTCGTGAAATTGTAAAGAATGCAAGGTCGCGAAACTGTATCAGAGTTTGGTAAGAATGCAAGGTCGCGAAACTGTATCAGAGTTTGTACCAGACAAATTAGTGACTTTTACGTCTTGACAAACCTTCGTGAGTGAGAAAGTACCAAGAAAAGAGAAATGACTGATGAAGTTGATATGTGAGAAGACCAATGCTGCATGGAGTCGTCGACGGACAAGGATGGATGGATGAAGGGATCTTTGATGTTTCAGTTTCACCCTCCAAACTTAAGGCTAGCCGGCAGGGCTGACTATCTATCCATTAGAAAAATTGGATGGCCAAAACAAATTCTAACCAGACACGAAAACCATTATTAGTGTGGAACAAAGAAGCTTACTTAGGTTAGTTACTTTCCCACTAGACACGCACAGGGTAAAAGAAGACTGAAAAGAAACCAAAAGAAAAAAGGCTCTTCCTTTCCTGTTTCTTTCTATTATTTATACAACAATAATGATCCTCATCAGGTCAGGGCCAGTCCTTAAAGTTACCTCAACATTAGAAGAACTGGGTTCTGTGTGGACATGTTAATTACAACTAGGGCTGTAACTGTGGCCCTTACTACCCGTCAGCCCAGCCCGGCCCAGCCCAACCCTATGGGTCGGGTAGGGTCAATCAGTCTTTAGGGCCAAAATAGGGTCGGGTCACATTCTGACCCTAGAGGGTAGGGTATTTTTGGGTTTTACCCTTAAAACCCATTCAGACCCATTTTTGACCCATTTTAACCCTAAAATCCATTTCAGCCCCATCTCTTCTTTCCGCTAACATCTCCTGATCGCATAATCGAGCCAACACCTCCGCCGTATCTCCTTCATCCTCTGCGCCGATCCGGCACTCAGGTTCGCCCTCCGCCGCCGCCCTCTCCTGCCCCCCCGCCGCAGCAGGCAGCAGCTTCCCTTCCTCGTTCTCGCACCCCGTCGTCTCCCCGGCGCGGTTGAAATCGCACGACGTGTCGTCGAAGGAGAAGCGCCTGGAGGAGTAGCAGAAGCTCTCCGTTTCGTCGACGACGCCGTCTTCTCCTTCCTCCTCCTCCTTCTCGTCTCAGGGGCGACCACGGCGCTGGGTTTTTCACATCCGCTGGAGATTGATGGGTGTGGAGGGAAAATAGACCCAACCCAGCTCTGAATCGGATCCCAGCTTCTCTGCTCCCCAAACCCAGGTTCGACTCACTTTTCGTATCTTAGTGTGTAATTAGTGTGTAATTAGCATTGGAGCCCAGAAACAACGCTGCTCCTCGCCTTAACCCACGCCAGCTCCTTCAATTCTAGCCTGTAAACCTCCACATGATCCACCGTCTCCATAGATCTAGTCGAACACAGAAAAACCAGCACTACTTTCCCTTCTGATTCCACCAAACACTCCCTGAACCCCGGCGTAGCGGCCACATCTGAATCAGGAACCACTCTCTCCTTGCCCAATTTCGTAATCCGCAGATCGAAGTTCACATCTTCTTCTACAACAGCGAGCGTGCCTTCCACACTCAAAGCATAGAATCTGTCCTGAAACCAGATCCCATTGCCGAATCGCATCCAACTCCCACGGGAACAATGTGTGTAATCTGCTACTTTGAGTGGATGAATTTACAATAGATAAATGCTTGTCACTTGGAATAGATGATCATCTCACTCTTATCATTCTGATGCCTCCAAGGATAAGTCTAACAGAGGAGCAGATCTGGGTTATGTCTTTCATGAATTGGTTTGGATTTGGTATTGGCAGCAAATGTTGTTCATGGATTTGATTGAATCTGTTAGTAGCTCCAGTCTTTCCTTTGCAAGATAGGACAGTCATTGTTGGTGAAGATGATAGCTTTAGATATGATTTTGCATTTGTTTGTTTTAACTGAAGTCTTAATTTTACTGAATTTGCTATCCATTAGTCTTTATCCCCATGGGTTTTGTTTGAGAAATCACGAGTCACAGCAGACTCATTTTACTACTATAGGCATTGGAATCATGCTTAGTCGATGAGGCTTTAGCTTCTGAGTTCATATTCTGCACCCTTTCAAGAGTCTGATTTATATGCATTGTAAAAGTCTCATTTTATAGTTGGCGTGGAAAGTTGTTTTATTAGTATTAAGTGTGGTATTAAGAAAGAAAAACATGGTTTGTGTTTGAATGTAGGACTTGAAATCTTAGCCTTCTCAAATCTAGTGCTGGGGGCTTCTTAGGCGATTTGATCAAATGGAACTTTGAGAAGTTCTTGGTGGACAAGAACGGTAAGGTTGTCGAACGTTATCCGCCAACAACATCGCCTTTCCAAATCGAGGTACTTGTTTGCATCAAATCGAGGTACTTGTTATGGATTATTGGTGCAGAGTTTTCAAGCTAATTAGTATTTGATGATTGTGCAGGTAATCCTGACGCCTACTCATCTGGCGATTAGTGGTGTTAAATGCTTAACATGAAGAGATATGCTTAGTGGTGTTAAATGATGAATATTTTATAATTATGGATGAATTTAGTATTTTGATTTTGCATGTACATATGAGATAATATTACCAAGCCGATATTGGTCCTACACCCGGGCCCACCTTGAACCTTTTAGGGTCTTTTTTGCGAAGAACGAATGAGTCATGCCGATGGGTTATGCCCACGGGAGACCACTTGTCTTCACAGCCCATCCCTTGTAATTAGATCAATTACCCAACTACAACCACATGCATTTGATTGTTCGTCATGAGACCATAGTATTGACCACCTTTTAGGTTAGATCCAGCCATTACTAGATAGATGGTTTTATTTTTCGAAACATAGTTTTGCATGCATCTATGTTATGTACGACAATGTATATGAAATGTATCATCATCTGAATATTGTAGTTTAAGACAACCCAACAAGTGGAATAACAATTAAAAAAATCCAGATAAAATTCAAAAATCCACACATGGTGTAACTAGAAATAATACATGTATTTGTGAGATTAAGTCGTTTTTTTTGTTATATTGAATGAGAATACATGCATTCACTTTTTGGAGGTCCCACCACAATCACTCAAAATTGAGGGATTGTCAATCTCTACTTTTTGTTGAGATTGTTAACAATCACTCAAAATTAACTTTTATACCTTTACAACAAAAGCACAATCTAAACCCAATACATCAATTTGAAGAATCACAACTTCCAAACGACCCCTAAGTAATTGAGGCTTAGTCCCATATGGATTTCAGGTTTTTAACCACTCTTTTCATGATGTTGGAGTCGGCTTTGAAATTTCAAAGGGCATTTGAGAGGTTAGAGGAGGAGGATCCCAAGTATAAAGTTGAGCTTGAGAAGTTGAAAGGGACTCCAAAGGAGTTGGACTGGTCTTATGTGGAGTCTCTAGTTCCATTTTTGAAGATATTTTATGATGCTACAATGAAAGTATCGGGATCTTTGTATGTCACAAGCAATGATCTCTTTCATGTAGTATATGGAATCGCTTGCATGCTTAAAATGGAAACTTCATCTAAAGTGTATGGTCATAAAGTCATGGCAAAGAGAATGAAAGCTAAGCATGACAAGTATTGGGGCAATTTGGACAATATTAACCCCTTGTTATTTATTGCTGTGGTTCTTGACCCGAGATACAAGCTAGAATATGTGGTTTTTGCACTTGATGAAGTTTTTGGGAAAGATAATGGGGGAGATTGGACCAAGGAGGAGTTGCATAATAAGGTGAAGGGTTTTCTAGATGACATGTTCAAGAACTATTCAGAAATGAGAGGGGTTATTTGTGCAAGTTCTTCAAGAAGTGGGGGGAGTGTAGAGCCAAATGACGAGAACGAGGAGTGTGAAAATGTTGAGGATTATCTGAAGAGAAAATTTAAAAGAAAGAGAATAGAAGACAGAGCTGGAGAAACTACTATTTCGGAACTTGAGAGGTATTTAAAGGCAAACATTGAGGATGATGAGGATAAGAATTTTGATATCTTAGCGTGGTGGAAGAAGCACTCTAGTGAGTACCCGATATTGGGTTTGATGGCTAAAGATGTGTTGGCGATTCCAGTATCTACTGTTGCATCCGAGTCCGCTTTCAGTACCGGTGGACGCGTTCTAGATGCATTTCGGAGTTCTTTGACTCCCTTGGTCGTTGAAAGTTTGATTTGTGGTCAGAATTGGCTTCGATCGAGTACTCTTCCAATTGATATGGAAGAGAAGTTTGAGGAAATTGAAGAACTTGAGCAAGGTATGAATTTTATCAACAATGTGGTTTGTAACACTTTATTATTTGTTTATACTATTATTAATTTATTTGTGGTTTTGTTAATTTTGCAGAGTTAAAGGAGTTTTGCTTGGATGATAGTACTATCATGAGTGATTTGGTTGATGATGATTGAAAGATGATATATTTGATATTATCAGCGATGCATTTGATGAATTGCGAAATTGTGTACTTTTTTTACGTACTTTGCATTTTGTTTATTTTATTTGGATTTATTGTAAGGTAATTTTGACTTTGTAGATGTAATTTGCATTTTGTTTATTTGATTTGGATTTATCGTAAGGTAATTTAGACTTTTTAGATGTAATTGGCATTTTTTTATTTGATTTGGATTTATCGTAAGGTGATTTAGACTTTTTAGATGTAATTTTAATTTTTTGGAATTAATTTTGAGTTTTTCGAATTAATTAGGATTTTTGGTATAAGAATTTGGACTAACTTAAATTTTCTGGAATTAGTTGGAATTTTTGTAATCAAAATTTTATTTTTTGAATTAGTTTAAATAATTTATTTATTTAATTTAGATTATTTTTGTTATGAACTCATTTAAATTTTCTAGTATATACCTGTAATTTTTTGAAATTTAATTTGATATTAAATAGTTAAGTGGGCTAATATTGTATAAAAAGAAGTTGGGCCGACCCTATGGCCCGACCCGACCCAGCCCAGCCCGACCCAACAGGGCCATACAGGGCCAAATGAGAATAGGGTCGGGCCGGGTCGGGCCAAATACTTAAGCATACAGGGCTGGGTTTTTTTGGGTAGTGACAGGGTAAGGGCTGGGTTTGGCCCAGTTTCACCCCTGCTACTTGGCAACAAACCAATGTCCCCAATCATGATCGAGCTTCTGGTCTGAACTGATGGAGGAAATCATGGGAGTTTCTAATAGGAATTTTATGATAACCTATGCAGCTTACAGAGACATTTTCCCAATTTGGGCACTGGGAAAATACAGAACCCGAGTACTTCATGCCTCGTAAGATCATCGTCAACGAACGGAATGGCATTCCAAGTTCCAATGACTACTGCTAGCTTGGTCTCGTTTTCATAGTCTTCATTCCTCTGCACTGTAGGCCTTTATTTGTTGGTTTCTGGCATTCTGCTGTGATAATGCAGTGTTAACTTGTTCAGTCTAGTGCTCGCTTATGTCGGAAACTATTAGTATCTTAATCTATCAGAATTTTTTGAGTTTGAAGCACACATTCTATAGGGGGCAAAAAAACCAAATCTGCAGCATACATGCTCTGCTCAAGACCGACGTACCAATAGTGTTTTGATTTTGAAGCATACATTCTATAGTGTTATGACAGAAACTACTTGTATCTTTATCTATCAGAATATTTGTAAATTTTGCAGCATACATTTAACCAAAAAAATAAATTTTCAGCATACATGCTTATTCAAGACCACGAACAATGTCACATAATAGATTTCCGAGTTTACTCGATTCAAACTGGATTAGCTGAAGCTAATGTGGTCGAGAAAGGGAGGGTGCAGAAATTAGCAAAACAAGGCGCTAGCTAAAGAAGTGTTCTGATCCTAGACATGCTTACAAGCCTCTTGAACTGAAACAGCCGGGCGAGATAGGCTGCCGTTGACTATCCTGTTAGCAACCCACAAGTTAGCAGCCTCTGAGTAGTGTACTCCATCCCAGCTCACGTGCCTCGAAGGATCCTTGCATGGATTACCATACTGTTGGGAAAAGCTTCGTACTTTCCCGCTTCGTGAAGTTAAGATAGGCACTTGAGTAGTGATGGGAGCACACAAGTTTAATTCTCCAAATTTGGAGAATTCTTCCACTATACAAAATAATAGTAGGCTTACAAGAATAACTCACTCTATGGTGGCTCACTCAAGCTTGAGGATAGGGACTTCTCAAGCTATCTCTCTTCTCTCTCTCAAAGAGACTCTCACCTCTCTCACTCTAGGAAGTGGTTTTTCTCTTTGTGCTTTGGATTGATTACAAATGAGGAGCACAAGTCCTTATATAGCTTCCACCTCCTCAAATGGACGGCTAGGATTGATTTGATCCTACGGTTGTGGATGAGTCTCCAGAACTCTCCACAAAAATATCTTCTTACACTAAAAATATCTACATACAAATATCTATTCTCTAGAATTATCTAGGGAAGGCTCCATCTCTATAAGGTTCCATACTCCTCCACACTCTTCCATAAGGTTCTGGAAGGTTCCACACATCTCCAGAACATTCCAGAGGATTCCACACTGTTCCACAAGCTTCTAGAGAGTTCTATACTTCTCTAGAGTTCTCCGGTTGTTTCTAGGAAATTATTTACTTCTCTAGAAACTCTCCAATTAAGGAGGGATCCCAACAATTCTCCCCCTCCCGAGTTAATTGGGGGGTAGTAGCAAACCTGCACCTTGACAGCAATCTTCAAACTTCTTGTACCACTGCCTCGGTGCTTGCTTGAGGCCATATAAACTCTTTGTGAGGCGGCACACCAAGTTTTCCTTGCCCGGAACTTTGAATCCCTCGGGCTGCTCCATGTATATCTCTTCCTCTAGGTCACCATGAAGGAAAGCCGTCTTGACATCGAGTTGTTCAATCTCCAAATCTTGCACTGCTGCTAAGCCAAGGACAACTCGGATGGATGACATCTTTACCACGGGAGAGAATATCTCTTCAAAGTCAATGCCCTTTTCTTGACCAAATCCTTTGACAACTAACCGTGCTCTGTAGCGAGGTTTTGGGCTACTGTCTTCGGTCTTGATTCAGTACACCCACTTATTCTTCAAGGCTCTTCTCCCTTTTGGCAGCTTCACGAGCTCATAAGTGTGATTCTCATGCAAGGATTGCATCTCTTCTTGCATGGCTTTTCCCCACTCTTCTTTATGAATATCACTGATTGCTTCTTCATAGCTTTGCGGCTCCCCCTCATCCGTGAGTGTCACATACTCCTCGGGGTTATACCGAGTGGATGGTATTTTTTCCCTAGAGGAGCGTCTCAGCTCTGGTGCTGGCAGAGAGCTAGATTAAGGATCTTCCTGCGCTAGCTCACCATGGGTCTCCTGGTTACTTTGCTCTAACACATGTTCATGTTCATCAGCATCATTGTCTTGAGGTGTGTCATTACCCTCACTTCGAACTAGAGTAGGTTCGGTGCTCTTGCTGCTTCTCAATTTCGGCTTCTCTGACTTGTTAATGTCTTCAATTGTTTGGTCTTCGAAGAAGATGACATCTCTGCTTCGGATAACCTTCTTATTGATTGGATCCCATAGTCGGTAGCCGAATTCATCCTTGGGTGAACGAAGGTAGATGCATTCCTTCGTCTTTGCGTCAAGCTTGGCTCGCTCATCTTTGGGGATGTGAACAAATGCCCTGCACCCGAACACCTTGAGATGATTGTATGCAGCCCTTTTTCCCGTCCATACTTCTTCTGGGATGGCGCCGTCCAAAGGAACCGATGGTGTGAGATTGACAATGTCAATCACAGCCATTATAGCTTCTCCCCAAAAGGACTTGGGTAACTTAGCATGAGAGAGCATGCAACGAACTCTTTCTTCAATTGTTCTATTCATTCTCTCAGCTATCCCGTTCAGCTGTGGTGTCTTAGGTGGAGTCTTCTCCAGCCTGATACCATATTTTTTGCAATAGGCTTCAAAGGGACCTCTATACTCACCTCCATTGTCCGATCGTACGCACTTGATCTTCCGTCCAGTCTCACGTTCTACTAGAGCGTGGAATTCCTTGAAGGCGTCAGGGACTTGATCCTTGGACTTTAACAGGTGCACCCATACCTTCCTTGAATGGTCATCAATGAAGGTCACAAAGTACAATGCACCACCAATAGATTTCTCGGACATTGAGCACACATCGGTGTGTACAAGGTCGAGAATATTCTTTCTCCTTTTTGGTGGAGAAGATCTTTGGAAAGCAACTCTATGTTGTTTTCCAGCTAAACAATGAGCACATGGATCAAGTTGTTTACCTTTCACGTCCGGGAGGAGATGCTTCCGAGCAAGTATGTGGAGACCCTTCTCACTGATGTGACCAAGTCGTTTATGCCATACCTCCATGTCATCAGTGGTTATGTTTACCTCTCCTTTGCAGAGCTTGGCTTGCATCAAGTATAATGATCCTTCCTTCTTCCCTCGAGCCATAATTAGACTTCCTTTGGTGAGCTTCCATTTTCCTTCACCAAAGTAATTCATCAGACCAGCATCATCTAACTTTCCAGCGGAGATAAGATTGAGACGCATGGCCGGTACATGCCTCACATCTCTTAGGATAAGCTGGCATCCAGTGCTTGTTGTCAAGATAACGTCTCCAATTCCGGCGATCTTGCTCCTATCTTGATTTCCCATTTGCACCGTACCAAAGTCTCCACTTTGGTAGGATGAGAAGAAACTTCCATGGGGAGTGACGTGGAAGGAAGCACCAGAATCGACAATCCAAGAACTATCATCACAAGCAATGTTTAGCATGTTACCTTCTCCAACGAGATATAGCGGATCTTCTTTTGAGACTATGGCAGTGGTACTTTTATCTTCTTGCTTCTTCGTTGGGCTGACTTGGTCTGATTTGACATTCCCGGCCTTCTGGTCTCTCTTAAAGGATCGACACTCCACTTTCCTATGACCCATCCTTCCACAGTAGTAGCATGTGATCTTCGAGCGTGATTTCGATCTTCCTCGAGATTGATGTGGATCTCGGCTCTTACTGCGTCCACGAGTCTCGTTCCTATCCCGGTTCTCAATAACATTAGCCTCAGGATGGATAGACTCACCTCGTTCCATTCTTCTTGATTCTTCACCAAGAAGACTATCACTGACGGCGTCCATGGTTAACTTTCCTTCCGGAGCTGAGTTACTAAGTGTAACTACGAGTGTGTCCCAACTTTCCGGCAAGGAACTAAGGAGTAGAAGGGCTTGCAGCTCGTCATCAATCTTCATCTCAATTTTAGTTAATTGATTGACGAGTCCTTTGAAATTATTCAAATGCTCAATCATGCTATGACCATCCTTATACTCCAACTTCACCAACCGCCGAGCTAAATTGGCTTTATTACGAGGTGTTTTCTTTTGAATCATGGACTCGAGCTTTGTCCATAATTCATAAGCATTCGTGTAAGTAGAAACATGCTCGAAGAGGGATTTGTCGATGTACTTACGGATCATAGCAACGGCCTTCCGATTTAGTAGCTCCCACTGAGCATCGCTCTTGCCTTCAACTTTGTCTTTGTAGATGATGGGCTCATGTAAATCCTTGCAGTATAGATGATCCTCCATCATTGGCCTCCAATATGAGTAGTTGTTGGCTGTGAGCTTGAACATGTCTCCTTCATGAGTGATGTTGTCCTCCATCTTGAACTGCACGAGCTATTGATGACTTCTGATGAACCAAGTTGTCACAAAACCAAAGGATAACTTTTCTGGTGTGGAAGTTCAGACTATGCTGCAACCACAGAGCATACTCAGTTTAACCTTGGCTCTGATACCACTGTTGGGAAAAGCTTCGTACTTTCCCGCTTCGTGAAGTTAAGATAGGCACTTGAGTAGTGATGGGAGCACACAAGTTTAATTCTCCAAATTTGGAGAATTCTTCCACTATACAAAATAATAGTAGGCTTACAAGAATAACTCACTCTATGGTGGCTCACTCAAGCTTGAGGATAGGGACTTCTCAAGCTATCTCTCTTCTCTCTCTCAAAGAGACTCTCACCTCTCTCACTCTAGGAAGTGGTTTTTCTCTTTGTGCTTTGGATTGATTACAAATGAGGAGCACAAGTCCTTATATAGCTTCCACCTCCTCAAATGGACGGCTAGGATTGATTTGATCCTACGGTTGTGGATGAGTCTCCAGAACTCTCCACAAAAATATCTTCTTACACTAAAAATATCTACATACAAATATCTATTCTCTAGAATTATCTAGGGAAGGCTCCATCTCTATAAGGTTCCATACTCCTCCACACTCTTCCATAAGGTTCTGGAAGGTTCCACACATCTCCAGAACATTCCAGAGGATTCCACACTGTTCCACAAGCTTCTAGAGAGTTCTATACTTCTCTAGAGTTCTCCGGTTGTTTCTAGGAAATTATTTACTTCTCTAGAAACTCTCCAATTAAGGAGGGATCCCAACACATACACCGTCCCATTCACCACAGCTTTCTTCCCACAATCGATGTGATAGCCGTAGTAGCTCCCGCAACAGAACTCCATCGGATGAACAAAACCTGAAGTTCACAAATCCATCTGTCGTCAGCTTGATCAATCCACATTGACATGGAAAAACTTGGTCCAAAACGTTTAGAGGTGTTACCTTGATTTTCGGCCGTACTAATCAGTCGATACTTGGCTGAGTACACATCAACATATGTGAAAGACGAATGGGGTAGCTGCTCCTTCAGTTGGGAGAGTTTGCGCTCGAGTTGTCTGTTGAACTCCTGAGCAGCATTGTTGCGAGACTTCACACAGCCATTTCCGTCCAAGTTGTTAGGGTCGGAGTTGTATATAACGGAATATGGCAAGCAACCAAGGGGTCCTGTGTTGTGCACCCAGAAGAACTTTGCACCTTCCTTGTAAAGTTGCTGAGATTTTGCAGAGGAAAACAACGGGTCAATTGACATAAACGGTCACCAGAATTTGGCATCAATGACAAATCAGTTGCTCAAGTTTAATTTATTTACTAGAATCAATACCCGTGGCTACGCCACAGGACGTATTTAAAGCTTTATAGAATTTTTTAGAAACTCGATAATTATTGGCTCTTAACATTATAAGAAATAAATATTCAATCGTCATCCAAATCAACCTAATAAGCTTAAAATTATCACCAAATTCTACTTTTTCAAAGGTTCATCATTTTCCTCATCTTTCGTACCCTCGCATAATCACCTCAGTGGGTTTGTGTCTAACATTACCATGAACAAAACTATAATATAATCGAAGAATCAAAGTTGATTGAAACTACCATTCGTCCAAACAATCAATAGAGGCATGGAGCTCCTCAAAATTAGTTATTTCACTGGGTTGTCGTTGGTTCTATAGCAATCCAAACAATTAATTGCATGCACCATAACCTCTCATGAAACAAAGCAAATAACAGCCACAATAGTTAGCAAGAGTTTCACATACAAACGAACTGCATATACCTAACAAATGGTTGGTCAAAGATGGTCAAAATCCTTCTAAAATATACTTCAAGAGCTAATTATTGTGATCCAATACCAACCCAATTGACCATGATATGCAACATAAATAGAAGGATATTGTGATGCATGCAGTTGTCGAGCCAACCTTTATAAATTACTTTACCAAGTCCAAACTCTCCCTCTCAGTATTGCACTAAATCTAGTAATAATGTTGAACTGTATTTGCAAATATCGAGCAAAACTCTAAAACTAAGATGAGAAGCAGAATTCTAACATCGAGTTCTAGATGAAGAGTGATCGGAAATAAATCTCGTATGTATCAAAATTGCCCTGTGAGATTCGTCACCCAATATTGCAGCTCAACAATGGCTTCCAAAAAAACCTGGAGAGAGAGAAAAAAAAAAGCAATTCATTACTGGAAAGCAGTTCAGCAATGGCACCCGGGAAATAAGTTGTATTCAATTTCAGTAGATGAAGTGAGCAAGATGCAACTCAGACTATTAATAACTCAACTCGCCCTTTGCCGAAGGATAAAATTGTTGCTCAAGTTTTGATCTTCTAACCAGGCCAACAGACCTACATGTCTGCCTTTCCCAACTTGTAGATTAGATAGGAACGGTTAGCACTAAATTCAAAACTTTCAAATAGTAACAACAGTGTGAAGATAACTTGAACGTACTCATGGTAACCAGAACTGGTTGGAATTGAAACTGAAGAGAAGGGAACTTAAATGAAGCATTAGTTAGGATTCAACGGAAGACTAATATTAATCCTAACCGAGATTAAAATCCTAACCATACCTCTTTCTAGTTTGTAGTTGAAGAGTGATACAGAGAGAGAGATAGATAAGTGTTTTATCGTACTTCCTCTTCTCCTCTTCTTCAAACATAGCATTATGACCTCTTTGTGATGTTGGGCCACTCGGAGTCAGTTTCAGTTGCTCTGCAAATGTGAAAAGAACTGATTAGATTGTGGAGTTATAATTGCAAAGTTGAAGTGCATACAAATGATACATAAGCTCACACAGTGAAGTTGCAGTTCATAAAACCGAATCAGCTGCTTAAGCAAGTCTCCATCGATGCATAGGAGTTGAACAAACAGCTTCCATCATTGTTGGTCAAACAGAGTACAAACCTGCAACGTTGTCGATCATGGAAGACCACAATATTAGTGACATTCAATTGCACGTTTAACAAACAACTCTGGTTAAAGCGAGAGCATTAACCGACATGAATATATATGTTCATTGGCTTGAAAAATCTACACACGCAAGCATTTCACATAGGTTAGCAGCCATTGACATACATGTTGGATCGCGTGTGCATATCAACTTGAAAACCATGAAGCTTCTGAAAAGGCAGCTTTCCAAAGCTTCTGAAGCTATTATTCTATAGAAAATTGAAACATTTTGCAGCAGATAGTCGCTCGCACTTTATTCGGCAACACTTAAATAACCAATTTAGTTTATCGTCTTTAGCATCAATCGTGATATTGTAGCGGGTTATGTTCATGAAGGTTAGAAGTTGTATGGCACATTCAACCATCTTACCCCATGCTCCTGTCAATCTTTCATGAAGAAGTAACTAAAGACAGAAACTATGCGTCTATAAAACTAAGGCAGTAAGAAGGGATGTGATAGCAGTTAACAACATATTCAATTAAATAACTGTCTGAAGTTCATAAAAGGGAACACACCACGGCAGCATCCTTCTACATCATGTTTAACGGAAGTTTTAGGTTGCATAAAAAAATACATATTGTAGTTTATATGTCAAGTAAAAAGCAGAATATAAGGCTGGGTAAGCCATATGAGATTGGTCAAAGAGCACAAAATAGTAGCATAAGGACTCAATAATTAAAATGATCATAGAACCAAATCATAAGCAATCCGAATCCCATAGCATTACCAGAAGAGCATGTTTTCTCCGAAATGCATAACTGGAAAAGCAAATAACCAAGCCCCTTCAACCGGAAATTCATTGAATATCCATGATTTGTCTGTGAAACCTGGACTCCCAGATTGAGTGTTGATTGCAGTTAAAAATGTGGCTGCATTTTCCATGTCAAAGCCTGGATCAAATGATTAAGAAAGGAACGCAAAAGTTTTTAAAACAACATAAAGAACAACCACCTAATCTGGTGATAACATCACTGTATGTTACCCAAGTTGCATGAAATGCAGCAAGGGGAAATAACCACCCACACAGAATAGAAAAAACTGCAAGATGGATTGAGCTCTAAGGAAGAATTATCTACACATACACTACAATCTAAATGCCACATACAACCCTGCTTAACTTTGTTCTTCTCATTTGCAAGATTCTATCTCCCATTTCTATTCTTCTAAATCAAACATCAGGAATGATAGCAAGAGACAACAAATTTCAATACATAATCTCATAGAAGGATTGGAAAGATAAATTCAAATTGGAATACGAATACGAATCTCAGGACATGCGATCAAAGCATCCATTGACCACTAAAGGCACCTACACCTTCGATCTGAAAGGTGCAAACTAAGCTTTCCTTTTCTCAACAGATTGCTGTATCAAATGGAACCCAAGAGGAACACCCTCAAGTTCAACTTATATGCATGCCAAGCTAATTCATGGTCATACTCTAACTCATGGTAGTAATCAAGAAATTATAAAAAATTTAAATGACATGATCCTTCTTACCTCCCTCTGCCTCTCCAAATCACCGTCAGAACTCAGAATGAATCAAGCTGTTGAGTCTGCATTTAGTTGGGAGTCATGCCAGGATTACTGTGTTTCCCGAATAGACCATCCAACTCTTCTAATCTGAACCCAGTCAAAGTCAATGAAAATGGCGATCGTCCCTGTTTCTGCTTCTCTTTGTCCGGTTGAACTAAAGGCAGGTGACCAACATAGGCCACAACCGAGATCCACAGACAAACTGCCGTAGCCGCAATTGCCTTCTCATCTACTTGCCGCACCGATCTTGTGGTCTTCTCGACGGCCTGAAACAAATCTCCCTAATATTTACGAAAAGTGAATGGGTTCCACCGCTGATATTCTTTTCATTGCCGCGACCTGAGGATTAAATGCTAGCCAGCGCCGCCGTTTCCACTTCCGTCGCGTTTGTGCTCTCCCCGACGGGCTGAATCACCCCCACAAAAATGCCAAATATCAGAATCAGAAATCAAAAGCTGAAAATCCGCCAAAAAGAACCAAAATCACATACCGCCAAACTCCATCGCCACCAAGGTCGTCATCTCCTTACTCATACGCCATCATCCCTGCGCCTCCGCCGTCGGTCGGCGTTGGATGGAGCCCTCATGATTCATGAGGTGAATTGAAGCAGGAGAGTGAACACCGGAAAGAGAGAGGGGTGAAGCGCTGAACCGGGGATGGAGCGATGCCGAAAGTTTATGAGGAAAGGGAAGTAGAAGTGGATTGGATTTTGGGAGAGAGGAAAAAAAACAATGAGTGGAGCATTCGAGCTGAGTAGTTGAAGGAGAGCAGGTTTCATGGGCGGTAGCGTGCTCAACTAAGATTTATCCCAGTGGTGCCGTGAGAGAGCTAGAAACCAGAAAGACGGTGAGGCCCGAGACCTGCTATAGGTACGGCTGGCCCAGGGGAACGACGTCTGCAACAGTTGGCGTACGTCCGGCATGGGCGGCCTCTAGAATGGGGGAACCATCCCGGGAAGTGGAACAGGTGGGTGGAGAAAGTTGGTTCCGTGTGCGAGCAACAATAGCGATCCGAGAATTCAGAAAAGGGAAAGAAGGTGTGAAAGGACGGTAGGGCGCCGGAGGTGAGGAAGCTGCAGATCTGCAGGTACGGACGGTGAGGGGAGGAATGGACGTTCGCTGGATTTGGGGAAATCCAGAAGTCCGTAGGTGGGTGAAGAGGTGAATGGGAATTCGTTCAGTGAAAGCTTTTGAAACCCGCTAAACGACGAAAAATGATACAGTAACGGGCAAAAAGCGTATCCAGCTTTTATGTAGCCTTCCCTATCATGTCACGACTCCGGTTTGCTTCTCGAGGATGCAGCTCCTCTCACACGCCACCTCCCATGTTAGCACGTCGTTCTCCCGTATCTCTCTTCTGCCGTTGAGTCTCATTTTTCAATCAGTATATTGGGAGAGGAGCGAGAGTCAATTGGGAGGAGGAGGGAAAGTAGAGTATTGTCATCTCATACTCTGTTTTCAGAAAGGAGAATCATTGACGACAAAGGCAGAGGAACAGCGAGGCTGCTGCACAGCTGAATGATGTAGTCGGCATCGATAGAAGGAGGAGAGGAGGCGGAGATCCGACTGGGAAGCGAAGGAAAAGGAGAGCAGGCGGCGTTTGGGTTCGGGATTTTCCCTATCCTTTTCCTAATTTCGTTCTGCACTTCCTTTTCTATCGGGTACTGACTTATTTTTTGATTTATTGTGCATTCAGGATTGGGTGGCTATTGGAAGGAGTGCCTCACCCTGATTTCGGGATTTGGTGATTCTGATGGAGAGGTTATTCTCTATGGTTTTTTTCTAAAACTAAAGGTATCAGCTCATTTAGTTTCTGTATGTTCTCAAGTGTAGCTCTATCTGTTAGTGAACTTTAATTTGGGGGGATTGTTCCATTTCTGCTGCAAGGATGTTGGTGGTTTGGGATACGAGCTGACAGAAAGGTTCTAAGATTCGATGATCAACTAAATTTGAACTAAAAATTGCTTCAAAATTGAAAGCAGCAGCAGGTATAAGGTGATAAGGTGTTGTAGACCTTGCTGTTTTCCTTTTACTAACACTATTTTTTTTCTTTTTCATGGGTGTAGAAAGTTCTTAGAGCTGATCTCTAATGTTCCTACAGTCTTTTATTTTTCTTTAATATTTCAAGAAGCTACTTATACATTGTTCGTTAATTTCTTTGTTTACAGTATCTTACTATAAATACCAATGAAAAAACCACGCGCAAGGCTACAGCTACGAAAATATAATTCCTTTTTCAAACCTCTTTCAAGTTTCAAATTCCTTATGACTAATATGCACCAATTATAAAAATTACAGGTTTCTAGTTAGAAGTACCTGCGAAAAGGGAGGAAATTACATAGAAAGTCGCATGTTGAGTCATAGAAGCACCGCATTGGATCGCCAGGAGATTGCTTTCCAAATTAACCACTGCAATTGCATCCTCCTGAGATTCACATTGACGGTCAAATCAATAATCACACAACATAATTTTATAATACAGCAGCAGCAATAGCAACATAATAACACTGCAGAAGCAGCATTATGGCAGCAGCCAAGAAAATGCAGCAGCACTGGAAAAATAAGAAAAACTTGGAAGAGAAGGATTCCACCCATAAACACACAGCTATCTAAACATGAATGTGAAAGCAAGTACCATGTTTGAGCCCTTGGTAGCAATTCTTTTGTGCTAACAATTAAATAGTTTCCTGACACATCATCCCCTGCCACAACATCATTCCGGCAACTGTTACAACATCATTGACCACCACCTACACTAAACCAACTGAAAGTTATAACTTATAAGAAAATCTACGTCAAAACTTCAACTGAATTAAGCAGAGCACAAAATAAAACAAAACCTATCTGCAGCTAGCAAATTTGCCGAAAGAACATATATATGGCAAAATTTAAACTGAGTTTGAAAGGAACAATTGGGTTCACATAAACAAACTACCTCCCTACTCCAGATATGTAAACAACCTTTCTGATATGGTATTGAAGCAGCAGCATAGCAGTTAGTTTAATGTAGTTTAGAATGTTGGTGAAGAAGAATTATTACCAGGGGAAGAGAGCTTAAGACCCCGATTGTAAGTCAACAAAGCCATTTCCTCCATTGTTTGGTGGCTACAATTACCTGCATGAATATGAAATTACAGTAACATGACATGGTTTAGATTCGAATATCCCCTCGGGAAAAAATACCAAAAATCCCTCAAAGCTAACCACCAAAACTGATCCAAATGGCAGGAATCAAGTTTCCTATTATTTATTATGAACTGCCTGGAAGAAGACTGAGTACCTAGATTGATTTTTAGTGAAGGGTACTGGGAATTCTGGAGAGAATTGAACTCCAACAAGGCAACAACAGAGACTCAAAGATCCAACTGGGCTTTGGTTCGATCGCAATACCCAATAAGAAAGGAGAGGCAAACTCATAGAGGAGAAGCAAGCAAGGATTGACAGAACTCACCAATTAATCTGTCAAAAACGTCGCGCATTCGGACAATCCATGGGGCCGCCAGAGGTAGGCATCCATATATGGAGGAGGGGCAATTTGAGGACGGGAGCTTTGTCCTTCCATCTGAGTTAGGAGAGGACGACGTGATTCATCGGAGCGAGTTAGGCAGAAGATGCGAAGTCGGAAGAGGATTAGGCGAAGAACCGAAAGGGCGAAGTGGGAATAGAGAAAAAAGCAAGCGAAGAGATGAATTGGAGGGAAGCGGGCCTCTTCCATTAATCAAAGGGAACAGGGAAAGGAGTTGCAATGAATGGGCGGTGGCGTGTTGAGCAGGATTAGAGTGGGCTGGTGAGTGGTGCTGTGGTACAGCGGCGTGTCCGGGAGAGGCATGGCGAAAGGAAGAAAGGGGAAAAAGTGACCGCTGCAGATTTTCCGGTAAAGCCGACCGGGGGCATGCGTACGGAGAGCATGGATATGCTGATTCGACTGGGTGCAGGAGGAGCTGGGCGTTGATTCGACGTAGGCGAAGCGGCAGCAGCAGCAACCAGCCAGTTGTGAGTAGCTGCTTTGGCGAAGAACTAAGACCCCCTTCCACTAAGCGACAGAAAGTGAAACAGTAGTAAAAAATTGGGGTAATAAAGCGTACCGGGCTTTTATCTTTGGCAAAATACAATTTCATAGCCATAACTTTTCGCGTTGTGACAAATATAGCCACTTTTTGAAAAATACACTCGTATAGCCACTTTTGAAAACTTGCTTGACAACTTTAGCCATTTTCGTTACAAAACTTTAACACCGTTAACTCTCCAATGATGTGGATGTACACGTCATCAAATGTATGCCACATGACAGCCACCTCAATTTAAATTTTTATTTTAAATAATTTCCTCAATTATTTTATTTCACCACAATTCTCTCTTTCGGAAAATACCCTCCCTTCCCATTCTCTCTCTCCCTTATCTCTTTTCCCACTCTTCTTCTCCACCACAGAGCAAGAAATTTTTGACGAAGATGGTAGAATGCGGCTCTCGGCAAGGATGCAGACCCTTCTGATGGAGCTTGAGGGATATGCCACGGACGGGACCCTTCTGGATCCGCTTCTTCAGGTGGGTGGAGAAGGCGGCGATCTTGTTGCGGAGGCGCTTGGACCCATTTTTGCCGCCGACGAGAGCGAGAGAGAGAGAGAGGAGAAGAGAGCTTAACCTAGTTGTGGATTTTAGGCCGCCGGTGGGGAGAGTGAAGAGGAAACTGTTGCTGGGGAGGAGTCAAGACATTTGAATTTGAATTTGGATGCGAATCTGGTGCATAAGGATGAAGTTTGGGAAGATGGGTTTTGGCGGCGAAATCGTGTTTCTTTTCTGCAGAATCGAGTTTATGCTCTATGGGTTTCTGTTAGGGGGTCAATGAATCAAGTTTTGGCGGTGGTGGGTGGTTGGAGAAGACGAGATCTTGTTGGAGAAGACGATGTGATTCCCTCTGTTTAGTGGTGGCGGCTGCGATTAGGGTGGCGGTGTAGAAGTCGGAAGGGACTGGATAAATCGTGGAGCTTCGTGACAATGGCGGCGTCGGAAGAGATTGTTGGAGTTGGCGACCTTGACTCCTCGACTGCTGGTGACTCCGTGGCCTCCTCCCTAGCTATTTCCGACTCGATGGGTCGTTGAAAGTGCATTTTCTTGTTCGCTGGGCTAAGGGGAATGGATTTATGTGTGTCGACGTCGATTTGCAGTGATGGTGGAGGGGTTTTACTGAGAAGTGGGACAAAATAATATGGGTGAAAGTCAATCGACGACAGCCGACGGGGAAGAGATGATCCGGATGGGTCTCCTGGGTAGATGGAAAGAAGGGGAAAAGAAGATGAAGAAGGCATGTCCATTTTTATGTATTGTTATTTTTACTTTTTATTGCAATTATAATAGTAAATTAATAAGAAATGAAACTTTCCACCTAGGATTGGTTTAAACGAAAAATCGCCACGTCACCAGAAAATGTTAGTACAGTCAGCATTTACAATGTTGCCGTTAAAGTTTGGGACGGAATGGCTATACGATTGTATTTTTCAAAAACTGGCTATATTTGTCATAACGCGAAAAGTTATGGCTATGAAAGTGTATTTTGCCTTTATCTTTTAAAGAATTCAAGTGTCAACATTATTTTGAACTGGTTTTTTTCGCTTTACTTACCTTAACTGCCTCTGCAAACTGGCTGAGAATATCTGGTATCGACTTCCAGACATCTTCCTCTGAAGAGTGTTGGAAGCCATAGGCGAGGTCATTCTGTCCAATGTCGAATGTATAGAGAGCTTTTGAGAATTCCATTGCCCTTGGAAGATTCCTCTGGTTACGAAGTCTGTTCGTCCGAGCTTTGAATTGCTTGAACTGAGAAATCTGCACACCCAAATGAAATGGACTATAGCCACCTGGACGAATCGATGAGCCTCCGGTTGCAAAATTCGCACCATGTCTGAAGTCTGTACCGACTGAGTCCAGGTATGCGCTAAGATATGGCAACTTCAGTCTCTCAGCTGTTCATCAAAACCACAAGAAAAAGACATAACTGCTGGAATTCTCAAGCTTGGTATTTCTTTAACATGGAGGACTTGGTTTCGGTTTTCTTCTTACCAATGAAATCTATGATGAGACGGCCATCACAAGATCTTCCTGAAGGATGCCCGAAGAAGGTTTCTCCATTCGGTGGAGGGATCTCTCCTAGAGCTGCAGATATTCCTCCAGTATCAGAATTAGAGTCCCCAAAGTTGTACATAGCCGGGAACTTGCAGTTCCGCACGTCAGCATGAGATCCCACCAGGGTCACATCTGTCACCATTTTCAGCACTAGAGTCCCAAACACTCCGACCAGCAGCTTCATTGAGTCCATTTCTGGGCCAAGGAAGTACAGAAAGCCAAACAGAAAAAGAAGAAGCAACTTGAGCTGTTTTAAGAGTTCCAACCTTGATGGCAAGTGATCAGACCTCTTTGTACTTTATAAAGTTCACATGTACCGTTGATTGGCAAAGACATCACTAAAGTAAGAAGAAACATTAGAAAAACTTTAGAAGGTGCTGCCAAATTTGCTCTTCACGGGGATAAGATTTATGGTAAGAGACAAAGGAAAACATGTCAGCACTTGCATCTTGTTTTGTCAAAAAGTACATCGTACTGTAAAGAGACCATAATATTTATCTTAGTACAGCAACAAATATAGGAACATTAGTTTTACCCTGCTGAGGAAGATCTGCTAATGTCTCGAGAAACAATGGATCTCAAAAGGTTCATATGACGCTTCTGATTGACAAGGATATAGATAATTAATTTCTTTCTCTATAGAAAACCCCAGATCTGAGCTACAATTTGCAGAGAACCAGGATAATCACATTTCATTGATTGCCAAACAATGGTTCAGCACAAATTTTCATGTAAAAGAATGATCGAAGGGCATCCTAAAAGAAAACGGCTTCGGGTCGGAAAACTATCAAGAACAGAACCTGTTACATCCCTAACAGACAACCTCTTTGTGTAGCTGCCGTGAGCTCCATGTACCATTCACAGCAGCGGAAGGGAAAATCACTGTTGGCAGCCTCATACTTTCCTGGACATGTGGGAAATCGATGGTGTAGTGGAGTCCTCGGCTTTCCTGCCTAGCCATCGCGCTGCCCACCACCAGTTTCGCACTACAGAAGAGGTTCCTCATTTCACAAGCCTCGAGAGCCACCATTGTCTGCTTCCAGCCCTGCTCGAATAAGAACTTCTCCCACTGTGTTTCCAACTGATCCACTCGTTCTAAGGCAGTTTTTAGCATTGATGTTGAGCGAACAATCCCGACATACCTCCACATAATTGATTGCAGTTCTCTCCTCACTTCCTCGGTTTTGCCCAATATGGTATCCATCGTATCAGTTCCGAGAGCATTGGGGACTACAGGGCGAGCCCAACAACTTGAAGCACTGAGATCAAGGCTAGAACTTTTCTTGTGGTCGATAGAGGGCTGGACAGCTCTTCTAGCAAAAACTAGTGCCTCAAGCAACGAGTTGCTGGCAAGTCTATTTGCTCCATGCAAACCAGTGCAAGCAACCTCACCTGCCACATAAAGACCTCGCACGTTTGTCTCACCCTCAAGCCCAGCACGGACTCCGCCACACATGTAGTGTGCAGCTGGAACAACAGGAATGGGCTGCTGAGTAATGTCCAGCCCATGCTGGAGGCACTCAGCGGCTATGTTGGGGAAGTGGGATAAGATCTTTTCCTTTGGCTTATGGCTTATGTCAAGCAGAACATATTTATCATTATGTTTCTTAAGCTGATCATCGATTGCTCTTGCTACCACATCACGGGGAGCTAGCTCAGCTCTCTCATCATATTTTGGCATGAACCTTTCCATGCTTAAATTGTACAGAATGCCTCCATCACCTCTGACAGCTTCGGAAATGAGAAAGGCGTTCTCTCGGGTTTTTTTGAGTTTTATCGGAAGCCCTTCATCGGCCAAAGCAGTTGGATGAAATTGCACAAACCTGAGGGTGAGCAGAAGCAGCAAAGCCATTTAGATGTGAAAGCGGACCCAAATACTGATCGCCAAGGAGTAGAAGAGTCAAATGGGTAAGTTTTGAATGAGTGGTTACTTGATACTTACTCCATATTCGAAATCACAGCTTGAGCTCTATGAGCCATAGCCATCCCATCTCCAGTAGCCACCTAATGATTGACCAAAATAACATGTCACGAAGATACAGAGGAATCACCAACTACATGATAGTAAGATATTTTATACATGAAATGCTCTAAATACAAATAAATTAGACACAGGAAACATCTTTGAAACAGTTCCATTGGTTTGTCAAACAATAATAGCTCGCCAGATAGTGGAGATTATAAAAAGAAATGTACCAGGGGATTTGTTGTGCAAGGATAGATATGCCCAGCTCCACCAGATGCAAGTAATGTGACCCTTGAAAGAAATCGAATTACCTGATGAAGAAAAATTGAAAATGATAATATCAGCAAGACTCCAAGACAACAACTTTAATGTCGTTAACTGACAGGGTTCAGTAAGCCCAATAATCACCTCTTGTGTTTCAGTATTCAAAGTATCAACACCACGGCAAACTGTGTCAGGGCCATCCTACATTTCCAGCAACAGAACTTCGTTAGTTTACACAGTCCAACTGGGATCCCTGAATTCTTTTTATTTGCCAAGAAAGGCTCTCTGAAATCGACCATAAGAGAATACTTGAAACACCAGATCAATAACCTGTGAAGTTAGCAGATCTATAGCAAAATGATGTTGGAAGACGGAGATATTAGGATCATTGATAACTGCCTGCAGCAAAGCTCGCTCGATCTCCCTACCAGTCATATCAGCAGCATGGACAATCCTTCGATGGGAGTGCCCTCCTTCCCTTGCTAGATGCAAATTTCCATCCTCCCCATGGTCAAACATTGCTCCCATGGCTATAAGCTCTCTAATCCTCTCGGGGCCTTCTGTGCACACAACCTAATGAAAGGTTACAAGTTTAACATGAATAAACAGCCAACTCAAGATATTTGGAAACCGGTCACGATTTCCCTTGATCTTACCCTGACAGTCTCTTCATCACATAGATAAGCTCCAGCTACGATTGTGTCCTGCATGTGGCTCTCTACAGAGTCTTTAGGACACAAAACAGCACTAACACCACCTTGAGCATAATTTGTATTGCTCTCATGAGGCTCGGCCTTGGTGATGACTGCAACAGTTCCATGCTTTGCGACTTCAAGAGCATACCGGAGGCCAGCCACCCCACTTCCAATGACTGCAAAATCAAAGTACTTTGTGGAACCACCATCTCCAATGCAGGATGACACACTGAGCCTCCTTGTTACAGCTGATTGAGAGAGATTACATTTTTTTGGCATCTCCAAGACCTTGAATGCCCCTTGAGACCTGAACGAAGACCAAAAATGCCAAAGAGATGGTATCATGAGCAAGGCCCTCAATCACTAGAGAAAATTTTGAACTCCAAATTCAACCAAAACTCCACACAAGCAAAATCAGTGAAAAAGAACCGTTTGAGAAAATTAAAGATCCCCCGTGTAAATTTACCATGAAAGATCCTTGTGCAACCATCCATTGAAGGAAAGCGCTGGGGAGTTAGTACAGGCTGATTGTCTACCGCTCTGAAGACGCCTGCTGGTATTGAATCCAGAATGGAGGTTGCTGCTTCCTGTCGCTACACTCGCAGCCATTGAGAACAGAAACTCTGTTTCGAAATCTGAAATTCTTTACCTGTTCAATATGAAAATTGAGATTACCCACCAAAGAAAGAGCATCAAATTTGAAGCAAGGATAACTGATTCGCCATGCAATCGGCATCCCTCCCTGTTTCGATGCTCCACTTATTCCATTTAACTAAGCCGAAAGGCAAGTCTTTTCAGCTTATATTTCTATATCTCACCGCCCAGAAGCAAACTTTTTGCAGAATTTCACTTGGTACATGGAGAGTTTTACAAGACTTCCGGTGGTTGTAACCAGCTCGAAACTAGAACAACATGCAAAAGAGAAGCACTTTCTGCTTCCCGTACTGCAAGTCCTGAAGAACACCATATCCGGGAACAAAAAGAAGAGGAGGGAAACGGGCATTCGGTGGATCCAAATAGCTTTTACCAAAATTTCCAGGACTTTCCCGGGCAGTCCAACTCCGAATTCCAAGCACATACTCAAGACCCAAAAAATGCAAATCGAAAAGACCAACCTGAAAGGTTAAAGGATAAAAAAAAGAAAACAACTTACTGGGATGTTTCTTCACCAAAATTCTGAAAAAAAGCACAATCCCGAATCTGGGTTTTTCTAATCCTCAAATCATCACCATTGGTAGACAGATCCAGAAACAAAAACGCGGCTCTTGCTAGCAGGAAGATGAGTCAGTAATTAACCCACGACTATTGCGAGACGTTGCTTAAGCAGTTAAGCCGACGACGAATGCAGCTGGTCGTCCTTCCGGCTCGGTGCATAAAACCAAACCCGATTTCCGAAGCGCGAATGTGTTCGACAGCGAAAGGGCAATTTCCCCAACGGTACAAAAAACAGAGCGAAAGAGAGAGGAGAAAGAGAAATTTCGAGGCGCCACCGATAACACGCAAAGGTCAGGGAAAGAAGAAGAGAATGGTTTCTAGTTGGCCTCTTGTTTTGGGGTTTTGGTCCTTGAGAGTCAGAACCATCGCAGAAATTGGCGCCATCAGTTTTTACGGTTTGCACAGGTTGAACCCTTGTGCTGCCAAACCACGAGGCTTTAGTTTGCACAGGTTGGACATACCATTCCTTGTGCTAAACGAATTGGCATGAAATGGGGTTGTTATGAGGATTCGAAACCATGACCTTTCGGTTCTAGGCTCTGATACCATGTTAGCGAACTAACCACTTAGCCCCAATAACTCGAGTTGTTGGGAAAGGGATAGTTAAGCCTTTTAACCTCTTATACCACGTCCACAATTGTTCTTTTTCAATTTCCTAGTACATGTCCATATTTGTTGTTTAGTTATCCAAATCTATTTGTCTTTGTCTAATACTATTAGACTAAATTACAGGTTTGATCATTCAATTCATCAAAAAAAAATTCACTAAACAAATTTTTTTTCTTATAGTCACTAAATTTAAACGTCGTTTGGTCGATGGTTATTTGTTGTCCAACTCCGTTAAATTCCTCCTAGAATACTCATTGGGCTTTAATTTTATACGTTAATGTTAGTGTTGACTTTACATAAAGCAACTTCAAGTTCTGAAGGAGCATTTTCAACAATGAAGTTCTTCAATAATAATGATATTTGAGATGGGATGACTTTCCGATATTCACGGTTATCCGAAAACAACATACATCTTGATGTGGTAGATTCGATCATACTCATTACCCCTTTTTACGTGCTCTTTCTCGGACAACTTACCTAAAATAAACATAAACTTTCAACCAAATCTCACCCATCAAATGTACAGGACTACTTTGATGGAAAGTGTAGTCCAGTTAAATGTCTCCACTAGTTTGGTTCTTTTTCTTCGTGATCAATCACTTTTTTTTTTTATAAAGTTAGTAAGGTTCTTTGATGCATGGCTCTCAAGTTTCAACTCTCAACCATGCGAGAAGATAAGAGACTCCAAGGCCTTTTATGATTCTGTTCCATATTCCCAACTCTCTCCCTCCATGCTCGATCAATACTCTGAATCTGATCCATGGCCATGATGCTGACGGCGGCTTATGTGGTGGATCATGGATGGCTAGTGGCCGTTAATTTGTTCTTCATTGGTAGGATAGGAAAAGTGCTCGAAAGAAAGAAGGAGCTTTAATAGACGTCCAAAGCCCATAGGATTTGGCGGCCCAGCATCACTTCAACTGTATCAGTCCATTGGACTCCCTCCCATAGCTCAAAACTCCAGCCACTCGATGCTCTATTGGGCTGAAGCCTTTTTAGTGGGCTGGTCTGCATGCTAGGCTTCTAAGGTGGGCTTTTAGCCATTACAGTATTTGGGCGCTTTTGCTTATTCTAGATTTGAAATCAAAGCATTCATAAATCATAATCATCTTTGGGGAGGAGTGTATTAACGAGATCCTATTACTTCGTTGGGCGCGACCGCCATTTTCAGAACTTCGCGAGTATCTGCGCATGTAACCGGCGCGCCACGGAGAACAATCACCATCATCATCATCAATCCCTTCTTCCCACTCTTCTCCTCCTCCTCCTCTCCCATCAATTCCTTGCGTTCAGCCACCGCAGGCTTCTTCCGAACAAACGACACAATGGGGAACGTCGTCACCTCCTCGGCACCGCCACCGCCGATGGTTCTCGTCCCTCCGCTCTTCGACTTCCCGCCTCTCGCCGCCCGCAACAGGTTACCGAATTACCGATTCCTCTGCTTTTTTGTTTGTCTATCGTTCTTTTCTTCCCTCTTTCCAATGTCGCTGCGTGGTAGCAGTGGCGGAGGCGGTGGTGGTGGCGGAATTTAGAAATCGTGGGGTGTTATGGCAGGATGCTGGAGTCGTCGTACAACTTGTTGTTTGGGAAGCTGGCTTTGAAATGCCTGTTCGAGGATTATTTCGAGGAAGCCAAGCATTTCACCACCATGATCATGCTGAAGCCAATTGACGATCCTCATGTGGATTTGATTGCAACTGTAAATCCTAATTCTCTTTTCTCGTCCTTTTGAGTGTTTAATTCTGAATCTAGTGATTTGGAAACTTGGAAGTATTCGTTTTGACCTTAACTTGATTTGCTCATTAGGTTTCAGGGCCATTGGACCACAAACCTGAGGAGAATGTTGACGGAAGTGCATTTTTCCGCTGGCAAAGGTGCTGTTGTCGTTCGTATTTGCTCTCTGGTTCTGGCCTTATGTTAGTTAGATGTGATAGTTTTACGTTTCTTCATGGCAGCAGTGATGTGCATGATCCTCATACATTCATGGACATCTATGCATCAAACTCTGATCCGTAAGCTAACTCCCCACCTTCCAATCCGCAATTTCGTTTCTAAGTATGTCAAAATGTGAAATTGCTTAGGCATATTGCTTTGCTTCCTTCAGTATTCTACGACTGAGATCATGTGCTTTCTATCCGAGATTTGGAGTGGGAGCGTTCGGTATATTGCCCTTATTATTGAGGAAGAGGTACTGCTTTGTCCCTTTAGCATTTTAGGTTTTGATAGTTTATAAGCCTGCTTCTCAAATGTGTTCTTACGATGGAGGTCGTTATTTCAGAGTTGCTTCTGAAGATTATGGAGTCATGGGACTGAGATATGGCTCCGAGTGCTTATCAATTGGAGCCACCGTGTTGCCTTTTGCTTGTAGGTGTAGTAAAACTATGTAGATATAATGAATGTCCTAGCTTATTGTAGGACTAACTGGACAAGCCGTATTTCCCCTTGTTTCATTTCTCAGATGTAACATTGTCTGTGCAAAGTCTGCAGTCGCCACAAACTTACCTCATTATTTGGATCTTGTTGCTTTTAAATTTCAGTGCAAGAGGAGTTGCCAAAGAATGCATGGTTAGTAAGCAAGATCGGAAGGTTGTCTCTTGGAGTACAGTATGAGCCTCAGTGTAAGTTGCACTTCTCCTTGATTGGGTTTTATGGATTGTGCATCTTTGGATCATTATATATATATATAGTGTCTAGTCCCACTTGTATTTCATTCTATTTCTGTTCGGCTGTATGCATGTGTTAAGTGAATAATGGCAGTTCTACACAGTGCATGCTATTCATTTTCTCTTCTGTTTCTCATTCATTTTCTACCTTCCATGCATAATTCTTGTTTATCTGTCAGTTCCTATTGTAGTTGCATTTGGTTAACATCCATCATGACATTTTGTTGAAATAACTAGGAGAGGTGGCCAATAACTGTGAGGATATTCAGAACCTAGCAGCATTTATTGTCGTTTATGAAAAAAATGAAGCAATTTTTCTGTTAATTAAGATGGTTCTGGTTAAAGGACTCGTGAGAAAAGGCACTTACGGGGGTACTGTTGGTCGAAAAACGGAGAAGATTGTGCTTTAATGTCCTCTGAAATAGTGGTCTAGTTCATTGCACATTTTCTAGGCCAGTTCTGGTGAACTCTTACATTCAGATGGTTGCCAATCGTTATAGGGCTTCTACTCTTTCCATGGCACTGCTATACTATGCAATAGTTTATGGATAGCCGTCGATAAAGAACAATTTTTTCTTTCAATTTGCAAAACGTCATTGTTTGGCTGGCTATTTCTTATTAGTTGGTAGTGTGAATGGTGCCAAGTACAAGAATCCCAGGAACTGGAGTGCCGCACTTGGATATGGAGTAGGATCAGCGAGCCCCATAAGTCCTTCCTTTAATTTTGGTCTTGAACTTGCTCAAAGTTCCCAGGTTTGTGCCTTTGGCCTTGTTATACATATTATTATTTAATTCTTTGTTCACATTTGCATGTAACGTATGTCGACTTAAGTATATTGAAGTTCTAACTGTTGTTCGCCTGCAGTGTATTAGAACTTGCTTAAATTTTCATAAAAGTTCCTTTATTTGACGTTAGCAAGTGATTTGCGGCAAAAGCATTTCAACTGACCAATATCAAATGCTTGTTTTGTATTGCAGTTTATTGCCTCGTTCTATCAACATGTGGTGGTTCAGAGACGTGTATGTTCTTAATTTCTCTTACTCTCTATTCATTGTTCCTACATTTGCTATTAATTGTTAATAACGCCCCCTAATTAGCCACTCTGTGCAGAAATTGTTTCTTAATTTTTTCAACTAATTGTCTGATGGAAATTTTACGTTGTTAGTACTTAGTGGTGAACCATTAGATCATACGCATTTAAAAGTTCATGATCATATTTTCTGGCATTTTTAAGGGCTTAGGAAATTGACTCTTTGCATAGGGTTGTACAGTGTTATATCCCAAAATTGTTGTTTTGAGAGCTCTGGATTCAAGGTTTTAGTTTTGTGTTACTGGACTAGAATGTCGTTGGGTCATCAAACTGGTGAAAGTATCTTGTCTGATGACTATATGCTTCTTTTAGAAATAGTTATTGCATTAATATCGAAATGTTATAAGTTATAACTTATACAGATTGATAGGCTTAAGTACTTACTGTTTTCACAAAGTTCGATTTATCTTGTATAAGTGTTGACTGTTTCACCACCACCTGCACAGGTGAAGAATCCATTTGAAGGAAATGAAGTAGTTGGAATCACAAATTATATCGACTTCGGATTCGAGTTGAAGACAAGGTAATTTAGGTTACAACTGTCATATTCAAGTTGCATGTTTAGTTCTAACATATTCATATATTCATGTTATTGAAAGGATCGATGAGGCGAAAGTGTCGAAAGATCTACAAGACTCCACCTTCAATGTTGCTGCATCCTGGCAGGCCAATAAGAATTTCCTTCTTAAGGTACTACTTAGATGCAGTCTCACCCTCAAATAACTTCATATTATAGGAGTGCACATTGTCATATCCTTGATCTAATTTTTGCAGGCAAAGATTGGTCCCTTGGCCTCATCTGTTGCATTGGCATTCAAATCATGGTGGAAACCTTCATTTACCTTCAACATTACAGGTGCCTTGCTATCTTATTTACTTGATTTACTTCTTAGTTGCTTCCTCTGTTGTAATTTGTAAATCATCCTGACAGGTTATGTATTGCACAACTGTTCTACCTTTCTTCGCGTTTACTTCCTTGTTTATGTCCGAAGTTGGATTGCTGAAAGCTAGGTTATTTCTGAATGTGATTAGAGGTTATATTTTGGCGATATTGCTCTCGTCGATTCAGTGGTCTGAAGCATCAGTGATATGCTATTGATGCCATATTGACATTATGTACTGTTTTAGGAAACTCTGTGGAGATTGACTAACTTCTTGTTCCCATGTTCTTGCAGCTACCAGAGATCGAATGACTGGAAAAACAGGATACGGTTTTGGCATCCGTGTGGAAAACCTCCGAGAAGCCAGGTTCGTGAACATGCTTTTTTACGATCGTACTTCTTACACAGCTACAGGTTTTTGAATGCCTATGTTGTTATTCATCTCTCCCTATGCATGCAGCTACCAACGAGCGGATCCAAATTTCGTAATGCTGACACCAAGCAAAGAGCACTTAGCAGAAGGCATCCTTAAGAACGGGAATCGACCCATGTTGCAAGCTGATGTCAACTCTGGTAACTACGAAGGCCTGCCCAGAGAAATGAGACCTTATGGCAAGATTCTATAGAGAGATAGAGAGAAAGATCTTCCCCACCCCACCTCCCTTTTCTTTTTATCTCATGAAGTTGTGTAGAACTTCGTTTCCCTCTTCCTTTTCCTTTCCTGAATTAGGTAGCATTCGAGTTAGAAAACCCTACAGAGTAACACTTGACATCGTTGGATTACCACTCCCTCACATTTTCAGAGGCGAAAATTTTGAAAAAATAATGGCTTTACGAAGTGATTCGAACAGCTAATTTGACGACTTCAGTTTGCGCTGCTACATAAGAATACCGTATTTTTAGAACATTTTTCTAGAAATGAATACAAAAATGTGTATTTTGATTTTTGACTGTTAAGTTTTGACAGTGACACAGTACAGTGAGTAGAACTGGACTGGAGCCTTCTCTCGCTCGCTCACCACAGAAACTCTTCGCAAAGAGACAACAAGCAAACGCAAGCAGGCTGAGCTCGAACCGAAAAGCAAGACTAATTAACAGAAGAGAAAAGTCCTCCGTAGTCCAGGAGGATACAGATGGCGGCCTCTTCTTCTTCATCATCGTCATTCCTAACTTCCACCTTCTTCCCTCGCTCACCAACCACTTCCTTCCTCCTCCAACCGCGCTCCCTTCCCTCCCTTCTCCCTCTTTCCAAATCCGTTTCTCTCCGTGACGGCCGGACGAGCGCCACCGCTCCTCCTCGCGCCGTCCTCTCTTTCCTCCGCAGGACTTCGATCAGCTCTCTTCCTTCTCCCTCCGCAGTCTTTCCTTCCCGGAAATGCTCCGACGACTTGACAGACTCGTCGTCTTCGGCTGCTTCTGTTGTCGATGTAATTCTTGTAGTGTGCGCCTCCGTCGCGCTGTCGTTGTCTCTGTTCCTGGCCGATGTCGACTCCGCCGCTGCGTTCGTCGTCACCACTCCCCGGAAGTTGCAGGCGGATGAGCTCGCTACTGTTCGCCTCTTCCAGGAGAACACTCCTTCCGTTGTCTACATCACCAATTTGGCTGTCAAGTATGTGTATCGCAATTTCCTTCTCTCTTGCTCTTTGCTTTCCGTTCAATTTTTCACCTGTTTACTGATGATAATGGCTGTCGCAGGCAAGATGCTTTTACTCTGGACGTGCTGGAGGTGCCGCAGGGATCAGGATCGGGGTTCGTTTGGGACAAAAATGGTCACATTGTCACCAATTATCACGTCATTCGCGGCGCTTCCGATCTCAAGTCAGTTAATTCGATTCCTTCACTAATCCTCCTGTCTCATTGACCAACATTTCAGATTCATTAGCTAGTCTGAGAGCTTCGTTGCTGCTAGTTTTCTATATTGTGATTGCGGGATTGTGTGATGAACTGATGATGGAGTTAGTTGGGAAATGGGAGCACTTATAGGGGTCTTATCAGATTTTGGAGTGTTCCTCTCTTAAGTTAGGTTCAAATGTCATGATAGGACTTCAAATTTGCCGAGACTCCTCATGGTCCTCTAAGTTAGTTTTCTGTGATGGAAACTGTTGAAGATAAGAGAGGCAAGAGGTAGACTCGTATTATTGGCATTCTGAGGTGGTTCTTGGTTTGTATGCAGAGTGACTCTAGCTGATCAGACATCTTATGATGCAAAGGTCGTTGGATTTGACCAAGATAAGGATGTTGCGGTGTTGAGTGTCGAAGCGCCGCTAGACAAATTGAGACCCATTCCTGTTGGTGTTTCTGCTGACTTGCTTGTTGGTCAGAAGGTCTATGCTATTGGTAACCCTGTGAGTATGATCCACTCTCTTTTCAATCTAGGATGTGAACTATGACACATTTAAGACATTCACCATAAAAATCTGGAATGAGTTTATGTTTAATTTCATGGATTTTGTATGCACTGTATCAACAAAGTCGGATGCTTTTTGCATTTGCATTTTTATATGCGGCTTGAAGATCAAGACTTGAGATATAATTTAAATGCAAATTCTAATTCTTCTATGTTTCTAACTTGTCTAGTATTGTATGGCTGACCGACTTTCAAATTGTTGTTTCTATTCTGCAGTTTGGGCTTGACCATACTCTGACCACCGGTGTCATCAGGTACAAAGTCATAGAAAGTATGTCGTATATTGTGGTTATGCCTTAAACGGCTTGTTCCACTCGATTTTGCTAGTCAATCAGATGGATCTTTTGTTACCCCTATCTTATGCCTCAGGGAATTGTCTGTATTGTGCTCGAATTACCATTCCTAGATTTATAAAGTGCTGTACAGTAGAGTATTGAACCAACCTACATCCAAATGATTTCAAAGAACTGAATATAACTAATATATCAAAAGAATATAAGTAAGACTGAAGGTGGCTAATCTCTCCGCTATTGCAATGTGTCCTTTTTGTGAAACACAGGGCGTTTGCTTTTTGCCTGTTTCACTAACAGTCTTTTTATATGTTGTAGTGGACTCCGTAGAGAAATAAGCTCTGCTGCTACAGGCCGTCCAATTCAGGATGTTATCCAGACGGATGCAGCAATTAATCCAGGGAATAGTGGAGGCCCACTTCTCGATAGTGCAGGAAACTTGATTGGGATAAACACAGCCATCTATTCACCATCTGGCGCATCCTCTGGTGTCGGGTTTTCAATTCCAGTCGACACTGTAAGTAATAAGTACGTAGCTGATTTACCTCAACTCTTCTCAGAAACAGAGAATCATCGCCAAATTGATGACTGTATTGCAACTTGTTTGATTGTGTGAATACAGGTGAATGGCATAGTTGATCAGATAGTGAAGTTCGGCAAAGTCACCAGACCGATATTAGGAATTAAGTTTGCGCCTGATCAATCAGTGGAACAGTTGGGCGTAAGTGGGGTGCTTGTCTTAGATGCTCCTGCAAGTGGCCCAGCAGGCAAAGCTGTATGCCTTCTTTCACTGTCCCCCAGACTTCTTTACCTCACGGGGCCAACTATTCTTGGTTCACATCCCTGCACCCTCTGCTCATATATCTCTACTTATTACAGGGCCTGCTACCAACTAAACGTGATGCATACGGTAGACTCATATTGGGCGACATCATAACATCCCTGAACGGGAAGAAGGTCGCGAATGGAAGTGATTTGTACAGAATTCTTGATCAATGTAAAGTGGGCGAGACGGTATGGCCTCTGCTTTTTATCTTTTTTCATCGGTCTACTGCTATGCAATCATCTTTGTAATTACAGCTTTGTTCTTAACACGAGCAGGTGACGATAGAGGTGCTCCGTGGGGATCACAAGGAGAAGATACCCGTAATTCTTGAACCAAAGCCGGACGAGTCGTAGATGGGATTTGGCTGAAAGTGGTCAGTTCTTCAGCTCTCTGGTTGTTTAGGCTATAGACAGCCCTTCTGCCATGCAATGCAATTGTTTCACTGAATTTGAGCTGGAGGGGCTTTGTTGTTGTACATATTCTGTATCCGTCACTGGCTTAACTATCAATATCTGCCTACAATTATGAATTATCACAGTGATGTTAACTCACTACAGTCTCGACTCTCGAGCTTGCCCTTTCAGAAATTCCGTAAGTGGGATTTGGAATGCTTGCTCGTGACTTGTGATATCGTCGTGAGAATACTGTTCATTTCGGTCATGAATACTCCAAGCTGGGCTTTATCTGTGTTCGTGATTGGGCTTTGGATTCGAGATGCGTACAGTGAAAGTTCCCTTGCTATCAGAACCGGACTGAATCGGACCGGCCAGATACGTAAAACCACCAACCAAATGCGAAATCGGTTCCAGCTTCTATTTAAATGGCCATAAGATCAACACCATGTGTCCATGTCCTCTCCATAGAGCGATGTGGCTTCATCGTTAAAATTTTAATTGGGGTGTGCAATATTATGGCGCATCTTCTTATATGGATGGGATTTCAAAGATTATGAATAGCTATGCCATTTATTTTTCTCATTTTGTAATTAGGACCAATTGTACTATCTAAATTTTCAAGAATGTAGAAATATCTATAGAAATGTTTTGAATAGGTTGTTTGGATATTATTGAGAAATGTCATTTTGGTCAACGAAATTTTCAATATGGGTTTCCTTCTCTATTGACAATTGGGCATGAGATTTGAGATGCTTTCAATGGTTAGAGTTGTTGAATCTGGTTGCCGTGTGCCTTGATCATTCTATGATTGCGATATTTGCTGATTTTAGCTTCTAAAAAGCACAGGTCACCAATATGGATGACAATTACCCACTTAATCCATTTTTTTACAAGTAGAGGTCAACTATGCATGGATTTGGGTAATCTTTGTGTAGGGCAAGATAAATTATGAGTCTTTACTTTCAAATTTAAATTGGACATTTATTGTGATGGCCCCATTTCTTTTGGTATTGTATTGAGTATTTACCATCAACCCTTAGACTTGTTTGTAAATCAACAGTATAATTTATAGCTGAAAAATAAAATTGTCACCCCATTCAAATTTTCCTGTCCATAGAGTGATTTTAGGAAGCTGATGTGGCAGGGTGTTGAGCGGGGGAAAAATAGAACTCCCCGCCAGATTGCAGAACTAAGAATCGTCCACTACCCACCTTTTTCTCCTGGTTTCCCACGTTATCATTTATTTTTCATTTAATTTTCGTTTGGCTGAAATACCACCTTTTCTACTGGGTTATCCTTTCGCCTACCCGCAGGACAGGAGGAGAATCAGTTTCCATCGGAAAATTCTCGTAAGAGGCGTCACGGTTTCGTGTTCAGCGGAGGAAGGCGCTGACGGCCGGCTGTTGCTGAGTTCATGGGAAGACGACCAGACGTTTTGGTGGTCAGTGGCGGAAAGCAGTGACGGCCCGCTTCTGCTGCGACTGAGGAGATCGCGTTTGGAGTGCAGCGAACGATCTCCGTGGCGAAGAGGTTGTCGACGATCGAGGCTTTCCCTTCCGGCGAGAAGCACAACTACTGCCGCCGCCACCACCGTCTCCCCCGCCGCCACGAACCCTGCTTCTTCTTTCTTCTCTGCTTCAGCCTCTAGAAGGTCGCTACAAATCGCTCCAGCTACTCGCATCCGTTGAGGAGCCATCGCCGCAGGGCTCGACGCAGCTGCTGCGGCCACTGCCGCCATCAGCGAAGCGCTCATCATCCCCTTCTTATCCCACCCGCTGCCGTTGCTTCCGTTTCCTTCCGCCGAGCACTTCACCACTCTCCCTCTCTTCGCCATCGACGGCAGCCCTGCATATCACCCAATCGATTCAATTTCTTGGTTCCCCCAAGATGAATTGATAAAAGCCAGAGGTAATTGTGAATTTTAGGGGAGGGGGGCGAGTACTCACCGAGAACTGGGGCGGAGGAAACCCCTAGAGAGGGGTTGCGACGGAGAGATGCATGGATGAAGGAAGAAGTTGTGGTTGTGGCGGAGATGGACGCCATTTTTCACACTCTGACCCTGGGAAGGAAGGAAGGAAGGGATTAGGACGGTAGCTGGTTCTGTGAGAAAGTACTGGAGGTAGTGAGTTTTGCAGAGGTGATATAATTTGCACAGCTTAATACTGACCATAGAATTTGCCCCCATCACAAAGTTCCATGCTAAGTTAATCTCCTTATTGGATCTTTTAGTTGTGTATAATTCTTGGTTTCGTGATATGGTATTGTAGATATGAGCAGGTGAGGTTTGGAACGGACCAGAGCATTAGCAGCAGTTGGTTGTGGGATGGTATGTGTAAAATGGAATCATGGTAATTACTTGGCTCTACTCATATAGGTAGGCTATATTTGAACCTCAAGGGAAGAATTCTCTTGCCACTTTTTAAGCTTTTTGTTTAGGTTTCCAACGTCAATGTGTGACTGCTTTATGTCAACATAATCAAGCTTAATTGAAAGCAATACTTCCCACTTTGTTCACTCAATTTTTCTGTGTTTCACGGCTTTCTTATCTAACTTTTTTGTTTCTAAATTGCCTCTATTTTGGATATAACTTGCAGTTTAGGCTATGTAATCGACAACTAATGATTTAATCCATGACCTTCGGAAGAACGGTTTGAGTTTACATTTTCCTTATGTCATTAGTTCTTATAAGTAATTTGTTGAGTTCTTATGCTAATGTACGGTCTCTTTTTTCTTTTTTTCCTTTAGTAGTTTGGTCCAAGAAATCATGTGATCATTAATCTTTTCTTTAAGATCACTAGGTTCATCGATTTAGTTTGCCAATCAAGCATTTAACCTTCATTTAGTTCCTAATTGAGAGCGTAAGATCATTTGTATAATAATAGTACATGCCTCCGATACTGTGTTAAGATGGAACTGAAATGAGTTGGATGTGTCTTTGTTTGGTCCACTTTTATTCAGTGTTCAAGAAGACGCGATTAATCTCTCGCCTAGGCGCGATTAATAGCTGGGCAGGAGGAAATCGCCCAGTCTAGCTCTGGGCGATTGATCTAGGCACCACCTGGGCACTCGGAGACGCGTTTTCACTTTGGTGGGCGACGCCCAGAACAACTAATAAAGGGGAAATTGTAGCCTTTTTGTGAAAATCCCAAACCCTATTCTATTTCCCCTTTCCACCCGCTCTGTAGCCTCCCCGAGAACCTGCCCAATCCTCCTGGAAGATTGATCAATCTGCACTCGCATTTGCCGGATTTGGTAGGCTAACTGGGTTGCCGGCGCCAATAGTCTCTCGAAGGCCCAGAGGTTTCTATTTTTCCATAGTTGCCAACAGAAAGTAGCAAAGAGGGATGCGTCTATCGGTCTATGGTATTAATAGTCATCTTTATCACTATGCTTTTCATTTTATTTGTTGCTTCTAATTATAATGATCAACAGATAAGTCAGTAAAATATGTGATCGCGTTGACCTATGAATCAATTTGGTATTGTGCAAGTTGTTGAAAATAAACACTATTTCAAGAGACATTGTTTTATGCAGGTATAACAGCTCCATTCTCTACTAGCAAAAGCAAAGTCGATCATTTGCCTGGAGGGAGGGAAACATCTTTGGGAATCTTCTTGAAATTCCCCGACTTTTATTGTTGATCATCTGACCTTCCAAAAATAGCGATGAGCATAATGTAATTGTCCAATTTTTTGCAAGAGGATAATAGATTACCAACTAATTCACAAATAATTCTTGAGCTTTACGGATGGTATTCTTTTTAATTAATTTTCTTTATTATATTTATTTATTGTTATAAATTTTCACTTCATAATGTTAGTATACGTGTAACTATAAACATAATTGTTGAAAGCGTACTAATATTTGTGGATACTCGAAACCTAATATGCTATGAAATAGGTGGCAGACACAAGGACTGTCGTAAATTTAGCATATGTTATACTATCGAGCTAAAAGCCGAGCACAAAGCTAAGAACAAATTTATGTGCACACAAATTTTTGACAAATTTTTTTTTATTTGTTGGTGGTACATATTTGTTATAAATTTTTAGAATCTTTCAAATGACATAGTAGACAAATCTATAAGTGTTGACTTTTAGATATCAAAGGCAACACCAAAATCAATTATAAAAAATCCATATTGATTTCCTAAAATCATGAATCTTTTTCAGAAACTTAATTTTCACAACAAATGATTGTATGTTTGAAGTGCCTTATTTAATTAAAATTTTGAAGAAATAATTGGAATATTTCAGATATGTCCATTATAATACAATTGTACTATCCGTATACATTAATGTTAGCTATTAACAACCACAACTGCTTTTAGAGATATATATTATTTAAAAATGAATTATTAGTTAATAATTTTGTATTTTCTCAATTAGTACCTAATGGTTGTCGACCATAAAATTTGAATCCTTTATTTGATAAATTTTTATCCCTCCAAATTACTAATAGGGAAAATCCCTTGGAGTTTATAATTAATACTTCAATGCTTAATTATTTTATTTTCATGGATATAATAGAAAAATAAGTGAATAATATCAAATTTTATGAAGAAATATTTTTTAAGTAATTTATTCTAACAATAGGAAGTGATTTTTTTCTTAAATGTAAAAAATATATAGACAACAGCAAGCGATAGCATGATCAATACAAATAATTATAAACTAACTAATGTTACAATCAATAATTCGCACAAATATTAGTTTCAACCCACTAATAAATTATTTAGACGATCCCAAATTATTTGAAAATATGAAAAAATAGATTAATATAAAAATATAATAAATAAAACTAAATTCATCCGACCAACGGGTCGGGTAAAAAGCTAGTTTTGAATACGGCAAAAAGGAGTAACTTCCATAGAATTTTATGGAATATTTGTAAGAAATGAAGGTGCACAAAAAAAAATTGAAGGTACTAAATTGTAAAACATTTTAAACTTGTGTATAAAATTATAATTGTTTGAAAATGATGTGATTGGATAAAAACCCCATACCCAAACCATATGGTGGATATTATATTTAATCATTTAAGTGGAATGAAGTGAGATAGGATGAGACGACGATATAAAGAGTTTCTCTTCTAATGCAATTCGTCATTTTAAAAAATAATTATGTCAGGAGTTCCTCTTTCTATATGCAAGAAATTTGAAGTATTTAGCCTTCATTTAGACAAAGGATGATGACGTAGGCTATTTGGCTTTTGGTTATCTTATCTATGTACGCATAAGATCGTTGATGACCTCTAGTTGTTGAACTTGATGAACTTTACTGAATAGTTCTTAGTGAATTTTTTGTATGAATTGAAAATTGGGTCCCAACAAACGATTTTACAAACATCGAACAATGTCTGAAGATATTTGTATGTTATAATTATTCTGTGGAAACCACCTCACTCTCTTCAACTCTTGAAAGTAACAAATTGAAGGCCAGAAAATCTAATAAAAGAGCCCATATGTCAACCATGGAATTTCATCCAAAGTCCCTAGTAGAGCTTCCAGTGGAGAATGGTGGCCACATCTTTTACCTACCAAAACACATGGTCCATTTTATCATCTCATAAACAAAACTCATCCGAACAACAAGCGGGTGAAAAGAAAAAAAAAACTAGTATATATAAGATGTGATTTTATTCAATGCGCATATAGAGAGAGCTCTCCTTCGTGGAAAAAAAGGAAGTACATACATTGATTTTGGCATGAAAAGGTAAAGAAGAAAAGTAAAAATGAAGGGAAGGGGTTGATGGGTTATAGCTTATGATTAATTAGGGAAACCATCAAAGAGGGAGAAAAAGGCGAGCGGTTGTGTTGGGGGATCATACTGAAATCGGTGGAGAAAGGCCGTACTCAAGGCTCCACAGCTCAAACCCTCCATTGACGAAGTCATAGTATCCTCCATACAACTTCAGTGTCTTCTTCGAAAGCCCGTCTCTCACAAATGGATATGTCAGCAGATTTGCCAGCGACACGTTCACGGCCTCCTGCAATATAACATGGACGGGTAACAAAATGTTTATGTCTAAATAAATAATATTGCTGCTGCATGAATAAGCACCAAAATCCGCAAATCGAATGATAGGATCTCGTAGAAATTTGCTCATGGTGAACCATGAAAAAATGGAACTTTTATCTACTAGTACACTTGCCTTCTCACAGGTGGTGCATTGGTCACCAAAAGCAGCACTGCCGTTGTCAGACAACACCTTCTTCTTGGCAGGGATCCCAATTGATACCCAGTCTTCTATGAAATCACTGCACATCCATTCATCCCAAATGACCAAAAAAACAAACTGTTTAGGTTAAAATCAAACACTCTTGAATTGATTAGGAAAAAAGAGAACAATGATTAGAGTAAACTTAATTACGTGGAAGTAGTGCCATCGAATGGGAAGGACATGAGACCCTTGATTCCACCACAAGCACTGTGTCCAATCACCACTATGTTCTCCACCTTGAGATGCAGCACTGCGTACTCTACCGCAGCTCCAACACCAGCATATTTCACCTGTAAATAATTGTTTATCAACATAGCTCGAGTTGTGAGAAAGATTAAGCGAAATATATATTAGAAGTGAATTGTTGCGAGAGGTTGAAGAAATGACAGACTGACTGACCTGGTCGAACTGAGGAACCATGTTTGCAACATTGCGGACCACGAAAGCCTCTCCGGGCTGCATATCCAGAACGTGGGATGGGCAGACCCTCGAATCCGAGCAGGCAAACACCATGTACTGCTCCCCACACAAGAAAAGAAAATAGAAAATTAACTTTGAATAATAAGCTTTGGAAGAGTATAATCCAATAAGTTAATACTTGGGATACAAGTTATGTGCTTCAAAAACTACCTTGGGGCTCTGCCCTTTGGCAAGCTCGCCGTACAGTGCAGGTTTCGTCCTGTTACAATAGCAAAGAGAACATGAATCATTATTCATAGTTTTGGTTCTTGTGAGAAAAGTAGTTGCAAGTTGTGAGTGAAACTGACTCGTATTTCTCCTTCTTGAAGGTAATGAAGCCTTCTTTGATCCTCTCAACAGCATCGAATGGCTTGGTGCCAGAGGAAGCAGTGGAGAGCTCAGCTTTGATCTGATCCACTTTGGCTGCTGCCACCGCCTTCAGCTCTCCTTTCTCACTGCAATTACGTACCATCCCCTTAATCAAATCATCTTCCATAACCCTATAAGTCATGAATTATAAAGACAAAGAGATGGAGGATTATGTTACCTGAGGAGCTTCTCAAGACCCTTGATGGCTTCCTGGTAGTCCTTCGACATGTCTTCCTCACTCTGTTCATCAAGTTCAACCATTCATTAACCACCAAGTAAAGCAAGCCAAACTAAGTGCCATGTAAAAAAAAATCTACCATTCACGACGCGACCCAAGTGTCATTCAAGTATTGGAGTATGTCAACTGCTTAATTATGGCTAGTAGGGCACAAATATGCATATGGTTCAATACAGTTGGACTACCCCTCAACCAATAATTACGTGGAAACTTTAATGGTGGCAAGTAACTTGCTGAGGGGGAGAAATGGATTCACGTGGGCTGCCTATCAGCCAGTCAAATACGTTGCATGATGAAAGGTACATTTGATGAATATTCCTCTTCCTCTTCTCCCCCGCTTGAAATTGCACATTTGTTATCATCTCCATCCATGCATTAAGTATTACAGTTGAACCAGAAACAGAACACAAGTATGCACCAGACTCAGAATGCCATGTGGAGAGCTAAATGGGAAATGAAGGAAGTAGCTAGCTAGTAATCCGTACCCAAGCAGGATTGAGAAGGGGGGCAGGAGCTGCGAAAACGGGCTGGTTCCTGATGAGCCTAGGAGGTGTGTTGATGGGATTTGAGGAGGAAGAAGAAGAAGAAGAAGAGAAAGAGGGAGGTGGAGTGTTGTTGAGCTTAGCGACGACGAGTCTTCGCGGGGAAGAAGTGGTGGTGGTGGTGGTTTTGGGGGAGGAGAGTATAAGGGAGCAGGCGCCGTTGAGGGAAGCGGTCGACATTGTAGTTCAATGGACCCTTTGCTTCTCTCGATTTATAATGCTCTGCTACTACTTGCAAGTTGCACAGCCTTCCTCTCTTCATCATTATAAAAATGGGGAAGGTAATGTGGATGGATGATGGAGTGAATGAGTCGAGCCACCACACCACAACCAGCAGCAAGAAGGAGGGCCATTGGATAATGAAAGCGAAAGCTAGCTGTGTCAACCACTGCTTCTTGCTTGCCCCTTCCTCTGCCAACTAACGAAGAGGATATGAGGCTCTGGACCGTTTGGCTAGCTTTTGGATGGAAGTCATTGGATACCTCCTCCTCCTCACACGTCTCAAACTGATGTCGAAAATTCGATCGAATATTTTTATATGTCTCCGATACACTATGAATTTCGAGTAGATTATATCTCATCACAACGCATTCTGTACATTTATCACTATTTGAAGTATCAGTTTGGATGATGTATAACTTAAACTAAATGTTCTTTATCTGGTACATGAATGTTGATTGTAAGGGGGTCAATTGCAGCCACAACAGGCAGCAGTGCACTCCATTGTGGCCAGACATAGTAGAAACTAGAATGCAAGGTAGAGAAGAATTACACTAGTGGGCCTGCACTGCACGGGGAAAGAAGCACCTTGATGATGGGAGAGGGAGGGGATAAGGCCATATCTGGGCTGATCTCCAAAACATGGCTCTGCTTCAACTCCACAGGAATCAGCGTTCCATATACCTCACTGCCCTTATCTCTTTCCTCCTTTCTTCTCTTATTTGGACTTTTCTACTCCCCACAAAATCTCCTCCATTAACAAATAGTACTGGATGATGGGATTCTTTTTGTGTTACTGTAGGTGGGGAATGAGAACGAGAGCGAGAGCGAGGAATGCGATTGAGGTTACTCGCCGTGCTAATGAAGATCGTCAAGAGTTTAATCCAGTCGCTCTTGAAAATCTGCCCAAAAGAAACTAAACACTAGCGTTAGTAACCATGCTAAAAAGAAACAACTGTGTTACATAATGCGTAATGGTCAGTGCTCTTGACACTGTTCGGGGTAACGGCAGCACAGAGAAAAACTTGCTGAGCTGACAACCATTTTCCGTGTTTCTGTGGATAAATGAATCAGCATCTCTACTCTGGAAAAAAAAGGTCTTTAGGCAGCTGCACTGGTTGGTTGCAGTCTGAATGCATCTATCTATATACTTCATGATAATTTCAAAGCCAATGACATAGTGTCAACATTCTTGTGCCATCTACGCTGCAAGTATAACACTACTTCGCCCACAGAGTGTCGACATAAGCTAGTGTCATCTTCTCGGTTCGTCTTGTTTGTTTTCTTTTCTTTTTTGTAATTGCGCTTACGAAATGAAACACCTACCCTACCTACTATTATATTACTGTTTGAGCCCAGGCGATTGGGCGTCACTCGGGTCCAAGGGGTTTGGGGCGTCAGACATGACTTTGAGGGGTAGGCGCCCCACCTCAGCCGAAGTGAGAAAAGAGAAGAATTATATAGAGAGAGAAAGTAGAGAGAAGTTAGAGTCAGAGTAGATAGATTCTCATTCATGAGGAGAACACTCCTATTTATACAAGTTTGGATGTTATGTGTGTGGTCCATGCACCTCAGACTCTCTGTCACTGTATATTGTACTTCTGGTGAGAAGGTGTCTGGTAGGGCAGAGGGTGTCCCCCTGACCTCTTCCTTGCTGATGTCAAGTGTGTCATCTTGTCTCTTGACCTTGTCTTCTTCTTCTGATGATGTAAGTCTCTAGGGTTTTGCCCCTATGTCTTGGCTTCTCTTTGACTCTTCTTGTAGACCTTCTCCAAGTATTATACTTTACCTTCATACCCTATCAATTACCTACTCTGTTGTCATCAACTGCATAACAGGAGAGCCCGTGTAGTCGGTAATTAAGCATACACTTGGCCTAAGCTTGATTAGAGCAAAGTAAACACCTATATTTCCTAATGCAAAACTTCCTCATTATGATCTTCACTCAACACAAAGATACAATAAAAATGTCTTTTCCCCCATTTTAGAAGAATCATAGCAAGTTTATTAATTGATTCAGCCCAAGTATTGCGATAGCAGTAACAGTAGCTTATCTACACCAGCAACGCCTGCGTGCTGCATATCCTTTGCAGTTTCTAACTTGCTTCGTCTGATCACTTTTATGTATGGCCCAATGACACCAACAGCAGCAGCAGCATGTAGGATTCACCTGTTCATCATGCTTATTTGTGGCCCAACGTATTTTGCCATCTCCATACTCAATGTTACCGGCAGTGAGTTGTGATTGTAACCCACAGCGGCGTATTATATGAGGTCTTGGGAGGTAAGACTTAACGGTTACCAGGACAGAATATGATGCCAAGGAAGCATCCCCAAGTTGTAGCATAGGGACATCTCTGGTAGGGAAGAGAACAGCATGCCATGTCGTATTTTAACCTTGTTTAGCAGGATATGTAGTTTTACTTGGGAGCCAGTCTCTGCGGGCAGACAGAGAAAGCTATGCAGCGACCGGCTTTAGCAAGAGTGAATCTCTCACTCTCCGTAAGCCCCCTCTCGATAACTCTCACAATGTTGATATCCTGGAAAGCCAGAACACAAGCAAGAATTCCTGGAATTAGGACATCAATCTATGTATAGTAAGAGCATGAAACGCATAACTCGACAAGATGACGACTTAAAAGCTAGGGACTCCCATTTAGCAAGGATCGCATCAAGGAAATGAATATCAACACAGAATGGCAGGAAATGTTAAGTGATAAAATGACACAGATTTTGTGCACTGACCTTCTGATTTTGATGAACAGTGTGCTTTATGCTGGCAGGCTCACTGAGCACAAGTATATTGTTTAGATTACCACTTTCATCTCTTTCTGTAGGTGAGTAATTTGAATGCCGCCAGTCCCCGTTAATAATGTACTTGTAGTAGTACCTGAAAAGTGATTAGGCAATTGATCAAGGAAGCAAATGCAGAAATTGAATCAGACGCTTTAAACACTTTGTTCAAGTCCACTGCAAATGTATATAACACTTACTTTCCTTGTGGCAGCCTCAATTCAACTTCAAATCTTGGCCCGCCCTTGTGAGTTGCCCTGACAGGTTCTTTCCAGTTTCCAGTAAAGCTTCCAACCAAGGACACATCCTCCCCCTTTCAACAGGTAATAGAACAAGTTTTCTGTCAGGTTCTTCATTGTGATATCAACGTCGGGGTTGAAGAGTGTATTCTTATATGATCCAAGCTAAGCAGTAGTGCTCATTTGCAAACCATCATAAGTTACCTCTTGCCCAGTCCACACAAACGTTACAGCATGTGTTGGCGGTCCATCGTGCACCCCATTTTCCACCATAGCAACCAGATCCCATGTTGCCCAAGCAATTGCAGCTCTGCCATTAAGTTTTTTGTTAGACACTTTGTTCTGTTTCAAAAGAAATCGATGCAAGAATTCACCCTAACGGTCTGTATCACAGAGAAAGAGCCAGAAAAAGAAAACTGAGTAACCAAGGCCAAAAGTTTAGCTACTAGAAAATATTGTATAGTATCATATTCCACAACAGAGAAGAGCACGTGACACCATTAGCAACTAGCTATTCTTGTATTCAACTCATGACACAACATTGCTTCTGCTTTGCACTACGAGGATGCGTTAAGGACTAGGAAAAGAAACTAAGAACAAGATTAAGAAACAAGAACCTGTCAGGCTTGGATACGTGGAAACCAGTGACATAGTTGTACGCTGCATGAAGGGAAGTGTCGGTAATCCAGTGCAGATATGCAACCACACAAGCAGGAGATCGGTCAAAACCAGTAGTGCAAGTTATCAAAACATGATGGTTTTTTCTCAATAAGCGGAACAGGAGGCCAACAGCAAAAGGTAATTTCTTCCTCAATTCAAATGAATCCAAATCCCTGCAGGAAACACAACGGCAGCAACTTATGCTTCTAGGACAGACTGTAATAGACATATTTCTTGATTCAGAAGGAAACTCTTCTGACTTACCTTATTGGGTAGTTGATCATTAGGATATTAGACCTTTGGCACGCCTCATTTACTGCATTCAAGTTAACTCCCCAGTTCTCTGCTTCAGTAGGACCCTGGAAATTTATTACTGCAGTGATACCCTGATGCAGATGAACTTGTTAAAAAGTGGAGATGGAACCTTCAATATCTCCAAGATCCAAAATTTACTCTGCAGAAGCAACCAACTGGCCAATATGAACTCACCGCCCTGGACAATCTTTTTACATCCTCCTCATTCTGTAGACATGATCCAACATATATTTGCTCTGTAACCTGACAGCAAAAGCAGTTCGTATAAACATAAAACTCTCAAGAACTCAAGGAAGACCTTTGCACACGACAATGCGGATAAAGAAAATTTTGAACACCAGCTCACCTTAGTGTAGTGCATACCAAGAGAATGATCATAGTACAACTCATCTTTGGAACGTTCTAATGCAGCAACATACTCTTCCAGAGGGAAGTTCCCATGAGCCCATTCTCCATCTCCAAACTGTTCTTCAGACAAAATGCTCACAACTTGAGTCTTATACCTCAACTCTGGAGACTCCATCCTCCCAGTTCGATCATTCAAAAGCTTCCACCCATGATGTGATAGGAAGTTCCAAGAAAATGACGCAAATCCGGAATTCCCATTTTCCTCATTACTTTGAAGACCTGATGCTAGCAGAGATTTGTTCCAAGTCACCACAGCCACTCTTCCTCTATTGAAGCTTCCAATATCACTCGAAAAGTCGAGTAGATGAATTGGGAAAGGAAAGAATGGTCTCTCCAGGACTAAAGTCATCGGTGTATTGGGATCAACATCCTCCATTAACACCTTCCTAACAGCAAACAAATATCGAAACGAATGAAAAAATCAATCAATCAAACTTTGGAATGAATTGCAGAACCCAAGAATCGCTCAATAGCACCACTGAGCTATCGCAAATGCAGCCTACGCAAATCCATAAACCAGTAACTCGCTCTCGCTTCCAAGAAATACAATGGAAAATGCAATCAATGTGCTTACTGTGCTGCACCGATATCACCAATCACCGTGAGCGAGCTGGCGGAACCGCCGGCCTTCTTCAAAGTATCGCCAACCATTACGATTCTCGTCTTCTCCGCATTCCCCTGAAAATCACACCACACGAGTCGCAAATTTTCAAAAATTATATTTCTAGAGAAGCAATTAGTCGCTGAGTCGACGGGAAAACGATGTAGAGCGTCGACTTACGCCTCTCTTGAGAGAATGGACGATAATTTTGCCATCGAGAGACAAGGCGAAGCGAACACCGAGAGGCCGATCGAGCGTCACCATGTACTCATTCAGATGCCTCGTCGGCGAAGACGAAGCGCCATTTCCAGCCGACATTACGCGAATCGAGGCTCTTCTCATTCTCACTCTCCCGGCAGCTAACCGGGCATCACTGCAGTTCATCTCATCACTCAAGCGAACTCCGCGGAAGGGGGAGGAGCACAGATCTCCGCCGATAAACGAAGAGGAGGGGAGATTGCGTCGGGCATCGGCAATAGCGCCGGAGATGGAGCTGCAACCGGCGAATTGCAGAGTCGCCGGCATCTTTTGCGGCGGAATCGAGACGACGAGGGGGGGAGTGGAAGGAGAATTGCGATTGGCTGTAGAGTGTAGTGTAGTGCCACAGTTTGGGTGGGGATGATGTGATGACGATCAATTAAGGGCGCTAATGAACGAACAGAAACGAAATTTGGAGTGTGGGACCCGCTTTTCACAAGCCGCATCGGCAAGCTTTTGGAGCCACGTGTAATCTCACGGGGGGCATGGCTTAGGGGCTAAGATTGGAGACTCGCTAAGCGAAACCTCGAGTTTTTCAAAGTGATTATCGAGTGAAGTTGACATCACAAGCCCCGATTTCTTTAGTCCTTGTGCTATTGTTTAATGTGGATGGCACGTGGTGAAGGAAGTTTGTTTAACACGGAAAGCAAGAATTCATGCAAAGGCTTTTGTTTTATCATTGTTTCAGAATCCCAGATCCACGAAAGCAGGTGTAGAATTTGATGATGCGGAATGGAAACGAACATACGAGACACGAGATTTTACGTGGTATCCTCGATCGATTGATTGATCGAGACTAATCCACGGTGAGCTCATAAGAGCTCACGGCTGATCTCTTATTAGGATTACATCTTGACGGCTTGCTATCACACAAGTCGATAGCTAAGCTTATATAGATAAACTTAGGGTTAAAACCCTAATCCATCGAATCAGACGTGGCCCAACAAGGCCCAATACTAAACACGGTTTAAGTAACCGCAACACTCCCCCTCAAGCGAAGACATGAATGACAAGAATGTCAAGCTTGAAGAAGTAAATGTGAAGAACAAGCATGATGGCTTGAACCACAAAACTCGAGATGAATAACATCTCAGACGAGGTTGATTGGAGACGACTGACTCTCTCTGAACAACCTGATGATAGAGACGATTGACTACGTCTCTTGAACTGGAACACACTTGGTACATCGCGGTCGACCTGATGACTGAATTAGTCGACCAACATATGTTGACCTCCTATTCTCCCCCTCAAGCTGGAGCACGAACAACGTGAATGCCCAGCTTGAAAAGCGATGAATGGTTAATATGTGTCCACTAATGAACCGGAAGAGGGGACGACCATTTCTTGGATCGTGAATGCCAGCTGGACGATGAAGGGACGATTACTTCTTTGATCGTACTACCTTTTGAACGCCAGGGGACGACCAATTTATGGAACGTGAATGCCTCCATCGATACTTGACTATATTTGAGCTAGCCCAAAAATTAATTGAAGAGCCCATAAAAAGCTCTTACTAGGAGCCCACAAAGGCTAATTCGGCCTACATGAGCCCACACTATGGAGACAGATTTGAGGTGGCCCATTTTCTTGTTGATGTTGGCCCAAAAACAAGGAGGCTTTCTGCTCCTGTAATATTCCTCCAATGCAGCAAAGTTTATCTCCACGCCACATGAGAATAAGAAATTTTGACCAATGATGTGGGCCCAGCATATGGTCCTTGCTTTGTCTGAAATGGGCCGTTGATTAAGCGAGGGTTGAAACCTTTTTTTTTTTTTTTTTTTTTTTTTGCTTTGGAAGAGCGCCGCTAGCTCCCTTCCTACTCCTTCTTCCTCTGCGCGAATGGAGCATCTGGAAGCTATACCCAAACTTTAGTTGGCCAAAACGACAACACAGAAGCTGATGACGATGGTGAGGAACGACAACGACATCATCAACCGTGGTGCGTCGATACCGCTCGAGACAACGATGACGGAAGTTGATGGCAGTGGCAACGATGATGGCTCCTCGGCTACAATCTACGGCAGATCTGGAGATCTCATTCTCGACGGCGGGAAGGACTTCACCGTCGAACTACGGATGGAGCAGAGGCGGCGACGATACGATTTAAAGTCGGAGGCCGGAGTGGACATCGGCTGTTCTTTTCACAACGACCGTGACTGATCTAGGGGACGCCAAGATTGGAGAGGACAGCTGCAGAGAGAGACCGCAAACGGCCACGACATGAGCCTTGACTGGCCGGCGACGCTTGAATGGTTGATTGAAATCACGTCGCCGATTTGAGATACTAGGTTGACGGCGTGGCACGATCCCCGACCTGCTGCTGGGTTCCCCTTGACGATGACGGACTGGCGAAAGTGGAGACAGGAGCGGATCGATGCTGGTGGCTCATCCGAAGGGTGACTAGACGATGAGGGCCGAGACGATGATGGCGGATCTAGAAATCTGGCATTGCCAGCGACGACGGCGATGCGGGCTCTGGTAGCGAAGCCGGGATGACTGAGCCGGCGAACGACTGTGACTGAATGAAGGTTGATTGATCGGTCACCTTCATGGAGTTGACTGGGGATAGCATCGTCGACCTTAGAAGAAGATGAATCCGGCTGGTGGAGGGGACCGGCGAACTGGACGGAGCGCCAGAAACGACGGCAGAACTCCTGCTGAATGAGACTTCTGGAAGGCGCTGATATTTGGACGGACTCGGCGGCGGATCTGAGACTTACAGGCAGATGCGAGGCCACCTTGGAGATTACGGAAAACAAGACTTGATTGTAGGCCTTGACGGAGACGGAAGCCACTGACTTCTGCCGCTTCTGTTCATGTTATCGCCAGGACGAATGATATTGCCGGAGAGGCAACGGATGCGGATTGCGGAAGCTCAAAACCCTAGACAGGGGATCGAGTTTAGCTCTGATACCATGTAGAATTTGATGATGCGGAATGGAAACGAACATACGAGACACGAGATTTTACGTGGTATCCTCGATCGATTGATTGATCGAGACTAATCCACGGTGAGCTCATAAGAGCTCACGGCTGATCTCTTATTAGGATTACATCTTGACGGCTTGCTATCACACAAGTCGATAGCTAAGCTTATATAGATAAACTTAGGGTTAAAACCCTAATCCATCGAATCAGACGTGGCCCAACAAGGCCCAATACTAAACACGGTTTAAGTAACCGCAACAGCAGGCACTTGATTTGCTTCGCCATTTTGGTATTTGGTAGGGCTGGGAAAATATATCAACCCGTTAGAAAAACCATAGTCCAAACCGTACGGCACAGTTTGGTCCGGACCGTAGACCGTGAAGTATGGTCTGGTCTGGTCTGGTCCATGGTTTATATTATTTTATGATTTGATCTCTTGGTCTGGTCTAGACCGCGGTTTACCGGACCAAACCGTGGACATAACTGACTTGTCAATACGTGTTAACAGCCGATTCGACCACTCTCCAAACTCCCACAACAACACCCAAGTCTCAACCTTAATTTTGTGAATCTCTTCTCTCTTTCATTCACAACCACATTAAACCAGAGAGTAGAGATAATAGTGTCTCCATATGACATTATGTTAATGTTTATGACGTTATGGTGCAAGCTGGGATGTTTTTACTTTGTATCTTTGTTATGTACTAAGATTTAGAGTATCAAAATTATTCATGCATGTTAGGATTAATGTTTTAAAGCAAATAACAATTATTTTTCTTGGTTATTTGTTCAATTTTTTGTGTGGTTGACTAAACAAATTATTCATTTTTCGTTTAGTGTGGTCTATCTGGACCAGACCAGACCGAACCAGACCGCACGGGCGTGGTCTGGACCATACCGTATAGTCTGTGGTCTGGTCTGTGGTCTATACTTTAGCCTCTCGGTCTGGACCATAGACCGTATATATGGTCTGGTCTGAACCAGACCAGACCGTTTTTCAGTTCTAGTATTTGGTTTGTCAACACAACAGATTCGGGTTGGGTCTGGTCGGGCCTGTATTCTGATAAACTTGGGGCTTATGGGATGAGGCCCAAGATGTTGAAGCCTTACCATTCTGGACCGGACCTATTGGTCAGGGCGGAAAGCTGTTTGTTTGTCTTAGCGGCCCTGGTTTCCAGATTAGATCAATGCAAAAAGTTTGATTGATTGGTAAGAAATGGAGCAAAGAAAAAAAAACATGATTTGTTAGGTTGAAGAAAGTTATCAATCGTTCATAATTTCATATTTAAAGTCAAAGTTTGGATCTTTATTTATGAGACTAGAATTTACTCCACAATCCTTCGATTAAAAAAGTGTATAATATATCGTACAAAAGTTAATATTGAATATCAAAATTATAAGAATTAGTTGAACGACAATTTAGTATCAAAGAGTGATCTTTACGAGACAAACGGTTGTCTAAAAGATAGACTCTTCTTGCACAGGAGTGGTCATACGTAAATTCTCAATCTCTACCTACAAAGGAGATCTGAAGGAGAGAATAACATCGATAGGTGTGACATGCTCTACTACCATCCATCTTTTCGTTAGGGTTGCCACGAGTACAACTCTAAAGGATATAGTATATATGTCAATTTATATGTTTTTTGGTACAATCAACCATCAAAAACATTTGGCTATTATCAATCTACCAAGCGACACTGCGCGTACGCTTGTTGAACATAAACACCACAAGTTAAAGAACAAACACCACTTAAGACTTAATAGTACTACTCGAAGTTCAAGTAGGGATGACAATTTCGACCTGGCCAGATTTACCCGACCTGTTTGCCCTGTTTTAGGCGGGTCCGATCCGCCCTATAGGCGAGGCGGGGCGGGCATGGGTACCTCTCATCGACCCGACCTGCCCTGACCCGCCCCGTTCTCGACCCATTCTTGTCTAAATTACATGTAATCTTAGTCAAATTACTTAGGATTTTCCTCTTATTACATCATATATTAGCTATAATAAAGTTGTAAATAGGTGAAAACCTCAATTTCTCCAATAATTTAACTACATTTTATCATATTATGGTTTCTTTTTACGTCTTTTTATTGAAAATAATGAATATTTTTTAATATTCGTCACACAAATTACATACCCATTGGATCGACCTGCCACGACTCGCGCCTCATTATAAATTACCCCTTCCATTGGGCGGGTATGAGTATCGAGATATCCGTCTCGTAGTTGACCCATTGCCATTCCTAGGACCAAGGGGTTTGTTGCAGATTAATCCCAAGCAACCGTGTGGAAGAGGAAGATAAAATAATATAATAACCACGGACCATTTATTGCAGCGTTGAAACACAGATGATGTTTACTTGTTGTAAGGTGGGAAGCTCCATTCCTCTAGAAGCTGAATCGAGAGATTGCTCACCCTATCTCATTGATCCCCACGAAAAAGATTGGTCAAGTTCATAAAAAATCAAACTTGCATGATGATAATCATAAGAAAAACTCCTTCCCACATCTCTCTCCCTATGTTTACTGCCGTCACATTTGGGATTGCCGACCTAGTTTGCTTGCTTCAAATCTGTATAATTCAAATAACTTTTGAATCAAATCGAGAATGCGACCCAACTCAGGTTCTATTGACTTCCGACATTTGAGAAACTTAGGGACGATCAATAACTAGCACTCATAACAAATCAACATACGTGAAGTGAACAAGGGTTTGATCTAGTGTTAATACCCCTGATCTTCAACCTAGAGGTCTCATATTTGAATCTCTTAAGTTGTACTTCGCAATAAAAAACCAATTACTAATCTACGTCACCCTCATAAAAAAAAATCAATACATAAGATCTTGAAAAAAGTTTAGAAGACCATTTTACAAAATAAGATCTTGAAAACCCTTTTATCGATTTTAACTTCTCTAAACAAGTCTCAATTGCTCCGCTCAAATGAGTTTGAGGCTGAAAATCCTCTGAAATTGTAATAAGAATCCACAAATTAATATTCATGCCCCAACAATAACTTTCACTAGAAACAAACACACCGTTCCACCATAAACAAACCAAGAGTCATTATTTGGTGGAGGTTGGATGTCCATTGTCACGCTCATCATGAACACTTGCCAAAACTGGGTAACACCTGCTTCTTCCTAGCTACATCATGATCTACCAACTCTTCCCAACTCCCGGTCACTAACATTAATCACAACCACTCATCACTCAATTCCCTATTCAAGTCTTCTTCCCTTTGCTTCTGCCTTCCCTTTGTTTCTGTTTATGGGGATCAAAACTCCTTCATTTGTTTCTTAATAAATTTCTTGCTTCCAATGATTTTGCTTTATCAAACCGAGAGGCAAAGCAGATGTGGTAGACGATCGAAGACAAAGACAATTCACCCACATTAATTAGAAAACAAAGGGGAGAAACCTCACATGATTTAGGATTGATAGAATTCATTTCATTCCATGAATTGAAGAAGAATAAACCATTCATTGATACATGAATGTTGAAATTGATAAATCGAGAATAGTGACTCAATTTGTTAAAGCATGGGAGATGCAAGTATATAATTAGCTACTTGATTTTGTTGGCATTATGATAATACTTTTACATAAAAACAAGTGAAACAACACAAAATTCAGGTGATTGGAATAGTGGAAAGACACAATGTCGAAGAAAAAAACTATAATTCGAGTTTTTTTTAAGTATATTAGGAAGAGTTCTGATTTTATTCCACTTAGAAGGCCATCACATGAGACATGCGAGTGTCCCAATTCCCAAGCAATGGAGGGCTCTGGAAGAAGGCGAGTTGAAAATCAATACGGATACAGGGACTTTGATGGATGAAAACCAGAGGAATAAAAGTTGTCGTAAAAGGCAGTGGTGGTAAATTTGTTCTTGCGTTAACAAAGAAAATCCCTGACATTGTAACAATGGAAAAAGCTGAAGCTTTAGTAGTTGAACTAGTGTCCAGTTGGCTCGTCAATTCCAGTTACAAAGCGTAACTTTGAAGTATGATTGCAGCACCCTAGTTCAAAAGCTTAGCGAGGCATTTGAAGTTCGGATGGAGACGGGCAATAATCTATATGCATATGTATACACTAATACTGGACAATCTAGGAGGAGGGAGAAGTAGAAACATGTGTCGAGGGATGTGAACAAAGCAGCTCACATAATAGTGCACTTAAAATGAGGATGAATTAGACAATTGTTTGGCTTGATAGGCCTCATGTGTACCTAGTTGCTATGCTTTTGCTGGACAATGTTACCGTAATTCCTAGTTAATTAATAGCTAATAGATTTCCCTTGAAAGAAGAAAAAACGTTATTCATTCATTGTTGCAAATTTAATGAAATACTATATCATATTCGCCGTAAATTTTGTGCGAACACAAATGTCACTTGCAAGTGCAACTTTTGTGCAACTACTCTTTTATTCATCTACTAACATAAAAAAATAATAATTTACATGAACGAGATTAATATCCCAAAAAACGAAACAGAAAACAAAAGGAAACGGTAAGATTTTCCAGCCGTCCTCATGATCCAAACTTGAATCCATCTGTTAGGATTTTCTCCCTTGTAATTCGAAACCAACACGACAAAAAAATCCCTAAAATGGAGTCAACGTCCTGCTGAAACCGTTCACATTAGAGAAGAATCCGACGAGAAGCTCCTGACGGTACGGCAGATACGACCGCCGCCGATCCCCATCTTTCAACGCCCTGCTCTTCGTATAAAACACCTCGTGTGCCGACGCCGCCGTTTTCGCAGCTCTTGCCGGCGACGGTTTCGCCTTCCGATCGGCTGCCGATTTCTCCTCACTTCTTTTCCCTAAATTGATATCATTATTGGCGCTGCTATTATTATTACTGCTGCTGGCGCCAGCAGTGTTTGGCTGGACCATCAAGTAGCACACCTTCCCGTCGCTGCTGGATCTAGGCAGCAGATCTCGCAACCTCCACCGCCGCTTCGTCGTCGAGGCCGAGGATCCGGTGGAATTGCTCTTCTCGCATCTACCGGGCGAAGGCGACGCTCCGGTAACCGACGACGGAGAAATCATTTTCGGCGTCCAGAAGCAGTAGCTCCCTTCAGGCGCGCCTTCCAATTCGTCCGCTTCCGACGAGGAAGAAGAGTACGATGAGTGCTGATCTCGATCGTCCATGAACAACTCGCTCAGCGGACGTGGTATCGTTTCGGCCGCTGCTGGAGCATCGCTGCTCCGTCCCTCAGCGTCGCTGGAAAATCGATCTTGGTTGAACACCGGGAAAAAAACAGGGGAAACCAATTGCTGGTGGTCTCCTAATTCGATCGCATCGGGATCCGCGCAGCTGAGGGAGACGAACTCGAATTCTTCGTCGTTCCCCGATGAATTCACTGCTGCTTCTGCCGCTGCCGCCGCGGCGACGTCGGCGAGCCGGTCGCAAGAGTAGCTACTGAAGCTGGGGCAAAACGCTACGTCGGCGGCTGTGGCGGAAGTTTCATCCAGCATTTTGTGATGAAGGAGAGAAAAGAAAGGGTAGCAAAGGAGAAAGTGATTTTTTTCTTTTTTTCCTTCTTCTATTTCGTCAAAAAGATGATTGAGAATGAGGTGAGGATTCAATGGCGTTTGGCGTGACTCATATTTATATATATATACACGGGATGATGCGGAAGGGATGGGTGAGGTGGCGCGTGAGGTTACGCGAGGTGGAGGACTTAGTGCCCAAGTAAAAAAATCAATAATTAATATGCTTTAATAAAAGACGCAAAAATTGATTTTGACACTCACTGGAAAATTAATGGGATTTCTAGAATAGCGCCTGAGATATTTGGTAACGTGACGCTGTTTCACGCGCTGAGGTGGAGAAGGGGTCGCACGTGGCAAGATTGTAAGGAGGGGGATGTGTCTCTTTCCCTTTCCCATTTTTTCCCGTATTCGTCATTGCTTCCATAATTTCCTCCATCAATTATAGGTTTCAATTGAAAGCCATAGTATATTAGTGTTTACGGACACGGTTTGCCCATTTTGGCTAGAGTTAAAACCAGTAAGTAATTCTTTTATCCAATCTATAGTTAGTAAATATACAATACGAGAAAGTTATGTATATATTTTATTTTTTCTATAAGTTAATGTTATGTTTAATAGTATATTAAAAGTAAAATATGAATTTGATACGTGTTTAGTATGGAAGTCATCAAATGAATGAAAAAATGAAACGACTTGACAATAATATGGATACAGAAGTTTTAAACGTATAAAATACGTATGGGTAAATGTACTTGTATTAAACGCAGTATTTACTAACTATGATCCAGACTCCACAGTGAATCATCTCAACCTATGATGTTAGTAAGGTGCGGTTTGAGATGACAAATGTATTGGATCCATGGATTGGTGGATTGGATCAAACGGATTGATTGATGCATTGGATCAAGTGGGTTGGATTTAAATCAATTGGATTAGATGGAAAATTTAGTGACTGGAATCGATTGGATTCATGGATATGGATCCTAATTGCCACCTCTAGGTGCGGTGCACAATGTGTAGTCCCCAATAAAAAAAACTCAATATGTAGGTATTATACCATATCCATTTTAGTATGAATCAAATCATATTTGAATAATTTTGCTTTCGGATAAAATGAAGTTATAGTATTAGTACTCAAAAGAAAATGGATATTCTAGGGGGAGGGATGGTTGTCGTTTTCATCGTTATTGTGAGCCGTATTGGGAGCGGGACACCGGACACTTGGTGTCGGATGCAGCCCGCCAGCGGAGCCCAGCCCAACCACCTTGACTGTGGGAGTGGGCTGTTTGAGACAGAGAGAGAAAGCAGGCAGATTTGCATTTGGCAGCTTCGTTGGAGGGGAACTTAAACTCTTCTGGAACTTGCCGGTTTCTTTCAATTGGTGTTGTTGCGCAGCCGGCCGGTGACCATTGTAACTAGTTGACGAATGACGAATAGTCATTAGCAGCCTCAGCCTCGGTGTAGCGCGTGCGCAGAGGGGAATATTCTTACGTGTACCTCCAATTAATTGGAGTTTTTGTTGGATTTAATTGCTTCCTTGCAGTAAGAATTCTTCATGATTAAAATTTTCATTCTTACCTAAATCTCAAATGCAGAATAATGCTTAAAATTAATCAAAACAGCAGATAAAAAAGAGTGATATATTCATTCGAGCCGTTTTCAAATTATTTTTATATATGAACATATATATACCAAATTTCTCTAATGAATTATCCCAATGTGTCTATGTATCAATATAAGGATTATATCATGAAATCTCAATTTTAAGGAATCAAATGAAGAGAAACCAATAAAAAACATATGTACGAGAAGATGCAGTCTAATGCGGATAAAAGTGCGTACGTCTATGGTTAAGCCACTAGCAGGAAACCAAATCGAGCTATCACCCGATCACATTAACTCTACGGTAGCAATGGATATAATGACTCTGGAAAATACTTTTTCTTGCTTGCCACACACTTGAAATTTGAATTATACTAGAAAATGTGAATCAAATCGAGGGGACGGTCTAGAATTTTAAAATTTAAACCGACGACAAAGTCATATATATTGAATACCAGCTAACATTGTCAAAAAAAAAAAAAAACAACTGAGAACCATTGAATGATCGAGAATAGCCATGTGCAAGCAGTAGTTCCTCTTCCTGCATAGCTAAGTTCAACGTAGAATCGTAGATTATATATGATTATAGGTCACCATTGTTTGAAGACTATCTTCCATTGTGAGTCAAATAGGACGCTTCTTATATGGAAAGTTCGGTTTCTCCTCCTAATCCATGAAAATATGGATGGATATATATGGATATTGCGAGTCGTACGTACGAAGAAGAAACAAGAAACCGAACTAGTAGACCCATCCGTTCCGTTTAACCGGGAATAGTCGCCGCCGTAAAGGAAAAAACTTTCTTCTAGAAAAGGGATCAGCCGAGGAGACTGAAACGTAAGAGGGCCGGCGTTTGCAATGACGTTTTTTCCATAATGCATCTGTTCAGTTTCCCTCTTAATCCCCCATTTAATTAATTAATTATTAACGAATTAATGCATCTCTACCCTACCTAAACAGCTACACCAAATCCAGCTCGATTGGGGAATTTAAAGGATCCTTTTTTCCTTTTCACTCGGGCGGTCTTAGAAGATCCTATTTTCAGCTCCTGATTACGTATGGCTATACGTTAATCCTTCAGTTAGTTCCCTTAAACTATCATGATAGGAATAGTTTAAGGAATTAATGACAAGTGCTTTCGTTTTTGTTTTTATAGTGTTCATTTGGTGTGTTTTGCTTTCTTCGATTTTATTTAATGATCACCAACTATTAAAAACAAATTCAACGTTAATAATAAGCGCATAAAATAAATTAACAGTTGTGTTATTTGGCATTATTTTGTTGACTTCAAGTTTATTGAGTACTTCAAATGTTTTTGTTGAAAATAATATAATTAATTCTACTTCTCATCATAAAAAATATTTTGAGTAAACCTTCAAGATAACAAAAAGTAAAAAGGATCTGACGCCTAAACCTTCAACATTTGGGCATTGTTATTTGTTATGGTCTCTATCATTAGGTTGTTAAATGATGGACTCTAAGTACAGAAGATATCTGATAGTGTTATAAAAGTGACGAATCTTTTAATTATAACTTTTCTACATCGAAAATTCTACAGTGTTTCATATTTTTGGTGTGCAATTTTATTGTTAATTTTACCTCCTGCTTATAATCATGTTATCTTGTTTCATTGCTCGATCATGATGACGCATGTCCTCCCTGCTTTTAAATCTGATGCTCATGAAACAAATCTTAGCTAGTGTCACCTTATCTCATTTCTTACTCCGTTTTGTGGATCTGGATAGCAAAGAATTAATGGCTGATGCAAGAGAAGAAACTGAAAAACCGTGGCGCGGTCACCAACCACAATGCCCAATTGCACAGTTGCATATATATTAATTGATGGTCAACTTAACCCCCCATGTTACGTTTTTGTTTTTATCAAATATATGTTACGTTTAAAATAAAGGGTTAATACTCTAGTTTGGCCCGACATTTAGCGCAAGTGACAGTTGTGACCCGACTTTTCTAATAAAAAATTTATGGCCTACTTTTCAAATTATTGAACAAATTTGGCCCAAAATTTTCTTTGACCGTTAATATTGACGGTCAAACACTATTCCGTTAGTGACTCATCAAAAAGTAGCTGATGTGGCTTGCCACATCATTAAATAATATTATTTTAATTTTTTAATTCGGTTAAAATAAAAATAAGATATAAAACTGAAGCCCTCTTATTATCCAAAATCCCCAAAGCACATCCAAACCATAATTTCAATTTTTTTTTCCGACGCCGCCACTTTGTCCTCCCCTTCTCCTCCTCGTAGTCGCCACCACCGCCGAAATCCAAGCCTTGACCGCCTTCAAGCTTGCCCTCCATGACCCACTCGGTGCCCTGGACGACTGGGACCCTTCCATCCCACTCGCCCCTTACGACTGGCGCAACGTCACTTGCTCTTCCTCCAGCCACTCGCCCAGCTACGCCTCCTCAGCCTCCACTCCAACAACTTCAATGGCTCCATCCCTTCCTCCCTCTCCTGCAGCTCGCTCCTTCGAGCCGTTTATCTCATGTACAACTTTCTCTCCGACGAGCTCCCGGCTTTCCTCCTCACCAATCTCCAAATCTTCACCGTCTCTCACAATCTCCTCTATGGGATAGTTGCTAACGGAGGAGGAAGAAAAGGGATAAAGAATGAAAGGGAAAGGTCTGCTTGTGGTGGACCATTCGACTTCCCTTTTCATTTTTTTTTAATTTTAAATGACATGGACGAGTCTAGTCAGCAGTGCGTGCTGAGTTATTGATGGAGAAAATGATTGACCGTCAATTCTGACGGTCAAACCGCTTCATAGGCCAAATTTGTCTAATAGTTTAAAAAGTAGGCCATAAATGTCTTATTGAAAAAATCGGGCCACAATTGTCACTTACGTGAAACTTAAGGACAAACTAGGCTATTAACCCTAAAATAAATGAGATTTGTGATAATTACCTTTCTAAAAGGAAATAAAAAATTATCGTATCATATTGGACGGTGGCGGAGCCACCTTATAATCATGAGGGGCTATATCCCCCTCTCAACTCTAAAAATCGTGTAAAGTTACGTGTAAATTTTGTAACAAACTTGGAAAATAGATTAGGTTGTAAGGATTTAGCCCCCTCCCCGGTTCAAACATCTCGAACGTAAAATTTTAGTCCCCCTCATTCAGATTTCTTACTCCACTACTAATAGTCGAACTATAAAATACCGCATATCATCAAATTATTGGCGAATATATCATTACACAAATATAAGGAAAGTTTGTTCTCATCGTTACATCTTGATCAAGTTGTCATCCGTTGTACAAGCTTCTATCACATTAGTTGAATCATTCCAGTGTTTTTCAAGTTGAATATATTCTTATTTTTTAGTATTTAGTTAACAATCGTATTCTATCATTATGATACCAATTGAATTATGGTGAGAACTGAGAATTAAAAGACAAGTAGATTCATGAATTATGATCATGAAATTGAGATCGGCCGCCTCCACAGTTCTCGTGCGAGAACAAATGAACGATAGCAATTAAATAAACAAACAAACTGCATATCATATAATATTATAATACGTATATTGCCATATATGCCCGGGCTTGTTGCGCACGTATGTTCATAGTACTTTCAATGCAATCACGTATATATATAATTTCATTTTATACAAATATATATAATCCAAGCTCTTTAATTAATTTGTAGAAGACTTATTGCTTTCTAGAACTCAACATGCATAGTATCTACTTGGCTTAGTTAATTATGATCATGGGCTACCTTCCCGCATTATCGTACAAAGAAAATATACAATAACTTACTATAGGCTTATAAATATGTACATCCAAGTATTGTTTGGACTTTGCAATAATAATTTATAAAAAAAAAGGAGGTTCTTGCAAAGACAGCTAAGTACCGAGCCCTTAATATAACATAATAATTCATATGTATTTGCTTTATCACCAATTCATCCTGAGTTATTACACCCAACCTTTAAGTGTTTGTGATATCGAATTGTACGTGTCCAAATTGTACCACGTCAACCGTTCGTGTTAGTGTTCAAAACAATATGGTGCTTTATCTAATTCTGATATATTATCTCGTTATTATACTTCTTAATACGACTTCAAATCATTACATAGAGTACCCCGTCGACTGATCTCTCGAATATGATAAAATATTAATCTATTAAGCGTGTACGACTATATTCTCGAGATCTAACCAGGTTAGTTAATTGAACTTTGAAGAAAAAAAGAGTTATTATCAATTAACCCAACCAAAACTAAATGAATAATTGTTGCTAATGTTATTTGTCAACAGCCATGAAGCTCGTTAGCTTAGACCGTGACACAATGATATTTGGCTTTAATATATCGGATTCTTGGACTTTATGTGATTATCCGTGGTATGTTTTAGCCAATTGGTGCTATTTTAGGGCTCGCTAACCCGAGAATGGTTGAAAAACCATTACTGCCTAGTGCCATGAGTTTGATATGTTACAGGTGGAGAAAGCACGAAAAAGAAGCGAATGCATAAGCAATCAATCGGGCTCGAATAATTGATGGAATACTCACGTGGGCCTGGAAGGAGAGTGGGCCACGAAAAATTGCTAGGATGGTTTTAATGGGAGAGGCAAAATTGGGCCAAGAAATTACGGACGGAAGGGGGGGTTTTGGTGGTGAATTCTCTGGCAACGTAAGGAAGGATGGAATCAATTTGTGGAGCAGCCAATTAATTGGGACACGGAATTATAATAAAAAAAGGACAGGCAAGTTTGGTTGGGGTTTTTTGGAGGAGATAATTCTCTTGGAAAAAGGCAGCGGCATTCAAAAGAAAAGGTAGCAGGCAAAATTCTGGGGGAGAAGCAAGCGCAGACGCGGATCGACGAGCATCGTTTGGAAAATTCTCAGTATTTTTTTTTTCTTCTCCTTTCATTAGTATGATGATTATGAACATGATTGTGTGTTTTATTTTCGTCATGAACTAAACCCCGATTTCTGGGGGAAACACCATAGGATGTAGCTAGTTCTTGATTTGATGGATTGATTCATGATTCTTTTCTTCCAATCTCTATTGCATGAAATTGCTTAATGCTTTGTGTTGACTGACCACCAATACAACGATTTGTAGTTAATTAGGTTATTAGCGACAGTGAAACCCTATTAACTGAACATATTTCATGTGACATAGTAACTTATCGAAGCGACAGTGGATTAAATAAGGTGCTATGCAGTCTTAAATAGGATATCGATCTTCAGGCTAAACAATTAGGTCATTGAGCTACGACAGTAGGATTTGATTTAATTGTTTAGTACGTAGTAATTCCCGACAGGGATAGTTAGCACATTCGTGATATCATGGCTGTAGAGGTATGGATTAAATTGATTGGCATCTGTGAATTAATCTGGATAGGATAGGTAGTGAATCCCGGTGTTTCTCCCAGAGCTTTCTCCATTGAATTAAACCCGACACTTTAATTTGCTTTTTTTGTTTAATTACTTTGCTATTAGATCATAGTTTCATCTCATTAAACATTTTCACATATAGTTTGCTCAATAAAATTGATAGAACTTAAGGTTGTACCAGTCCCTGAGAGACGATACCCGGACTTTCCGGTTTACTACGAGATAGGAAATTGGCATATACGCTTTTGCCCTATCAAGTTTTTGGCGCCGTTGCCGGGGACTGCCATATCTTATTTTTATTGATTTTTGTGAGTGAACTATTTTGATCTGGGTGTTAGTGTGCAGGTGAATTTTTCAGGTTAATCCTCCTCGTGCATGCCAAGGAGGACGACTGGCAATTTAATGCCACTAGATCTCGAGATCGAGAGGACCTGCCGACAGAACAGGAAGCAGGTCAAGTTAGGGAAGCAGCCTACCACATCCACAACTCCTAGGCCTTCCCTAACTCAGAATCGTCAACCAAGAAGGCAGGTGACACCACCTGTCATCCCTACACCACCTACACCACCGTCGCGCGTCATCGAGCCTGTCATCATGGCAGAACAGGATCGATCCATCAGGGCTCGTCTGAATCGGAGGACTGGAGCCCGGGCTTCATGTGTTTTCATTCCGGCTGGGGATGCAACCATGGAGATTACCCCAGCATTTATCAACATGATTACTAATGGGTATACTTTCTCTGGGGCTAGCAATGAGGATCCTCACGAGCATCTCCGCCGGTTCGCGAGCATTTGTGATACGATGAAGAGCCCGACTGTGTCTGATGATGCAATCCGTCTTCGGATGTTCTCATTCTCTCTGATAGGGAATGCATCACACTGGTTTCAGAACTTAACACCACATTCCATCACGACATGGGCTCAGCTTGAGAAGGTCTTTCTGGATAAATACTTCCCACCTGCCTTGGCAATGAAGAGGCAAGAAGAGATTGTTACTTTTAAGCAGGCTGATGATGAGAGTCTGACTGAGGCATGGGAGCGCTACAAGGGGCTGTTGATGAGATGCCCGAGCCACGGTCTTGAAGATTGGAATGTGATCTCCATTTTCTTCAACGGAATCAGAAGACAATTTCGAGATGCTCTGAATAATGCTTCCCGAAATGGTTTCACAAGAATGGAAGCACCAGAAGCATATGAACTGGTGGAGAAGATATGCTCTGAAGATACTGAATGGGGTAGTGAGACCGGCATTCGAAGGAGAGGAGGCTTGCATGAGATAGACAGAGTTGCAAGCTTAGAAGCAAAGATTGATGCTAAGCTGGATTCCAAGTTCGATGCACTCGAACGAAGGCTGGCTAAGATGGCTCTTGGTAGACAGGAGGAGGTTGCTTTTTGTGAATTAGGTGAAGGTGTTCATCATAGGGATCTATGTCCACTGGTGGCTGATCAGTTGGAAGATGTGCACTATATCAACAATCAGCGAAATTAAGGCCAGGGTGGTATGTATTCAAATACCTACAACCCTCAATGGAGAAAGCATCCTAACTTTTCCTGGGCGAACAACAACCCAACTGGTGTTCGAAACATCCCACCTCCTGGTTTTCAACAGCAGCAGCCTCAACCAGAGAAGAAGCCCCAGCTGGAGGAGTTGATTTTGGCTCATATGCAGAAAACAGACAATAATTTCAAGGGCCTGGATCAATTTGTCACTCAACAGCTAGCCATCAACAATAATTTACAATCTTCTATGCTAGCTATGGAGAGGCAGATGGGACAGATGGCTCAAACTTTGGCAGATATGCAAGGCAGGATTCTTGGGACATTACCAGCAAATACTGAGAGGAATCTGAAGGATGCCATGGTTGTAGCAGTGACATTGAGGAGTGGAAAGGCCTTGGAAGACCCTAGCAGCTCGAAAAAGGCACCAGAGGCGGAAGAGGAAGCACCGGGAGAAAGATCTTGTGCAGAAAATGAAGAATCAGCCTTGCACAGGCAAAAAGAAAGCGGTTTGCCTGTGCAAAAGCATGCTGCCCGTGTACCTCAAAAAGTGGAAAAATTGAAGAATGAAGAGGTAAAGCCTTATGAACCTCCCGCACCATTCCCTCAAAGGTTAATGAAGCCCATGGAAGACCCAAACTTCAAGAAATTTGTGAATATCTTCAAGCAACTTCAGATTAACATACCCTTGGCGGAGGCACTTGAACAGATGCCTGCATATGCTAAATTCTTAAGGGAGTTGCTGACAAAGAAGCAGAAATGGGCTGATCTGGAGAAGGTAACCCTTACTTCTGAATGTAGTGCTGTGATTCAGAATAAATTAGCAGAAAAGAGGGATGATCCGGGCAGCTTCACCATTCCATGTGTCATTGGAGGTACAGAATTCAATAAATCGCTTTGTGATCTTGGAGCAGGAATTAATTTGATGCCATACTCAGTCTACGAGAAATTGGGATTGGGAGATGTTCTTAAGCCTACTCGGATCACTCTCCAATTGGCTGATCGATCAGTGAAAATTCCAAAAGGAGTGGTGGAGAATGTATTGGTGAAGGTGGGAAAGTTTATTCTCCCAACAGATTTTGTAATCCTAGAGATGGAAGATGATCGGGGAGTGCCTCTAATCCTCGGCAGGCCTTTTCTAGCAACCGGTGATGCACTCATCGATGTTGGGAGAGGCAAGTTGACATTCCGAGTAGGTAAGGAGGAGGAAATTTTTAATGTCTTTCAAGTTGACCATAATCATGATGAATTTGAAAGTGAAGCTCAAGAAAGGAAAAATCCCTCTTCCTGTGATAGTGGACCATCCGAAGAACTATCACCTATCCTATCTGCTCAGATTCTGAAGTCAAAGCAAGGGCAGAAATCCTTGCCAGGTCACCTCAAGTATAGATATTTGGATAAGGATTTCAATCTTCCTGTTATTATTCCTTCTTCACTGACATTGAAACAGGAAGAGTACCTGCTTGAGGCGCTGCAGTACCACCTACGCCTCACTAAAGGGTCTAACATGCCAGCTAAGAAGGTCATACCCAATTTTCGCACACCTGGCCCTGCAGAGGTGACTCATATGCTGGATGGAGGTTATGCGTTCTATCATTGCTCGGGAGGGTACGCTGGATACCTTTCCATACCCATTGGTTGAAAGCTTCATAAACGTCAGGCTGAGGACGTTAAACAAGCGCTTCTTGGGAGGCAACCCAAGGTAAGTTTTCTTTTCTTTATTTTTATTTTTAGTTGTGTCAAACCCGTGCATGTTTAGATTAGGAGTTGAACATTAGGGACAATGTTCCATCCTGAGTGTGGGGTGGCGAGTCTTAGTGTTTGTTTGTTCCTTTTGTCATGTGGTCAGTAAATAAAAAAAAATCCAAAAAAAAACAAAAAACAAAAAAAATTGCCATTAGGTTGAGCACAGCCAAACTGCATGCAGTTTGCCTGTGTAAAAAGCAGTCTGCCTGTGTAAAAAGCAGTCTGCCTGTGCAAAGCTAATGGCTTAAAAACACCTAAAAATCAGAAAAATGAAAAACAAAACCTTGTACTCTTGTGGTAACATGATGTAAATGACCGTGATGCCTTGAAAATGAGTTTGTGCTTGAATGAAATCATCAAAATCACCCCACTAGTGTTGAATTGCATAGTTCTTCACAATGAGCTTAAATGTTTTGACTGACTTGATATGCTTTGAATGAGCAAACTCTTTTAGCAACATTCTCTTTTGTGAAGATAGTGTAATGACTTTTGGTGAAGTAGTTAGGTGGAGAACATTGACCATTCGACATGTTTGGATACTGTGCTTACTTGCATCAATTGTGAGCTTTTGATTTGGCATTGAGTCTCTCTGTTTTGAATGTTTTATGATGGGGTGAACTGTATCTTTATAAAAAAGAAAAACACTACCTGACAAGTAAAATATAAGAAAGTTGCCATAACAATTAAAGTGTGGGTAAAAATGCCAAAATTGTGTGAGGCAATCACTCATTGCACATGGGGATGAGGAAAGATTCAATTGAGAATCGGTTCGCGACCGTACGATGTTGCTTATCAAGTACGATCCCCGGTTGAGTGAAGTGCCATTTGAGGATGCAATGACCCTCCACACGGACCGAGGACAAGGAGTTAAAAGAAGCCCTTATGCGAGTGCTAAGAAGCGGAAATTGCTCTTGCTCGGTCACCGGTAGTAAGAAACAAATCCCACTTGTACTAAATACGACCTCTCGGCAAGCAAAAGCAGAAAGAGAGAAAGCCTCTCCTTGTCACAAAAGGTAGTGATGTGCTTAAAGTAAAATCATGTTTGCGAAAGGCTTCCCCCATTAGTTTTTGAGACTCATGCTTAATTAATTGCTTATGATTGGTGTGAGTAAGCCAGACTGCCTCACGAGATATGCACCTCACTGATGTGGTTAGATTCTCCTAATAATTGTTGCACCATAAATTGTTAATCACCCACTACCGACGATCTAAATTGAGTGTTGCTATTTGAGTTTTTGATGGATTTGAGTCAGTCAATGGTAATGGTTGCAAAGAACTTGAGTGTGGGGTGAAAGGTATGACCATTAAAGCACAACTTGTCCGTTGAGAAAGAAACTACTGATTACAACAAGAGTACAAGGAAATTTGGTGTTTTGCTTTGAGTGTTGAGTCTGTAATGTGTCATTGTTTTGGATGATTATGTGTTTGTGTTGTTTGAGTCGTTGCTTAGGGACAAGCAACAATTGAGTGCGGGGTTGTGATATTTGGCTTTAATATATCGGATTCTTGGACTTTATGTGATTATCCGTGGTATGTTTTAGCCAATTGGTGCTATTTTAGGGCTCGCTAACCCAAGAATGGTTGAAAAACCATTACTGCCTAGTGCCATGAGTTTGATATGTTACAGGTGGAGAAAGCACGAAAAAGAAGCGAATGCATAAGCAATCAATCGGGCTCGAATAATTGATGGAATACTCACGTGGGCCTGGAAGGAGAGTGGGCCACGAAAAATTGCTAGGATGGTTTTAATGGGAGAGGCAAAATTGGGCCAAGAAATTACGGACGGAAGGGGGGTTTTTGGTGGTGAATTCTCTGGCAACGTAAGGAAGGAGGGAATCAATTTGTGGAGCAGCCAATTAATTGGGACACGGAATTATAATAAAAAAAAAGGACAGGCAAGTTTGGTTGGGGTTTTTTGGAGGAGATAATTCTCTTGGAAAAAGGCAGCGACATTCGAAAGAAAAGGTAGCAGGCGAAATTCTGGGGGAGAAGCAAGCGCAGACGCGGATCGACGAGCATCGTTTGGAAAATTCTCAGTATTTTTGTTTCTTCTCCTTTCATTAGTATGATGATTATGAACATGATTGTGTGTTTTATTTTCGTCATGAACTAAACCCCGATTTCTGGGGGAAACACCATAGGATGTAGCTAGTTCTTGATTTGATGGGTTGATTCATGATTCTTTTCTTCCAATCTCTATTGCATGAAATTGCTTAATGCTTTGTGTTGACTGGCCACCAATACAACGATTTGTAGTTAATTAGGTTATTAGCGACAGTGAAACCCTATTAACTGAACATATTTCATGTGACATAGTAACTTATCGAAGCGACAGTGGATTAAATAAGGTGCTATGCAGTCTTAAATAGGATATCGATCTTCAGGCTAAACAATTAGGTCATTGAGCTACGACAGTAGGATTTGATTTAATTGTTTAGTACGTAGTAATTCCCGACAGGGATAGCTAGCACATTCGTGATATCCTGGCTGTAGAGGTATGGATTAAATTGATTGGCATCTGTGAATTAATCTGAATAGGATAGGTAGTGAATCCCGGTGTTTCTCCCAGAGCTTTCTCCATTGAATTAAACCCGACACTTTAATTTGCTTTTTTTGTTTAATTACTTTGCTATTAGATCATAGTTTCATCTCATTAAACATTTTCACATATAGTTTGCTCAATAAAATTGATAGAACTTAAGGTTGTACCAGTCCCTCAGAAACGATACCCCAACTTTCCGGTTTACTACGAGATAGGAAATTGGCATATACGCTTTTGCCCTATCACACAATCAGCGACGACCCTCTTGTGGTTAGTGTACATGCCACTTGCCCTCGTCATGAAACAAACATGAGAATTAACCGTTAGCAAAAGAAAACAGAACAACCCCCAACGGTACCATTTAATATTTGTTGTAACTAATAATTATTTATTAGTGACAAAAGCAAGTCGATTTTCTTGTTCTCGTTTTCTTGTTCCATGGACCGGCTGCCCAGTCGTCAATTATTTTATGATGTCCAAGTGGACACATTACAATTTTTTATTTTATTTTATAAGGACACATTACAATTTGAGCCAAATGGGTCGTCTAGAAGTATTCTCAAATTAATCTCAACAACAAGTGCCAAAGCATTTAGTTTTGACGAAAGATTGGATACAGTATCGGAGTTCGTATCAGAAAAGTCAGTGGTAGGATATTTTATTTTAAAATCGTGGTTTAACCATGGTTCAATCGTATTATACCACTAAATACTGCTTACCGATTTTACTTCAGGTAGGAGGTTTTTTTAGGTCGAACCACCGATATGGTACGGTATTTTAATCCTTGATTTTGACAGTTTGTCAGGACCAACGGCGGATCTAGGGATGGACCAACCCGGGCCACTGCCCAGCCCTTCGTCGGATCCAGAGCTAGTATAGTGCTTACAAGATTTTCGATTAAGGTATTCGGCACAATACTATTTAAAAGTCGGCCGAGTGTTATTTGATAATAGAATTTTGTGTAGCTAGAAAAGTGGTCTAGATAAACATATGCAAACAACTACTTCCAATTTAGCCTAAAAATTCCAGCCCGAATGATTTTCATTTGAAAAGAAAAACAATAAAACCTAAATGTCTAAAACGTAAAAGACCGTATAAAGTTTCATTGAAATAAGAAAACTCTCTAAACAAAGTGATTTTTTGGTTGATTCGTCTAGTGTTGACCTTGCCCGTTTATAGCGGCTACCATGGAGAGAACATTTTAAGTAATGAAATATGTGAAAACTAATTTGCGCAACAAAATGAGCGATGAATTTTTCATTGATTGCATAGTTATTTTATTTGAGAGAGAGTATACTATTGATATGGATGGAGATTATATTAATGATGGGATTTGCCAAATTAAAAAACCTTCAATTACAATTGGCATTAATGAAACACAATTTATTAACCAAACCTTTCAGACTTTCCAAATTATTAGCCAAACCTTTCGAAATATAAAATATTAGCTAGATCTTTTGTAATGCATCAAAATATCATCATTTGTCTGTTACCGTTGGTAATTTTGTAACTAATTTCTTATTTGAAATACTTAAATTTTAGAATGTTGACTATTTTTGTTTACGGCATCTAATATTATATTCAAATGCAGTCCAGTGCTCTATGTTCTGGATCCGCCGCTGGTCAAGACGACCGTATAAGAGATGGATGGATAGGCCTATGGCCAGGCCAAGCCGTTAGCGGTGCCACCACCAGTCAACATCCAGTCCATTGGTCTCCTACTCCTAGATTACCCGTTGGGCTTTGATATTTTGTGGTCCAAATCCCACGTTCGGCCCATCATAATCAGCCAAGTAATCAAACCAGAACCTTCGGGCCAAGCCTACGTCGAGAAAGAGGAGTTTGGACTTTGGAGTACAGAAAACTCAGTCCATCATCTGGACGAGGGACGAATTGCGCGGGCTTTAGTGAGAACAAACAAGCAAGCTCTTGCGCCATTTCTTTCTTCTCCGAACCCATCTGAAATGTGGCGCTAATTATCTGCTTATCCGAATCATCTTCACCATCATCAACATCAACTCTGTTTGATTCGTCATCCAAGTGATCGACACTCGACAGAGAGAAGATTTGCTCTAGAAAAACATAGCACCTCCTTCAAGATAAGGGCATTGATGATTGAGGAGAGATTTGCCAAACTCCATTCTTGCCCAGAACTAGGATCGTCGTCAATGTCTTGGCTCCCTCTGCGACGAATTTGGCAACACTGTTACGGAGCTTCAGCCGAGTACCCACAGCGGCCTGGGAGCGCATTGATCGATGCCTACTCCAAAGCGGCAACGCAAGCTTAGTAGAGTCCACATTTCCCGACGGAAAAGATGGGAGAGCAAGTCTCCCCTCGCCGTGACAGAGACACAGAGACGAGAAAGAACAACAAATATAGAAGAAAGGGAACAGCTGACCGGCGAGAATGGAGTTGGAGGGGCGACGGCGGCAAAGGCTAGGGTTTGAGTTCGGTAATTGTTTTTCATTTCGGTAATTTATTCAAATCATGAACCTGCCATTCAATTTCTTTCAAATTACCAAACTGCTATATTTCACAATTGAGATGCGCCAATGTTATAACTTATAACCCAAGTAAAACCTGAATTGGACGTATATACAGATAGAAACTTTACAACTCTCACTCTCGCATATCTACAAGCTGCAGAGGATAACACAATAACCTGCCACTCCTCTCACACATGCACACTTACAATCTACTCTCTTCCCTTCCCCCCTAATGTTAATCCACGAATTCAACTAAAGGTTGAAACTTTAGCGAACCTAACTACTCTCTGTGTAAACCTGTAGAAAAAACTTTAACAAACAGACAAAAGAATTCTAAAACAACAACTGGGAATGGATTCCACCAAAATCTACGACTTCCTAGTTATCAACCCCTCTGTCAAATGCTGCACTCTCAACTTCACATCTCTAGGCAACTCCCCCGAAACAGAAGAACCTGACTCGATCTCCTCCGACCCTTCAGCTCGCCGTATCTGTATGATGTCGTGGTACATGGGACGGAACCTGGACTGGAACGCCCTGTACGCAAAGCAAGGCACCAGGGCTGACACCACGACAAGCACCGTGACTAGCCAGTAGAGAGGACTTGGGACGCAAGCCTCCACGAGGACCATATAAGCCGTCGAGGAGAGGGTTGGGGAGACGTAGCCATACATAATGAGGAATATGTACCAAAAGCCTATGCTCCCCCAGATGAAGAAGTGTTGGATCCAGGTGAAGTAGTTGATCGAGAGCGCCATCTGGCAGTTCACGGCCCATACCACGCACGTGTACATCGTTGCACCGAGGATTGCGTAGTCGGTCACTTGCCCGTCTTCACGGAGTGCCTGCTTGATCATGGAGTTTGTGGTGAAGATGAATATGATTATGGAGGTTAGGACTCCGTTGCACATCCAGCCAAGGATTCGGGACCAACGGAAGAGGATGTTCTGGACGCCTTCTTGGTATAGTACTGGATACTGGACAGGGAGGGTTAAACAGATACATGCATGAGTATTATTCAAGTATTAAGTGCATTTAACTCGCAATGATTGCAGAGACTGGAGGTGGATGCCAACGAATTAATTGATAGAGGGAACTTGATAATTGCTTGTACCTTAAGGCAGAGCCTGGCTGAGACATCCTGGTCGAAAACTCCAAGAGCGATTACCGGAAGTGAAGTGAAGAACACATTGTAGAATGACATGTACCAATCGTTGTAGGCAGGCTGGCCAGAGAAAGATGTATACGCCTCGTACCAGAACAATGTAAACCCGAATGCAATGTTCTTGTAGAAGAAGTAACAGATCTGAAACAAGAGAAAGGAAACATGAGAAAATTCACTTGGACCAAGAAGTTAGCAGGATGCAGGAGAAAGATTCTACCATCATGGCTATTCTCCTGTAGCACCAATGACCATGAACTAGCAACAAACGTTCAAGAAAACGGAACTGTGCTATTGCATAATCACTTGCCATCACAGCCTGCAGCAGTTCAGTGTAAAGGCAAGTTAAATCGGCAAACTACTCTTGAGAGAAGATGAAGTTTAAAACTGGTATAGCACAAACCTGCATTCCTTCAGCACCACTTATGCCGACTCCAATGTCAGCTTCCTGGAGCATGCCGACATCATTTGCCCCATCGCCTATAGCTAACGTCATTTTACCTGTTCTTGTTTTAACCAATCTTGTGACCTGCACGTCTCCTACACTTCTATCAGATCATTTGACATTACAGCAGGAAAATGGCAACTATTTACTCGGAAACCCCAGAGTAATAAGTGCATAATCATGATACTTACAAGAGCCTTATGTTTAGGAGTAGACCGACAACATATGACAGAAGCGCAACTGAGGGCAAGCTCCAAAAAGGACATCTCCAGCTTCTTGTCGAGGGCATAGCCCAAAGACTTTCCATCAATAACCAAACTCAGTTCCGTTGAACTTGCTTTAGCAGAAGTCATTTGGAATTTTCCCTCGTTGATTTGCTTCGATACACTTTCAAGAGAAGCCTGACACAATACAGAGATTGTTACAGACCTTTCACAACATGAGAACATCTGACAAGTCATCAATTTAGTTCACAATCCTTACCTTAGAAGCACCCTCTTTGTCCCCTCGTTTCTCCAATGCATCAATATCTGGCAAGTCTAATGTGATGGTGATCTGTTTCATCCCTTGTCTAAGTAAACTACAAGCATAACCAATATTTATCGCGGTTTCCATCTTATCACCAGTTAGGACCCATATATTAATCCCTGCCTGTGAAAGTTTGTTAATGCACTCTGGAACCTGTGAACAAGCAAAAAATTATTAGTCTCAAATTAAACAAAATTATTAAAACAGGTTGGCGATTTGAACTTGATGCCTACCCCTTTCTGCAATTTGTCCTCAACAGCTGTTGCACCAAGCAGAACTAAACCATTTTCAATCTTATCAGCGAGTTCATCCACCAACACATCACGGTCTGCAGTTTCTGATGTTTTCGCTTTTGTGAATTCTGCTTCCCAATTACAATACTCAGTTTCATCAAGCACACGATATGCAACTACCAGGGTTCGGAGACCTGCCTCAGCATATCTTTTTATGTGCTCCTTGGTCTCGGCTTCAAAAGCTCGCCCATGTTCCGAGAGCCTCTCAAACATTACACTGCAACAGTTTGAAATAGTTCAATTTTAGTTAAAAATGAAAGAGAAAAACTTACCACAAAAGAAATATACATAGACCTTTTCCCTGGAGTTAGGCTTTCTAACCTGTCTGCGCCCTTGGATAGGAGTAAGAGCTGATTTTCCATACTCCTTACAACCACAGACATTCTTTTCCGTGAGCTGCTGAATTCCAAAACATTAAGAAGCTTGTATACTCTGCATATTGTAAACAGGAAGTCTAAATATGATTAGACATGGTTGCAAAGGGCAATGAGGTTTAGACGGTAAAAAATTCACATTCATCTTACCTATCAACACGTCTACCAGACCCGGGATCCAACTCATGCAGTGATATGGTCATTTGTGTCCTTTCATACAACTCAAACCCCATCTCCCTAGCAGCTACAACAAATGCCGCTTCATCTGGTGATTCAGCTTCATAAAAAACACCATGTGACTCTTTGTCTTCCTCCGGAACTGCCGTGTTGCAAAGTGCCAATGCTCGAAAGAACATCCGTATCCTGTCAGAATCTTGTTCGTGAATCCAACACCCATTCATTAAGCGTTCATCTCTGAAGTTAAACCCCTTCACTGACTTTCCCAAGTCATTCGAATCATTACATGAATCATCAGCTTCTACTACTGGCTTCCCACTTTTCCTTTGCAAGAGAGCTCTTTCTACTTCTGTCATACCCCGACCATAGGCATTCCCAGCTATCGAGCATTTCACAAACTCCATTGAGTTACATGTCAAAGTACCGGTCTTGTCAGAGAGCACAGTATCAACCTGACCAAGTTCTTCATTCAAATTAGACGTTCTAGCACGTGCTGGCCTGTCCGATTCTTCGTCATACATTTCTTGATCTCGATTGATAAAAACACTCTGCAAGACCTTCACTATCTCAATCGACACATATAACGATATTGGTATCAAGTACCCATACAACATGAGTCCTGTCAAGAAATGTAAGAAAGCAGCAAGTGGTGCCCTTTGAGGATCATAGAGCGAAGTAGTATGATCTGGTCGAAGATACCACCGTCTATACTTCCCATCTTCATAATCTCTCCTGGTCTCAATCCCAAAAATCACAGAACCAACACCAGATATAGCGATTAGCGTGCTGAAAAGGATATAAATAATCTTGTCCATTCTCCTCTCGATTTTGCTCCTCTTTGAAGGAGGATCCACGGAATTCTGCATCACTTTAGTGTCATGGCCAGTAAAAATCACAACACCATAGATATAGTCAGTATTCTTGAGCTTCGAATCTCTCAAGAGAATCTGCTGCGGCGAGAGCGGATACTGACTCCCGTTGTAATGCAATGTCCCGATGAAAGAGTAGAGATTTTCATTCGGGTCTTCACATTTGATCATGGCCTTGAATCGCTTCAAAGATTCTTCGTCACGTAGAGAGGCCGTGACTTCCAGAGCATGCTTCAATTTTAAGTTAGTCTCTCCATCGAGATTCATCGTCTCCACATAACATACTCCATCTTCATAGGATGAAGAAAGCAGAAGAAGATCAGCAGGAAAATACTCATCCTTATCAACTTGAACCACATCCCCAACTTTGAGATGCTTCCATCTAGTTTCTGTAAATGTATAACTCTTTCCAAACACTTTCACCTTCCTATTGTTAGCTTCTACATCCTGAAACCAATCAAAATCTTCAGGCAATTACCTCATGCGGTCACCCAGAATTCGAGCAATTTTACACAATCAAGCAGAGAGCTTTCAAAAAATGAGAAGAGGAAAGGACAAAAACCGGAATTACCTGTTTCCTTCTCCGCCAATCTTCAACGGCTTCCTTGACCATGGTAACTCCAATCACCATAAGCAGAGGCGCAAGAACAGTGACAGCCTTGTAAGGAGCCAGTGGACTGAAGGAGACGAAAGCCACAACGAGGAAATACAAGTTGGCGACCCGCCTAAACTGCTCAAACAACGACTTGGGAATAAAGTTGGCCGCCGTGTATTTGGTGGTGGAGACGTAATTCCCCTTGTAATTGAGCTGAAGTGAGTCTGGATTATCAGGGTCGTTGCAGTAAACCACCCTGGAGTAACCCTTTCGCCCGATTTGAGCATGATCATCAGTCGCTGGTGATTTAAAGCACGAGAAAGAATACAACTTGCTAAACCTCAACTTCCTCCTCCCCATTTTATTTCCCCTGCTCCCCTATCTCTGACAAAACAAATCAAAGAGGAAAGGAAAGAAGAAGAAAAAATACAAACACTCCTCCTCCCACCTTTTCTCAGACAAGCATTTCGCCGATCACCTTCTCTGCACTAACTGGAAATAAAAAGGGGACTCAACCCAGTAGGCAAAATAGCAGAGGGTTTCAGACCCAGAGAAGGGTTTTAGCTGGGGAATCAATCAACCAACAGAGTTGGGGGAGTTGAACAAGCAAGCACGGAACTTTGTAGAAGAGGAAGCAATCTCCCGCCGACAGAATCAAAAGCGGTGGTATACTGGTATCGGTAATGTGGAAATGCAGGGGGAGAAGAATTCCTTACTTGGAGACGGGGAGGTCCCGGAAGATCTCTTGCTTATGGAGAATAGATAAAGACAGACAAAGACGGGGTAGAGTAGAAGAAGGGGCTAAACGAGAAGCCAATGGAAGAAGGGGGAAAAAAACCATTAAAAGAAAAAACGAAGAAGGAAGGAGGAAAAGTCCGCGGGGAAAAGAAAAGAAAGAGGGAGAGGTTAGTTGTTGTTTGAGGGATGAAGTAGGTTGCAGAGTTGGTTGCTTGCCGCTTCAGGAGGCAAGAGTTGAAATACTACAAATCAAAATTGGAAATATACTAATACTTATATAGTATAGACTATAGACTATATATGCAAATGCGAATTTACCTCATCGTAACTTTTATCATTCGTTTCATCTCAAAATAATCTAATGACGTATTAACAATTACATTCCAAAATTTGAAAATTAAAAAGTGTTACCCGTATCCTTCAAATTAAAGATGTTTCGTAGACGGGCTAGGTATGATTTGCTATTTGTCTAACTCGGGTTAAACGATTACGTACTCTTAATCTTATGCAGAGACTGGATCATAGTTAAAATACAGGAGGAGGAGAAGAACCAAAGACACGTATGGGTTACTACAATAATGTAACGATTATAAGTGAAAAAGAAAATTGGAGAGGGAAGCTTTGCTGGACCCTAGCGGCCGGCAGCATTCGTTTAGTTTACGAGGGGGAAAATGAGGTGGTTCGGTTTTGGTCTTTTCTGCCTTGTCTGGTGTTCTGAGTTGTTACACAAGGACACCATCTTGCTTTAAAAAATAAATAAAAAATCGGTTTTCTTTGTATTTATTGGGAGATTATGAAATCCAAACATGGGGCCAACACACACATCATAATGCATTAAGATTATCATAAATTCATATTGCACAAAAGATGTTATGGGGTTCGATGATTCATATAAATAGTGAAAACGTGAAGTCAATGAGCTATTATTCACTATATTCATAGATACATCTTGTTGAACTCGATTCATGTACAGCGGTGGATCCAAAATAGGATAGACCACTGGGTCATCTTTGAAGAAAAAAAAAACAAAGAGGGTTGGGCCATAACGTGAAAAACACTGAAATGGATATAAAAAATCAGAAATTACAAGTGTTATACTAGCTCGAGATACAGAGGAGGGCTGGGCGGCGGTCCGGATACGACCCCCTGGATCTGCCGCTATTCATGTACGATCCAGATCAAAACTACAAAACATGTGTCGTAGCTCTAAGCTCAGCATAAGCCAACACTATGACAAAAATTATTGTAGAAGAGTAGAGCTTAGAGATAATGAGAGATTTAGAAATGTTTGAGATGTCCCAATTGGTAGAGTTGACTAGCTAGGAAGTGTACAACAGGAGTCATGCATGACCTATCACAACTACTTTTCGCCAAAACAATTACCTACTCATTCATTCGTCAAAATGTATTTGACTAATTAATTAATTAAAAATAACACCAATTAAAATCGAACAAATTGGCGGTTATGGGGGCTTTAATTCGTGAGTAATGATATTGATCGTGGCGAGGGGTGCGGGCGACACGCCGGTGAGGTGAGGGCCTAATTACTATTTATCAACTCTTTTATTTCCTTTTCTTTTTTGCTTTCACTCTAGAAAGTAGAAACGACTCACAAAGACACAAACCCTAGGCTTTTTTTGCCCAATTCAGCAGATCGTTGTTTGATTTGATATCCATGCTGGCCCAACGTTTCTGTTTCTCCCCATATTAAACTGTGTAAATAATATAAGGTTTATTTTTTCATTTTTCGAACAATTTTGAATTATGATGATTTTGTAATATTTCGATATAGTATGAAAAATATTCAGTGGAGATTGGAGAGGTTTTTCTTTGCGTTTGAGTTCATCACGGGGTGACAATAAACCTTTGTAAGGCTAGCTGGCTAAAGGTTTGAACAAACACAATCGGGGCTAGGTAGCTAGCTCTTCACAATCCTCGATTTTAGCAATTGATTTGAATACAAGATACAATATGAAATTGTGCAAACTTCAGCCTCGTAAGTATTTGAGAGTGCACATAAAAATCACAATGTTATGTAACTTACACGTAAGAATAATTAATCATACACTAGACTACAAAGAAAATATGAACTGGATGAAGAAACAAGATTTATTAGTCTTCCATGCATCACCATGACTGAATTACATATCATACATAGCTATAATAATTATAATCCCTAAACATTAACTGAACATAAGGTAAAACACATCTGCATAGCTAAAAGTTCAATCCTTGTGATGGACATAATAACTTTTTTGTTATAATGAGAAATATATTTAGTTGGGTATAAAATATTTGTGACAATTATAGTCATTTTCATTATAAAAGTTAACGATGTGAACAAAAGACCGACATAAACGTACATATAAACACACATTGACTCATCAACACAAATGAAATTCAATATTCTCGAAAAGGTGATAAATTTCGGTGCTTCGGGATTTCTTTTTCAATGCTTCTCCCCACTTATGCTCCAATAAAAAAGAGAAGAAATTGGATGGGTTAAGAGAAAAACGAGTATGATAGCCTCCATATTTCTTCTTTGATTGTATCGCCCTTTTTTTAACAATAGACAATGTATAATAATAACTAATGTATTGTAAGATCTAACAATACAATTCAATTTTACGAAATGTGACACGCAACATCGGAAAATATGTTTGAATATATTCTTGACCTTATTATTTTGAGGCGAGGGTGCGCCCCTCGACTAGAAAACAAAGGGAACAAATTGGATTTGATCAGGCAGCATATTCCTTTTCATTCCTGCATGTTGGTTGATTCTGAACTACTCCCCAAGAAGTTTGATACATAGAACTTGTGACAAGGACATGCCAGCAAAGGGACAGTGAAATATGGATCATTTCATTTTGGACAATAAGTAATAACATGCTTAATTCCTTTCCGCGTGAAGGGGATGCACAATGCTGCTTTGGTGGGTTAACCCTTTATTATTATTAAACAGTAATTAATTGGACATAATATTGTTATCGTCGTCATTAATTGCTATTGGAAGAAACAAGAACATTTGGTGCATTGTGTTTAATCATGGCATTGGGTTATCCGAAAGCATGCATGTGGAATGCCGGCTCTATTTACCATTTTGTGAACGTGATGAAATGGAAGCTTACAAGGGAGAAAGGCTCTTTCAGTGAATTTTCCTAACTTTTTATTTGTCATTTAGTATTAATCGAAACTTACTCATTTCAACTTTCGTGACTCCTATAGTAAGTTATTATTGTTTACTTGATATGAACTTTCTTCACTTTATAGTATCATAACAAAAAGTAAAACATTTATTTTCACAACACAAATGTGTATGTCTTTGAATGTTTGGTTTTCAAAGACGAAAAAGTGTAGCAATTTTGTTGAATGGATCAAGTGTGATGACAATATGTTAGTGATGCCTGGAAGCGGTAGTTTGAATAAACAAAAAGGGTCTTCCATAACATATCATTCATATATGTTAGAAATCCTGAATTGAATTATTTTCTCAGTCATCCATTTACGAGACTGAAGAGAATGATACATGATAACCAAACAAACATAACTGAAAAAATATGTTAAATAAGTTAAAATCGCTTGTGAAAGAATTTCTATGAATACAACTTTCACTCTATCTTATTTGCTTTTGTTTTGTCTAGTCAAAGCAAGTCCAAAACATCATATACACCAAAAGTTAGGATAAAATCACTCATCTTTCTTCCTTGTATAGTCCAAACAAAGCATTATTAGCTAGTAGCACGAAACCTTGGCTAGGTATATAATAGGATTGGGAAATTTTATTAAACCGTACAATTGTGATAAGTTAGATAACTAGTGGTAGATTAAGATTTGGATTCAGGTTGCTCCACGTGGCCAATGCTCCATAGACTGTTGGCCATTTGCCCTAAATAGCTAGGTTGTCAAGAATGTACGTCCTTCCATTCCATGATCTCTTTGGTCGGTCAGTAGGGTTTCTCTTTTTTACTTTGTTTAGACAATTCTTCATGTGATTTCGAAAGTAGCCTTTACTTGTGGTAAAAATACTGACTTGAGATCCTATAATAGTAGGTAGGTGGCATATTAAATTTCATGTGACAAATTTTTTTCCCAGGTTGCATAATTTGACTATACGTATATAGGCATAAAAATTGTGTTTATGTTCACTAAGTCATGTAATTACGGATTAGAGGATTTTGGTGTATGCAGTGGCGGATCCAGGGGGTGGCCACCCCGGGCCCCGGCTCAGCCCTACTCTGGATCCATAGTTAGTATAGGCCTTATGAATTTTTTGATTTAGGTATTCGGCCCAATGCTATTTTATAATAAAATTGGATATAATTAGCAAATTGATTTAGATAAACATATTACTACTCTAAATTTAGCCTAGAGAAATTCTAGCCCCAAAGATTTTTCGTCTAAAAAAATAATGAAATCTAAAATTCTAAAGCATAATAGGCTAAAAGAAATATGAGGTTTGTTACCTTGAAAATTTACTAGACAACTGGTGGTATAGGGATGAACACATAATGCAAATTGATATTGATTTGTCTAGTGTTGACGCTGCTTGTTTCAACAACTACTACGGATAGAACCTTTTGAACAAAGAAACATGTAAAACTTATTTGCACAATAAATGAGCGATGAATTTTTTGCCAATTGCTCAAGTATTTTATTTGGAACAGTGTATACTATTGGTATGGAGGTGGACTACATTATTGATGCATTTGCTAAATTAAGATACCGTCGTGTATAATTTACATTGTAAAAAAACTATAATCATTAAATTTTTTTATGATTCTAATTTTCTAATAAAATGAGGCTCAGTGCTCTTCTGTGTTCTGCATTCGTCGCTGGGTGTATGTGGGTTGCAATTTGCAAACGATTTTTAAAAAAAATGCTCTAGTGCATTTCTGTCTCATGTTTCATATGTACCATAATCACTCAATCACAACATTCACAATTAAGTAATAAACATGTGTTACCTAGATCATGCATTTTACCATGACCTATCTACCACCAAAATACAAATTAGCATTCTTCTCCGACTCTTCACAAATGTTCTCCACTGAAAAACATTGAAAAGCAAAACTAGAATTAACATCATATCTTTTTTATCGATTTGATCGGATTTAGTTGGTATGTTGAAACAAGAAGACAAAGTACTTGCACCCTAAACATACATCTATCACATAATTAGTAGGTAGGTAGATAAAGCCAATTAATGAAAGCCAAATCTGAAAGTGAGGTTTGGTCCTACTTCCCATTGCATTATAGCAAGCATGGGTGTGGGCTATAGTATTGTCTCTCAAATGATAGCCAACTACCATATAGACCTTTTGTAATTCTGTTCCCCCTTCTTTTTTCTGCAGAACTTGAAAAACACAACAAGCATTACACAAAATTAAATATTTAACTTTTTCAATTTTGTGTGTTTTTAGTCAAAAGATACCATCTTATTCAATGGTCAATTTCGTGGGGTAGAGAATGATGTGTTTTGGTCACCATTGATGCTCTCAATGAGTTGCTTCCATCATACTACATTCTCTCGAATTTATTGGTAATTTGTCTAAAAACATATCTCGAGACTTTTGAAATTATAGAAATTGAAAATTTTATGGTATCGGTTCGTTACTAGTATCGTTAATTATAAAATGAAAACTTGATCTACTGGTACGTCATTATGAAACTTACGTGAGTTAATAATCCTCCCATGAGTATTATCGGAAACGAGCTAAGTATTAAATTTATGAAATTATGATGATTATCTGAGGGCTGCTAACCTGGTCGGGCCCATTAGCATTTTGGCTCCTTTTGTGTAGCCCTATGATTTCAATGAAGTGGCCGCATACCCATAATAAAAATGAGAAGTCTGGCGCCCGCACCCCTACAATGCAAGCGTAAAGGCCCAAGAAAAAGCCCATCGAGTTGGCCTTTGCCCCCTTTAAACAAATTCCTACAACGCAAGCGTAAAGGGCCCAACAAAAAGCCTCCCGAAACTTTTAATTTTGGCCTTTTTTCTCTGCATGTGTTAATTTCACACTGATGGCTGAATTCCAACTGCTAATAGAGAGTCCCGATTCTCTCTACTATATCGGTAACGTCCTCTCTTTATTACTAGCTTATAACCCGGCCCGTTGGGCGGAATGTTTATATTTGATTTTTTTATACTTTTTATGTTACGTTAAAGTCTATCAACCCATTTAATTTTATGGTTAAATACATTTGTATATCCAAAAGTTTCACGGTTGTGCCAATAATATCCAAATTTCCCGAAATATCACTTATATCCAATTTCTTCACATTCTTTAACGGTGTTTTTGGATATACAAGTGTATTTAACCAAAAATATATTGAGAAATGAATAGATTTGGCAAAGAACAACTTTAAAATATGGATATAAGTGGTATTTCGGGAAATTTGGATATTATTGGCACAACCGTGAAAGTTTTGGATATACAAGTGTATTAAACCTAATTTTATTGACAATCTTTCAATTGAGATGAAACATAAAGAAAGAATATATAGGTCGAACATTCAGAAATATATCATCATCATTTGAGAAAATAAAATATAAAAATGTATAAAACATCTCATTTTCATAATGATAATTAAGCCCAGTTAATATGTTATTAGTTAGTTGATTGTTAAGAAAGATAGAGTATAAAAGCTCACTGGAATTCCCACACGACCCATAGATAGTTTGAAACTGAATCTAAAACCTCACAATCCTACGTAAATGGTTCAATGCTCTCAATTTGGGGGCAATATCCACTAATAAAAAAGAAATGGAGGGTTGTAGGTTCAAGTCAACTATATACTAACAACTCAGCTAAGAGAGGACCATCAAAACTTGAGAGCAAACGACAAAATTGGATTACCTCCAATATACTAATAGACTCAATCAAAGTAATATGACGCAAAATTAGACAGTCCTTATCTATCAGTTCCAACAGGCTGAATAAAGAATCGACCTACTTCATTAAATCAATCAATAATTACTCGTTTTAAGATAGAAATAGGTTGTGGTAGCTGCAAAAACCATAAACCTAATGATCCAATAGCCACCACTCTCCATTGAATAACCAAATTTTTATCTACTCTATCTTCAATCTCAAGAAGCATATGTTTCAACCAAACATTCACTTTCTAATCCTCCTTCTGCAACTCCATTTCTGCTACTTTGATGGACCTTCTCTCTGCGGCCCTTAATTTCTCTTCCAATTGGGGTTCTTGTCAACTCGCTCTTCAACTCCTCAATCCCCTTCCTGTGTTTTGCCAACTCATCTTCCTCAGGGGCAGTTCTAATAAGTTCGCTAAAACCAAAACGCATCTCCAATTCCATAAATATGCTCATCTCCCCCCTTGCATGCCTTCACCTGCTTCAGCACACTTCCATGTCCTTCAATATCCTCTCCATTTTTATCAATATCCTCATCATCTCTCACTTCTCTTTCTTCAACTGCTCCAGTTTTGCTTCCTCGTCTTTCAACACCCTCCTCAATTCGATCACTACCCTCAGTAACTCCCTCTTCTCTGCCTTAACCTGCTACAGTTGAATTTTTCTTCCCACCACCACTCTCATTCTCAAACTCAATCCTAACTCTTCTACTCCAAGTTCAACACCCCAAACTCCTAGACTGTTGCATGAAAGCTCAATTTCTAACTAATTCTAAAACAATATCAAAATTTGATTAGTGAGTTGGACCATAAGAATAAAAATTAATGAGGAAAATTATGGTTGCGGAGAACATTAGTTATCACAAAATCAAATATGAGTGAAAATATTGTTGTTGGGAGTGTTACTAAATACTCCACGCGCGGACTAAATAAGGGTGCGCTCAATCGGTAACATGCTCCGGACGGACGCCACTACGAAGTATTTAAAGGCATGAAACTCCCCATTGAAGGGGGACCTTTCTCTCTCTCCTCACTTTCCACTTTCTACTATCTCTCTACACTTTATCTCTCTATCTATTCTCTCAACTCTCTCCACAAACATACACTAACTTGAGCGTCGGAGCTTAATCCGGGGGGCAACCCCGACTCTTTCATAGGTTTCTTCCCTCCCGACGAGATCAGACGAACGGATGACGAGTCAACCAACACAACAAATATCATTGTTCATGCCTCGAGCTAGTAGGTTCAAACAATTGGCGCCCACCGTGGGGCAACTCATCAATTTCGTTCATCTGATTTCCGAGGGATAGAGGACGCAAAAACAAAGGAGGCTGCTGCATTGGTAAGAACATTTTCTCCAAGAAACAGAAAAGTTGCCCTCCTTCTAGCGCCATGCTCCATCCAAATTTCGGTCGCTAGAATTTTGACGATTAAAAGCAGAAGTCGGCTGTCCCGTCGAGAATAGTCACATCATCCTCATACAGCTTTTCCCAAAAAAAAAATACAAGGGTTACCACTACTTTCTCCTTGTGTCAGAAAAAGAAAGGCACAAGCATCGATGCAAAGTAATAGGCAAGTGGATGGCAGGCTGGAAAGTGGATGAAAAAAAAAAAGGTCTGCTACAGCCCGCCGCGACGAGCAATTTTTCTGCTTCTTGGTGTTCCCTGTGCTTCACCCAATCCCGCTTCCACCCTCAGCCCGCGCGGCCCAACCAAGTCGCGGCCCGAGCCGCGCACTGCACCAGCCCGTGTCACCAAGCGCGACCCACCAGCTCGCGCGACCCAACCAAGTCGCGGCCCGCGCCGCGCACTCCACCAGCCCGCGTCACCAAGCAAGTCGCGGCCCGCGCAGCATCCATCAGATCAAAGCCCTTTTCAAAAAATCTCGTCGGCACGAGGACTCGAACCCGCGCCACTCCTGCAACAGGCAAGCATCATTACCAGCAGGCTATAAGCGAGCCTTGTGCTTCAATGGTGCAACGCCTGCATTTAAACTACTTCGCGCGGCCCACCAGCTCGCGCGGCCCAACCAAGTCGTGGCCCGCGCCGCGCACTCCACCAGCCCGCGTCACCAGGCGCGACCCACCAGCACGCGCGGCCCAACCAAGTAGCGGCCCGCGCCGCGCACTGCACCAGCCCGTGTCACCAAGCGCGACCCACCAGCCCGCGTGGCCCAACCAAGTCGCGGCCCGCGCAGCATCCATCAGATCAGAGCACTTTTCAAAAAATCTCATTGGCACTAGGATTCGAACCCGCGCCACTCCTCCGACAGGCAAGCATCATTACCAGCAAGCTACAAGCGAGCCTTATGCTTCAATGGTGCAACGCCTGCATTTAAACTACTTCGCCGCGCCACCCTACAGCCCATGCTTGCGACCCACATCACCGCCTGTCCACCTCGCGCGTCATGCGGCCCAACTCGCGCCCCGCATCCAAGACGCGCCACATCAAAAATATTATTGTCGCCACGAGGACTTGAACCCGCGCCATCACTCCATCTCACAAGAGCTACTGCCAGTAGGCTACATACAAGCCTTCTGCTTCAATGGCGCAACGTCTGCCTTTTAACAACTCTTCGCGCCGCTTCGCACAAGTCAACCTCCGCCTGACCTCCAGTCCTCCACTCCGCGTCAGTCCCAACTCGCGGCCCGTCCGACTCATCCGCGTCACATTAAGCCCGCAACAAGCGCACGGCCCAACTCTCGCCCCGCATTCAACAGGGGCCCCATCAAAAATAATATCATCACCGCGAGGGTTCGAACCCGCGTCACTCCTCCGCGTGACAAGCAACAATACCAGTAGGCTACATACACGCCTTGTGTTTCAATGGCGCAGCATCTGCCTTTTAACAACTCTTCGCGCCGCTTCGCCAATAGAAAGCTAAGTACTCTATCCCTTTATCACTATCAAATATTGAAATATTTTACTCTCATGAGCGTTAATGGCGCTAAGGGAGAGGGCACATTGCCTCGAAGACTCCAAACTGAGGGTTAAAAACCCCGACGAGGAGGGCTCCAAACTGAGGGTTAAAAACCCCGACGAGGAGCCACAAATAAGTCTCAACGAAGCACACAAATAAGACTTCAATAAGAGCATCGAAGACTCCAAACTGAGGGTTAAAAACCCCGACAAGGAGGGCTCCAAACCGAGGGTTAAAAACCCCGACGAGGAGCCACAAATAAGTCTCAACGAAGCACACAAATAAGACTTCAATAAGAGCATCGAAGACTCCAAACTGAGGGTTAAAAACCCTGACGAGGAGGGCTCCAAACTGAGGGTTAAAAACCCCGACGAGGAGCCACAAATAAGTCTCAACGAAGCACACAAATAAGACTTCAATAAGAGCATCGAAGACTCCAAACTGAGGGTTAAAAACCCCGACGAGGAGCCACAAATAAGTCTCAACGAAGCACACAAATAAGACTTCAATAAGAGCATCGAAGACTCCAAACTGAGGGTTAAAAACCCCGACGAGGAGCCACAAATAAGTCTCAACGAAGCACACAAATAAGACTTCAATAAGAGCATCGAAGACTCCAAACTGAGGGTTAAAAACCCCGACGAGGAGGGCTCCAAACTGAGGGTTAAAAACCCCGACGAGGAGCCACAAATAAGTCTCAACGAAGCACACAAATACGACTTCAATAAGAGCATCGAAGACTCCAAACTGAGGGTTAGAAACCCCGACGAGGAGAACCCCAAGCTGAGGGCTAAAAAAAAAAAAAAACCCGACGAGGAGAGCTCCATGAAGAATCTACAAGGGGCGAAGGCTACACGCCTTAATGAAATACACCAACTGGGGGGCAAGACGCAAGAAGCTAGCACCGCGTCAGTCAAACGCGCCACCAGCTAGGGGGCAACTGGGGTACATAGGGCTCCACCGAAAATTACCGACAAAGATTTTTTTGAAAATAATAAGCTAGCGATGAGTTAAGACTCACCACCAGCTTGGGGGGCAATTGTTGGGAGTGTTACTAAATACTCCACGCGCGGACTAAATAAGGGTGCGCTCAATCGGTAACGTGCTCCGGACGAACGCCACTACGAAGTATTTAAAGGCATGAAACTCCCCATTGAAGGGGGACCTTTCTCTCTCTCCTCACTTTCCACTTTCTACTATCTCTCTACACTTTATCTCTCTATCTATTCTCTCAACTCTCTCCACAAACATACACTAACTTGAGCGTCGGAGCTTAATCCGGGGGGCAACCCCGACTCTTTCACAGGTTTCTTCCCTCCCGACGAGATCAGACGAACGGATGACGAGTCAACCCACACAACAAATATCATTGTCCATGCCTCGAGCTAGTAGGTTCAAACAATTGTAATTGAAAAGAAACCTTTTTTCTAATTTTGATCTTATTTTATTATTTCAATAGCTAAGCAAAGAACAAAAATAAAGTATCGGAAACAAACAATAAAAAAGTAGACAGGGCTCTAGGAAAGTACAACTGCCCTGTTCTACACAAACATCTCTTTTGCTTACAAACAAATATAGTACCCAAACCATCGTTCAAATTCATTTTCTATATTTTATAAAAATCATTCATAAACAACAAACTTAGATAAATCGGGAAGGAAATAATAGCCTACCAGTTCAAGTCGATGAACCTTAATTGAAGATAGAAACTCATTGAAGTTGAAACCTAATAACAGAAAGAGGAGAAATGATGTAGGAGATCCCCCGAGCTTTAAACATCGTATCAGGCAATAAGATCAAAAGAAATAGATATTCTGCATGTTGTGCTCATGAGACAACGTGAAATAAAAGTCGTTTTGTTATTAATCAGAAAGATAAAGCAATGAGACATAGAGAAGAAATGAATGACTTACATGTGCAAAGCGATTAACCTTGGCCGGAAACCGAAAACCTATTAAAGGTCAATGCCTGGTATAGGAAGATGAGAAAAGGCGAAAGGTATAACTGATCAAACATTGCCTTCAGCAATATAAGCAACAAAATAGTTCTTCTGGTAGTACATCGAGGAGAGACAGAACCATTGGGTGATGCCAATGCAGAGGAATCGAGCGAGATAATCAAGGCCATGCCATAACTACTTGATTGAACTCCATTCTATTCATCATGGATTGATATGAGAGTTGAAATCTTCTACTTGCCCAGCCTAAATTCTCAAGAATAAAACTGCAGTGCCAAGAGATACCCGAATGTTGATTTTCAAATGCTACTTATACTGGGAAGTGAAAGCACGCAAACTATTGCACGATGGAGGGAATTTCGGAGAAAATTAGAAAGAGATAAGAACAAAGATAAAAAGGCACAAAATTTAAATTTATATTGAAAAATGCAAGGACACAACACGTAATAAAGGAAATAGTTTCTTCCATGATAGCCAATTACCAATATACCTTTAGCGAAACATTAAGGAGAGAGCATGAATTCTAAAAATTGATAAAATTAAATGAAACTACTATGAAAATTGAAGTATTAAGCACCATGAAAATACATATGGTAGACTTAGTGCCCTTGTTAATCATGATGAAAAAGTTCTCTGCTTTTCACAGTTTCAATACATGTATGTTTTGTATTAAAAAAGGAACAACAAATACACTTAGTATAATTGGTTATGACTGCTATCTTTGTTTGAAGAGACCTAGGTTCGAGTCTTGATATTGATATTTTTTATGAAATAAATAATTAATTGTAAAGACAAAAATATCCTTCCTACTTTCACTCTCATTGGAGGAAATTTGAAATGGAGAAAAGTTTACAAAACTCTACTATATATTAATGGAGGATTGTACAAGAAAGTTATGATTGTATCGTTAAAATTGGAAACACATTATAAAGGATCATTACACGAACAACGTAATCCAATTTCAATTATCAAGACGCCAATATATACCATCAATTATAATTTGAGTGATAGATATTAGGCACTTAATTATGACAATTTGAGTTGTTTTGTTATCTAGTTTTGCACCACAACCCGGTTCGTGGTGCTAATCGGAGAATAGAGTACAATACTGATTATCATACAGAGTCGAGACATAAATAATTGGAATTCATGCACGAGGGTGAGAATTATCTATGTAGAGGAGAAGAACCCAAGAAAAGAATTGGATGACTGATATTTGGCTGTAAATGTTCATATGTATATATAAGAGGCAAATAAGATGATAATGCTTTAAAATGATCAATTTTTTATTCATTTTTAAAAGGTAATTTTTACTCTAATAGAATAAACACAATCAATCTCTATAATTAATTTACTAGCTTGGTGCCCGGCCTTTGGCCGGGTGTGAAATGTGAGGGGAATTTGTTTGTGATTGTGTTATTTGCATAATTTGTTTACTTGTCTTGCGTTGCGTGTGCTGCAAAGTTTTTCAAATACATTCAAAGGAATCTTTGTTTGTGACTAGCAAGTGTATTTTACACCAAAATAAAACAAACAAATACATATTCATAAAACAACCAGATATTATTCACATTGTTTGGGTACTGATGATTCGTTACGTTACACCATCAGAACTTATTTATAACAACATACACTTAGCTGAAAGCTATTGTTCTAGTTTCCGCGAAGAATTAGCTTGCGTGAGTAGTAGGCCTAGGTGAGGCTGGAAAAGGTTATGTTGAAGTTTTTGAGTTGCATCGTATAAGCCTATAAGGGAATCATAGATACTGCCAAGAGGTACATATGCCTTCCATCGACACAAACCTGCAAAATGACATAAGGTTGAACATGGTAAATTTCTTAACGCCAAGCAAGGATGAACATGGTTCCACTATGTTGGCATTTGAATCTGCTTTCTCCTAAACTTCAGGACTTATTGTTTGGGATCTTATCTAAAATGGTGGTGTCAGGGATAGCAGTAGCATGTTTAGCTATGAAGCATCAATACACCATTGTTATGATGAGTATTAGAGTAATTAGGTTACCTAGGGTGTCACGTGGATGAAATGAAGATTGAAATCCATGGTAGCAATATAATGAAACACAGTTGGAACTTGGAAGCTTTGTCACAGCCAGAAGATGTACACTTTAAAACTCAGATACTCTCAAAGCATCGAATGAACTACATTCAAGATGAAAAGCTTCTGACTGTGATAGAACCTAACCTGAAAACTGAGGGAGTAAGAACTGTAACCTTATGTCGAACACTGGCCCGTGTAGTTGCAGTAATTGGAGACAAAAAAGAGCATAAGAAGATAGAAAAAATAAGCAGCAAAATGAGGGGAAAGGAAGAAAGAGAGCAAAAGTTACTACTTTAAGAGATATGGCAAGAAATAAGAGCAGGGGATAAAAGACCCTAATACTGCAAAAGAAAGTACAACATTTCAGGTTGGATAATGAGGACAATTTGATCCGACAATGATTAGAAAAGTTGGTTAAATCTGAAGTCGGCTCTATTTGCCCGACCCAATCTAAGCAGACAACATGATGGATGTTGCAGAGGTACAATGAAGAAAGAAACTACTCAATAATCCCAATTTGAAACCCGAGAAAACAGATTCAATCCAACATAACATAATATAAAGTGGAATAGGCAAGCATCTAAGTGAATTCAAATACCATAATGAAAGATCACAACACTGATGATTTTCGTGCATTCATCCCACATGGTACTCTGCACAAAGGGTGGCTACATTTAAATCCAATATTAGAGCAACATCACAAACGAAGAAAACAAATCATGAGAAACGCAAAAGAGTTGAGAGGATTGCGTAAAGATATTTAGGAAGGCAAGAAAGACGTACTATCTATCTGGGATTGAAAGGCGGCCTTTTTTCATGGGTGAAAGGCGGCCTTCATGTGGTTGGTAAATGCGAATCATCTGCGGAATTTGGCTTAGCGGGCAGGAATTGACAGGGTAATAAGGGGCGAAGCGGCGGTGACGACATCTTAGTAGTAAGAGCACCCGAATCCCCAATGAAATATGACTGGCAGCCCAGAATTGACGTTGAACTTGGATAAATTGATGGAAGAGAATTGTGTCTGATTGGAGTAGCGGAATCTCCGCTAGAAGTGAAACAACTAAGCAAAATCGTTAGTGAAATTGGGGCTAATAGATGGTTCCGGCCTTTGTTTGCAGAGAGAAGTCGAATCCCGTCAGAAAGACAATGTAACATGAAAAGGCTCCAACACCGAAAGATATAACTGGAGAGTAGTGAACCAAAGATGTTTGCATATCTGGGAATGAAAATCTCGCTGGACGAATGAGAGGAAGAGAGATTTGGGAGGGGTGTCGTCGTAACGCTGGTTGGTGTGTGTGCTATCAAAAGGCTGGTGCGCTGGCAAAAGTCTATTGTGGATGATGTTTTTGGTGTGTGCGATGAGAATACTGAAGGGGATGGAAGTTACTGCAGATTTGGGAGGAAGGAGGCCATTGGCTTCAACAGAGACACACGGAGACGACGATTCCAAAAGAAAGAGGCGCTATCCAAAAGAGTTTTAATATTTTTTAAGAAAAAAGAAAAACGGAAAAGTCACCGCCGAAGTTTGCGGGGAAGCTTTCCCAGAGAAAGCGCTTTATATTATTTAGTGATGATTGATCTATCGATCGATCATCTATTTAGATTAAACGAAGAAAAAAAACTGATGATTCTCACGCAAATAATTTTTTGATCAACCCTGTCCTTCCCCACTCATGGCTGAATTTTGCATGATTTATTGATCCCACACAACACCCACTAGGAAATAAGAAAAAAAGAAACACACATAATCCTCGCATGATACTATGACAGGTAATGCTACTAAGGCATTTATATCCTTTATTTCATTAATTAATCATTCCCCCCAAAAAATCCAGCACCTTAAACAAAATCCAGCTATAGAGAAACAAGAATCACGGAGCTCCGTTGTAGATGTGAATCGTGATAGACTGATAAGTCACTGGCGGGCGACCCGTCGTGCTTTTTCCCGCCCGCCCCGCCAAATATGGTAACCCGATAATTTAGCGCGATACGAATCACCAACCCGAAGGGAATCCGGCCCCGTTTAACTGTTACCGTTTTGCAGTGTTTATTATCCCGCGCGTCCCGCGAGATTTTCACCTACTAGTTAACTACCATTGGAAGAGAGAGAGAGGAGAACTGAATCTCAAAATCTCGTTGGCGGCCCCCACCGGCGTTTCACTTTCTCTCTCTATCTCTCTCGACAGCAAGCAATCGCCGTCTGGCTTTTGGCCCGCGAGTCCTCCCCACTCTCTCTCCTCTTCCTTTCCTTCTATCGTTATATTCGCTCGCTCGTTCGCTGGTTGTTTCTCCTTCCCTCATCCCGATTAACAGTGACCACAAGGTCGCCGGAGGGGAGCGACGGCGGAAGGATAAGTTTTCGGGGCCGATTCTATCCCAGCCGTCGGAATCGTAGTTTGGCGGAGAGCTGATTTTCCCCGGAGTCAGCTGAATCCGCCGTTCGCTGTTTTCTTTTGGGTATCCTTCAGCTGAAGAAATTCCATCAAGTTCCCCTGCGAAAGCAGGTGAGATTCCAGTATTCTATTCGGGAATTCTTAATTCGTATAATGGAGTATCTTAGCTTGTGAATCTGCGCCATCTCCTTGTTGTTGGACTTCCATGGTGATCTCGATTGTGCTTTTTCCTCGTGAAGTTCGATTTTGATTGAGCGTGAATCGGAGGGGGGAGATTTGATGATTTTGTTTTTGAATTATTGAATTCGTCGAAGTTTGGTGTGGACTGTGGAGAAGTTGGGTAGCTTGGCCTTGTAAATCGGATTGCAAATAGGTTGCGCTAGTCTCAATTGGGAGGGTTCAAATTTCCTTTCTTTTTTTGGTTCATGAATTTCGGCTGCTTCTGACTTCAGGAAGATCTGTGTGCAATTAAACTACTTCCTACCTGCTGCTTATCTCTCCTAGCCTCTAGAGATTTGATACGAGTTGTTGTGCAGAGGCAGCTCCATCTCGTCTTCCCTTCACTATGTTCGATCAGGCATTCATTTGACATGGCATTGCAATACTGATAAACAGGAGTTGCAGAGGAAAAGTCGGGTGCTTTTGATGGTTCCCTGTAAGACCTTCGCGAATCCTGTTGGTGCATGGTATACCTAGTCTGGTGGAGGGAGGAAAATGCTCAGGAATTGGAAGAAACCCCATATCGACCTGAATTTCATTTACCATTTTCGGGGCATCTAAGGCTGCGGAAGGGTAGTTGATGGGTTTGCTGTAAGCGGCAGCTATGGAGCAAGTTATGGAGAAAAAATATCCTTTGTGTGCTAAAGATTACAAGTTGTATGAAGAGGTTGGGGAAGGGGTCAGTGCCACTGTACATAGGGCCCTCTGTGTTCCTCTCAATGAGATTGTAGCAATTAAGGTCCTTGATCTGGAGAAGTGCAACAACGACCTGGTAATTTTACTGCATTACTATATGATATTCTTTAACATCTATCGATATTTTGGGGGATTGGATATCCCAAAGGAAAATCTTCTCCTCATGCACATGGAATCACTAAATATCATGTCGCAAGGTTTTGCTTTTTGTTTTATGAGTTTGCTCTATTCAATCCGTGTCATAACTCACTAAATCATGATCTCCAACATCAGTCAGCCATTGATGTGTTGTCTCTTTGTGTTACTTGTTTCTTTGCTATGTTACTGAATCTTGTCAACTTTCATCACTACTGGTATAATTTGTTTGTTGACATAGGATGGCATTCGACGTGAGGTACAGACAATGAGTTTGATTGATCATCCAAATGTGCTACGTTCGCATTGCTCGTTTACTGCTGGCCATAGCCTTTGGGTTGTGATGCCGTACATGGCTGGAGGTTCGTGCCTTCATATAATGAAATCTTCTTATCCAGAAGGTTTTGAAGAGCCTGTTATTGCCACATTATTGCGGGAGACTCTCAGAGCTCTTGTCTATCTTCATTCCCATGGGTTCATACATCGAGATGTTAAGGTACCCCATCCACTCTCATCTCAGTTCATATTCATATAATTTTACTTTCTCTGTGATGTGGTTCTTCCTTCTGGAGGAGTGACCTGAAAGATTTGTGTTGAATATGTCATGTTCATAGTTAGCCTGGATAACAGGATAAGGTTAGCCCTGGGAGGGGTAACAGAGTTATTTAGACATTTGAAGCGACTTAATTTTCTTTTGCGTGGGGCATTATAGATATGGTTTTCGTTGGCTGGCCCTTATGCAATCATCCACTTGTTTCCGTTTAGATGTTTTGTAAAGGATATTTTTACTGCTTGACTAATGGTTCCTCGGCTTATCTTTTTAGGCTGGCAACATTTTAATTGATTCTAATGGTTCCGTTAAGCTAGCCGACTTTGGAGTTTCAGCATGCATGTTTGATACTGGAGATAGGCAGCGCTCGAGAAATACTTTTGTAGGAACTCCATGCTGGTAATGTTGCATTCTACATCCTCCTCTGCAGCATCTGCCTTACTATTCTTTTCCCGTGGGAGATTTAATAAGATTTTATATGCTGTTTCTCTCAGGATGGCTCCTGAAGTTATGCAGCAGTTGCATGGCTATGATTTTAAGTGAGTTGCTGATGTCCTTCTCTCTCTTCTTTTTATGTTTTGTGACTGTGAAGTTTCTTCCCATTTTAGTGAATAATGTGCTGAAAATTCTTGAAACGTTGGTTGTGAGAACAGAGCAGACATTTGGTCATTTGGAATTACAGCTCTTGAACTTGCTCATGGCCATGCACCTTTCTCCAAGTACCCGCCGATGAAAGTAAACTTCTAGATTACAATACTAATTAATTGAACCGTAAGCTGCCATGTCAGTTTGTTTTCCTTATAATGGTCTTTTCCGAACATATTTGCAGGTTTTGCTGATGACCTTACAGAATGCTCCTCCAGGTCTGGACTATGAAAGAGACAAAAGATTTTCAAAGGTTTGTGTCTTTTGGGCGAATCATTTTCACTGTTTTGCTCATTGATTATACGTTGAAATTGTTGTTTTTTGCAGTCATTTAAAGAGTTGGTCGCTGCTTGCTTAGTGAAGGATCCAAAGAAACGCCCCACCTCGGAAAAGCTCTTGAAACACCATTTTTTCAAACATGCACGCTCAGTTGACTATCTTGCCCGTTCCATTCTTGACGGACTTTCACCATTAGGAGAACGTTTCAGGATACTGAAGGTTCCTGTTCTACATATTCTTTATGATTATCTGTCCGGAGGGAGCTTAGAGACGAGCTGATGTGTAATTCCTATAAAATGCCTTAAATTACTCTTCCCTATTTCAGGCCAAAGAAGCTGATCTTCTGGTGAACAAGCCACTATATGAGGATAAAGAGCATTTATCTCAGGTTAGACGGGTCTTGTTGAAAATATCATGTCATCCTTTCAATGCATGCATCTCTTTGTGTGATGTTATTGTTGGGACAAATTTCCTTTCTACTCTCTAACTGCTGATGGTTCATATTTCAAAATTGGATACTAGGATCACTCTGTTTGTTTGATTTGCAGCAAGAGTACATAAGAGGGATCAGTGCCTGGAATTTCAACCTTGAGGATTTGAAAAACCAGGCTGCTCTTGTAAGTTAAAAAAATATTGGTTTAAATGAGTTCTAAGTTGCAACTTGTTCTCTACCAGATTCATGTCATAATCATTGGCAACCTTATTTACGTGGATCTGGTATCTACAGATACAGGATGATGATGGTAACATCGAAGAGAAAGGTATTATTGGAAAACAAACAGACAGACAGGAAAACGAGTTTCTAGATGGCAATCCATCTATAAATGCAGCTGACCACATGACACCTACAATTAATGAGGTTTACATTTGTTCATTAGTCCACACACCTGCCTCATTCCCAATTTCCTACCCCGGATTTTAGGTTGAATATGTTTCTAATCCACGTGTTATTTATTGCAGGATGGAATTGATGATATTCCTGATTTGGAAAGTTCACTGGATGTGTTTCCCATGAAGCCTCTGCAAGCTCTAAAGTATCTCTCTCTCTCTCTCTCTCTCTCTCTCTCTCTCTCTCTCTCTCTCTCTCTCTCTCTCTCTCCATTTGTATTTGGTTGAACTGCTATTAATAAAAGTTTGATTACTCTCAATGAATGAATGTCCATGACGTCAGTGTGCTTTCAAGTATTGCACTTTTGTGTATGTTTACCAGCTTCCGTGATTATATTACTGCTTACTTGGAAGTTTCAATCATGTTTTGTTATCTGATGCAGGGGTTGTTTTGACGTTGGTGAGGATGATGAGGATGCCACCACGCCTACTCTTAAATGTAATGGTGAAGTAGAATACGAGCAGCAGGAACATGTATTTATGAGGCCAACTACAACAGAAAAAGACTTTGAAAGCAATGGAGTTCAGAAATATGGACGGACTAGCTCCTTACCACGCCATGTCAGTAATGAGAACAAAAAGTTTTTGAGTGGACCAATTTTAGCAGATAGCAGTCATGCTGAGGCGAGGTCTACAAGTGAGGAAAACAGGTAAGCATTGTTCTAAACAAACAAATTTCCTTTTGTTATATATGTTAGTGTTCGCCAATCCTACAATGTGCTATTGTGTTGTTTCTGGCAATGATGTGATAAACAAGCTACGCAGACTGCCTTGTCAATGAATGACTTGACCACTCCCAAGTGTTTTAGGTCTTCCAAATAATGTGTGCTCTTGCGACGGAGGTCTCACACAAGTGTTTAGGTCTTTCACATAACATGTACTCTGGTGACATAGGACTGATACAAGTGGTTAGGTCTTTCAAGTAACGTATACTCTTGGGACGGATTATTTAATACTTCTTCCGATTCTCTCTCATGATCTTAAGAGTTGGTCACTTGATTTTGAAATGTCAAAGCTATGTGATCTTAGGAGTGAAGGATTTGTTTAAAAGTCTGGATGTGTAATGTGTCCATCTTCAGTTTACATTTAACTTCTTGACATGTCGATCCAATGCCTTCTTGTGTAACAAAATGTTCTGGAAGTTGGAATACTTCCCCTGTCAATTTTTCTGTATCTGCTTAGAGCTGTTTTAATTATATGTTTTCAAACATCATGCAGGGATGTCCAAAAGCCAAGGTACCAATCTGATCGAAACTATAGTGGCACTTTACTATACCGGCAGAAGAGAGATACCAACAATATGTCATCAGGTATGTGTCTATTTGAATGCATGGTTTGGGTACCCTTCTGATATTCTTTCTGAATGGTATACCTGTCTTCATTGCTTGATTAATTTACTTTACGATGCCAGTAGAGGATGCAGCAGATGGAGCCATTGTCCAGCGCAAGGGACGGTTTAAGGTTACTTCTGCTGATCTCAGTCCTAAGGGTCCCACAAATTGTTATTTCAATCCAGCTGCTTCTCAAGGGTCAACTAGTCCACCATCATCCAACCTAATAGCTGCCTCAGTTCTCCCTACACTGCAGTGCATCTTGCAGCAGAATGTCATGCAACGGGTATCATACTCCTTTAGCTGTTGCCTGATGTTTGTGATCATATTATGCCTAAACTAAACTTCTTGATTTTGTTCTTAAATGATAACAGGACGAAATCATGAAACTGATCAAGTCTGTGGAGCACTCCTCCGGTAATAAATTCGCCTTTGTATATCTTCTTTTTTCTCTTTGTATAGTTGACATTTTCGGGGTTTGACTTGTCTTTATCTTGCATCAGCCAAGCATGGTGAGTCCGTTGAGGCTGCCTCAAATGAACTTTTGCAGTTATCTCCGAGGGAGAGGGAGCTACAGGCCCAGGTGTTTGGCCTGCAACAGAGGTACGTAATTAGGGTATGACAACTGGAGTATGTTTTCTCACTTCCCCTAGTCAGATTTCTTATTTAGCTGACTTCATTCTCATGTCAGGATCGCAAGCCTCTTCGACGAATTGCAGAAGCAAAAGATGATGAACAATCAGGTACGTTTTCTCCAGCTAGAGTCTTGAACAAGTGAGAACAGTGTTCAGTCTCGAGTTAGGATGCTAACGATAATGTTTACTCTCTGCTTATGTTATCTGTGTGCCTGCTGAAGCGTTATGTTCTTGATTCATGACATCAATGCCATCTGATTACGGTCCTCTTATTTACCATATTCTGCAGCTGGAACGACAATTGAGTTGTTCAACTAACAAGGAAAGACGATAACGACTGTCGATGGTGGCGGCGGCGATGTTTATAGCTTTTCGGCATCATCCGTGCCTTTCCTCTTCCAGTAGCGAGATCGGGCGAGTTCGCTTGGGAGGTATCATCGGAAGAGGGTGGAAAGGTAAAAAAACAAAGGGTGGATGGAATGATATTGTATTTCTAGTGTACCATATACATATATATATATGAATTATGTAAGATTGGAAATGGAACAGAAAAGATGGGAGTGATGAGATGGACACCCAAAGAAAATTTTGAGATGCCATATTTGTAACTTAAATTGTGTCCCAAGATAATGCAAGTAAAGATTCACTCTGCTTTGGTTTCCTTGGTTTTGGTTGTTAGCTGTTAAGTCTTGTATTGTCTCCCACATGCATCATTTGCTGGTTCGTAACTTATCTATTGGAGATTACATCTTTACAATCCAAGTGCCAGCCAGCCATGGTTGGCAGTCTGTGTCTTCCTCTCTTTGTTTCTTTCTTATTCTTTGGTTTGTTTGTGATGATGACATTATTCTGAGGCTTTCTAATTTCTCTATGCCCTTAATGAGTGCAAAACACCATGATCTCATATTACCAACATCAAGGGGTTGAATTCTCCTGTCGGTTCCAGATTTTTGGACCATCAGAAATTAAAGCATGGAGTCGTAAATCTAAAGAAGACAATTCCGTGTACCATATAGTTGGCAAGAAAACTGTAATAAGCTGCACCTTATTAGGTGGTATATCATGAAATAATATAACCAGATTCAATTCTGATCAAAATTGTTTGGTGAGATAAAAAGTTAAAAACAACGAATATCATGTCATGTTGAGATGTGCATGGTTCAACTAAGCATGTATGATGATACCTCGAATGTTGTTGGATGCGGGTCATGTGACTCGATTCCAGAATAGCCTCATATCAAACTCGATATTCATGAGATGCCCTCACCGTCCAATGACCCCAATTGTGAGTTCTGAACATCCCACGCTTTGGAGTCAACTGCACTCCTGCAAAGGAATGTCTCTTAACAGCGTATTCAGCACTATTGACCTCTGCCCCGTATGCTGCAGCTTGCTTGCAAATGCAAGAGAAGTGGTCATCCAGCCAAGATCATCCCCATTGTATCAATTTCCCATCTCTTTCTGGAATGATATTGAAAAATTCTTCAACTGGATGTTCAAAACGACGATGATACATACAACTTCAACCATCATCCAGCCAAGATCATCCCCATTGTATCAATTTCCCATCTCTTTCTGGAATAATATTGAAAAATGCTTCAACTGGATGTTCAAAACGACGATGATACATACAACTTCAACCATTACATCATCAAAACATTCAAGTGTCCCAATCCTTGAAGAAACAATCGCAGTGCAGGATCTCCAAGAAAAAGGCAGTGGCTCAGTCTAACCAAATGCTGCAAGTTTGGAACAGTGACATATACGTTGATCGCTCCACCTGTTACCAAATTCGATTTTCCAGTACAGAAGATACAACTCCTTTCAGTGTCTCCTGCATGACATAATTCACACACAAAACAAATTGACCAATCCTGCCTCTGATAGTCTACCGAAGAAGAAATACATTTCCAGCATCTTCTTACCATTGAGTGATCTTTAAGACCCAGAGAGAGAACCAATGGCCTAGCTGACCCGGAACTACTGCACAAAACAAGAGTTCATCTCATTTAACAATGTCCATCACAAAAAGCATAAGGAACAGATTATTGATCAATGACTGAGAGTTGGATTTTGACCTCATGTGTTCAATCAGTTGCCGAGCACATGCTGTTAGCATAGGCTGCATATATAACAACTCTCGAGTCAGGGTTAACAATATTCATAATCAGATGAAAAAGAAAGGTTTTGTTGCTTCTAACTGGATTCACCTCATCTCGCTTCCCAAATATCACCGATACGTGGAAAGTTGGCTCACTTGTCATTCCCTCTTCCTTCCTGTGCAGGTTAGCAAATTTTATTAGGTCCCACTAAGGCAAAATGAAGGAACAGTGTGAAGTTAACCAACCCTGCCAAATTGTCAGCACTTGCGCACTAGAAGCAAGAGCATCTCAACCCATGATCTTTACTTTCCAAATGGATTTACTTGCACCTAGAGAAAGATCGAAGATACTAATAAATACCTACGGGAAAAGAAACCCGGTGCATACCTGGCTTGTAGCATTGTCCCCATGGTTCCTATTTGAGTTGCAATTACCTGAGAAAAGGGAAGTAAGTTTAAACCTCAAGATATGAATTAACCATTAAGCATATCTTCAAAACTCAACCAAGTACCCAGGAACGGTATTAAACGACGTCAACACTCACAAGAATATGGTCATTGTATCCGGAAATGACTACATCAGTCTTGTTCCCCTGTCAAACCAGAAACAAGGATCATCTAAGTTCCCACCACAACATTTGAAAATTCAGATTGCATAAACCACATGCCATAAGCTGAACATGACACAACCAGAAAATTAGCGTAGCGTGAGCTTCCATACAAGGGAATTACCCGACGAGGCCGGTATCCCAAGCAAGAGAACTTGACTACAAACGTAAGAAGATAAACAGATATTAATGAACAAAGAACCGAAATTGCACTTAGTCACTCAATATTGAACCCTGCGGTAGAATCTCCACAGACAAATTCCCAACGCTACAAACCGGGTTTACTCTACATCACTCGATTTCACGAACTGCCCGCAACCCATTACTCGGAAAGCGGAATAAGCCATGGAAACTACAAAAAGCCAGTCCCTTTGGTTTCTTATTCATCGAGGGGAACAGCTAACGAATTGGCGGTAACCCAGAAGATTTCAGAGGCCAAACAACAGGCAAAAAATAAAAATAAAAATAAAAATGAATTCAGGAAGTTCCACGGAGCAGGGAAGACTACAGCTAGAAGCAGGAAGTTGGGTTTTGATCGGCGTTACCTTAATTTCGACTGAGAAACTTCTGTGAGGAACTGGGAAGTGTTGCTCTATGCTGGCCATTGCCTTTCGCTTCCGGTCGATTCCCCGACGAGAATAGCGGAGGGAACCGGTACGTAGTTAACAAACAGAGAATTGGGCTTCTGCTGAACTTGAACTTGGGCTCGCCTTAGAAAGAAGACCTTGGTCCGTTTGGAAAAGCAACTCAAGTCCAATCATAAAATTCTAAGCCCACTTCACTTCCGTACTCAACTCGATCGATCGGCTCATTTGCAGCCCTAAGTATGAGGAATTTTACAATGCTATATAGCATTGGTGCTATAGGTTTTTACCTTTATGGTACAACTTGAAATTGTACCTTTGATGTTATGGTACAACTTCAGATTGTACCTATACATTTTGTACAAATTCTTTTATGGTACAAATTAAACTTGTTCTTTATATGATGGTACAACTTCAAGTTGTAAAATTGTACCATAACATAATGATACAAATTCCTTTATGGTACAACCTAAACTTGTACATTTAATGTTATGGTACAACTTCAAGTTGTACATTAAAGCACCAATACTATATAGCATAGTAGAATTGCTCCCCTAAGTATATGTGGAAGGGTAGTGGTAGGCCGTCACGTGCAAACCGGCCAATTAACACGTGATGGTACTCCAACAAAACTTCCCAGTACCCATCGGGTTGTTAGGGGCAGCTGTTTTCAAGCCGGAGCCGGCTATCGTCCCAGCCGATCGAGTTGAGCCGATCCGGTAGCCGTAATTAGACTTGTACAGTTGTAGTTATTTACTTTTTTAGCTGAAAGCCAAAGCCCAAACCGCTCTATCTAACCAAATGTCAATCCTCCATTAATATATGGTAGAGTTTTGAGTACTTTTCTCCTTTTTAAATTTCCTGCAACGAGAGTGAAAGTAGGAAGGTCATTTTTGTCTTTACACATTTATTATTTATTTCATATAAAAATAGCAATATCAAGATTTGAACCCAGGTCTCTTCAAACAAAGATAACAATCACAACCAGTTACACTAAACAAAATTATTGCATCCTTTTTTATACAAAAAATAGACAAAGTTAATCTCTGAAAATCAGAGGACTTTTTCATCATAATTAGCAAGCTCACTAAGTCTACCGTATGTATTTTTATCGAGCTTGATACTTCTATTTTCATAGTAGAGTTTCATGTAATTTTCTCACTTTTAAATTCCCGCTCTCTCCTTAATTTTTGCTAAAGGTAAATGGGTAATTGGCCAACATGGAAGAAACTGATTATGTAACTACTGTTGTATCCTTGCATTTTTCAATTTAAATTTAAATTTTATGTTTTTTTTTATCTTTGTTCTTTTCTCTTTCTAACTTCCCCCGAAATTTCATCCATCGTGCAATAGTTTGAGCCTTTCACTTCCCAGTACAAGACTGTCATTGAAAATCAATCTTCAGGTATCTCTTGGCACTACGGTTTTATTGTTGGGGATTTTAAGCTGGGCGAGTAGAAGATTTCAACTCCGATATCAATTCATGGCGAATAGAATGGAGTTCATCAATAACTGAAGTTGTAGAAGGAAGATTAGAAATTGAATTTTTGGTTTAATATATGCCTCTTGAGATAGAAATTTGGTTGTACAACGGAGAGTGGTGTCTATTGGATCTTTAGGTTTATGGTTTTTGCAACTGTCATAACCTATTTCTATCTTAAAACGAGGAATCATTGATTGATTGTTTGAAATAGGTCGCTTCTTTATTCAACCTACTGGAACTAATAGATAATGAGTGTCTAATTTTGCGCCTTATTACTTTGATCGAGTCTATTCGTATATTGGAGATAACCCTGATTTTTCGTTTGCTCTCAAGTTGTGATGGTCACCTTTTAGCTGAGTTTTTAGTATATAGATGACTTGAATCAACAACTCTCCATTTCTTTTTGATTAGTGACATATTGTTTCTAAAAGGAGAGCATTGAACCCTTTATATAGGATTGTGAGGTTTAAGATTTAGTTTCAAACTATCTATGGGTTGTGTGAGAATTTCAGTGAGCTTTTATACTCTATATTTCTTGACTGTCAAAGAAAACTAACCAATAGCATTTTAACAGGGACTTAATTAGCATTATGAAAATGGGGTCAATGATACATTTTTATATTTTATATTCTTAAATGATTATGATATTTCTCCGAATGTTCGACCTATATATTATTTCTGTATGTATCAACTCGATCGAATGATTATCAATAAGATTAAACGGGTTAATAGACTTAAAAGTAACATAAAAATACAAATAATCAAATATGAGCATTCCGGCCAAAGGGCCGGGTTATAAGCTAGTTTTAATGTAATGATGAATGAGCCGAGTTGTTCCATTTGCAAACCGGAGGCGGTATTATTTTAGTATAATCGGCGACTGCTGATCAAACAAATATAATAAGAGATAATAGGAGAACCGATCCTTTAATTTGTTCGTAATTGGCATTAAATATAGGACAAAACACTGAAAGATAGTTGTGAAGGCAACGTCCGTTCAGTTTTGCTTCTATATGCATTGCTCACTGCCGCTCCACTGGGATCTTCGTCCTTCATCCTTTAACGGTGGCTAGCTGATAGCTATATTTATATTCTATTCCATCTATCTATAAATGAAGGAAATATGAGGAATGAATGTCATAGTCGAAAACACAAGTATTATTTACATTTTTTGTAATAGAGTTCATTGAATTAAATATGAGAAGGCTCAAAACTCCATACTTTCTTTGCTTCCCTTATTTCAATAGTGTTAAATTCGACTAGACCTTCATCAGCATATGATTCAATATGTCAAAATCCGTTATGAGCAGGTATTATCTAAATTTGTGAGCAGTATGAAGTAATTAATCTAGGTGTGATTTATTAGTGCAAAATTTCACCTCTTAGACATTATAGGTTTATTAGTTTGGTGGTCATATGCTTTTTCCCGTCTATAATGGAATTTCTCTTCTATATTCTCATATGAAAATAAAGCCATTTTGTATAAATTTTCTTATTAGTATATGAAAGAGTAGGTCAACCGACCACAATCCACACCTCTACAAGTATTATATCACTGAATTCGCACCTAATACATAACAATATAAGTACCGAAATATTCATTCTAATTTTGCAAGTGTCATTCCTTTATCCTAAAAATCAATCTATAAACATCTATGTCCCTCCCAATCGAGGGGAGATACATACACATTCATGAATCATGATTAGGTGAATTTATCTTTGACTATAAATATTTTAAAATATGAGAAAGGAGAGATCTTGAGTAGAGGATGAGTAGATCCCGAAAGCTTCTAGAACATTCCTAAATGCAAGTGCTAGAAAACCAAGCTGATCCATTGCCACATATATATAACTCCATTACATTTTCTTTTTGGTGAGAACTTTGTGCGAGGCAATATGTTATTAGATGCACATCTAAAATGGAGTACAGAAGTGCGGTGGCTATCAGTAGGCAGCTAACAAGTTGATGAAAACGATCTTCAAAGAGAGTGAACCTCATCCAGCCCTAACATTAATTATTGTATGGGCATATTAGTAACCTTCATATCATGAATGAAAAATATGTGACGTGGATTTATGATCGACCCGCCAGTATTGTATCGTTTTTCAATTCATGCTAAAAAAAATACAAAATCACTAAGATTAAAGGAGGAAAAGATAATCAACCTGGTGATTGTGGACTCATGGTGGGCGCTAGAGAGAAAAGGAAACTGATGAGTGATGAGGGTTTTTCGAATATATTATCAACTTCAGTTACAATTCCCCTTATAATTTAACATCTGTTACAATTTGAAGTTTGTTGTTACAATTCAACATCAATTACATTCATAATTTTTTTTTAATGAATTATGTTGTCTCAATGTTAACTACCGAAATCCTCCTTCAACACATGGTTGATCAAAGTACATCTTCACATATCACAACATTTTTTTACTTCCCTAACACTATTTTAAAAATTATATGTTCCTTGAATCACCAACCATGACTATTAACCGTGTTTATTTTAATTTCAAGTACCATTTTTTTAAATGATTTCAAGTACCATTTTGTCTCTATTGAAAAGAAACACTGTGAAATAGTCTAGCGGTAAAATTCTTAGTGGGCGCTTGTTCCAGAAAGTGGCAGATTCCGTATTCGATCTCACCGAGGCTTACAATGATGTTCCGGGAGGTATTTAATGGAGATTATCATGGAGGGCCCAAAAAGATCAAACAGGTGAACCCCAGATTTGATCCTGCTCTGCCATCGCTAGAGACGTAAAGCGTTGTGTGCATAGCGATGTTTGTAGAGGGGCATGTTCGAGAACTTTGCGGGACAAAATAATTATAAAAATTAACAAATATCTGAAACTGTCCAGGCCCAAGTTGTGAATATTTTTGGTTTAATTCAAAAGCCGAAACAAACATGCAACGACAAAGCCCAAACCGACGGCTGACACCAGCTGGATGCAAGTCGCGACTCACGAAAAAGATGAAAACAGAAATAGAAGTAGCGGTTTACATACAGAACAGAGGTCCATTTCCACAAGTCTCTGCTCCTTCCTTCCTTCCTCGTTTCTGCTAATCTCCAATGACTGTCCCTTTCTCTCTCCCCTCCATATAACAACGACAACACCATTCCCCTCACTGCTTTGAATCGCTCATTGTCTCTCAGGAGCTTTGATTTTTGAAGCTTCGCAACCTCAACAGAGTTTAAGCTCTTTTTTTCTTCTTTCTTTCTTTCCTCTCTTTTTCGAGGCAGAAAGATGGGGTTTATTCCGACGGAAGAGAGCCAGAGGCAGGAGATCGAGGAGTTCAAGCGGATGGTAGTCGCCTGCGCCGGACTCAGCCGGAGGAAAGACGAAGAGGAGCAGCTCGGATTCCGCCTCCACTCCCCTGAAATTGACGACGACGTAGGTGAGGAGAAGATCGTCTGCGTCACCAGCGGCGTTTCCTTCTTAGGTCTCGCCGTCATCAACCGCCTCCTCGTCCGCGGTTACTCCGTCCGAATCCTCGTCGATAACCAAGGTAACCGATCGCAGAACCGAGAGACTGATCTGCTTAGTCCTCCCTCCTCTCTGCTTTCCTGCAAATCAAACTGAATCGGAATTTGAAAGATAGAAATGAACGGCCGCCAGAAATTGAATTCAATTCTCGGAAATGTCCAACGAGATTAGTCCCGATTCGTTGTGTGTGTTAATCTGATTAGGGGAACAATTTCTTCAGCTATTTTTAGATTGATTTTTACTGATTTGGATTTGTGGTGGCGGTGGCAGAGGATGTGGAGAAGTTGAGGGAGATGGAAGAAGCGGCGGCGGGGGAGGAGGGGAGGCGGCGATTGGAAAGCAACAACAACGGCGTGGTGGAAGCAGTGGTGGCGAGTTTGTTTCAAGTGGAGACTTTGGCGGAGGCGTTCAACGGCTGCCGAGGCGTTTTCCACACTGCGGCTTTCGCGGATCCAGCTGGACTCTCCGGTTACACGGTCAGTCTCCATTCCCACGCAGCCCCCAACCTTTTTCTTCCTTTTTTCACTGTTTGGGCTCTTCCACCCTCAATTATTCATTCTAGCCTCTAATTGCTATTTGTTAAATCATGATAATTAATAATATTCATGTTTTGACTGTTCTAATCTTCTAGAAGCTAGTGAAATCAAGTGGAAATGCAAGGTCAGTGTATTAATATTGACATAAAAAAAAATCGTTGTCCTAGATCATGCATTCGCCAAATGCACCACTGAATCTAATAGAATTAGAAACATTTTAATGGAAATGAGTCACCAGGAATAGGCTGGCCCGTCTTCTACATGTTAGGTTTGGACGTGAGTCGTACTAGGCTAAGCTGTGTGGGGATGGCAACAAAACCCGAACCCACGGGTACCAACCCGACCCAACCCGGTCAACGCGGGTGAAATTCGTGTTGACAGGTTTTGGGCCGGGTTCGGGTTTAAACCCGCTACACTATTCATCGGGTCGGGTTGGGTTTGGGTTTAGGTAAACCCGACCCATGGGTACCCTCCCACACACATATAATTACTTTCCCGGTATATTTAATATTCTAAATAATATATTTTTCTTAAACAATTAATATTCTTTGTGTTTGTGGAGACATGTATAATTTGTTCTTTCTAATTGTTTAGAATGAAATTGATATTATGAAGTGGAGAGTGAAGAAACTTAGTTGACGAGGAAGAAGCTTTCAATTAATCTTTTGTTTATAGATGTTTATCATTAATTTTGAACAATTTGTATTGATCATTTGCGGTTTGCTTGTATGCTCTAGATTGATGTTTTTTTGTATGATTAATTTGTATGAGAAAATTGATGTTAAACTTTTATTTTGAAAGAAACTTGTTATTGTAAATTTTTTACCACAAAAACCCACGGGTACCCATGAACCCGCGGATACCCAGCGGGTTGGGTTGGGTTTGAGTTTTTCAAACCCAACGGGTTTTACCCCGGGTTTTTTTGACGGATAAACCCATGAGTTTGCGTTTGGGTTTGACAAAACCCACTCCAACCCGACTCATTGCCATCCTGTGAAATGCTTTATGTGATTCTAGGATTCGTGACGACGAGCATTGCTGTTCAGTGTATTGCCAAGTGAATTGGAGAGTGAGAGTCCACCCATTGGCTGGACCAAAAAGAGGAAGAGTCACCTGTTTGGAAATACAATTTCTAAAGGGGTATATTTTAGCTGAGCCAAATGTACCCACAACTGGTACACGCAATTCCAGTAGTTGGGATGTCCTAATCCTTGTATTTGCTCAAAAGGTAGCTGCTTTTGAGATTTGAGGTCCACGCCCCTTAGATTCTAGAAGAAATTGGTAGGTCCATTCTTCTTAGAGAGTAGCTCAAGCTTGGTTCACTTTTAATACATGCAAACCAACCTCCATCCTGGTGGGAGAAGAAAACTTGCCATACTCTGATACTCACCTAACCTTCCTCGCTTGCCATTTTCCAAACCTCACTTGAGTTGTGTCCTTTTCCTGATGCCTTGACAAATAACAAAGAGGCATCTAGACCTCACTAGCCAAGTGTCATTCATTAGATTTCTATAGAGACTTTGACACCCTTTCACGCATCTACCCACTGGAAAACCCACCAGGATGCTGAAATATTGTTTGACAGTGTGCCTACTTTCAACCGAAAGGAAGGATGGAATGGGGATGAGGAAGTAGGTTATTACTAATGTAGAAAAGGGTTTTACTTTTTAGTTTCCATAGTATCACCAACCTTGATTCGTAATTACAAATCCAAAACTAACACCGGGAAATATATCAAAATTCATACAATAGTACATTACATACTCCTTATTTGTCTAGCTCTATTACTCTGTTGCTCTTTGATAGCTGCCCCAACTGAACCCAACATCTGACATTCCGGTTAGCGTTAGGGAGCGTACTGCATCTTTCGCACTGCTTTTACCATGTTCTCTGTTTCTGATTATAGCTTTTAATCTAAACCCTCCAACTTTTGATTCATGTCAGAAATCGATGGGCGAAATTGAAGTGAAGGCTGCTGAGAATGTGGTGGAGGCATGCTCGAGGACCCCGTCGGTAAGAAGCTGCGTGCTCACTTCATCGCTCCTGGCCTGCATTTGGCGAGACAGTACCTTGCAGGATTACCCCTGCGTCATCAACCACGAGTCCTGGAGCGAAGAAACATTTTGCAGAGATAAACGGGTAAAAGTCCAAACTCCACCTCCATTGATCATTTCTTAGTTTAACTCTTCTCCCTAGCTTCTAACTTCAATCTTTTGTACGAACAGCTGTGGTATGCTTTGGGCAAGTTGAGAGCAGAGAAGGCAGCATGGAGAATAGCAAAAGAGAAAGGTCTGAAATTGGCCACCATCTGCCCAGGTCTTATTACAGGCCCTGAATTCTTTGACAGGAACCCAACATCAACCGTTGCCTACCTAAAAGGTAACCCAAATCCAATATCACCCACCACTCCCCTTATTTCTCTACAATTGGTGACAAATTGGTCAAAATATTCGATAACAAGGATTTTAGAACGGATAAACGCATACTACCTTGATTTGTAGCTAATTTCCATAGCGTTTTCATCAAACAAGATCTTACCAGAACCAGAACTTGACGTCTGCTTATTGTTTGGCAGGAGCTCAAGAGATGTTTGCAGACGGGCTGCTGGCGACGGTGGACGTGATGAAGCTGGCGGAGGCACAAGCCTGCGTGTTCGAAGGAATGAAGAAGACAGCCGGCGGGAGATATATTTGCTATGACAACGTGATCGAGAGCGAGGAGACGGCAGAGAAGCTAGCGGAAGAAGTTGGGATGTCGGCGGAGAGGATATGCGGGAACAGAGGTGCTTACATTCCGGCGCCATTCCAGTTATCTAACAGGAAGCTTTCTAACCTCATGTCCAGAACTCTTCGCAGTTGCTACAATCAACGCTGAATCATTAAAAGGAAAATGAGTCGTTGGTAGGAAGGGTTTCTAGCTGGCTAAAAGGATTATTATGGTTATACGTACAAAATTGTTCTATGATGAGAGCGCTAGTGAAGTGTTCCAATTCGTAAGAGCAAATGAGCAGCTTCCTTTCATATCAATCTTCAGTAACCAATCTAGACCACCACCCTGATTCGGTGCAAGTCAGCGTGGGTAAACTGTGACTAACAGTTTATTTCTCGCATTCTGTTAAGATGGCTAGTCACAGACTAACAGAATGTGAGAAATTTTGTAATTTGAAAATATTAACCTTCAAATAATGCATTTAACATCAATTTGTGTATTATACTATGCACCAATACAAGCATTTTGAACAATTAGGAGTAATTTCGGTGACCTAAAACTGGAGCTTCAAATACTTGGTCCAACAACATCCTCAAAACCGATGGTTTTACAACATATCGAGGCGTCAATCCAATACAGACGTGTTCGATATCAAATGAGAGTATTTAAATAATAGAAAGAACATTAAAACAAAAGGATACACCATACCAGTTGATTTTACCGCCAAGCAATTTCACGAGCGAGAACCGAGATAGCAGAGATGAATCAGATCATTGGTAAAAGACATAGTTAGGTTGGTCTTCCTTGGTTTGGCCGATCCAAACGATTAACATACTGTCCGAGTTAATAACTCGGGTAATGAATGAATCGCTCAAAGCAAGGTAAAACCACCCTTGCTATAATTTTTACTCCGATTGTTTGTGTAGCTCCATCACGACAGGGAACAGAGGGCAAAGCAAAACGAAATACAAATTCCAGATCCAGAATTGTCAAAAACAAAATTTCAAACGCCAGTAGGAATTCCGACTCGATCGGAGAAAACTAGTTCAAAAAACAAGAGGAGATAAGATGGTGAAAGGCTCAGAGAGTTGCTAACTGTGCTCAAGGAAGAGCTCCCGTGAAGGAGCTCCTCTCATACAAGAGGTGTCAGAAATAAAGCACTCTTCATCTTTGCCGGCCAATTTGAATCGGAAAACAAGAAGACATTAAAAATGAAAGAGAGAAAGAACAAAACCTATGAGCAAACAGAGGGCGGCCCTCGATTGAAGATGCTCTGCTGCTATTAGGATTATCCATCTGCAGATCTCGGCGGAAAGGAAAACCCTAATAACAACATTGCAACAAGCGGCGAAATGATGGAAGGGATGAATGAGCTGATGCGGTGCGGTTATTTGTAGGTTATGTTACTGGGCTTCTGAGAGATAGGGCAGCCCAGCCGTCGGCAGCGCCAGCGATCCCGCTGTTTTGAGAGGCCGTTTACCATTTGTTGGTCCATTTGCAGGTGTCATTGACGGGCCACCATTTTTGGGCCAAACAAATGGCCCATGATGTTAATGCTGTGTGTCGGTGGCGTCCATGGGCTGAACTAGAGGGTAAGCAACGGGTAAATTGGGTGGATTTTGACTATAAAATTATTTCAACTCACTTATGAACATATTGACAATTTTCAAGCCGTCACTCATCCACACTTATCATCGAGTTTGGCCGGGTGGATGGCTGATGATTTGGTTAGTTTGTCGGGTTCAACCTCAACAGTATGATCATTTTCCAAGAATCTAGTCGGACCATGCCATCGAATTCCCTAACTACCTAACTGAACCTCGCAATGTCCTCCTCATCAATGGCACGAGCAAGACCCACTAGCAACATACATAACACTCACGAGTCCCAGCAAAAGTAGGATCCAAATCCTAATATCCCTCCAGTGCATTGCTCACTACGATAACAACCTCACCACCGCCATCCCTACAAAGATGAAAAATCCCAGTGCTCATAAGATGACCTTTAGCTCAATACCTGCAGAGCGAGTCATCATTCCTTGCAGAGCAGCAGACAAACTCTTTTATATCTCAATCGCCTTCGTGTACTGTCCCAACTCCGCAACAAAGTGAGCTACTTTCAGCTTGCGTTGTCGGCAGATATTGATGCTTGATCCTCATATTGGAAGAGATCAGCAACTCTTTCATAAAACTCGATAGACTTCTCTATGTTTGCTTATTCTGCATGTGCATACAGTTCAGCGATTTCCTTAGTGTACCTTGCAGGCTTCAGCCATGTTGATCTTCCGATCTCACATAATTTTACCTTATCACAATTATTGGCTTGCGGAATTTATATATAGTATGATAACCGGTTCTTCTAATTAATATGACTATTAAGGAAAATACATAACTTCCTACAATTCTAACATGGAAATCTAAACTAATAGGGAATGGGACTTTGTGACAAATTACATAGTGATACTCATATTTTAATTGACACATAAGTTGAGCCCATATTCAAACTTAATGAATTGTTTAACGTACAAGTTACGACCATATCAAACCGTGGTCAATTTGGGATTAGCATGGGAATTAGGTTAGTCGAGTCATCATCATCTGTAAATTCGAATAGTGGATTAATAAAAAGCAATATGGCAAAGCCCCAAGCTTAAGCAATGCCCTAATTAACTATATGTATTGTCTCCGGCTGACTCATGGCTTCGAGATGTGGTCACTCCTACGTTGTAAGAAACTTCGAATCTTACAAACTATTCTAATCAATCAAATATCCATATTGTTTTTATATATAAATATTTCAGAAAACTGAACCACCTAATTAAATACAGGGGAAGAAAATGTAACATGTAATTGTTTGAACTGGTGCTGGCAGATATTGACCTCTAATATGAAATGAGAAGTCTGAGTATGAAAAATGGTCTCTTTAATTAAATTTTGTGAATTTACACTCACATTGGATGAAGCATTTTATTATATATGAATTTTAAAATAGAAATAAGATTTAAGATGCAATTATAAGATTTTGAGATAACTTATACGTAGGTGAAAGTTTGAACGTTGAAACTTAATCTGTTTTTTATTTCACCAAAATTAGCAACCTAAATCAATTTTCAGACTAATATCCCATTGACAAAAAAAAAAAAAAAACGAGAGGAAAAGGTGAAAATACAAGAGGAAAATCGGTCGCGGTGGACGTGGCAGCCCCGTTCCTCACGTGCACGAGTCATGGGGGTCCGAGTTAAAACTTAAAAGTTAAAACAGAGCTAATCTTCTATACATAATATTATAGTAATTCAAAAGTAGTTTGTTGCCACATAAACATTTGAAGAATTTACAAGGTGCCATGGTGGACACTTTTTTTACAAACAAAAAAGTTAGTTAATGATCAATTAATGTAGCTATATCTATCTTTTTAATATTTTTTTTATTTTAATGATCATTTATGTAGCTATATCTATCTTATTTTAATATTTTTTATTCAATAATTATATTTTTCGATATATATGTGTAGCAGTAGTATACTTATGTTTCGAGAGTGAAATATATTGTAACGCTTCAAAAATTTTTTGATCAAATCTGATCAATTAATTTTTCTTTTTATTTTTATTAGAACTTAATATAGGTTATATTTCGATACAAAAATAAATTAAACACACAGATAAGTAATAAAAAATTTTAAAAACAAAATATAATGAAGAAAGTTTAGATAATCAACATTTAATAATCAATTGAATTTGAAAAACCAACTATATAATTTTATGTTTTGGTTATCAAACACTATCTCTTTCTAATGTTTGTATCTATCAACGAAAACAAGTATTAAATAGCAAAACATTACATGCAACAAATTAATGTAGCTAAATCTATGCAACAAATTACATGCACAATCTTAGGGGTTAAGCTCTAGGATTTAGATAACTAAGACCTAGGTTCACTCATTAAGGGTTAGGGTATAGTATCATGCCCACAAATCCAGTTAATTCGTGGCCCATATAACATTTTCTTACTTAGAGTATAGTATCATGCTTAGATATTGACAATAGATGTGGCATTACACCAACAAAATGAAGATATTAGTATAAGTAATGGAATTTTTATCTCAAAACAAACACCAAAGATAAATAAATTTGAGCAAATGCATATTTGATAAGTTAGAAAATTATTCAACAATGGACCATGTTAAGATTAGAACCCTCGACAGTGTGTGCGTATCTTGGACCGATATTCTAAACCAACATCTAAACAATGACCATGAGTCTATATTAAACTTCAGGAATTAACAATTGGTACATATTGTATAAGATATTAAATTGTCTTGATCCCCCAATAATATATAGTACACTTTTGTGTACTTTTTTTCATTTCAAATTTCCTGCAACGAGAGTGAAAGTAGGAAGGACATTTTTGTCTTTACAATTAATTATTTATCTCACATAAAAGATATCAACATCAAGATTTGAACCTGGGTCTCTTCAAACAAAGACAACAATCACAACCATTTATGCTGAACAAATTTGTTGTACCTTTTTTAATACAAAATATACACGAAGTTCAACTCTCTGAAAATCAGAGGACTTTCCATCATGATTAGCAAGCCCACTAAGTATACCGTATGCATTTTTATGGTGCTTGATACTTCAATTTTCATAGTAGAGTTTCATGTAATTTTCTCAATTTTAAAATTCTTTCTCTCTCCTTAATTTTTGCTAAAGGTAAATTGGCAATTGGCTAACATGGAAAAAACTAATTTTGTCACTACGTGTTGCGTCCTTGCATTTTTCAATTTAAATTTGTGGTATTATCTTTGTTCTTATCTCTTTCTAACTTCCTCGGAAATTCCCTCCAATGTACAATGGTTTGCGCCCCTTTCACTTCCCAATACAAGGCCGCCTTTGAAAATCAATCATCCGATATCTCTTGGCACATCAGTTTTATTATTGCGGATTTAAGTTGGAAAAGTAAAAGAGTTTAATAAATAATGGAGTTGCAGACGGAGGATTATAAATTGAATTTTTAGTTGCAAATATGTCTCTTGAGATAATAAAAAATTTGGTTGTACAAGGAAGAGTGGTGGCTATTGGATCTTATGTTTATGGTTTTTACATCTATCACAACCTATTTTTATCTTAAACGAGGAATCATTGATTGATTTATTGAAATAGGTCGATTCTTTATTCAACCTACTGGAACTGATAGACAAGGAGTGTCTAATTTTGTGCCTTATTACTTTGATTGAGTCTATTAGTGTGTTGGAGATAACCCTAATTTTGTCGTTTGCTCTCAAGTTTTAATGGTCCCCTCTTAGTTTAGTTGTTAGTATATAGTTGACTTAAATCAACAACTCTCTATTTCTTTTTTATTAGTGGCATATTGTTCATAAAAGGAGCGCATTAAACCCTTATGTAGGATTGTGAGATTTAAGATTTAGTTTCAAACTATTTATGGGTTGTGTGGAATTTCACTGATCTTTTATACCCTCTTTCTTGAAAACCAACTAACCAATAACATTTTAACAAGGGCTTAATTAACATTATGAAAATGGAATTAATGATACATTTTATATTTTATATTCTTAAATGATGATAGTATTTCTCCAAATGTTATACCTATATATTCTTTCTTTATGTATCATCTCGATCGAAGGATTGTCAATAAAATTAAACCGGTTGATTAGGTTAAATATAACATAAAAATATAAATAATCAAATATGAACATTCCGGCCAATGGGCCCGGTTATAAGCTAGTTTCTTTAGAGACAGTTTTTCCTATATTCGCTGTCATTGGAACTCGTTTACCACCAGCCATCTTTTTCACATCAGATCATACTCCTCTGAAACCTTAAAGATGCAAGCCTCTCCGTCTCTCTTTTCATGTACAGACCTACAGAAAGCACAGCAGAGCAAAAAAGCAAGTCACTAGTAAATTCTGCCAATATGCAAGTGTAGATGATAAACTACACCGCCAATCTCATCGTTTCCAGAGTTATTTGAATGAACCAGTACATTTCGATCTCGTATTATAGATTTTGATCAAGAGATTTTGTATCTTTGAGGTTTGAAATGAGTCGGGCAAGCTTCATAATTTACTGTTAGAATTCTTGGAAAGAAACGAATAATTTTAAATGAAGGATTTCAACCCGTATATTATATAATCATAGTGCTGTACTCTGAATATTATAATGCACATTGTTGCAATCCATAAAGAAAAGGCAGATCGTGAGACAGAGTATTGATGATGACATGGGGGAGTGAGTGAGTGATTCCTTCTGCTCCCAATTCCCGTTATTATATATCATATCTGAATTTACACATTAGATCAAGATCACATGAGATTTATCAAGTCAATTCGAAGCATAAGCAACCAGCTACGTGCTTCCAATCTCCTCCTCTTCTTCCTCCTAAAATATTCTTCTGCTATCCGCCATTGGAGCAGCTCATCCCGCCAAAACAATCAAAAACTAAATCAGATGTATAAATCTATCTGGTGAGAGAATATTGGGTAGCTCCATTTTTTTGGCTTCTTCCTGGGTTTCTTAGAGAGCTGCATCCTCATAAAATTTCCAGCTGGACACGGAAATGGCCGCTATGTGAGGAGAGATGAATCAATATGGCGGGGAATAGCAGATGCAGCAGGGGAAAGCTAGCTCAAGATTATTTCTTCAGATCATCATCCACTAATCCTACTGCTAATCCTCAATCACTCCCTGGTGAGTTCAACTGCTCTGCATTTGATTGACAAGAGAGCTGCTCTGCAGCTTTACCAGTTTCTGGGTTTGTTTTTCTGGGTTTAGGCTTTGATGATGCTATTGCAAATGGGCCAGGGGCCTGGCCCAGTTGGAAGGCTAAAGTCTCTGGTGGTGTTTTGGAACTATTTTGTGGGGGTCTTGGTCTGTATTACTGTTGTAATATCTACTCCTTTTTCCCCCACCTTCTTTGTCATTTGCTTATGCAAGAACTTGAGGGGTAGAGAGCCATGGGAATAGCATTACCAAAATTAGTACTCTACTTCTCATGAAAATACTTCTCTTCTAGTAAGCTAGCCATTGGTTTAGGTCTAAATAATATGGACGATTAAAAAACATACGCATCTAAATCGCATATATCATCACTTTCTTATCGATTTGGTTCTTTACAAACTTCGAAACCAACAAGTAATTTATCATATTTTAGTCGAACTATAGCCGTTCTAGCTGATCACCAATTACTTTAATTTGTTTTGCTTGCTGCCGATTCCCCACCTTTGTTATGTCCAAGAAAACCAGTCAAACAAACACTTCAGAAAAGCTTAATTAGCCTTCATCACCGGCACAAGGGAAAACAGCAGTCCTGCCTGGGTAGTGGTATTCTGATGAGAGATGCTTAGCTTGTTGATATACAAAGTTGTATTCCACATGCATTTTACTGCAAAATAATGATAGTTTAATAAGGGATTCAGATCCATTCTTTGTTAGCATGTGGCATGGTGTGATTCAAGCTAATATTCAAACATTTCACTACTAATATATGAAAGATAAAATATGATATTAAAAAAAAATATATGAATGATAATAATAACAAAAGCAAAAAGAGGGAATGAAAAAAAGAAAAATAAAAGGGCAAATATCATTTTCATTCCATTTATTATGTTGTTTCAACAAATACGTCTGTATATTATGGTTTGTTACTAATAATAAGTTCATGTAGTATGTTCGTTCTCCATTGATCTTTCGATTAAAAAGTTTGGTCTGTCATCTTATTGAAACCATCAAACAATGCTTTGCAAAACTGCATAATTCAAGAGTCATAACTCATATGCCATTTATGTAGAAATCTTCTAATCCGTGTCATATAAAGTTTAAACTTCTAATGAAGATGGAGAACCTGAGAGTCAACTTAAAAGGCAAAACAATAAAAATACAACACACCTAGCAACGACAAATGGATCACAACAAATAAACTGATTAAGTATGGATTGTTTCCACTTAATATAATAAATTACACATCTATTTTATATCTAGCTAGATAGACATATTTGTGAAAACAACATAATGAATAAACCATTACATATCGGATTGAAGCCAACTCGAGAACTATATATTACAAAAGAAGTCACATTCAAATATAGTAGCAATTTTTCTTGGTATGTAGTAAATAAATACTTGTGATGCTGCATGCCAAACCAATTATTCGATGACAAATATTTATGTTCCTAGGTATCACATTTCCAGTAGCCCCGAAGGTGGGCCATTTAGGTAAAGTTACCATAAACATTTGAAGATAAATTCATGTCATATTTGTTCCCATATATAAAAAAGATTCATGTCATATTTGAAGCAATGTAAATGCTATAGGCAAAGTACCAAAGCTCAAAGTAGGTAAAAGTTTTTTTTCCCCACCAAATTTGAAAAAAAGGGAAAATAGTAATTTCACTAAACTCATTATAATACTGTTTAGGTTTTGTCTAGCAATGTTTGTAAAAAAAAAGTCATATGTTAAACCAATATTTAGAGTAAATAGTAACTAGAATTTTACGGGTCAATAATACTCGTTTTGGAAGAGGAGGAACTAGCAATCATAGCTCGACTCCTTCCACTATTTGGGAATTTTATGTTCTGTTTCACTTCATCAATATTTTTTTTTCACTCTATCTCTCACCATGCTACTTCGCTATTAGTCACTAACTATTACAAATTACTTCACTATTTTTTTTTATTTCCAATGTTCATTTAGCATGTACATACACATATTATATCCTCAGACCAAATACAAAAAAGAAAGAGCATTGCACCCTAAACTCCACCCCTTATTTTGTTAGGTTTTGCTTTCTGTGTGGGTGGTGGGGTTGGGTTTCAAATTTCATGGGACAGTGCTGGGATTTTTGTTTCAAAGCTGAATTAGGCATTGGACATGAAGTTATGTACTTGTGTTTCATTTCACGCAAAATCACTTTGTGGGCAATCCTCTCTCTTTTCCTCTGTTCCTTTTCCTTTCCCCTTTGAAAGGCCAACTGAGCAAAGGCCAACTGAGCAATGACTATTTCTCTCCCTTTCAACATTATTTCGATTTCTGTTTGACTGACTAGTCTCCTTCACATTCCATTTCCAGAGTTTCACCATTAGGCTTCTCTCATCAAGTGAATTGATTGTGATTGATCAATATATATGTGATGGATTTGTAGAAATCAATGTATTTCACATGAGGAGTTTCCTACAGTAATACACAATTTGCTTGTAAGTTGATAAGATGGCTCTTCCTATCCGGATGAAACTCATTGGATATCGTATTAGAGTTGCATACTACAGTGTTTGAAATCATAATTTTTTGATTCAAAATTCGACATCACAATCACTCAATTCAAATATGAACCGGTTATCTTACATAAAATTGAAGGTCAAATACAAAAACTAGGATTAAAATATTACCCATTTTCTAAAACCCAAATTCCAAAGCCAGAGAGAAACCACCCTAAGTAAATACAAAGCCATTAATTGTAATTTAAGTAAAATTGCAAGTACCCAGAACAACATTTAATTAAACTAGGCAGCCCCAATTCCCAACACCACCATTGGACTGTGAAAGTCGAGATCTTTTTATAAAAAGTAAAAAACAACATTCATCAGAGCCGTGGGCTTCCATTCCAAACAACAGTAATTTTCTCAAATTTTTTAACCATTTACCCCATCCATGGTAAATAAATGAACCTCCATTCCATCACTCTCCCCTTCCTTTTTCCCATCCCGGCCCCTACCATAAAACTTGCTTACTTGCATGTCATATTGTCACTCCCATGGCGAAAGCAAGACAGTTTATATAAAGCTGACACATTTCTTTCCTCCCGCAGCAGCTAGCTAGCTAGCCGGCCGGTGATCACAGGAATTAGTCACCCATAAAAAAAAATGGAACTACAAAGATGGTCGGCCCCGCCGCCGGCCACTAGGCGGAAGAACGGATGCAGCGGCGGCGACCATCATGACGACAATCATAGAGCTAGAGGGGCGTCGCCGCGGAACGACGACGTATCGGAATGCTGCTGCAGCCCGTCGTGCACCGCGGGGGCGATAGCCGACTGCGTGGCGCTCTGCTGCTGCCCCCTCGCCGTCGTCAACTTCCTGGCCCTCGCATTCGTCAGGATCCCCTGGACGGTGGGGCGGCGCTGCATTGGGACGATCCGGCGGAACAGGAAGAAGAAGAAGAAGAAGAAGAGGAAAGGTGCGCTGATGATGGAGATGGTGACGTCAGCCGGCGGCGGCGGGGGGCGGAGTGACTTGGAAGAAGAAGGGAGTAGTGGGAGTGGTGGAAATGGGGAGGATGGGGATGTGATATACGTGGTCGAGAGGTCGGACGGTAGCCGGAGCTTGAGGATGGTCGGGGATATTGACGAGGAAGATGTCGCCTGCGGCGGCGGGGGGCGGCGGAGGAGCGCCAAGTATGAGGCGGAGAAGGTTTGGTTGGAGCTCTACCAGGTTGGTCATTTGGGCTTTGGTAGGGTCTCTTTCACTGGAATCTCCACTACCCTCTCTTGATTACTTCCACTTACAATAATTATATGGATTAACGCTAATTAAATTACCATTATATTTTCCCCCCTTTGTAAATCTTCGTTCTTTGGGCTCATCTCAGAATGTGAAATGGGCTCCTAACGAAGTTGGTAAATGGTAATTGTGGTTGATTGAAGAAAATGCGGTAAATAATAGGAAAATCGCCTAATTAATGAATGAATGATGGTTCGTGTTAGTAATTTTTACTTTACCATTGGGGAATTGATTAGTGCATGCAAGTGGTTCTCTTCATGACCTTCACGTTGATCACAAAAGTGTAATACTAAGCAAATTCAACTGCCCTGATGAAAGGATGAACATATGCATGAATTGATGTACCATATGAATTTCTATTCTTGCACTTTAAGCTGCCAAATTCGCTCATAAGTGTTATTTGTAAGCATTATAGAAAATTCACATAACTAGCTAATGATCACAAAAGCTTAATATAAAGCAATTAGACTATATGTTGATAGAGGCATATATGCATAAGTTGATTGATTCCGTCTCATCGTCTATCCTCGTGCTTTTTAACCGTTAGATCTACATGTAAATGTTACCGAAAATATCGGTTCAAACTCGCAAAACAAAATGATGATCACAAATGTGTAAAAGACTAGTCAATATGTCAATCGTATTGATATAAAATGGACATTAATGCTAATGTCTCATCGTTAATTCTCGCGCTACTTTCAGCCGTTAGATCTATACACAAGGATTTATCACTGAGTATCCCATCACGCCATATCAACATGAAGTACTGACTACCGAGTCTAAGATCCTATAATCTTTAATTCGTAACCTTACAAGTCGCAATCTAATTTTCTTGTCCTCAAGAAATCACAAGCCTTCAATTGCACTGTGATTGATTGTCCTCCCACTTTGGGCCATGAGAGCCTATATATATGGGGCCATCCCATTTGGGCCCACGTAATATCGATGTGTCGTTTTAGCTGAGAAAGGCAAGATTTGCACGCAGAGGCCAGGCAACTTGTCGCCCATATGAACTTTCACCAAAATGCTAACCACTAGCCATAATATTGACGGTGATGGTATATGCATATGAACAACACCAAGAGAACAGCAAAATGGCAATAGAGAGGAAAGTGAGAGCGGGCATGCGTGTGCTGTGCTGCTACAGCGCAGTAAAGGAAATGTAATGTGGCCAAGGAAATTTCCCAAGATAAAGAGCCACAGTCCTTTGTTACATGAAAATAGGGGGCAGGTTTTTGTTTTGATAAGTGACGAGAATAAGGAAACTTCGAAAGGACCCAATGGGAACGAGGCAATGTGGGTGTCCAGCAGGGTTAGCACTATTGGGCAATTTGAGGTTGAGTTTTGAGAGTGTTTGTAAAAGCAGATCTTGATATCCACTCTTGGATCATGGATGGTTCTGTATAGTTCTGGACATTGGATTCATAAATTGGTGAATTGAATTTGTAAATTTATGGATTAAATGGATAGGCGAATTGATCTATGAATTCAAATGACATTTAAACCTTGGAACATTATGTAAAATTTGAAAATGTTAGGTATTAAAATGTCATAATGGAAAAAATTTAGGTACCAAATATTTTTTAATGATATTTTTCGTATAAATGATAAACTTTAGATACCAAAATGTAAAGTATAAAAAGTATAGGTACTAAATCATAGCTTGCTCATTGGAGCTTTCCTAGAGCTGCCCACCTCAAAGCATAACAAGCTCTTTCTTCGGGAGTCCGTTGCATACGGACTATCGTTCTTTATTTTTATTAGTTTCTATTATTGTTGTTCGGCCATGCCCTGTGGGCTTATCTTGGATAAAAAAACCCCATAGTTTGCCATTTGGTTCCATGGATCCACCAATCCAATTGGATTTGGATTAAATGAATTGAATGAGGTGGATGGATTGGATTCATAGATATGGATCTTAATTGTCACCTCAAAGTACAAGAATTTTGTATAGAACTAGATAACGAGATTTATATGTTCATTTCTTGACAATTCAATTGTTATGTATAATTTTTATCGAGTAAGAGAATTTTGTTTAGAATTAGATAACGAGATTAATATGTTCATCCTTAACAGAGGCACATTAAGGATTGCAGATCCATAGATCATACATGATACATGATACATGGGAAGGAAGAGTTAAAGAGATTTTTATGGGCAAATGGGTAGATAATGTTTTATTTTGGATATGAGACCCTATGAATTCTGGATAAAAACTTAGCTTCTAATCATTAATTTAAGATGAATCCACTTGAAAATCTTATCAAAAGACAACTATTATGTGTTGTTAGTTGGCTATTTTCTTACTAAGATGCTGAATCTAATGAAAATTAGACCTTATTCTTATCTTTCATGTACAATTGAACTTCGACGACTGTAAAAAATCACTGACCAATTGCAGGCCTAATTTCGATTCCTTCAATGACGACGCACCCCCAAGTTTCTCCTCCAGCCTTCACTTGGATGGCAACCGGCTCCAATCCCCCGCTCTTAGCAGCCTCGTTGAAATACTCCCCCAACTCGATCTCCAACCATTTATCTCTCCTCTTCTTCGGGCGTTTCAATCCCAGCACTGCATTACTGTTTCGATGATGATGCCAAAAGGGTTCCACATCAACATTCAGACAAATTGTGGAGTCGGCTCCAGCAACGCCAACAGAGGTCTCCACCAAAAGGCAGTCAAACGCATTTCTCTGGAGCTTGTACACAAGATATGCAGCATATCTTGATCCAGGAGACATCATGGAAGTAGTAATTTCACCGCGAATGTCGAGGGCAGGGACGGATTTAAGCTCAGCAACCTCGGGAAATCTGTGAGATCGTCGTGGAAGCAGCACATGAATAAGTATACAAACCGATGGTTAATGAAATGGTGATCGGGAAAAAAAAACAATGGAAGGGAAAGAGGGTTGTGAGAAAGCAAAGAGAACAGCAAAAAACCTGGAATCTTTGTCTTTGATCCAAGCCCAGTGGTGAGGACTGTCACTTGATTCAATGGAGAGACCTCTAGCACCAAGCATGTAACATTTCTTGCCACTCTCTTTGTCCAACCAAAGGCTCTACACAATCAATTCAGAGAAACGAAAGTAAGATCTCCGAGATCAAAATTTAAGGCCAAAACAAAACCAATTTATCTCAATAACTCCGCGATTTGTTCAGAGAAACCACGAAGAGATATTATATCATTCTATTACATGTCCCTCGACAACATAATAGTACAATACTATTCTCATACTTTTCACTTGTCATGGTCAGATGAATTGATCAGTTTGCTTCACAACTATGTTCAAAATTTCCAAGTTCTCAAGCACAATCTACACCTAATCTCCCGTGAATGCGAATGCCCTGAAATAGGCAATCGGAACTTGCCGAATTTCATAGAACCTAATCAGAAGTATAGCGATCGAAAGTTCATAAACTAACAGTTGGAAGCAATCAACGCGGGTGAAGCCGAAATCAAACTAACCCTAATTTTTACCTTCTTGCAGTCGTCGAAGAAAATCGGGCGACTGCAAAGCGCGCGGAACAGTTCTTTCTTTGAAGAGAATGACGGAAGTTCGGTGGAATTGGGAATGATCGAGTCGTAATCAGAGGGCAGAAACCTGTCCCACAAGGCATCGGAGTTGGCCGAGGATCTGAACAACGACGATACCCTGGACAATCGCAAAGCGTCGACCGGGGTAGCGAAGGACAGGATATTGACGATGCATCCCTCTGGTAGGTCGTCGAAGCTCGTATTTCCTATTCCGCCGGCGAATTCAATACCTCCACCTCCGCTATTTCCATCTTCCATAGCTCCGGTTGCGGTACGGTTATGCTTTTCTTTTTCTTCGTTTGTTCGAGATAAACTTTTCGCTGCTTGCTTTGTTATTGATCAGCCGCCGGCGGGGAAAACTATTTGACTCTTGTAAATTGTAATTTATATGCGTTGAATACTTGAACTCTCGTTTGGGCCCAAAACTATTAGTTTTAATCGGACAATTATGCTTTACTAAGCCCACAAGTCCAATAGTCGTCCGGCCCATTTTGCCTAATCTCAAGTCAGGTCCTGAATCCTGACTGAATTGCAGACTCGACCAAACGGTATCGTTTCTACCGCTCCTCATGACCCGAACGGGGCAAGCTCACGGAGACGACGAAAATATCGCCGCCCACAGCTCATCCTCCGCTCCGCAGCAAATCTTCCACGGCGATACAACGACGAAAGCGCTGGTTAGCGAGCCGACAGCTCTGGAAGATAAGCCTGTCCCGAGCTTTTGCGACACGTGTACAGTGGACACCTGTCCCCTTCAGCAAGCAAAAGAAAAAGTTTCCTACGCAGTCATATTTATTGGGGGAAACGAAATGACAAGAATAGAGACAGAAAGCACCCGCGCTCCATTCTAGGCTGAAAGTAAGAAAGAGAGTGAGTGAGTTCTGCAAGAAGCGAGTTGGGGGCGAGCTGAGTGTGGGGAAAGTGAAGGAAGGGAAAGGAAGAATTGAGGTTTGAGGAGCAAAAATGGAGGGCGAGCCGACTCGCATAATGATCGCGGTGAACGAGTCATCAATCAAGAAGTATCCGCACCCGTCCATCAGCTGCAGGGGAGCTTTCGAGTGGACTCTGGAGAAGATCGTCCGCTCCAACACTTCTGGATTCAAGCTCCTCTTCCTCCACGTCCAAATCCCCGACGAGGATGGTTCGCTGCTCTCTCTCTCTCTTGCTCTCTGAGCTCTTTTAGCACTGTTGATGTGATAGAGACGTAGAGTAGAGTTTCTTAGCTTGCTGGTCTCTTACTCATATCTTTGCTTGGTTGAGCTTGATTGATCGCGTTCTTGAAGTGTGATCTTAGGGTTTCGAGAAGTGGCGTTGATCTTAGGGCTCTCTGTAACGGTAGCGTCCCTGTCATAGTTAACTAGCTGCTTGAATTGGTTCAGAGAGAGGTTAAGGTCTGGGTGTTTATCAAGAATTGATTTCAAGAGAGCTTTGATTTCTTTAGAATGGAAAGCACCAGAAAGAGATTATAGTTAACATTAGCTTGAACAACTCGCCGTTATCAATTGGTTCTTGATCCTCCCGTCCCTTCCATTTATCCATCAGTTTGATTGTTTGGGAGTTCTATCCGGTGTCATTTGCTGGTATTCAGAAATCGAATTGGTGAAGAAGAAGATGAGGGGAAATGATTGACTTGTGGAAGGATGTTAGATTTTGTTTGCGTTCGTATGGTAAATTATAATGCCATTAATGTTGAACTGTTTCTGTTTGCTAAGATGTGGTGTTGACTATTGAGAGACTGGGATGGATGGATGGATGGATGCTTGATTGAAGTTTCTCAAAACATTTTCCATGGCTAGGTTTTGATGACGTGGACAGCATATTTGCATCTCCTGATGATTTCAAGCAAATGGCTCGTAGGGACAAGGCTAGGGGTCTTCATCTGCTGGAGTATTTCGTGGATAGGTGCCATGAGCTTGGGGTAAATATGCTTCATTCAAGATTCCGTAGGTGGTTCCTTGGGAAATTTGTCCCTGATTCTGATTTTAAATGGCTTGTAGGTTGCCTGTGAGGCCTGGATCAAGAAGGGTGATCCGAAGGAGGTGATCTGTCGCGAAGTGGACCGGGTTCACCCGGATTTCCTGGTCGTTGGAAGCAGGGGTCTCGGCCCTTTCCAGAGGTATGGACGTATGGTGATCTGTTGTCATAAACACTAGCAATCTATTGAACTAGTATAGCCCATCTGTAGATATTGAACTGAAACTTATGAATTCTACACCTCTTGGTACCAACTGAGTAAATCTTTTGTTGCTTGATGGTAACACTTTTGTAGGGTATTTGTTGGGACTGTGAGTGAGTTTGCCCAGAAACATGCTGAGTGCCCCGTGATCTGTATCAAACGCAGAGCTGATGAGACCCCTCGGGATCCAGTTGATGACTGATGTTCACGCATAATGTTTCTTCTTGGCGTGTGATCAATTGAGGAACTGTTAGATTGTGGGTTTCAGCGTGCGAACGAAAGATTAAGAGCATAGGAAGTGTACGGACTGAGTGTTGGTGAAGGGTTCAGAGTTCTGTGAAGGGGATGCACCGAGTGTTAAGTGGTATGGAAGATGAACGACGAAATATTGGTATAACGTGCAATTCTTTTGTTCTTTTGGTGGAACTGTAATCCTGAAATTCGGCTCGTGATTTTCTCTGCTTCCAGTCTTGTATAAAGCAATTGCCCCATTATAGTGCTAAAACTACTACACTGAGATAGTACTCCAGGTACTGTAAAAAAAAAAAAAAAAAAAAAAGATAGTACTCCAGGTGGAAACTACATTCACTGCTTGAGAGAAAGCGAAAATGATGTCATGACCGTGTGTGGTGTTGCCATGAGTAAAAGTTGAGATGAACACGCGAGCTTATCCGAAAGCAACATGGTTAACAAGTTTTTCCATGCATTAAACTTACCAGTTACCAGGGATGCGTTAGGGTGGCAACTAAAATTTTAGTAGCCACCGTGGCTATATCACTATCTACCGTCCATTTTTATTGTTTTCCTCTTTTTTTAATCTCACGGTTAATTTTGTTTTAGGGTATATTTTGAAACAAAAAAAAGTCCACACCTGATTATTCTATATATTCTACACAAACCCTAATCTACCATCCCTCCAGCCGAATCCTAGACGACGGTAGCCGACTGCTATCACCCTGCTATCTCCTCCGCGCGTTTTCAACGTGGAAGGAAAGACAAACCCTTCTTCTCTCCATACACCACATTACTTCTTCGTGCACTATAAGAGCATCCAAAACTCCAAAAAGAAAGGAAACAATAGAGAGAGAGAGAGTAAAAGGATTCTACGCTTCACGATGTGGCGAGTGGTAGCGGTTGTGTCGGCCGTAATGATTCTGCAGGCACGTCCCTCGATCCAGCACATGATTGTTTCTGTTGAAAAGGAGTTGAGAGAAAGAAAGCTGATTGTTCATTGTCGATCCAAAGACGATGACATTGGAGCCAACCTCGTTGATGTGGGTTCTCGTTTTTTGAATGGGGTTTCGAGCTGGATGTTTTTGGGAAGACGCTATATTGGTTAATAAGTATCAGTGTTTTTATGGATTGGTATTGTTTATGTCGCATTGGTATTGATTATCATGTAATGGTATTAATTTGCATGTATTGGTATTGATTATATCTGCAATGGTATTGATTTTTTTGAAATGGTATAGATTTATATTGGTAGATTGTTTATATTGGTAGTTTTCGTGTAATGGTATAGATTTATTTCTGCAATGGTATTGATGTTTTTCAAAGTGGTAGTGATTGTCTAAGGGATTGGTAGTGATTTCGTTTTTTTTTTTTTTGCAGAAAGATTGAGAAAAATAAGGAAAGAAAATCTGGCTGGAAATTACGGAAGTGAGAGAAAGAGAAAAAATCATTATTAATAGATTTTTGTAACTACCTAAAATGTAATTTATTAAAAAAATTAATTAATATAATTTATTTTTTCATACCCAATTTACCCTAAATAACTATGGTGATTACTACTAGTAATCACCGTAACCTGTTCCCCTGCCCTTAATAACTATGGTGACCGTAACCTGTTCCCCAGTTACCACAGAGCCACACATAGAAATGGCAAATCAAAATACGATTTCTGTTACCCCTCTCTAGGCTGCCAATTAATTCAGTAAAAGGTGGTAAGAAACTATCTAACCCCCCTTCCCCGCTAACCCTTACTTGCTGTGCACATAACCTCAAGATCATTAACTGTAGTCTGTAGACAAATTAATAAGAAATTGAAGAGATCTGAGCCTATAACAACAACTCACAAAAGGAAACAACACAGACAAAGCAACAACCATTTGTTTTCGTTTCAGTAACCACTCTTCTAGCTAGAAACTCCCGGAGGCCTGACCATTGTGTTTAACTTCTCAATCACGCCTCTAATTTCACCTCCCACCCTGGATTTCAAGTTGGCAGACATCTCTGACGAACTACTCTTCAGCATCGAGTCCACAGTCTCAAGCTTCTCTATTACGTGATGCAGCTCTGAATGGACCGAAACTTTGGGCGTTGAAGGGGGATAACGAAGCCGAAAGTTCACATGGCTTGTGCCAAAGGGGCTCGAACGTTGGCTGTGGCTGAGTGCTTCCTCGGCATCGGATTTACTAGAGAATGCAATCCTAGCACAACGATTGTTGTAGAGCATGTCGGTTTCATCTTTGTTCAATGCACCAAAGGGGCCGTATATTCTTAGAAGATCATCCTTGGAAGGTAGAGATGATCCCGGGCCAAAAGTGACATGAAGGGTAGCAGCTACAGGCTTATCTGTTTTCTGGAACTCCTTGTTCTGATGCGATTTAAGATCATTAGGTGAAGTTGGGTCCGATTCAGATCCTTCCTGAAGTTTCCTCTTCTTTCTTCCTCGTTTAGGCTTGATGTTCTGCTCGTTGTTTGATCCCTCCTCATTATGCCCTGAGCTTCTAAGCTCGGAAACAAAACCCAAGACCTGATCAAGATGTTTGCTTTCCTCGACATGGAGTGGGTTGAGAGCTACAGAGCGGATATGACACAGCATTTCACTCGCAGCTGTCCGAGCTTCGATTGTTCTGGTCTGACCTTTTGTTGTCTCGGGAATCAAATCATCAGGTTTCCCATCCACAACAGCTTGCTCTTTAGAGAGTTCTTCCTGAGACTTCACATCATTACTATGATGACCAGCAGCTTCAGTCTTATCCTCGGCTAATTGAGATTCACCCGACGCCTTCATTTTCGGCCTCTGCCCTATAGTAATATTAGTGTAGGGAGGGGAAAGGTACCTGCTTTTCTTCCTTTGCCTAGACAAAGCAACATTCTCGCTTGTTTGGTAACCCTTGTTGCCATCATTTTCAATAGTTGAGCCACCAGCCATTTTCTTTTCTGTCGCTTCTTCGGTTTTTCCTAAGCTGTCATCATTTACGACACTGTTATCTTCCTGTTTCTTTCTTCTCCTCGACACGGGGTTTTTTACGTTGATGGCCAATGTGTCATGATCGGCTGCAATCACTGGAGATCCAGGAACTTCTCTGCCTTTCCTCTTCCTTAGCCCCGGAACTGACTCACTGGGTGCTTCCACATTAGCTTCCTTGCCACGTTTACTCCTTCTCGACCCATAGGGGACTTCTATGTTTTTGCTCTTTTGCTGTCCAGAGGAAGCAATTTCATTGCTAGCTTTACTCTTATGTAAGCTAGAGGCAGAAATATCACCCAAGCTAGCTTCAGTTTTGGCCACCTCAGTTACCTTAGGACTGCTTCGAACTTTCCTCTTTTTACTTCCAGATGGTTCTGGGTTTTCAATTACCTCCTCTCCTGCAACTTCACTTTTGCTCGTCCTCTTCTTCCTTCCAGATACAGTTTTGCTTCCACTTGCTTCTGCTTCAGTCTCAGTATTAGGACTACCACTAATAATTTCAGCAATGCTTTTCTGCTTCCTTCTCCGAGGTGCCAAGCGTTCTGGAAACACCTGTGGTGTCTGTAATGAGTTCTGAGAGTCTTGGCCAAGTGAAGAAGAAACCCAGTCTTCTTCAACTGGCCCAGGAAATATACCTTCCGCTAAAGTATCCTTTTGATTATTCGGATCACCAAGCATCCACTTAGGAGAGTCATCTTCAAGCCCTGGAATTTCCGTAGGCTCAGAAAAAGCCTGCAATTTGCTCCCGCATTTTCCTCTGTAGAAAGCTGACAAGGAGCTCTTCACTATAGCAAGCTCCAACGCATTACCAAATCTGACACCTTTTGACATATATTTGATCGAATGGAATACATTTTCCGGTTTAAACAGAGTATTATCAGAGAAGTCTCCACCTTCTGGCACAAGAAGTCCATCTCTAACTCCAGCATTTGCTGCCAAGGACCTTCCAAAACCAAACAGATTGTCTCTTGGCACACAAGAGCAAGTCAAACTCAAGTCAATCGACCTACCGACCTCTTCCAGGGCCTTCTCCACAGCATTGACAAAGTTCTTGGACGTGCTCTGGTTCGCCATCTCGACAAAATTCTCGTGGAAAGGCTTCAATTGAGATGGATTGCACCAAGCGAAAGTGCCATCCCCAAAATAAGCAACAAGAATCCTGTCTTGTCCATGTTTGACTTTCTTTGCTTGCTCGGATGCATCCAAGGGATCATAAATCCGCCCTGGCCACCATGGATGGCTCTTGATCTTTCCCCATACAAAATCGCCAACATCGTAATCAAGCTCTTCCATTTCATCCTCCTCCTCCAAGCTTCCCTCAACCTCAGTTTCTTCCTTGCCCTCATACTTTCCTTCAGTTTCCCTACCACCCATGAGGCTCACTTCTCCTTGCTTCTTACTATCATCACCACCATTGCCGAACTCTTTTCTCTCATTCTTATCGATCACCTCCAACACGGAGTCCAATCCAGGGTACCTCCCACTCTGCTGCATTTCAAGCAGAGAAGAAATCCCATTCATCTCAGAGTCTTCAAGACTATCTCTATTTCCATCGAATAGAGAAACAATTTTCCCACTCGAGTTGTTATTCACAGCAGAAACTCCACCACCATCCAACCCTTCACTAATAAACCCACCTTTCTCACAAGCTCTAATTCCATTCTCCATCCGAGTGATGGTCGACCCTTTCCCATGTGGGTCTTGCGATTCTTCACCGGCAAGGGAGGAAGGACTTTCCGCTACAGTCTTTCGAGTAACCTTCATTTTTCCCCCACAAAAAATACTCTAGAAGAAAGCCAGCTTACGACCGAACAAAATTCCACCCACCACTGCAAACATAGAGAAGAGACTAGAATCAACACTGACTCAGAAATTTAGTCTTTAGCTCCCCTCCCAAAATAAAAATAAAAAATATTAAACCCTAGCAACAAAAAATAATTAAAAACCCAAACCAAAAACAAAAGGAAACCCCAAATTTGTCTGGAAGGGAGCCAGCCAGTAGAGACAGCCGGCAATGGATATCAATCCAGCAGATAACGATAACCAAATTGACTATTCAAAAACTCTCATATAATCAAACGAACCATAGAGCTCTTACCTTTCCAATCAAGATGCAGAAGCCCAGGACGAATTTGCTAAAGAACCAGCAGAAGAAGACGACAGAATTAGGGTTTTGAAGCTCTTGAGTTTTGCTGCCCCTTTCAGACGAGCAGTAGTGTGTAGTAAAATGGGGGAAAAGAGCGTATTGAATTGAAACCGAAGTGTCAAGCTCTCTCTCTCTATAAAAAAAAAAGAGATGTTCAATTTCTCACGGTGACCAGAAAATGACTCGCCAAAATACCGCTGGGCGAGAAGAGGAATCTCACGCGCGGTATCGGTTTCCCGCGGCGGTGAAACTTTTACCGCTTGGATCTGATTTTCATTTTGTTGTCTGTACCGGTGGCGCGTTTCTGTATCGTACAAATTGAACAGTCGTATCAGATTTTCTTCAGGTTGGACCCTTTACGAGCCCGGGGTAGTAGTGTGTGTGGCACACTCGCCCTGATCCGCTGCCACGTCCACTTGTAAGTTGTTGCAACTTGTATCCCAGGTTCTGGGCAAACGGTTCAGTAAATGCTATTCGGTTCGAATTCGGAAGGAAAATATTGATAGTTCGGAAATTAGGCTTCTTTCAACCGAACCGAATTTCCAAAATTTCGACCGAAAAACCGAAATACTATAATTGCAAGCTCCAAATGGTGGATTTTTATGTTTGTAGTTGTTTTTAGACTTAAATATTTGAAATGTTTTATGACTTATGTGTTGAAAAGTTTGGTTTTATCATTGATGATGCATATAAATGATATTTATTGTTTATATTAGGGGTGAAAAATAATTTAAAAGTGAGAAAATACAAGTAGCTTCACAAATAGTTCGGTGTAAACCGATCGAACCGAATTATAATTCGGTTGGAATTCGATTTAAGGTTTGGGAGAATTCGGGGACCCGATATTCAAAATTTCGGTTCGATCGAAACCAAACCGACCGAATGCCTACCCCTACCAGGTTCCCCGATGGATGGTTTGCGATGGCGAGTAGCTGAGCGTAGCCAATAATAGCGCGTGCTCGGTTGGATAACCCGTACGTAACCGCCCAGTTAAGAAAGGTTAATCTATTCTCCTGGGGCCTGGCTAACAAGTGGGCCCTGGGCCGAATCCCGGCCACATAATGGGCTATGGGACCACCACCACGGCGCCGCTTTCAGCTGGCCGCTCTTTAATAAAGGAGCCACTGATGGTTCGAACTTCGACGGCAGCACAAGGATAAATCGGCGGGAAAGGATCAGCCGGTGCACCCAGACGAAAGTGAAACATGTGATCCAACAATTATTATTAACACATTTGGAGTATAGCTTAGTTAATCGCACCACGCTATCAGGTTATAAAGAATTATGAATCAACACAATCTAAATTATTATGTTGTCCTCATACGTTCTCACTAGAATCAAATAACTATGGTATGTACTACAACCATAAATCAAATGATTATTTTTTTAAAGTTTCAACCTGTCGTGAATGACATTGAGTTCTCGATCAGGTCTGTCTTGATTCCACATGAATGACATTGAGTTCTCGATCAGACGACCAAGGTCATGAAAACCCGTCCTTAGCATGTTTAAGGATATAGGGTAACTCGGGATGGGATTAGGTGCTAACCCTTATAGGAGTTAGCACCGTGATAACTAGCAAAAATCACTACGGATTATTATAAAATCAATACAACATCTAAGCTAAATCACTACTAATTTAAACTTAAACTAGTAGTAGTTTTTCCCTTGGTTAGAACGGTGCTAACTATTGTACAATTAGCACCGTAGCCGTTCCCGGGTAACTCACATGCATAGTAAATAGAACATCATTGGACATTCATTCCCCTTCTCCACCTTCACAGTAATAAAGCCACAAAATTTGGGCATTCTGAATTTTGAATTTACCTGCCATAAATTTACACCTACATACGTAAACATTCCTTCCTCTACGAATACAAAACTTCTGACTGTAGAAAACAAAAATGGGACAAAAAAAATACATCCCATATTTCAGTTTTTTTACTGGCCGTAAAACTGATCTCAGTACAACTTTTTCTTTTCTTCTTCCAGTCTTTTTTTTTTTTTTTTTTAACTTTTTTCAAATCAGTTCAGAGGCCAGTAATCTATGCTCAAACGTCAAAAGACGAAACATGTTCAAGTCTGCCACTTAACTATCTCAGTATCATATCCCCGTAACCCAATTACGGTGGCTGTGAAAAATCAGAAAAATCCCCTTTCTACACATCCGAGATACAAGAAAGAACAAAAAAGAAAACAAGATCGGGGGGATAGTTTCAGAAAATTGCTAACCGGAAAAGGCTCCTGTTAATTAGTTTCAGAATAGGAATTTTCTTTTAACACCTTACCTTGCTGTACAATTCCCGACTGACATCATCATCAGCAACCATCTTCGCATTCAACTGGTTCTTCCTTGCCCGAACTAGCCTCTTTCTCGGAAGAGATCTTCGTGAGGGCAGGTTTGATTTGGACTGATTCTTCTTCAGTTGGATGTAGCTGGGGAGGTTCACTTAACTCACTCTTTTCTACACCGCCATTTGTTTCTGAGTGCTTAGCTTCTTGAGGATCAGGCTTTTTTGACTTGTCGTCGGGAAGAGGTAACGGTGTGGTTGCTTTGCTCCGAGGGTTGTTGGTGGAAGTGGAACTTGATGCCATCCAGGTAAATCGTAAATCATGGCCTTGCCAGGTTTTACCATTTACGAATGCTGTCTCGGCTGAGCGACGAGTTGCGAAAGTTACATGAGCGCAGGAGCAAAGTTTAGTGGCTGTTGTCTTGGATGTATCATCATCATCATCACCGCCATCACTTTGACAAAGTTCGGCACTTTCCAGTTCCACTGAAGTGAGATTGCCAAAAGTGGAGAAGTGCTCCTTCAAAACATCAACCTAGATGAATGACAAGATGTCAGTTTAGTTTTCATCAATGCCTAAACAGAACACGACCAACCCTAAAACACTTTAGACACAGCTTAAAAGACAATGGCCAAAGGAGACAAGTTGTCTTGGAGCTCAAAATATACCAACGGAAAAAGAATAGTCTGGTTGGCCTGGAGGGGGGAATTTGGCCATGGAATGGTCTACTTCATGGAAACTATGGAACACTAGTCCTTCTATCGTTTGGCTAGCTTGACATTTTAACGTCGATGGAATTGGATTCCAGCACTTGTTGGAATTTACATTCCATGAGTAGGAGGGAGGATAAATCAAAATTAGCAACAAGGACAACATTCTAGTTTCTTCCCCTATTAAATCCCATCAACAGCACTCCATCTCGCTAAAAGTGCATCTAACCAATGGATGGGATTTCCAAAGTCCAACCCTTGTCACATCCCACTCATTTGAAATTCCATGGATGAGCTTTTCATGCATGCAGCGGAAGAAAAATTTTGTGCGCAAACCAATACACTAGTGCGCATAGAACTACAAGCATGAAGAGATTGGAATGAGAGAGAGAGAGAGAGACATACATTTGCCAAACCAGCAGGCAAGGGGGGAATGATCTTAAACGTAGTCGGGCGATTGTCCAACTTGTATCTATTCGCCAGACAAGGAGAGCCAACAATAGGTACTACAGGCCGCACTGGTGGCAGCCACTTTGAGTCTGAAGATTCCTCTGGCACTGTCCCTCCAGCAATAATCTTAGAAGTGGGTGACGCCGTTTCTGTTGATTTGTTCTTATTGGCCATCTTCATCTCCCGACAGGGTGACGGAGAGGGAACAGACAGCATTGTTTCGGTAGTAGTTTTTGCAGCATCAGCTGCGACTTTAGATTTCTTTGGAGTCTCAGTCGATACCTCACTCTTGGTTACTGTTGTCTGCAAACAAGACAACAAAGTACCCATTTAGTTTTATTTCGTATAGGTTCGCAACACGACTCTATACGGATGAAGATCACTTTATAAACACCATGCAAAATACAGCCTTGGGTGCACAATATTCAAGAATTAAGCCTGCTGCTTGCAGTTAACTTTGGGTGTTTGTTTGCCTAGACAGTGAGACACTGAGACTAACACATTTCTTCAATCCAACTTTCTAGAAAAATGTAAAAGCCATCTCACAGAAAAAGATTTATTATCAACTTAAATAAGAATATGCTCTAGAAGTTATATCCATAGTCATTCCTCAAACCAGAATCATACTTATTAATAAACAAACTATATATCATTCTCATAAAAAAATTATTCACAAATTATCTCATGTCCCAACCATATCTACTTTTACTAAAACCTTACCAGTCACACCTTTTTACTTCAGTAACGAACACACCCTTTGAGTCAGGTCTTATTGTATGCAATTTCATGGGATATTATAATGACACTAGAAGCCTTGCTAAAGTATTGGGCAAGATGTAAAAAAGTCAACAAACATGGATGAGAATCACTCACAGGAAGATCCTCAACTCAAGAAGAGTTTTCACTTACTTGTTTCTGAAGCTTTTCCAATTGGCGCCGGAAGTCATTCCGCTTCTGGTCTAGCATTTCCTGCTTTTTCCGGAGCTCTTCCTTCAATTGTTCTAGCTTTTTCGGAACAGGAGGTGGACCTATGGGACTATTTGCATTGGGGAGCTTTTGGTACTCAGTGGAAGCATCAGAGGGAATATCACTGGCAACCTTTGCTCCACTTGACTGAACAATATCTTTTCCCTTGTTACCAACAGAAGGATGAGGTGGGACTGGGATTGATCCCGTACCACGTGGAGGTAAAGACACACCACTGTTGCTACTGCTCACACCACCATCAGGTATGCTATCACGATTTGCCCACCACAACTTGATAAACCGATTCCCCATCACAGCATCCGGAGCCATTAGAGCAGCTTCGGCCTCTTCCTTCTTTGAAAACTGAATAAATGCCCGGTCGCTTTTTGAAGGTATATAAATATCGATTATCTCGCCAAATTTGTGGAAATGAGAAAGGAGAGTCTCCCTTCTGTTGCTCTTGAGTGGAATACCTGCGACAAATAATGTACGCAATGCCTTCTGAGATGGCTTTCGCATAACACGCATAGGCTGACCACCTAGGGGCTTGTTGTCTGAGGCTGGCCCACCAATATCCTCGGACGTAACGACATGTTGCTTCCCACGTCGAAAAGCACCTCGAGGATTGGCTGAAGCATCCTGTTCCTCCTTGTTAGCTCCATTCTCCAAATGACCGACATTGCTTGGAGTTGAATCCATTTTCTCTTTCCCTTCTCGTCGGTTTCTAATACCACTGATTCTGCCCCAAACTGATGAGCCTGTGACTAGACCGGCATGATCCTGATCAGAGGGATCAACATTCATCAGAGAATCAGTTCCATTATTTTTGGGTGAATGTAGGCGTAAGAGTGAGTTGGATGTTTCAGGACCACTGTTATTCCACAAGGGTTGATCTGGATCATAAAAGTCAGCTCCGCTTGCAGAAACCGAGCCAGAATATCCACCATTCAGTCCAGGATTGTCATCATACAGCCCAGATTTGGTACTATTTCCAGTTAGAGCTTTGCTGTTAGCAGACATGGTTGAAGGGTTACCAATCCCTTGTAAGCCCCCCGGAACAGAAGGAGGTCCCACCAGTTGTGCACTTGGGAGTGAAACGGGGAGGTTAAACTGAGAAAGGCTCTGCAAGACGTAAAAAGGTATAATAATACTGTGTCAGCATGAAAACACATCTTCACATTACAAAAGCTGATACTCAGAACAGTAATAGCATTGCAGCATCTACCCAAAGAAAGGAGTGGCATGATACCAATAGAAAATAGGGACTCGATAGAATTAAAATACTTGCCAGGAAGAAATGGAATTCCACAAATTCATATCCATCCACCAGTTAACAGAATAGGTCGATATGCCATTTGGATAAGTGCTTTTGGATAGGTGAAACTGAAAGAAATGTTATTATTTAAAACCATTGATTTATGTAAGTAACATTAATGCTTATAGGGTGCCTAACTGGATCTGGGAAAAGATGAGCAGTTAATGAAAATGAAAATGTTGCTATGGTTAGTGGTGGATTTAGAATCCCTCTAACCTAGTCAATTGTCCCAAGAGACATCCCGAACTCTAACCCTTTTTCCCCATTCTTAGCCTAGCCAAATGAGTGATGAAAGCGATGGGTTGGGACTTAAATTCAACCGTCCAAATCCAACACTCAGACAATCACTTACTTGCACAATGACATTAATGAACACAAAGTAAAGCTTCATCATTCAAATGGTTGCACCTAGCTAAGAGAATTGAGAAGCAGAAAGCACCACAAACTTTCTCTGTTAAAATCATTAACTAGCAGTGCAACAAAATGACTCACTTCTAATTGTGGAGAAGCAGCCAAATATGACCAAGATCATCATCTAGCAACCAATCCACAAACAACATTTCCAATATGCCAACATTTAAGAGCAAAAAGGAACCAATCAACGTAACAAATTTCAATAGCACAATATCTAGCAAGCAGTGTTTGAGCACAGCAATTGACAGGAATCCAATAAAAAAAAATCACAAATGAAGCAAAAAGAATAAATATCCCCCTGACATACCTGGACATCTTCAACAACAATACGGTTAACACCATGCTCCATAGGACACATGTCCCCTCTGAGACAAAAGCCACGCTCCTCAAAATCTCTACAACGCTGTCTCGTAATGCGCATATTCAATGAAGAGTTTACTGCTGGTGCCAATGTTCCTTGCAATCCTATGGTATGAAGTGTGTCCAAGCCACCATTAGGAATTCCTGGAATCAATCCAAACCCGTTCCAAGATCCACTTTGTGGATTTGATATATTAGGCAAACCCCTCCCTGCAAAGAGACCAGAGGCAAGATCGGCTTGATTGAATCTAGGATCATGCTGACCCCAAGGAAGAGGGTCCCTTCCTCTTCCCCGAATGGAACCAGGATCCCCAGAAAATAATTGATTTGGCCTGACCCTTTGGGGAAAAGAGCCTGGCCCAGGGCGTCTTTTTTCGAACTTTGTGGTGTAGTCTTGAGATTCATTTTCCCTGAAAGGATGGCCGTTGTCAAATAGTCTGTTTCTCTTCCTGAATGGCCTATTGGAAACCGGTTCTAACAAATCTCTCTGCATAGACTGAGATTGTGACTCCTTCCTACGATGCTTATGGTTGCGGTCATCATCGTCTTCATCACTTACTTCCTTTTCCTCTGGGTCACTAGCACAATCAGAAGTCGAAAGTCCAAGTCGCTTTAGTGATGAAACTCGGAGTTCCATTTAGAATCCCAAGACGTGCTGAGTGTAGCTTGGCAGATAGAATTTTTAACTTCACAGGATTTGGCAAAAGAAGAATTTTGACTGCCAGGGAATCTTCACCAATTCAGTAAATCTACAATCAGGAAACAATAACACAAGCAGAACCATCAATACTACGAAGCAAATACAATCTCTACAGAAAATCAGTCATCATTGACCCATATATCAGTCGGCAAAAGCATTAGAACATCAACTCAGAATACATTAAAATAGCTCATCTGTTTTTTTGCTTTGCTACCATCAAATACTATGGAAGCAAAAAACATTCTCTAAGCAATTTCGGCCAGCAATGACACAGAGACTCATTGCAATTTCCACACGAGTAACATTAGTGAAACGCAATTTAGGCATCAGTGTGATTGAAATAAGATATGCTTAGTAACTTAAAATCACATTGGTATGTTAGGAAACATATCACATTGAATATGACCGTGAAGACCAGTGGAGTACTTCCGAAATTGATTACTCATCATCCCGAGAAAATCTCGAATGACTGTATTATAAGCGGTAAACGTGCAAAATCAACATTGAGGCAACTAGCATATCTTTGCAGATAATAAAGGAGGAAGCAACTGAAGGTGAATCAAGAAAAGATTGTCATGGAATACACTTGTTGGGCAAGGCACTAAACAGGTCCCCAATAGGGAGGATACAAACAACATTAATCATTGAATTACAGACATTTCTTATCATTGAAACAAAAAAAAGAACATTGAAACAAAAAACTTATAATCGTTATTTCACACATCTATTTCAGTGACTGGTTTCTTCAAAATCTACAAGTTCGACTACTAATTTGCTTGTGATCAAACTTCACTATGATCAAATAAAACCAGTGAGACAAAGGCTAGACTTCCTTTTAGCTGTGCATCTGATGTAATGCACTTCACCAGTTGAAGCTGGCCTTCTAGAGAGCGGAAGGGTGGGCAAAGCAGAGAGGGAGAAATGAAAAAGAAAACCCAAAGGTGAAACCATTAAACAAAATGCTTACCTGCTGCTGTGAATTCCTTTCTCTGTTATTGGCTAAACACTATTTCAGGAGATGGAGTTAGCTTACAGCATTTCATATTTTGTGCCTACACAAAAATTTAGCAAAGAACCCTCTTAAAAAGAAGTAACGAGGAGGTAGCAATAGAGAATTACAGCAAGTTGTTCATCCATGTAGTAGCGAAAATAACAACAAAGAGGTAAGCTGAATTACTTGGCATAATGGACAGAGATGGCCGCAAGATAGTAGTTGTGAGTCCATTTAGGTGATGTGATATGATATGCTACCTTCCATAGCTGCACATGCTTCACGGTGAACTGTTGTTTATCTGAGTCTGGAGAGAACCAGAAACACAATCAGAATAGATTGCAAAGGAATATAAAGATTGGACTAATAGCTGCACAAAACTGTTATTTATGGGCTACCAGTTATCACAGTAGCAACTGCAGCCCCCCTATGCCAAAATTGCAAAGGAATATCCAGATTGGATCTAGGATTGCATTCAGCAAGTTGCCAAAACCAGCATAGTCAGTACATACAACCACAACCGATCAACTTGCTAAATTGAAACATCCAATCAATTGAAACACAACTTCACAATCACACCATGCAAACACAAAGCACCAGGACCATCAATTGATCTACCATACACAAACGTAATTGCAAGCGATAGAAATCCAAAGCACAAAAAACCACAAAAGAAACCCTAAGTAGTAGGAGAGCGAGCTCAATTTCACTAGTACTTGGGAGAGCGAACTAAAAAAAAAAACACCAAAGCACAATTACTTCTTCATTCCGAAGAGAGGGATAACCTTATCATAAAATCGGAGAACAGCCTACTGATTCCGCTGGAGTGGGAGAGAGGTCGGAGAATCGCATGCTGGTTTTCCCGCAGCAAGGGAGGGAGGTCGGAGATTCGCCGATGGATTCCGTCGGAGCAAGATAGAGGTCGGAGATGATTCGCTAAAGCCAGAGAGAGAGAGGGAGCTCGAAGAATTGATGGAGCGAGAGAGAGATTGGTGAATGGCGAAGTGCGTCTTTGGTATCTCAATTCTCAAATGAGTTTCAAGAAAGGATGCGTGAGATTTTTACTCCTTCCCATCAGCTTACCTCCGGTTAGACCAAAACCGCCTGGTTTTTTGAATTGAACCGGTTTTACTGGAAAAATCGGCCGGAACGACTCTTTCACTACAAACCAGCTACCGTATCGGCCAGGCGCCGGTTTCCGGTTTTACCGGTTCAACCGGCCGGTACGATCCGGTTTCCTTTACTATGCTAAACACACATGGCAACTTCCAGTCACTTAAAGCCACGTGTTGTAACTAGACTCTGCGGATGCTTGATCTCAAACACACATACCTATCACGCCCGGGCAGATACTAGGTGAGCAAAGTGCATTAAAAGGGTAACGAACGTCGCCACTTCAATAAACACAGAAACAAAGTACTCTTGATTTAGAACGGATAGTTCTTAGGCCAACTAGACTCCACATTTGCAATCCACTCTAAAATGGTAATCTGAGATTCTACAGCCCAGCACGCATCAATAAGACTACACCACCAACTCCCCTAACTTCAACCGAAACCAAATGTACTAACCTAGTTCTGCAACAAACGCAAACTGAATTTCACTCTGCACAAACTGATTTCGCCCAGACAGGACTCCCACGGTGACCTAACGATACTCAGCCAGTAAACCACTCATTTCTAGCACAGGATTCGCCCAGACAAGAAGCCAATGAAGGGGAGGAAAACCACATTCGCGAAGCAATTTAGTAAAACCCTAATCAAAGGAGACGAACCAACCAATGAAAGACAGGCACGAGCATAATGGTTGGAATTCAAGCCCTCCGGACAAATCAAATTCAGCCTGAATGAATTGAATTACAAATCACCATCCGGAACACATAGAGAAATCGCTCACATACATCCCGCAACCGAAAACAACAGAAAACTCTACACGGATTGGCAGTCGGGGAGAGAGAGACAGGTCGGCAAAACTAAAGCAGGTGTATTGACTTACAGAATCGGGAGCAAAAGAGGAACCGCGGCGTTTGCTCGCCGAGTAGCTGGGAATTGGTATCAGTCCGTCGCGGCGGCGTAAATAGGGCGGCGACGGGAGGGCATTTTGGGGATGGGAAGGAGTTTTGGCAAGTTGCAGGGAGAAAATAGGGCAGGATCGTAAATAAGTGGCGGGAGGGATTGTGGAGCCAAACCAAATCTCTGTTGCACTTTTCTTGTAGGAAACATATGATGGTTCTATACATGCAAATCAAAGAGGCAATTAGGCAAAGCTACCGGCCGAACCACCCTCTAGGCGGCTGGAAATCCGAGTCGTTCATCAGCTTATCCAGGACGATGTTCAAGTCGACCGACTGCCCGTTCTCCGTGAGTTTCCGAACCGCTTCACGAACATGATCCCTCGGGAACCCGATGGTCGCCACCTTGTCAATCACGTCATCAATCGGAACCCTGTTTCCTGAGCCTGAACCTGATCCAGCCCCACCAGCCGCTGACCTGGAGGGCGACCCCTGTGGCAGCACACGAGCAGTCGGAAGTTGAGGGTACCCAGTCCCACCTCCACCATGAGGAGGCATAGAGACAGATTGGAGTTGTTGTGGTTTCACCATCGTGCTGCCGCCTCCACTGTAAGGGTACATTTCCATGGATCCGGATTGAGGAGGATTGTACCCAGTAGAGGGAGGAGTGTCGTAGTACTGCTGGGGTGGGAAGGGACCACCACCAGGTATCTGAGATGGAGCTTGTCGTGGTGGATAGCTTTGAGAGGCGAGATAAGAGGCCTCGTCAAAGTGGTGGCCAGCTGGCTGTTGAGGTTGCTGTGGCATCTGGGGTTGTTGCTGCGGGTATTGTGGCGGAGCTGACTGATATAGTTGATGAGGAGGGGGAGCAGCGGCAACAGGAGATGGTTGCTGTGGTGGGGGCACCTGGTACTGTGGGTTCGGAGGTGGTTCGTGAGCATGGCCAGCAGGCACGTAGTATGGATCTCGTTGAAGGACTGAAGGAGGGGGTGTGAATTGGTTTGGAAGTGGAGTGACAGGGGGAAGACTTTGCGGCTGAGGGAGAGGGACAGTTGGAGGAGGTGGACCGAGCACAGAAGGGAGTGATTGTGGGAAGCTTGCTAATTGAGGAGGCGCATGTTGATGATGGATTGCGGTGGGGCAGGGGCAGAGGCAGATGGTGCTTGTTGCTGCACAGCAGTTGCAGCCTGGCCGGTGTTTTGTGGCTCTTGTTGATGCTGGTTGACATTAGAGACGTGAAGGTTTTGAAGGTGAAGCTGTGACTCAAGTAGTTCTTGCTTATCCTTCACATCCCGTACTCCAGTTTGTACCTGCAGGAAAAAGGATCAATTGGGATCGTCATCGGGCACCAAATAAATAGTGATTTACAAAGATGGACAACACCAACGTGACTATGTGAGCAAGTGTCAAAACAAAAACAACTCACAAGACAAAACAGAGCAGGCACCTAAATCTTTGGTTATTTAGTGTGACAAGACATGGTAAACTACATCATAAGAACTCATGAACAAACATAAGAAATCCAAGGAAAAAAAAAGCAAAAGGCAGCAATGATTTGCTATGCGCGAGGACCAAGGGTACTCTATATGTGGAGTGAAAGCCTACCTCCCGGAGGATATTCTCCAGCTGTCTCATCTTCCCATCAGTGCTTCCATGATTGTTCCCAACACAAACCTTCAAATCGTCCACAGAACTCTCGAGGTTGCGAGTTCTGCTCTCCAGCTGGATCAGCCTGGAACTAACACCTTCTAAAATGATCAGCATGTTATCTGTATGTCTCTTCATAGTTCTATCGATCTCAGATAGTATCGCTGAGTCAGAAACGGTTCGTTCCTTCTCCAAAACGTCTTTGGATGGTTCCATTGAGTCGAGTGAACCATAGTGATGTATAGAAAACAAAGTACCACAACATCAACAATGCAATTAGACAATATATAATCGAGACGGGAAACACACGAAAAACTGTATTAGAAATGGACAACCAAGAACTCCTTTCCGCACACCTAATCAAACTAGTACCTAATCCAAAAATTGGGATGTAGAGCTCAAGTCAGAAAGAAAGACAAACATCTGATCTAACAAACAAGTCGAAACAGAATCACTCATCAAACTAAAACCAAAAAAGCAATGGCAATAACAGGTGAACAACTTTCCCTCTCCAATTCTACATTTAGACGCTACTCTAGCTCACTGAAATCCACAAGAACACGACAGTTCAATTGCTGTTCTGACGCCTAAGCCTCGCCCAGATCGTCACCAGCTAAAAAAGCATAATCAAGCTTCGTAAATTACTTCCACGGAAAAAAATAAACCCCATCTATGCTTTCGACACTATTCCATTCCCAAACCTAGAGCGAGTTCCAATTCCAAATCAGTAGAGCGAAAACACGGTATTGAACTCAAACAAAAAAAAGGAGGGTTCGAATTTGAAGTACCCGGACTGGAGAATCGGCCATGGCGAAATTGACGGAACTGGACTTGCCGTCGACTGAACTCCAAGCCCTAGCACCAGCAGTGGAATCTCCTCCTCCTCCCAATCCTCCAGCAACGGGGCGAATCGGGTGGAAATCGTAGCTGGGAACCATGACGTCCTCCTTCCTGGTACCGTTCCCAGCGTAATTGGCGTGCTGATCGTGTTCGTCGTCCCGCGGATGGTGATTCATCAGATCGATGAAGTCCTTACCGCCGCCGGTGGAGTGGTGGGTGGGGGATGATGATAAGCCCTGGGGTTGGGGGGATGAGGGCAAATCCATAATCTGCTTGTCCATATACTGCGACGTATTCATCTGAGATAATCACGATGCCGAAGAGGAAGGGGATGGACCAAGGAGAGAAGAATAATAAAGAATGACTTGGAAGAAGGTGAGAGAGAGAGAGAGAGAGAGAAGAAGAATAAATGGGATGGGACTTGGGAGCAAAGTCTGGGCTCCCCTGGTGTTGTTCGGCTCGTCAGTCGGCAGTCGGCACCCACCCGCGTTGTTTGTGGGTTGTTCCTTCCTTCGCGCGAGTTACCTTTTGCTTTCTTATACGCGAGCGCGACGAAACTACGGCCCATGGTCCATGGGGCAAAAACAAACAGTGGCGTGAAATTACAACAGCTGGGTCGAACTTAGGTAACCTAATTCGTCACCATTGGGTTGCCGCTCTCGCTTTGGAGCGTGGAAACGCGTTTTCAAATGAGTTCGCCCAAAATTCGCGAACTCAATTAAGATAGAGCGCGGCTTTGCTTCCACCCGAGCGCGAATTCCTTGCTCTGCCAAACTAGCTTTCTCTCGGCTGAACTCCCAATAGCTTCCGCCCCTTTCTCGCGTCCATCGCCGTCTGTCCCTCTTTCTTCGTTGCCCCGCCTGCCACCAAATACGCCTTGCTCTTCTTGCTCATCGATTGCAACAAAATACGCGATTTGGGTTGTGATTGTTGGACTCTATATAGAAGGGCAATCTGCAGTAGCTCTGTTGCGCCCTCAAGAGGATCAAAGATATGGAAAAGGAATTCATGGTATGTTCGTGGTTGCAGATCGTCGTTGTCTGGGAAGAATATGACAATCGAGTTGAAATTAGGGATTTTGATTTGTAAAGAAAGAAGGAAAAGTTGGGAAACAGAACCGAGAGGAAGAAGATGATGGGGGCATAGGGAATGAATGGTTTCATTTTAGTTAAATGTCGTCGTCTTGCCTCATTTCCTCAACTTAATGGGCTTAAAGAGAAGGAAAGGCCCAAAATGTTAAATGAAGAAAGAAAAGAAAATAAGTAACTTCAAGTTCATACCACTCGGCCAATATTTTTGACAAAGGGTCTAAAACTAAAGACCCATGTTATTACTTAATTAACTAATTCACATTATAGACAATTAGTTAGTTACACGCATGACGCATGTATAGTATTGGCGATTGTAAGAAACTATTGCGGATTGAAGTTTGGTGGACTATTATAAAGTCTTCCATATAAACAATAATATAATAATGACGCTTTATTCACGCTCTCAATACCGAATTCTTCTAAAATAGACACTCTCACGCTCCCGCTCCCGCTCTCGCTCCCGCTCCCGCTCCACGAACTGGTTACCTAAGGTCGAACTGCTGGTTGAACCGTTTTGATCATGACCAGGTGAGAAAAAAAGGGTCAAACACACCAATGGATAGACCTGCTAGTTGCTACAAGGTTATCGGGTACACACGTTATTGTTTTATCTTTTTTGTTTTACGAAATGTGTCTTTTTTCATGTTATCTTATTCGCCTAATTATATATTTGTAATTTTAAGTTGAACATTTGAATATTAATATTATATAAGTACGTGTGAATTTTAACTATATGTTAGGTCCAAGTATGATATGCTAGTTTAATGTAATGTTATATGTTATTACTCATGTGTTAGACGAGATTTGATATGATTTATATATATATGAACAATATAATTACATTTTTCATATATCTGGGCTAAAGAGGCCATCGACCCATTACCCTCAACCCACTTACTCGACCATATCAACGGGCTAAATTGGGTTGACATCCTTGATTTTAACCATCATGGCTATTATGGTATAACATTTTAGTGTTTTAGAACTGTCAAATTGTTTTTGCTTGCACTCAGCGGCGGAGGGAGGTGGATAGGAGTGGGGTCTTAGGACCCACTTGGATAAATTAAAAATGGCTACATATATGCATGTTCTTGTTTAATTTTGGTAGTTTCGGAATTGAGGACCCCATTTATATAAAATTTTGATCGTCATAGTATTATGAAACACGCAAATAAAGTAGCACGTATCGATCAAGAAAATTCTCAATTTTATAAATCCTAATTAAAAAAAATTCTAATTCTACTAAATATGTAAAAAAATCCTGACTATATCTAATAAGCCCTTAATTCAACAAATTTTCTATTAATATACAATTTCTTTGTCATCAAATGTACTTTATAATATGTTTGTGGCTTGGGAGCTATTTATTTAGTTGTATCGAAATGTCACTTTTCAACTATGAGTTACACAAAATGTAAAATACAAATCTAATAATTGATGATCTAATGAATGACTACTTGGCTGAATTTTTAAGAGAATTTACTTCATAGTTGAATAAAATGTCTTAGAATTTTTTATACTAGAACCCCACTAAACCCGAATCTTGCTGACACCACTGCTTGCACTCAACAGTTGTAGGTTATAGAATACATGTTCCAAAGTCTGGTAGTGTGTCTTATTTTCAATGAGGGCTAGTAACAAAATTTACTTCTTATATGTATATACCAACTTGTTTCATAGTTATTGACACATTGATTTCACTTAAAATCAGTTTAAAAAACCTAGAAGAGCTTTTTCAGTTTGACACAAGAGTGAACTTTTGGATACCAATAAACTTTTCACTCTATTGACACATGAATACATCGCTCATTGTCATCAAAGTATGCACTGAGATTGTCCATATTGGTGTATCAACTTACTCAAATTAGTAACGAGAAAATCAAGCAAACTATCTAATTATGTAGCTTTAAATAGATATGAAGAAATTACATTGTTTTCTGAAAACGAGAGTTAAAGTTCAGTAAAAATAGCCAAAATATTGATTTGGTTTGGATCAAGTATGGATCAAATGAGTCATTCGAACCACTAAATCAAGATCTATGTACCGCTTTTATTATTATCTCAAAGTTGACATGCTAATCTCTTATCATATATAGACGAAAAATTAGTAACAAAAATCGACGAAAATCCATATTCGTGCTGAAAATTTTCATAACTTCAATTACAAGTCTCTTAAAATTGAATTTAGTGACTAATTTGTTTGTGACCTCAACCTCTATAGCCCATGCGATTATGAAAACCATTACGATTAAAATTACTTAAAAGGTCTCAAGTCATCATTTCTTACATTCTCAATCACACTGACAAATAAAAATTAACATGCAATCCAATCCCAGGCATCCATTGCCATTTGAGATATAAATCAAAACGCGAATTCAACCTGTGAAACACCCGACGAATCCGAGGACCATGGAACTTCGACGGTAACCAAGCAACCATCGTACTTGAACTCAACCTCCCCACCATCCACCTTGCAGCCTGCCGGCTTCTCCGACGCAAACGCCACCATTTCTCCGGCACCCTTAACACCAATTTCCACCGATTCGTCCCGGTAATCCACCGACCGGATCGCCCCGCCGGAGTTGAGCATGTTCACAAGGCCAATAGGCGCAAATTGAACCGACTTCCCGGCCAATACGGTCACCGGCGACACCGTGATCAGCTCAAACTCGAACGGCTCCAACGCGACCTCGATGTTATCCGTGGGCTTGGACATGACGAGCTTCTGGGCCTTCGACATGTACATGGCGAATACCTGGACTCCTTCGATGGAGATTGGGCTTTTCCCGCTGGCCCATTCAATGTCCTTTGGGTTGGTTTGGGCCGTCAACTTGTGAGAGAATTCTGAGAAGCATTGGTTGCGTCTCGTCTCTCTGGACCACCCTCCGCCTTGGCAGTTAAACGCCCCAACAACCCCGGTAAACTGTTAAAAAAAATAAAATAATTAATCATTACTTTAACATCGAAAACGGGCCTATACGGCCCAAATTAAGAGTTAGGCATTTCAACGTACCTTGTTCAAGTTCCAAATCTTGAGCATGGTTTTTCCATCATGGAGGGGATCCTCAAAGAGGCAGTCCCTAGTGGGAAGAGCATAGTACTCGCACCGGAGGATCGAACCGTCCGGCATCGCCAACCGCTTCAGCAACGGGAAGTTGTGGTTGCCCACGGTGTCGCTGATGTAGATCGGCCCACCGGAGATGGCACGAGACGCAGCGTGGAACTCGGCACAAGGGTGTGTCGACTGGAACATGTCCCAATCCGGGTGGATGAAATTGCCCATCCACAAACTGTTGTAGGCACAGTGAACCATGTGACACCCCTGAAGCCAGAATGTGCCGTTCGGGTCGCCCGATGGATCCGTGCACCAAAAATCATCACCTGGATTCAGCCCAAAGCCCAACAATACCACCATTTAGTCCAAACTTTCAATCCCAATCCAGCCCAATAGATAGAAGTCCAAACAAGTAAGGTAAATGACGTGAAAAGTGAAAACTTACCAACACGTCCAAGAGAGATGGCTTCTGTTCCAAGGAACATGAAATCGTTACAATGCTCCATGCTCGCAATTACTCCGTTCCCGTTGAAGTGCTTGTTAACAGAGGCGGTCAACGCCTTGAAATACGCCTTTGCCAGGTCAACTCTCCCTCCGTAATTCTCACACAGCATTTCCAACAACTGCCACGTCCCTCACAACCATAAATTTTGTAGAATATAAAATTAATAATTAAATAGACAGAATCGAGTAATCGCTAGAACTTACGTGGATGACGTCGACTTTAACGCCGTCGATTCCAGCCTTCTCGAGATGAGAGTGGATGCCATCGTACATCTGGTCCACAAGCTCCGGCGGGACCAACCCGATGCCGTTACTAACGATCTTATCCACGGCGAGATCCTCCATGGTCTTCTCCAGCCCGGGAGACAACTTGGGCCTGACAACGACGCTCTCCGGCAGGCCCGGAACATTGGGCCGGATCCCGCCCCAATACCCACACAGCGCGTGCCAAACATAGACGTAATCCACCGTCCCGAACTCATCCTTCAAGTCCCTCACAAACGCGCCCATGCCCTTTTCCGTAACTTCCTCCTTCCTGCTGACGTAATCCCGGAACTTGTAGTTCTCCTGGAACTTTAGCAGCCGGCAAGGCATCTGCTCCCCGGCGACCGTGTGGTTCATCCCTTCCTTCGTCACCGGATCCTCGTCGTGGCTGATCGACTGCCACCCGTCGTCGATTAAAACCAGCCCCGGCGGGCATCCGCCGTCGACGAGTCCTTTCACGCCGTCCCAGATCCCCTGAGGGTTCACCGTAAGGTAGAATGCATCCCACGTGCACCACCCGAATTTGTCCACGATCCCCGGTGGGTCCTTCTCGTCGAGCAGCTTGAAAGTCCCGAGGTGGGCCCGGACGACTCCCATCCCTTCTTTCACGAGGGTAAACGGGTCATTCCCTGCGTGAACGTACACCACGCTGTTGAAGCTCGAGGCCTTGACTTTCGTTGACCCACTCTCCACGCAGACGTCCACGTCGTCGTTTTGCCCGGGCTGGAGGGAAGCCCGAAACTGCCCTTCAAGAATTGGGACGATGAGGACGTAGGGCCCACCGCCAGTCGGTGACGTGTCGAGGAGGAGGAGTTGGGTCTCGTGTTCGAGGTCGCGGCCGTTGGATCCAACCCAGTGGGTGGTCCACCAGACTTTGAAACGGAAGATGCTCATGAACCGCAGGTTCTTGAGCTTTCCGATGGGCGCCACGTGGCGGTGGTCGGATTCTCCCGCGTTGAATCCGAGGAAGGCGCCGGATTTGTCGGCTGAGGCGGTGATGGTGATGTTGGTCGGGACGTCGGTGAGGAAGGCGTGGCCGTTGGATTTGAGGGTTGATCCGTCGAGGGAGATGGCGCAGGCGGCGGGGGAGGGGTTGAGGAGCTGGTTGGCGTGGGATTCCATCAGGTCGTTGATTTTGGCGCTCAATTTGGGGGCGCTTGGAGCCATTGATCGATGCTGGAGGAGGAACCTGGGAAGAAGGTATGGAGAGCTGGATTCAATTGCGGCAAGGAAGAGAGTGGATTGAGTGGAGAAATGGGGAGTGATGACAGGGGGAGAAAACTAAAGGGGAGAGTTTCGGTTTGTCGGGATATATTCTAGAAGTAAGGAGAAGGAACGAGTAGCTTATATCTTCTTCGGTATGATTTTTTGGTTGGTGGGAAGTTTTTCCGATGCTCTGTGTCTTTTAATTAATGGAATGAAGGATTGGTGTTTGCGGGCAAGCAAATGGAACTGGAAGGAAGTGGATTCTTTTATTTTTTCTTTCACCTGCAGTTGTTGGAGTGAAGAAGTGGGCATACTTATAGGGGCGGAATGGGGTAGTTAATGATGAAAGGGAAAGTTAGAGTAGGACCGAGGACGGTGGCATTGGTTTGGAAAATCAACCGACATGATTTAAGATATCATTATCATTGAATTATCCGAGTTGATTAGTGGACGTTTTTCTCGTTGATTTTACTTGAAATGTGTGGTGGTAACCAAGACTGTTTGTTGTTTGTTTCGTATAAAATAAAGAACTCTTTTCCGTTGGGGACATTAATATGTTATTCAGGGGAATGGCGAGGCGTGGGGCACCGAGACGGCCAAATATTTGACGACACATTCGGCGGTAATGGCGTTTGGCGACCAGTACATGCCACTTGGTGAAGGAACGTACCGGCGGGCCCAATACCCACCAGTACATTTCCGAACGACCATAAGTCGTAACCAACCAAAAAATGGCGGAAGAGAAGAAAAAACAGCCACGTTGAAACAAAATACAATAACGGCTTCCCAACGGCTCAACTAACAACTTCAACCGATTTAAAACCACCACGTAGAGCAGATAAACGCATGTTAACAGACACTAGACTGGTAGTTATAAACTGGTCAATCGAGGTGGTTAGTTCTATGAGTGAAAAAGCAACAGGTGGATTAGTGAGTAACGACCGGCTAACCAACGAGACAATGCTGCATGGCACCTGGACGCCAATGTCGTGCGGGAAGGCGTCCCATTCTTTTAGAAATCAACCAAACGTACGTACGTGCCGGGGAAAAAACAACCATGGTCAATTAATAACCGACAATCAGGATTAGGATAATGTTATTTAATGTATCTGTTCATTGAGGAAAATTAGATTGAGATCGTCGTGCCGGCGAATCGAGGGCGTTGGGCTACGGTGTCTCCACTTTACTGACGCTTGGCAGTTTTGGCTCCGGTGGGAAACAGAAAGAGTCAAGTCCGTTCAAAGTTCAAACTCTTCTCTTTAAGTCTTTTTTGACCGGGTTCTTTTTTGTTTAGTTTGGCGTGGTCCGGTTTTTTCACCTAATTTTACGGTGTCGGTGGTCATAGATAGGATAGGATAGGACCCATCTTGGACAAAAATTCAGCCAATGTGGTCACGTGTTTTCTTATCCATTTCACAGTTTGGGCTCAATTTCCACACCTGCCTCCATTCGGGTTGCAGTGATCACCTCTGGAGGCCCGCCTACAGGCCCAGCCCATTCATGAATTTACAATAAGCGAGTCTAAATGGGATTCTCAGTTTCTCACTTCTCAGTTCATCCAGCATACAGTGAGTATATAAGGAGTTCTAAATAGTAAATACTAACGCCAGATACCACCACCATCCAATTTGTATCTGCATCAGGAGTAGTAGTACTATGGATTTCAATCTTTATTTCTGTAGCTATCAATTAAAACCGCCTTCTATGCACAGCACAAATATACAAGGCGTGACGTTGGCGACCCAATACTGCACACACACTAATCACTACATAAAGAAAAGAAAACGAAGACACAACAACACATAGTACATCTAGGATGATTTGGTACCCCAATTGCCTTGTAGTGACTCTAATTTAGAGCTCTCTCTCTCTCTCTTCAGTTTTACATTAAGCTCCACTTTGTATACTTTAATCCTTCCGTGTTATTGTGGGGTCAAAAATAGTTTTGTTCAATTACCTTATCACCATGAGGATCAGGGATTGCCTGTTGCTTTATGGACTCCGAGCTCAGACTGCTGACAAACGAAATGAAACTCACCGAATGAGATCAGAATATGGAGGCACCAGCAAGCAATTTGAAAGTGATTCTTGCTTCAACGCAGTGCGCAAATGAGTCATGGAAGATAAACGTTACCATATTGAGGAGGCGGAGGGCAGCAGGGCGTGTGAATTTCCTTGCAAAAAGGAAGCACATTGAAGGTTTCCCTTTGCTGGTGCACCACTCACGTCGGTACTCAGTCTCGTAGTAAATATTATCGATATCCTGCAAACTCATCAACATTACTATGCTACTCCACTAGAGAAGGGATTATTGTAGAAATAAAACTATATGTAATGGTTTGAATTTAATAGTACTTTGATTGATTGTATCAACATGGGAGTAGCATCAGAAAACTTGTAGGAAACAGGATGCCATCCACGGCGTTTGGGGTCTTTGGATGATGAAACATCCCATGAACTGTGCGTCAATGATCTTCTTGTGATTTCTTTCTCAAGGCCCTTTTGCTGGTTTACAAAGAGGAAGAACGATAAAGGGTTTCAACAATGTTATATGATGGAACAAGGAAGAAATCAGACAGGGGGCGTGGTAGCTGGTAAGTTAAAGAAAGGCTTGCAGGATAACTGCTGAAATGTAGGGAGGATAAGCGAGAAAGTAACTTACAGCTAATAATGTTTGGACATAATGTTCATCAGGTATACAATTGTGCTCTTTAGATGGATCAGTAGGCTGCAATCACAGAAATTCGAAGAAAATGGTGGATCAGAATGCATCAATCTCAACATTGAATGGGGGGCATGCATGAGCTGAACTTACAGCATGAGTATGAATAGCATTGTATAAACTTAGTAGTACTTACAAAGGGTTGATCCCTCCAGAACTCAGGTAGCGATTTCCGCTGTAAGTCAATAGCAGCAACAGTCAATCTCCAATTAAGAGAATCAGACAGAGAATACGTCTAATAGCGAATCAAGAAACTGCCAAGCAGTTCAAGGGAATTCCTTTTTTTATAAAATGAGGAAACAGATTCTGCACTTCGAGAATAAATGAACAAAGAACACAAACTTACCCTGCAATGTTTTTGGAAAGCAGGAAAGACAGTACTGTCCTGCACTACAACCTCAGCATGCTTTCTGATCAGAACAACCCACTACAAGAAGGAAACGAGAAAATAAGGATTAGGGAATCTGCACGACAATCACACAGTTGGATTTCATCATGCAAGCTTTAACAGCCTTTTGTTAGCCACAGGAGTAACCAGGCAATGAAAGTAGCTGACCACCTGAGATCCTTTCCTCCAGTTATCTACAGGGATCACTGGGTCCATCTTTGGATTATAGCGACCATCTTTTGTATCAGCAAAGCTGCACGCAGATTTTAGGCTAAACATTAGTGTTATGATCAGCAGAACCAGACATGCAGTCTGATGCTGCAGGAACTGTTCTCACACACTCTACAGAAAATACCAATATGTGTTGTTAAGCAAGCACAAGCAGAGGTAAGAAGAAATGAGAGTAATAGGATTGTTGTGAAGCACTCAGACTATCCATCCCCAACCACAATCCTTCATGGAAAATACAAGTGGCAAGAACTAGACTGGATTGCATCTTCACTCTTTGTTTCCGTATAAACTTAAGAAAAGAAAAAGAAAAAAAAAACCAAGCATCACTTATTATTGAGAAGCCAAAGGACCTCCAGACTAACCTGTCTACAAAACTGGTTGATGTTGACATAACATAGTCATATGTGTAGCTGAAGTTGTAAAGAGGTATGCAGCTGAAAAAAGATCATGCAACTGATAGCTTGTTAGCCAATAGCAACCCTTAAAAATAAGCTCGGACCACTAATGAAATAAGTCCTAATAACAATAAGACTTCAAGAAATTAAGACAATGATGCCACAAATGCGGAGTCACACACCTGTCTGAGAGGAAAACAAAGCGCTTGTTCGAAGGATCCTCAAGTGCATGTCGAAGTAATATACGCTCTGCCTCAATCATACTAGCTTCTCCCCAATCTACCTGGAATAATAAGTTGCTAAGCCAATGACATTCCGCATGGTGTAATATTTTAAATCAAAACCATAGCTTTGCCACAAAAATCAAGGTTGAGAAATATTTATTCAACCTATCATATACTTGGTTCATAGGTTTCACAACCATTCATTATCTTTCACAGAGCTAATAGATTGACCAATGTGCACAAATGCAAGCAATCATAATTTCAAGGCAGTTTAGAATTTAGATTTCCGTAGTACTGTTCAAAATGTACACCATTGCTATGCTACAAACCTAGCTGTAAATAAACCAAATGTTTGCAGTTGAAAAGCAACAACATTTGAAGGAAGAAACAACAACCTGAATGCTATCGTTAAGTTGGCGATCTAGGAAATACTCCGACCTTGTCGTTGCCTCGTTGAATAGAAATCCAGGCCTGGAATGGACAAAAACTGAAAATCTCGACTCCTCACCCTGCAAATAACACAAAATGCTTCATCCATAACCACTCACTAGCCCTAAGCAGATGCATAAACCAGTACTCTCTGCATTATAATAGAGGAATCAAACTCTAAAATACCAAAGCAATCAAAATTCTCAAATTCTGAGTCAATATGAACAGCAGACATTCAATTACTCAGCCCCTAGCAATTCACTGCCGTTACTCAAACGCATAGCACAGAACTCGAAACAGATCCTTTTTACCTTGAAAAACGCATCCCATACTACTTCGAGGGGGAGCCGATTCCGAGCGATGAACAGGAAGGCGATCCTCGGCGGCACCTGCTGCTCGTGACGGAACCGCGCACTGAGCGCCATGATTTGACTGTACTGCGTCTGCATCAGAACCAGACTGCATAAGCAGAACCCTAGCAGCACCATAGCAAACACTTTTCTCCTCCATTTATAGTGAGACTTGAGCTGCTGCTGCTGCGTCGCCGCCGCCTTCCTGTGCTTCATCTATTCCCGCAATTGGAATATCGATTCCAATCAGTTCACTCCCTCCGCCACCATTTCTAAATCCTCAAAACAAGTTTCAAAGGGGCGGATGAAATGTTTCTCAGCTCGATCCAGCTGACAGTCGGGAGCCGGAGGTCGGGGAGGGGAGGGCGTGAAGGCTTTGCCGATCGGAGCTGCAGGGAGAAATTCACGAGAGTCACGGGATAGTCCTGGTGAAGATTTCTGTTCAGAGGATGGGTGGAGATTTATCTGGAAGCTCGCTTAGAGAGATTTGGGTGGGAAGAAATGAGCGGAAACGATGAAGAAAGGAATAGACTGGAAAGGGAAGGGAAAAGTTGAAGTGCATCCGACTTCAATGGAGTGGAGACTTTTCCTTTTCAGTGACTGCTGCGCTGTCGTATCCTTCGAAATCAAGCCTGATACAGTAATTATCACACTTATCAGTATTACTAGTCACTAGTCAGTTTTTACTTAAAGAGCTACTTCTCCCGTTACGCTTTAAAGTTAAAATTCTGTTTTTTTTTTGTCTGCTTATTTTCCTAACTTACCGCCAAATTCTAACCGTTAATTATCATTTACGGTTAATCATTTGTCCCATTCTTATTCTCGACCTATCCCACTGCATATCTACTGAGTATTACTTGATCTGATCCACACAAGTGCAGACCATATATTTGGTAAGCCAAATTTTTTGTCAGACAAAACAAATTACAGCAAGCAAGATACAAACTTTTTGTTGTGCACAATTGTTGTTTGAAGGAAACATAACAACAACTACCCATTAACCCAGGTGTTCAATAGCTAAAGGCTCTTTGTAGGATGTTTGCAAATGCTGCTGTTGGAAGCAGTTGTGTTTGCTATTTTTCCTTTGAATTGAAAGCAAAGCATCAACTAAGTTTGGTAATAACCAAGGATATTGTCTGTGCCATTCGCCAACCCCCCACCCCCCAAATGATCACTCTTAAAAAGAGGAAACAGAACCGATTCCAAATTACAAAGAACCTATCGACTATTGTACTAAGAAACGAAGTCAAATACCCACATGTATCTCGCTAATCATGCAACTCTCAGATTGGGCCGGAAGGTCCAGTTACGAGGAGCCACCGGCAAGGCCCATTTCCATTGGGCTTAATCCGCTTAGATTCACCGTCCCGTCTCCCTGGTGGCTGCCGACGGTTCCCTTGTAGCGCCATAGTCGTCACAGAAGTTTTACAACACACAAGACCGCTTTGCTGTTCTCCAAACTCACCGGTAAATCACCACAAAAAGGGTAAGGAGGATGACGTTAGAGTCATTGTCTCTACCTCATCCGAACGCCCTGCAAAGGTAATCTGAAATCGCGTTTCTCTTGAACTGAAATTCGAATTCTTCTCGATGTTTTCGGTTTGATTTTTCAGCTGTTTAAGGGTGGCGGGGAGTGAAGCTGGAAGAAACCCAGTTCCCAAAATCTCGAAACTTCCACTAGGTCGTTCCAAAATCAAGTCTTTAGCTGTGAGGATGAGCTCGGGTACTTCTAATGGCGGGATAGGGAAGAAGAACCCACATGGGATAGGAGAGAACGATGGCGTGATCATCGTCGACCATGGGTCGCGGCGGAAAGAATCTAATCTCATGCTAAGTAAGCTGTGATTGACTTCTTCCGCTAGTTCAGGGGATTCATAATTGATTTTTTGACATCGGCTTATAATCTCCAATCTCCATTAATTGTGTGTGATTTCAGATGAGTTCGTTGCTATGTTCAAGGATAAAACAGGATACCCAATTGCGGAGCCGGCTCACATGGTAATATCTGTCTTCCATTCCGAAAAAGCTTTAATGCCTTCATAGCGCAGTTCCTTGCAAAAAGACTGCAGATTTATCTTTGCCTGTGCCATAAACATAAGCACAGAAGGAAGATTTTAAGCTAGAGTAGCCAAAGGTAGTGTCGAGGGAGCTTTATAATAAATTTGTAGTTGTCAATGCGAATAGGAGCTGGCGGATCCATCGATCAAAGACGCGTTTGACATTTGCGTTCAACAAGGTGCGAAACGTGCTGTTGTCAGCCCATTCTTCCTTTTCCCAGGACGCCATTGGCACTAGGTTATATATCTCTGCAACTAAAGTAAGCTGGTCATTGAGATTCCCAAGGACTTGAGATTCCCGATTGAATTGGGCAAGATTTGTCCAGAACAATTAGTCATGGAAATGTCTAATACCTTGAGGTGGGCAGCCGAACAATTTGATTGTGGAAAATGAACCAAGAGCTCTTGGTTAAGTTTGAGACATATCAATTCGAATTTTGGCAAGCGGAGGACAGTCTCTTGAAACTTCGAACTAATCCACAACTGGAGAAATCAAGATATTTCAAGGAGCGTGATAAGTTGGAGAAGGAGGAAGGTTTTATATCTGACATATTCACTCTCTGAAGCCACAACTCACTTAGTTTTGTGGCGTTTGCTAGCAACTTAGAGTAATCTTCAGGTTTGCCAAAGGAGACATGGTTGAAGGAAAGATCAAGCAACACAAGTTTGTCAAGATGGTTGAACCCTGATGGGATTCGGCCTGCAAGCTTAGTGTTGGAGAGGTTGAGATGACTAAGGCTTGTTAACTTGGTGAAGGAATATGGAATTATGGAGTCGTGGAAGTCATTGTGTGCTAGATTGAGGCTTCGAAGGAATCTCAAGTGGGCAATTGAGTTGTTTGCTTGCAGAGTTCCCTGAAGTCGATGACACTTAGCCGTATAGGAAATAGAGTCCAGAAGTAAGCTATATTGAGGAATATGGTAAGGTAGGTCAGCTACTTGCGCACAACTAAGGTCGAGGCCCGTGACATGACCAGTTAAGGGGTCACAAGTAACACCTTCCCATAAGCAACAATCCACTCCTCCCTTCCACGATGTCGCTCTATCATGGCCATCTCCGATGATAGTGAAGGAGTTCTTGAACTGGACCAGTGCATCACTCTCATCGTGACGACACCAATTCGAAGTGGGTGATGGAGGATGATATTGAGGGGCATGTGCATGGCAACATTGTTGTAACGTCAGAAGGTGGGATATGGTTACTACTACAACTACTGAAAACTTGAACTTCTGCATCGATAGATTTTCTCTATATCGAAAATGGATTTGTTAACTAGTAGGTTAGCCCGGTAAGAGAATATATAGAGTAGTAACAAGATGTCGTGATTGTTTAAAGACTATAGAATAGAATGTTGTTGTGAGAAAAGCCAATTCAATATCCATTGTTTGAGAGACAACGTAAATATACATGTACAATGGAGTATTTCCAACAACTGAATGTTGCCTAGTTACACACGTTCCTCTAGAATAGGAACAGAAATGAATAAAGAAACAAACATAAAAATACTTTTATTTAGTTTCTCTTATATGCCCCCGCAAGAAGGAGGAGGTATCAACGATCCAATCTTGGATTGCAAAAGAAGATATCGAGCCGCCGGTAAGGGCTTGGTAAGGGCATCAACGAGTTGGTGGGAGGTAGGGATGTATGACACATGCAACTGACCATCCTGGACAAGCTGTCATATGAAGTGGTAGTCTAATGTGAGATACTTCATGCGAGAGTGAAACACGGGGTTGGAGCTGAAGTAGGTGGCCCTAGATTGTAGGAGTAGAGAAAAAGAGCGGAAAGTATTGGTTGATGGAGCTCATGGAGAAGATTTTGAAGCCATTCCAGTTCCGTAGTGGCATGAGCAATAGCATGGTATTCAGCTTCAGTGCTGGAGCGGGCTACAGTTTGTTGTTTCTGAGAGCGCCAAGAAACAAGAGTGGAGCCAAAGTGGATAAGATAGCCGAAAGTAGAAGATTGGTCGTCCTGATTTCCAACCCAATCAGAGTTAGCAAACGCAGAAAGAGACAATGGAACTTTCAAACGACGGATGGAGAGACCATATGTGATAGTGTTGGAGACCATAGAGAAGAAGCCGTTGTGCATGCATATACTGATAGAGATTAATAACAGAGTAGGTGATGTCCGGACGTGTATAGACGAGGTACTAAAGAGCACCTAAAGCCTGCCGGCGTGGAGGCATTCATAGGCGTTTCAACAGGCTTGGCGTGGAGCATGAAAAAACGATTCAGAACATCCACAATGTACTTATGTTGAGAAAGGAGGTAACCAGTGGCGGTGGGGATGACTTTGATGCCGAGGAAGTAATTAACATCACCGAGTGCTTTGAGAGAAAACTGACTAGAGTGAGCCTCTTGAATGCGATGGAGAGTGGTAGGATCATTTCCAGTGAGTAGAAGATCATCAACATAGACCAGAAAGTAGAGCAGGACTGGACCACGAGAATAGACAAATAGAGAGGCATCCGAATGGGTCTTGATGAATCTAAACTCGAGAAGAAACTGACTTAAGGCGTTGTACCATGCACGCGGAGCTTGACGGAGCCTGTAGTGTGCCCGGTGAAGGCGAGAAACATGGCCAGGGTGGTCAGGATCGACGAAACCTGGGGTTGAACCATACACACCTCTTCATGTAAAGGACCTTGGAGAAACGCATTATTAACATCAAACTGCGAGATAAACCAACCATGAGAGAGAGCCAAGGTGAAAACAGTACGAAGACCGGTTTGACGATCAGACTAAAAGTATTAGTGAAGTCGAGCCCAGGACGCAGATGATAGCCTTTGACCACTAGCCGTGTCTTGAAGCGTTCAATATAGCCATCAGAGAGATACTTAATACGAAAAATCCATCAATTACCGAGAACATTATAATGGGGAAGACGAGTGACCAAGTCCCATGTATATGATTGGCCATGAGAACAGTATTTTCAGCCTTGAGTACATCGGCCCATTCAGCATAACGTAGGGCTTCTTTGACACTCACATGAGCTAATGGGGGCGGTCTAGAGACGATAGTGGCGTGAAAAAGGCATTTCTTGGGCCGGAAAATCCCATCCTGGGCCCGAGTCCGCATAGCATGGGTGCAAATGAGAGGAGGAGGATCAGTGATGGACTGGGGCCAGACGAAGGAGTGACTAGTTGGTCACCAGGTGGGGCTACTATGGAGACCGGTGGAGAGAGCGGCCGAGTTGGTGATGAATTTCGCACAGGCTGGGAGACTGTTGAAGGGAAGAGGGCCTGGGATGGCCCTGGCATGGACGGAGGTGGTGTAGAATGTCCCGACAAGTGGAGGATAGTGGGTGAATCGTCGTGTAGCCAGGAAGCCGTCGAGAGAGGCTCGGTGGGAAGTGAAGCAATATAACTTGGAAAACCACTCTCAAGAAAAGTGACATGGTGAGATAGGAAGAGACGGTCAGTGGTGGGATCAAAGCACGATATGCACTACGTTGCGGGCAATATCCGAGAAAAAGACAGGGGCGAGAACGAGGGGAAAGTTTATGAGCAGAGTATGGATGGATGAAGCCAAGGATAGAAAAGACAACAAAAAATGTGAAGTTTATGGTAATTAGGAGATAAGTTGAAAAGAAGGGTGTAAGGAATGTTACCACGGAGAGCGGAGGAGGGAAGGCGATTGATGAAGCGGTGGAAAAAGCAAACGACCAAAAAGAAGTAGGAAGTTTAGCATGATAAAGAAGGGCCAGACCAATTTCAACCAAATGACGTTGTTTTCGTTCCCCATAGTCGTTGTGTTTAGGTGTGTGGGGTGGGGTAAGGAGATGATTGATGTTGTTATTAAGAAGAGTAGAGCGTAGTTTTTGGAATCCCCCACCCCCCCCCCCCACCCCACCATTCATGCAAAGACGACAAATAGTGGTGAAAAAATAATTTATTTTCCAAAAATTAAAAAAGACTTGAAGAACATCATATTTGTGGCAAAGAGGATAACACTAGGTATATCGAGTAAAATGATCAATAATAATCAAATAATAACGATATCCATCAATAGAAGATACTGGAGCAGGGACCCAAACATTAGTATATAACAAATCAAAAGGTCGTTCACTGGATAAAGAAGAAACAAAAAAATGGGAGTTTATGGCTCTTATTCAAAAGATAAGCATCACAAGCAGAACTAGCGACTTTTGAAGTAACTGGAAGAGAGTTGGACCGAATAAGGCTAATAAGAGATTGGTGGGAAGGATGACCAAGATGAGCGTGCCAGGAGGAGGCGGATGTGCGAGTTGTCATCAAGGCCATTCGTACATGCTCCACCTTACGAGGAAGCTTGTAGACATCACCGTTCCCCCCCCCCCCCCCCCAGTAGATGCGCCTCCGTGCGAAGATCCTTCACAATAAATGAGTGGCGAAAAATTCCACAGACACCGAATTAGTTTGACATAATTTAGTGACAGAGATGAGATGTAGCTTAATGTTGGGAATAGATAAAATGTCTTGCAAATTTAATGAGTGAGAACCAATAGAAACAGCAAAGGAGCCAATATATACGGGAGATAGCCAAACCTGATCCATCACCAACTAGGATCTCATCCGGGCCTGAATAATCTGAATAAATAGAGAGGTGGTCCAGATCAGAAGTGACATGATGTGAGGTTGCTGAGTCCATAAGCCACGATCCAGATGATGGAGAAGAGCCCGTGGCAGATGTATGATTGACCTGCCCATTGCGGGCTTGATGCAATGATTGGCGGACTTGGGGAAACAGTAGAAAGCACTGTCTCACTGAATGTTCGGGTTTGTCACAATATTGGCAAATAATAGTCGGGGAAACAGTCAAAAGCAATATTTAGTCCAATTCAACATTTTGTTTCCAACATAGAAAGCATTATCAAATGTTCCAAATTGGTTGCTTCTTGGAAACATGAATAAATAAGCAACTACACAAGAAAAAACCTAAAAACAGAAACATGACCATTCTTTTGCAACACAAAATACATCATCATTCTTTTGCAACACAAGAAATTGAAACGTGTCTTTCGTCATCCATTCACCAGTTTCAAGCATTCATTAGAAACATGAATAAATAAGCAACTACACAAGGAAAAACTTAAAAACATAACCATTCTTTTGCAACACAAGAAATTAAAATGTTGTCTTTTGTCATCCGTTCACCAGTTTCAAGCATTCATTTCCAGCTGCTTCGTCTTCCACACCATGATTATTGTCTCAAGGCCATCCACCAACTCTGTAACCTCTTCATCTTTCTTCCTTTTTGAATATTTGATCTCTTCATCTTTCTTTTGAATCTCTTCATTATGATCTGCCACTTTTTCTTCCAACTCCTTGGTCCTTTCAACTGCTATTTCCATTTTTTTTGTCAGTTCTTCACTTGACTTTCAAGGGCTACTCTTTCAACCTTATGTGTTGCAATCGTTGCTTATTTTTCTTTGAAGTGATAGTCGTTTCTTCAAACATCTTAGAAAGTTGAGCATTCATTGATTGCAAAGCCTCGTTCTTGCCCCTCAACACAGAAATTTCACGTTGTAAATTAGCTTCAACCTTGCCATTTACATCAAATAACTTGAGAAACTTTTGAAAATCACGATCTTTAGTCGCAAAGAGGCCCTCCGTATGAGTAAGTTGTTCTCCCAACTTTGATGTTTTCTCTTCATTCTCAATAGAATTCTCTGTCCTTTTTTTAATTTCACCTCTCTGGCCTTCTCTTTTGTTGCGGTCAGAGCAATCTCCAAAGCTTTTTTTGATTTCTTCTTAGTTTCAATTTCCCCATTCAACATAGCAACTTGGGATTCCAGTTTATGATTCTCCTAATTTGAGGCTAACTAAAAAATTGACGGACTCTCCATTGCAAGCTTGAGTGCTTCACTGAGTTCTTCATTCCCTGCTGATTCTAGTATCAATGTCTTCTTAAGACAAGCAAGCTCCTCTTCCAAAGGAGGGATTGAAGATGGGTTTTCCAATTACTTTATAAATGGAAGGAATAAAAAACAGATTTAAAGAAAATTTCATACTCATTGTACAATCCTAAATTTCGTGAAATTGGAGGGTTAAAAATGTAACGAGCATACCTATAAACGCTCAGAGCAGATGAAGAAGAGGATCCCAAGGAGGAGACTGGCCGAACAGTAGAGGAGACGGCCAGAAAGTAGAGGAGACTACGGTGAACTGTGACGGACTGTGGATAGAGAAATCAGGTCGACGAACGAGAGGTTGTGTATCTCGATTTTTTATTGGATAATTTCTCTCTCTCCTAATTTATAAATAGTAGACTAGTACGTATAGAGGTAGGATTCTTTTTTGTATATAGATGATATAATTTTATTAAGGAAAAAAGAAAATGTTTACAAAAGTTCAACCGAAAAGAAAGCAGAGATGACGCTAGGAACAAAAGCAGCACCAAACATGAATGAAAGAAAGAAATGTTAAGCAATCAGACATCTTAGCTCTCAAAAGCGAGCAGCATAATAATATGAGTCAAAAGACCCCATCAACAGCAAAAAAAAAAAAAAAAAAAAGCAGATCATGAGCTTCTTTCTATCAATTGACACAAAAAGCTGTAATTTCATTCTTGTAATAAGCATCCAAGAGTTGCTCATTATTGTTGATTCATCAACAATCTATTTCTTACATTCTCCTAATTTAATTTGGAGTTTTGGACTCAACTTCGCGCGTGTATGTCTTGTAAAAAAAGATAAAACTTTTGGATTTCTTTTTCAAAGAGGAGAAATCCATCTCGTGAATTGTGGTAAATAAGCAAGGATTATGCATTGGACCCTTAAATTTTAATGGGATCAACCCTTAAATCCTACTTTGACTAATTTGAATTCATTTATGACGTGTGAGATGGCAAATAGTAATTTCATAATGTCTAGTAATGGATTTATTTTAGATCGATAAGAGTAATTGTGAATTGTCATATCAGGTATGAAACTTATTTTTGCTTCAGAAGATGATTAATCAGAGTCAACCACACTTTCTTGTGATATCAAAATAACTCTCATCTACCCTAAATTACATAGGGTATGAATGCACATTAAATTGACAAGTGTATATAATTAGAGAGTGATAAATATCTGTACTTATATTCATGGCTTGAAGATCGAATAAGTTCATTGTTTGCTGAGTGGATGATTCTCTGCGGAGAAGATTTCTTCAATGCATTAAACCATCTATTGGTCAAACTAATTATGTTTTATGTAAAATCTACTTATCCTTATACCTTATTATTTTCAATCTCTGAAATGGTTTGTTTTGTCATAGCATCCTACTATTGAATCAAGAATAGTGTTGATTTGCGTCAATCTATAAAAATAATATTTCAACGCTACTTAATATAATTTTTCAGTTTCTGTTTTCTATTTTTATCTGTGAATATATAGACGAAAAAAGATAAGTTATGTTTTGGCAACAATAAGAGTTGACAACACAATGTAAAACCGTTGAAATAAGTGAAATCATTTTAAGTTACTTCATTGCTCTTTGTTGTAGGATCGTATCAATTGTATGAATAATTTCATTATGTGTTAAATCTCACTAGACCTACTTTCTACATTTTCCCTTTCTAATTCAGAAAACACATCCCAAAATCTTTTTGTCAATATTATTCGCATATCTTTTTGTCTCAATTTCTCATAACTCGTCATGTCAAACTATTTCTCATATTATTTTTCTAGTTTGGTCTTAGTATCAACGTTGATACTAAACTAATATATAAAAAAATAAACATATTCGAGAACTTTTCACAGAAAGAGGCGTAACGACACGAGTGCTTTTAACCAAGGTTGTTAAACTTCTACAGATCGACTAGTCGCACTCGTTATGAGTTGGTCTACAAAACAATCTCCAAAAAATTAGTGGCTCGAGTCCTGACCGCTAGAAAGGGCGAGGGAAGGGAGGACGGGGGGAGAGAAAAGAGGATAGTGGGAGGGTAATGGGGATTAGGTAAGTTTTTTTAATGAGAGGTGAGTTTCTAATATATACATGTGAAGAAATTTCCTTTCAGTTATTAAAATTTTAAATTATTACCTTATTTGTACTTGATTGAATGGTTTAACGACTTTAACCGGTTTGACAAACCTTTAAGTTTATGGACCGGCGTCGTTTCGCTGCCAAATTCCTAGACTCGAAAACCGTCGTCTGCTTTAGCCGTCCTCCCTTTTAAAAAGTCTCACTGACGCCGGTGCCGTCGGCGAAGAAATGAAAGCGTGGCCACCGTTGAAGAAGAAGAACAACAACAGCAGATGGCGAACGCCGGGAAATTTCTCAATCCAATCAGGAAATCGATCACGTTGCTCAGCTCTTGTCACTGTTCTCCAATCTCCCAATATAGTAAGCTAGGTCAGTTCTCCTCTTCTCCCAATTCATCCTTTGAAAAACCAGTAAAATCCGCTGCCGTGCTCTGCCTTGTTTGTGACGATTCAGTGCCGATTTATTTCTTTAGTTCAGCGCGAATTCGAGTCTGTGACGACATTGATGAAACGACTCCAACCTTCAGTAACACGGCACAACAAGTTCTTATCGCTACGAACATTTGGTACTCTTAACTCAGCAGGTGAACACCAAGTTCTCCACTCAATGCTTCAATTCCGCGCTTCTGCTAGTTAGTTGAATCCTTGAACACGAAATGTTGGTTTCAGTGAGGAGAGCGAGTCTAGCAATAGGCATAGCCGGTGGTGCTTCAATTGTAATCGGCTCTGTTACCTGTTCTCCTACGGTTGCATACGCGATGGATGGTAAGATTTGGTCTGCTTACCCTAATGCACAATTTCACATGAAGCATATGTCTGTGTACAGTTGACATTGTGTGTTTTTGGTAGGTGTAGACATTTTGATGGATGATGATAGAGAGCCCTTTGATGCCTCCGATAGGGATGAGTTTGCACACGCTGCTTGGATGGTGATTCGGAAGCTATGGCTGCCAGCTTTCTTCTTCCTTACCATAGTATCGAACTGGAATCACCCGATCGTGCTTTTCACCAAGGGTGTGTTGCTTCTCCTTGCTTCTCCTTGCTTTTCCCTTCTCGTCGGTTTCTAATACCACTGATTCTGCCCCAAACTGATGAGCCTGTGACTAGACCGGCATGATCCTGATCAGAGGGATCAACATTCATCAGAGAATCAGTTCCATTATTTTTAGGTGAATGTAGGTGTAAGAGTGAGTTGGATGTTTCAGGACCACTGTTATTCCACAAGGGTTGATCTGGATCATAAAAGTCAGCTCCGCTTGCAGAAACCGAGCCAGAATATCCACCATTCAGTCCAGGATTGTCATCATACAGCCCAGATTTGGTACTATTTCCAGTTAGAGCTTTGCTGTTAGCAGACATGGTTGAAGGGTTACCAATCCCTTGTAAGCCCCCCGGAACAGAAGGAGGTCCCACCAGTTGTGCACTTGGGAGTGAAACGGGGAGGTTAAACTGAGAAAGGCTCTGCAAGACGTAAAAAGGTATAATAATACTGTGTCAGCATGAAAACACATCTTCACATTACAAAAGCTGATACTCAGAACAGTAATAGCATTGCAGCATCTACCCAAAGAAAGGAGTGGCATGATACCAATAGAAAATAGGGACTCGATAGAATTAAAATACTTGCCAGGAAGAAATGGAATTCCACAAATTCATATCCATCCACCAGTTAACAGAATAGGTCGATATGCCATTTGGATAAGTGCTTTTGGATAGGTGAAACTGAAAGAAATGTTATTATTTAAAACCATTGATTTATGTAAGTAACATTAATGCTTATAGGGTGCCTAACTGGATCTGGGAAAAGATGAGCAGTTAATGAAAATGAAAATGTTGCTATGGTTAGTGGTGGATTTAGAATCCCTCTAACCTAGTCAATTGTCCCAAGAGACATCCCGAACTCTAACCCTTTTTCCCCATTCTTAGCCTAGCCAAATGAGTGATGAAAGCGATGGGTTGGGACTTAAATTCAACCGTCCAAATCCAACACTCAGACAATCACTTACTTGCACAATGACATTAATGAACACAAAGTAAAGCTTCATCATTCAAATGGTTGCACCTAGCTAAGAGAATTGAGAAGCAGAAAGCACCACAAACTTTCTCTGTTAAAATCATTAACTAGCAGTGCAACAAAATGACTCACTTCTAATTGTGGAGAAGCAGCCAAATATGACCAAGATCATCATCTAGCAACCAATCCACAAACAACATTTCCAATATGCCAACATTTAAGAGCAAAAGGAACCAATCAACGTAACAAATTTCAATAGCACAATATCTAGCAAGCAGTGTTTGAGCACAGCAATTGACAGGAATCCAATAAAAAAAAATCACAAATGAAGCAAAAAGAATAAATATCCCCCTGACATACCTGGACATCTTCAACAACAATACGGTTAACACCATGCTCCATAGGACACATGTCCCCTCTGAGACAAAAGCCACGCTCCTCAAAATCTCTACAACGCTGTCTCGTAATGCGCATATTCAATGAAGAGTTTACTGCTGGTGCCAATGTTCCTTGCAATCCTATGGTATGAAGTGTGTCCAAGCCACCATTAGGAATTCCTGGAATCAATCCAAACCCGTTCCAAGATCCACTTTGTGGATTTGATATATTAGGCAAACCCCTCCCTGCAAAGAGACCAGAGGCAAGATCGGCTTGATTGAATCTAGGATCATGCTGACCCCAAGGAAGAGGGTCCCTTCCTCTTCCCCGAATGGAACCAGGATACCCAGAAAATAATTGATTTGGCCTGACCCTTTGGGGAAAAGAGCCTGGCCCAGGGCGTCTTTTTTCGAACTTTGTGGTGTAGTCTTGAGATTCATTTTCCCTGAAAGGATGGCCGTTGTCAAATAGTCTGTTTCTCTTCCTGAATGGCCTATTGGAAACCGGTTCTAACAAATCTCTCTGCATAGACTGAGATTGTGACTCCTTCCTACGATGCTTATGGTTGCGGTCATCATCGTCTTCATCACTTACTTCCTTTTCCTCTGGGTCACTAGCACAATCAGAAGTCGAAAGTCCAAGTCGCTTTAGTGATGAAACTCGGAGTTCCATTTAGAATCCCAAGACGTGCTGAGTGTAGCTTGGCAGATAGAATTTTTAACTTCACAGGATTTGGCAAAAGAAGAATTTTGACTGCCAGGGAATCTTCACCAATTCAGTAAATCTACAATCAGGAAACAATAACACAAGCAGAACCATCAATACTACGAAGCAAATACAATCTCTACAGAAAATCAGTCATCATTGACCCATATATCAGTCGGCAAAAGCATTAGAACATCAACTCAGAATACATTAAAATAGCTCATCTGTTTTTTTGCTTTGCTACCATCAAATACTATGGAAGCAAAAAACATTCTTTAAGCATCACTTAACATCTTAGATTGACGCACAACTCAAGTGATGAAGGTTGCAGTCTACAAGAAAAGAATCTCATAGAAACCGACACAGTCACGAATGGAGAAAAAAGTATGTGATGAATTTTATGGACAAATGAAACAGCAGCTGCTCGAAGTTATAGACAAGACAAACATGGATGAGAACACTCTCAAACAAAGGATTAAGATCGTCTATGAGGAGGGCGAAACTGGAAGACAAACCAAATCGCTGTTGCACTTTTCTGGCAGGAAACAGACGATAGTTCTATACATGCAAATCAAAGAGGCAATTAGGCAAAGCTACCGGCCGAACCACCCACTAGGCGGCTGGAAATCCGAGTCATTCATCAGCTTATCCAGGACGATGTTCAAGTCGACCGACTGCCCATTCTCTGTGAGTTTTCGAACCGCTTCACGAACATGATCCCTCGAAAACCCCATGGTCGCCACCTTGTCAATCACGTCATCAATTGGAACCCTGTTTCCGGAGCCTGAACCTGATCCAGCCCCACCAGCCGCTGACCTGGAGGGCGACCCCTGTGGCAGCACACGAGCAGTCGGAAGTTGAGGGTACCCAGTCCCACCACCACCATGTGGAGCCATAGAGACAGGTTGGAGTTGCAGCGGTTTCACCATCGTGCTGCCGCCTCCACTGTAAGGGTACATTTCCATGGATCCGGATTGAGGAGGATTGTACCCAGTAGAGGGAGGAGGAGTGCCGTAGTACTGCTGGGGCGGGAAGCGACCACCACCAGGTAGCTGAGATGGCGGTTGTCGTGGTGGATAGCTTTGAGAGGCGAGATAAGAGGCCTGGTCTGAGTGGTGGCCAGCTGGCTGTTGTGGTTGCTGTGGTATCTGGGGTTGTTGCTGCGGGTATTGTGGTGGAGCAGACTGATACAGTTGATGAGGGGGGGGAGCGGCAACAGGAGATGCTTGCTGTGGTGGGGCCCCCTGGTACTGTGGGTTTGGAGGTGGTTCGTGAGTGTGGCTAGCAGGCACATAATATGGATCTCGTTGAGGGACTGAAGGAGGGGGTGTGAATTGGTTTGGAAGTGGAGTGACAGGGGGCAGACTTTGCGGCTGAGGGAGAGGGACGGTTGGAGGAGGTGGACCGGGCACAGAAGGGAGTGATTGTGGGAAGCTTGTTAATTGAGAAGACGCATGTTGATGATGGGATTGCGGTGGAGCAGAGGCAGATGGTGCTTGTTGCTGCACAGCATTCGCAGCCTGGCCGGTGTTTTGTGGCTCTTGTTGATGCTGGTTGACATTAGAGACGTGAAGGTTTTGAAGGTGAAGCTGTGACTCAAGTAGTTCTTGCTTATCCTTAACAGCCTGCACCCCAGTTTGTACCTGCAACAAAAAGGATCGATTAGGATCGTATCAGGCACCAAATAAATAGTGATTTACAAAGATAGACAAGCAACTTGACTATGTGAGCAAGTGTCCAAACAAAAACAACTCACAAGAAAAACCCAGAGCAGGGACCTAAACCTTTCATAATGCAATGTGGCAAGACGAAGTAAACTACATCATAAGAACTCGTAAACAAACATAAGAAATTCAAGGCAATTAAAGCAAGAGGCAGCAATGATTTGCTAAGTGCGAGGACCAAGAGTACTCTATATGTGGGGTGAAGCCTACCTCTCGGAGGATATTCTCCAGCTGTCTCATCTTCCCATCAGTGCTTCCATGATTGTTCCCAACAGAAACCTTCAAATCATCCACAGAACTCTCGAGGTTACGAGTTCTGCTCTCCAACTGGATCAGTCTGGAACTTACACCTTCTAAAATGATCAGCATGTTATCTGTGTGTCTCTTCATAGTTCTGTCGATCTCATATAGTATCGCTGAATCAGAAACGGTTCGTTCCTTGTCCAATACGTCTTTGGATGGTTCCATCGAGTCAAGCGAGCCATAGTGCTGTCGACAAAACAATGTACCACAACATCAACAATGCAATACAGACAACATACTATCGAGACCGGAAACACACACGAAACTGTATTAGAAATGCACAACCAAGAACTCCTTTCCGCACATCTAATCAAACTAATACCTGATCCAACAGTTGGGATATATAGCTCAAGTCAGAAAGAAAGACAAGCATCAGATCTAACATGCAAGTAGAAAGGAATCACTCATCAAGCTTAACCCCGAAACGGAATGGAAATAACAAGTGAAAAAACTTTCTATTTCCAAGTCTACATTGAGGTTTTACTCTAGCTCAACGAAATCCACAAGAACAAAACACTTCAATTGCTGCTCTGAGACATAATCCACAGCCAAATCGTCACCAGCTAAAGCATAATAATAAATCATCGTAAAGAACTTCCTATCTAAACAATGAACCCTATCAATGTGTTCAACACTATTCCATTGTCAAACCAACATCGCGAGCCCAAATTCCAAATCAAACAATAGAACTAAACCAAAACTGAACTAAACCACAAAGAAGAGGGTTTGAATTTGAAGTACCCGGACAGGAGAATCGGCCACGGCAAAATTGACGGAACTGGACTTGCCGTCGACTGAATTCCAAGCCCTAGCACCAGCAGTGGAATCTCCTCCTCCTCCTCCTCCCAATCCTCCAGCAACGGGGCGAATCGGGTGGAAATCGTAGCTAGGAACCATGACGTCCTCCTTCCTGGTACCGTTCCCAGCGTAATTGGCGTGTTGATCGTGTTCGTCGTCCCGCGGATTATGATTCATCAGATCGATGAAGTCCTTACCGCCGTCGGTGGAGTGGTGGGTGGGGGATGATGATAAGCCTTGGGATTGGGGGGATGAGGTCAAATCCATAATCTGCTTGTCCATACACTGCGACGTATTCATCTGAGATAATCACGATGCCGAAGAGGAAGGGGAATCAAGAAAAGATTGTCATGGAATACACTTGTTGGGTAAGGCACTAAACAGGTCCCCAATAGGGAGGATACAAACAACAGTAATCATTGAATTACAGACATTTTGTATCAAAAAGTATGTGGATGCTTATGCAGGTAAGTTAGGCAGATAACAAGTTTAAATTCCTCTTCGAATGCAGCGAAATAAACAGGATACCAACAAATAAATTTGAACTCCATTTCAAAAGAGTGGGTTGAAAAAACTAATAATGACATGATATACTAATTGCATGAAGAAATATGTACAAAAAGCATGAAATACTAGTTCTGCTTGTGGGGGTGGGGGAATGGCCATACATAACAGCTAGTGCTCATATTCAACGTCATAACTTTAAAAAAACACAGCAAAGTACCAGAAATCGGAATGCAAACACCGTTGCATCCTCATATATCTCAGTTTGTGAACAAATTCCATATACATCGGACATGCATATGTTTCTGAAATGGATACAAAGCAAAAATAAGAAGGCCAAAATATGTTCTACTACATGTTAGCATCTTGTCAGACATAAAGGATTTCAATTTCAGGTAAACAACAACACAACCAAAAAAAATGACGACAGCATTTCGACATAACTGGTTTCAAGCTGACGATTTCTATTCACATTAATAAAAAGCATCAACTCGATCGTCCATGATTGCAACCAAACAAAATTGAACATATCGTCACAATAAAATAAAATAAAAAGCTAAACACACATGGCAACTTCCAGTCACTTAAAGCCACGTGTTGTAACAAGACGTTGCGGATGCTTGATCTCAAACACACATACCTATCACGCCCGGGCAGATACTAGGTGAGCAAAGTGCATTAAAAGGATAACGAACGTCACCACTTCAATAAACACAGAAACAAAGTACTCTTGATTTGGAACGGATAGTTCTTAGGCCAACTAGACTCCACATTTGCAATGCACTCTAAAATGGTAATCTGAGATTCTACAGCCCAGCACACATCAATAAGACTACACCACCAACTCCCCTAACTTCAACCGAAACCAAATGTACTAACCTAGTTCTGCAACAAACGCAAACTGAATTTCACTCTGCACAAACTGATTTCGCCCAGACAGGACTCACACGGTGACCTAACGATACTCAGCCAGTAAACCACTCATTTCCAGCACAGGATTCGCCCAGACCAGAAGCCAGTGAAGGGGAGGAAAACCACATTCGCGAAGCAATTCAGTAAAACCCTAATCAAAGGAGACGAACCAACCAACGAAAGACAGGCACGAGCATAATGGTTGGAATTCAAGCCCTCCGGACAAATCAAATTCAGCCTGAATGAATTCAATTACAAATCACCATCCGGAACACATAGAGAAATCGCTCACATACATCCCGCAACCGAAAACAACAGAAAACTCTACACGGATTGGCAGTTGGGGAGAGAGAGACAGGCCGTTTTAACTAAAGCAGGTGTATCGACTTACAGAATCGGGAGCGAAAGAGGAACCGCGGCGTTTGCTCGCCGAGTAGCTGGGAATTGGTATCAGTCCGCCGCGGCGACGTAAATAGGGCGGCGACGGGAGGGCATTTCGGGGATGGGAATGAGTTTTGGCAAGTTGCAGGGAGAAAATAGGGCAGGATCGTAAATAAGTGGCTGGAGGGATTGTGGAGCGAGGGAGCTCCGAGGGGAATTTGGGAGGGAAGGGTTTTGGGGGCAGTGAGGATTTGTTTGCCGTGTATTTTTGGGGAAGAAGGCTTTCTTGTGTGGGAGGGGAAGAAAGAGACCTGTGAGAATTACAACAAACAACAGCTACAAAGGAGAGAAAGGCAAAATGATCACAGAACTGAACAACACAAAGAAGGGATGGGGAAGGAGTGGACTGAAAAGGCCAAAATAAAATAATGTGAGGATGAAAACGAGAGCAACAACAATTATTTCTTCTTAGTACAGTACAGTTTCCTTCCTCTTTCAGCCTAATTTCAAATTACTACGAGTACTAATGCATTTTTTGCATGTATTCTTGGCTCCAATCGATCTAGATCATTTTTCTTAAATGTAATTGTAGATTTATGGTTGAATAAAGTCCCTCAATGAGCATATACATTTATTGTTCTCCTTACTAACTTCAATAATCTGTAACTATTGAAGTTATATTCTGTATGTTCTTAGAAAATACTGATGCTATAATAACAAGAAGAAAAACATACCGAATCGACGACTTTTACATATTGCATACATAATTTGATGGAAGTTAAGCAACCGAATGAGCCTTAATATCAAGATGATAGGAATAATTAAGTTAACTCGATTTGACACACAATCAGCAAATTTGACGAGCTAATTAAACCACCACAATCAGCAAATTTGACGAGCACAGGAGGAGATAATTGACATCCGAGCTAGCTAATTAAACCACCAAAAACTTCAACGATGGCCCAAAGCTTGGCGGATGACATCTGAATCAGTTATCATATCATAGACACATGAATCAAACATGGAAATGGGTAGACTTTCAAGAGAACCAAACAGGGGAGCAAGTAAATCTTTGTGGAGAAGGAAATCTTTCATGGAGGCAATATGTTCTGTTCCTACACAAGGCAAAGTTGGAAGAGGACTAACCTCAAGTAGAGGAGATCGTCGATGCTGCTGGGGAGCGGGAAGGCCGGCTGTTTCGACACTGCTGGAGGAGAGGATTCGTCCGATGGAGAGGCTCGAACGAATCGTCGGGTGGAGGAGGAATGAAGGATAGAAGGTTTTCGATTCTCTGTGTCAATCCCCGCGGATTAGCCGCCGTCAAACCCCACAGCAGATTCGTCGGTGTCAATCCCCCACCGGTGAATCCCTCGCTCTAGATCTGCATGCCTCCACGAATACGGAGAATCATGAGGGTCGCCTCTGTTAATCTGGACGGACTCCCTCCTTCTCCTGTATCTCTGCAGAGAGAGAGAGAGAGAGAGAGAGAGAGAGAGTTGGAATGAGATGGGGGATGAAGGGATTTGTGTCCTGAATTTTTGCAGATAGAGAGGGACAAAGCGGAGGAGAGAAAGAGGTGAAATCTGGTTGTGGGGTGAGCAAAACGGATTTAGGGATTTTGAGTTTTTGACTTTAGAGACAGAACTCGACAATCGAGAGAGATGTACAACGAAGGAAGATGAACTCCCACCGCAACAAATTTATTGGGCCGTTTGGAAACTTTTCATAGTAGAGGCGCAAGAGTGCTTTACCCCCAATAAGTTATGGATCGGCGTCGTTTCGCTGTCAAATTCCTAGAGTTGAAAACCTTCGTCTGCTTCAGCGGGCCTCCCTCTTAAAAAGTCTCACTGACCCTTGTGCCGTCGGCGAAGAAATGAAAGCGTGGCCGCCGTTGAAGAAGAACAACAACAACAGCAGATGGCGAACGTCAGAAAATTTCTCAATCCAATCAAGCAATCGATCTCCTTGTTCAGCTCTCGTCAAAGTTCTCCAATCTCCCAATCCAGGCAGCTAGGTCAGTTCTCCTTTTCACCCGCTTCTTCCTTTGAAACCCCAATAAAATCCGTCGCCGCGCTCTGCCTTGTTTGTGAGACGATTCATCGCCGATTGCTTCCTTTAGTTCATCGCGAATTCAAGTCTATGACGACATTGATAAAGCGACTCCAGCCTTCAGTAACACAGTACAACAAGTTCTTACCGCTACGAACATTTGGTACTCTTAACACAACAGGTGAACACTAAATCCTCCACTCAATGCTTCAATTCCGCGCTTCTGCTAGTTAGTTGAATCCTTGAACACGAAATTTTGGTTTCAGTGAGGAGAGCGAGTCTAGCAATAGGCATAGTCGGTGGTGCTTCGATTGTAATCGGCTCTGTTACCTGTTCTCCTACGGTTGCATACGCGATGGATGGTAAGATTTGGTCTGCTTACCCTAATGCACAATTTCACATGAAGCATATGTCTGTGTACAGTTGACATTGTGTGTTTTTGGTAGGTGTAGACATTTTGATGGATGATGATAGAGAGCCCTTTGATGCCTCCGATAGGGATGAGTTTGCACACGCTGCTTGGATGGTGATTCGGAAGCTATGGCTGCCAGCTTTCTTCTTCCTTACCATAGTATCGAACTGGAATCACCCGATCGTGCTTCTCACCAAGGGCGTGTTGCTTCTCCTTGCCACGAGGCCCAGCCCCTTGACGGTCTACCTTTTCGTTGAACAGGTTTGCAAGCATTCATAATTTCTTTGCTACTGTTGTTGTGTTAGTTTGCATAGTTAAGAACAGAAGTTGCAGTCAATAGAATGCACACAATTTGGCCTTTTAAATTGGAATCAGCTCTTGATGGAAAGTTGAAATTGGTTGCAGCTGTGTAACCAGTCCAAGCTCCAAGAACCTCGCTCCTTTTGGGCAAAGGTACGTTATGGACCATGCTGATATTTCTTGTTCAATTACTTTAGTAACCTAATCGAGTTGACCAGTTTAAGTAGTTTGTTGCTCTTAAGGGTTTCAATCATTTAGATGATATTTAGATGGCTGATGTTATGAACCAGCTAGAGTTTACTTCTGGAGGTTGTTCATCCGGAGGTTTCAGGAAATGAGGATAGCACCTTAAATCTCTTCCATATATTACTGTTAAGCTGGTGTTTAACAGCCAATGGGTGTTGATATATGTGCATTAATCTGGGGATGAGAGTTTCATATCATATTGGATGTAGTGTGGTTTATGGAAGATGCACCTGTAATGTCTGCGAATTCCTCTGCAGTGGCTTGTCTACTTCCAACTCCTTAATCTAGCCATTCAATCCTTATTAGCATTCTTTCTTTGCAATCAAGTGTCTGCATATGTCTTTGTGTTTGATTAAGAGTTACTTGCACCTCAAAGAAAACAATAGTGGCTTTCACCGACTGATCAAGTTGTAAACTGTCAACAGTCCTTGTACGCGAAAAAGGTTGAAGTCCAAGACTACAAGTTCCTGTGTATTGCCACAGTAGAAGTAAGGGACAGAAGGTTCACTCTGGTGGGAATCCTTGGAGGCTGGTGGGTTTTGCCATTGTCGACAGAAGCATTTTCAAGTTTTTGGGAGAGTGCACTATACTAATTACAAGGCACAGAATTTAGGTAAACACTCTCTATATATTAGAAATCTATATCCGATCTGCAACCATTTCATCTTTACATTAATCAATCCCAGAACATTATACAATAACAGACAGCTTTCCTTCTTTTAGCGGTCAAGCATGTTGCATTCCTGAGTTTATCATGATTCTGTTCTTGCTAAGAAGACTGTTGATACTTCCATAGCTTTTAACATCATGGATTGATGCTTTCGCCGTTAATTTGATTGAAGCAGGCGGTAATCTTCATCACCATCGACATCTTGATCAGCTTTTGAGTCTGACTTGCTGGTCGGAGGGAAGTAGATGAAGGTGACAGGGAGAGAACAGACGACGATCACGATCCCCATGAGAGAAATGCTGGTTTGTGTCGTGAATCTGGACCCGGAAAACAGCAGGAGTTGAGTCAACACGGCGCCGACCGTCCCTCCGCTGCCGGTCATTCCTGCTATCACCCCCATGGACCTGCAGCCACCGCCGAACAGGTAGAAAAACGCCAACTTTGTAAACGCATTGTTTGTGGTTCGAACTTTCGTGACGTGGGCTAGATGCTAATGAAATAATTCAGACTACTATTGGGTGGGCCTATGTGAATTTCAGAAACTTGATGGGCCGGCTTCTTTATGGCTCAACAACCTGGATACGTCATCACTCATCATCAAACCTGCATGCGTGATACGTGGCACGAACGCCCACCATGCAATACAAGGCGACAACTACGTGTACCAAGGATCAACTTCAACCGCAGAAAAAAAGCAACAAACCACCGCAGTAAAAAAGTTGAACAGTCAGCAACTTATCAAAGTCCTTCCTCTTTTTACCTCTTGGAGACGAAAGGCACGACGCCGAACACGAGCCCGGAGGCAGCCTGAACCGCGACGGAAAACGCGCACATAACCGCCACCGATCCCCACAGCGTCGCCGCCCTCCCCAGCTCAAAGCAAATCCCTCCCGCCGCCGTCAGCGCGGCCCACAAGGCCCAAACCCTCCCTCTCTCACCAAACCTCTTCCCCATAGCATCCGACGCCACTCCGCCCATCGGCCGGGCGAAAAAATTCGTCAGTGAAAATGCCGCCGCGATTGTACCCGCCGCCCGAAGATCCAACCCGAACCGATCGTAGAAGTAACCCGCCACCACGTTGTCCGTCGTCAGCTCCGAACCGAAAGAACACGCGTACGCCAATCCCAAAATCCAACCTCTGTAATCCCCCAGCCCGTCCCTCACCACAACGTCCCAAAACGTCCCCGTTTCAGTTTCCAATTTTGCCGATTCCGTCGTCAATGCACGGTCACGGCCGTAGACAAGGACGAGCGCCGCCATGACGAGCTGGAAGATTCCGGGGATTAAGAAGGAGAGCCGCCACGCGGCGGAGGAGGAGAGTTTCAGGGAGAGAAGGGAGTGGATCTGTGGCATGAGGAACTGGGCGGCGGCGGCGCCGGTGTTTGCCCAGCCGGCGGAGACGCCGTTGGCGAGGCCGACGACGGAGGGAGAGAAGATGGAGGTCATCCAATACTGATTCGCGACGAAGTTGCCGAGGGAGAGGCCGACGAGGAGCCGGACGACGAGGAAGGAGGCCGGGGAGGAGACGAAGGCGGCGGAGAGAATGGCGGGCGCGGTGAGGAAGGATAAAGAGGCGGAAGCGGTGGCTGGGCCGAGGAGGTGGGATAAGGGCCCCATGGCGAAGCGGGAGAGGATGGAGCCGGCGAAGGAGGCGGTGGCGGCGGCGGAGACGTCGGAGGGGGAGAGAGCGAGGTCGGCGCGGATTAAGGGGATGAGAGGGGGGATGGAGAAGGTGGAGACGAAGTTGGAGAAGAGGGATAGCCATGCGAGGTGGAAGGCTCGGATCTGCGGGGTTGAGATGGAGAAAGGGTGGAATTCGGCGGATTTTCCTTCCTTGTCGGTGGCGCCGGCGGCCGGAAGGGAGGAGGTGGTGGAGGTTGGTTCTTCCATGAGTACTAATGGGGAAAGAGTGAAGGAAGTGGGAGACGGGAGAGATGTGAAGGAGAAAAGAAAGCAACGATGTTCAATGCTAATCACACCATTTCGATCGGACATTTTTACCTGACCTGTGGGTAACTTTTACATCTTTGGTGGGACGTGGTGAGAATGGGTACTAATTTTGATTTGTCATGTATCATTCATGACTTGTTTTCATGTAATTTTAGTGAAGATTTACTTGTTCTATCTCATGTTTTAGCTATAATAAAATTAGAAATAAATGAAAATTTCAATTTCTCGATTAATTTAATTACATTTATAATATTATTAGAAAATATCAATGTTTCTAATATATTTTCTTTAAATTATATACTTATATAAATAGACTTACGTACTTTGACCCGTAATATATAACAAATTACTCTGCCTAAATCTAACATTGAAATAAATATGAGTTTCGAGATACCCGACCATCACCCATTGCCATTCATAATCAAGAGGCAGAAAATGATCATGGAAGAGTGTGTCCTACTCCTACATGCATGCAATTCTCGAGATTTGAAGTTTTACCTACTCACACGTACACATCAAAGCATCTAATATAGTCCACTCGTGAGAGTTTGTACAATAGAGATGCCAGGAGTTTCCTCTTTTGCACTCCATGCTCAAGTCAGTTCTAGTTTTTATTTTCTATATAGTTTTTCTAATGTTCACACCAAATTTACTTTAGACTTTAGAGTGGTCTTATTTAGGGTGGAGTCTTTTGTGCAGAAGGTATAAAGAAAAAGATTCCTACAAATATAAAGGGGTTGACGTAGTGGTAATGTGGGATGTGAGAACATTCACTAGATTATAAGTTTGAATCTTGAGACCTACAATTGAATTAGAGAAAATGCGCGTTTGATATGATTATAATCCTCATTCTTTCTAGTTTGGGTCCATATGAATGAACCAAAATCGACCGACATCCGCAATTACGTTTCTTTGTATATGAAAAAGCCTCGTTGGTTTAATATGAAAGTCCTATATTCGAATCGCAGCGATGACTACGCTAGCTCCTTCTAAAATAGAATTTCGTAATCGAAGTATAGTTTTATCTTGTTTGTTTTGCACTAGGTTTGAAATGTATCAACAAGTACTTACGTAACTAAAACGGTGACCACATGGATCAATTTTGTGATTAAGCACGCCAAGAGCTCATAGTAGTAATCCATAGTTCCATGCTTTCTGCCAGTCCTTGAAGCCCAGCTGAATACTTTCGTCGTTCAATTTCTTGATGGCCACGGGCTTATTACAAGGCGCTAATCTGTTACTATTTTTTTTTCCCTCTCTGTTGATTTAAATCCGTTGCTGTCTATTACTGGAATTCCTGAAAATGATCGATTTGGGACTGGATTCCGACGTGTACGACGTTTGAAGAATGGGATTTGATAGATTTGGGAGAAGAAAGTAAAGCTTGGTGGGAAATGGGAATGGGGGGACAATGGTTTGGATTATATATTTATGATGCGGCCCTACATGCTGCTATTTATTATTTTTTACTCCAATTCCATTTACGTGTGTGAACGGATCAAGGTTGTCAACCCGCGGGTCGACCTGCGGGTTAACCCACTTTAATCCTGACCCAGTGAGAAGAACGGGCCGCACACACTCATCGGGCCGACCGCTACAAGGTATCGGGTTAGAGGTCAAATTGTGTCATTTTTTTCTTTGATTTGCGAAATGCGCCTATTTTCCGATTTTTCTTTTTGCCTAACTCTATCTTTGGAATCCTAAGTTAAACATTTGAATATATATGTTATATAAGTGTGTGTAAATTTTCAATATATGTTGGATCTAAGTACGACATGTTATTTTGGTGGAATATTATATGCTATAACTCATATATTAGATGAGATTTGATATAATTTATCAGGATAAGTACAATACAATGACTATTTCCATATTTTTCGGGCTAAACCGGACTAAATCGAGTGACACATTAACCCTTGACCCACTAGTTCCACCGAGTCTGGGTCAACCCGCGGTTGACAACCTTGGAACGGATTGTGTAAAACTCAAATGATGCGAACCGGCAATTTGAATTCCATTTTGACTTGGTGTACTACTCCGCTCGTTGGGAATGCTACTCAACAAAGCTCTTGGGCTCAATAAAACCATCCGGTCGTAGGTTTTCGCTCTGCGCGCAGTCGCCTGTCCGTTTTCTTCAAAGCCCATGACTTCTTTTTTCTTGTTTCAGTCATCAGCATATGCTTGCCGCCTTCTTTGTCGGTCCCTATTTCTGCTGCGTCTGCGTGTAAACATCCCTTTTTTGGAAGCTCCGAAGAATATATAGAACCTCACCCAACAAGGGAATATGCGGGGAGGAGTGGGACGATGGTGGCAACACGTACGTACGATTTTGAGCAAATCCCAACAAGTAAACATGGCGAATTTCGCTAAGTCCTGTACGTGTTCGCGCATAGCAGTATTAGGGTGTTTTAATAATAAATTTTAAATACACGTCTTCAACCACCATTGTCTTATTCAATTCCTCAGGTAAAGACATTAGTCATATAATATTTAGGTGATTAAATAATAAATAAATACAAGTCTGATCTTCACAACAAATTCATAAAAAATGTAGTCAATCAAAACATACAAAATATTAATTTTCCAAAGCCAGGTTCAGGTTAGCCGAGTACAAAGCGAAGCCCACCAGCAAAGCAAAAAAGCAGCACAGCGAAAGCCTTTAACTCGTCGCCTTTGGCTCTTTCGTATCTCCATCACCTCCAAGAACAAGAACAACCATGGGGAACTGCCTGGCCTCATGGTTCTCTTGCTTCCACTCTTCCAACATCACCCCCACCACCGCCGCCCAGCCGACCGGCGACGGAATCGGAGCCGGGAACGGCCCCCTTTGTCCGCCGGTGGCCGGCGGGCGAATTCTGGAGTCCCCGAGCTTGAAGGTGTTCACCTTCAGCGATATCAAGTCGGCGACCGGGAACTTCGGACCCGGCGTCCTGCTCGGCGGAGGCGGGTCCGGCGAGATCTACAGAGGATGGGTGGACGAGACAACGCTAGCACCTTGTACGCCGGGGACAGGTGTCGCCGTCGCCATCAAGAAATTGATCAACAAAAAAAGTATGCAGGGCGTCAAAGAGTGGCAGGTTACTACTTAACTATTTTATTAGAATTTCTACAGTTTTCTGATGACGGGATTAAATGATTCATTTATTATGAATATTAGATAATTATACTCATATAATCAATTATAAATAAGTTTTGATTGCTCGAGAATGCAATTTGATAGCTTAGGCAGAAAGTAAAGCTTGGTGGGAAATGGGAATGGTTGTGATGGGCGCCACATGCTATTATTTTACTCCCAGCTTTGAATTGACGGGCTCATAAACGTGAAAAAAAAAAAGTTATGGATGAAAAATGTTTGTAGCTAGTGCGATAAGATTATTTTACTCCCAGCTTTGAATCTCCTCAACGATGTGCTTGTGTTCCTTTTCTGATAGCGCCCTTATCATCCATTAAACACCCTAACCAAAGGTCGAGCAACTCCAAAAGTTTTTTTTTTATCAAAGGGGTTCTTCACCATAAAAAAAAGGTTGTAGAGCTATTTTCACCAATAAGGTTAATCACTCAATTCTTTTTTGTTGTTGTCTTTTTAGAGAAAGTAATTAATTTAACATAGTAATTAATCATTAGTTTCTGCTAGATTGTATGTCCAAATAATCTAGCTTAGATTGATCACTCATCTAATAACTAATGGAAATAAAGTCAACGATAAGTTGGTATGACAAAGATAAGTTTGAACTTGGAGGGCCGATCGGAGTTGGGAAGAATTCAGATTTTGTTTGAGTCGGCCCAATCCTCTAAACTAACTAGAAGGCATTCGATAGAATCGCAAGAGGTTGGCTTAATTGTAATATGGATGCAATAACATTCATTAAATTCTAGATTCAAATTTTGTGGCCAATTATTTTTCTTATAAAAGAAATTAGAATTTATATTATAGATGATTTGAGTAAAGTACCACCGTATAGGCGGTATAGCTAATATGGAGAGGATATTAAATATAAATGAAAGGGATAGACAATTACGTTAACTAGTCCAAATATTCGATAGTTATTTCATAAACTCACAAACTTGAGTGCACTAGTTGTTAACTTGTTATTGACACAAAAGTTTCATTCTTCTATTATTCATGAGTACGTACTATGTGGATTTCTTTCCTTTTCGAGTCCATTGTTTTGACATTTATTCTTCGTCTCTTCTTTTTTTGGTTGTAAAATGCAGTCAAAGCTGAACTTTTTGGGCAGGCTATCGCATCCAAACTTGGTCAAGTTGCTGGGATACTGTTGGGAGGATAAACAGCTTTATCTAGTGTATGAATTCGTCCAGAAGGGAAGCTTGAAGAATCACCTCTTCAGAAGTAAGGGGGGAAACTAGAACAACACATATAACAAGATTGATCATAAAATTTGAGGCACATGCCATAATGTTGTTGCAATTTTCTGGCTTTATTGTAGAGAATGCTACGGATAAGCCACTGCCTTGGGACCTAAGACTCAAGGTAGCTACTGGAGCAGCTCGTGCCCTAGCTTTCTTACACACATCCGATGAGCAGGTCATCTTCCACGATTTCAAGACCTCCGGTATTCTACTTGATGATGTTAGTTCTTCACTCTATCGACCCAGTTCCCACTCGTTCTTTTGATTTGTCCTTTCAGCCATCCATTCTCATAACATTGCTAATTTACATATATCAAAACTTCAAACTTTCAGAATTACAATTCTAAGATTTATGATATTGAGATGGTGAAGTTACACCCCGCTGATGGTGAACCGCGTGGGACGGGCGATGTCATGGGAACATGTGGTTACGTTGCTCCGGAGTACGCTGCAACAGGTACACTGTAACAAGTATATGAATCATACGTGCATTTCTATGTACTTGTCTCCAATGAACGATACATACCACGAAGTAGTGCTTTGCTAACTGAACGTACATCATCCGTGATGTTTTAGGTTATTTGTACGCAAAGAGCGACGTATACAGCTTCGGAGTGATACTGCTGGAGCTAATGACGGGATTGGGAGCCGTGGACTCGAAACGGCCGGACGGGCAGCATAACCTAGTCGATTGGCTGAGACCGACCCTGTCGCGGACGAGGCCGACCCTATTGCGAAAGAGAAGGCTAAAGAACATCATGGATGCTAGAATGGAAGGGCAATACTCGTCCAAGGCTATGCTGCATGCAGCACGGGTTGCACTCAAGTGCCTCGAACCAGACCGTAAAGCCCGCCCTTCCATGAAAGAAGTAGTGGAGGATTTGGTAAAGATACAGGCGATCAAGGACAAACCAATGCTTCCGAGAAGAGGTTCCGGTTCCGGTCCGAACCCTAAACGGGTAGTTACGTGATGGATTAGAAGGGTTGTAAGCTTTTAAGTTTATTTATCCTATTCTCTTTTTCCTTCTGCCTACTCTGTTTGTTTCCTCCTGGAATCTGGAATCTGGATGATACTTTTTGGGGTGTTAACCTCTAGTGATATTCCCTCTGTGAGCACACTCTCATTCCAAATGTGACATTTATCAATAAAAAAATTATATGAAACCAACTAATTAACCTTCACATCCAAATAGAGTGTAATGGGTACCCAGCTAAGGAAAACTGGTTTAGCTCTTAGGAGATTTCTAATGTGGGTCCCACCTGCTATTTAAATATACCAAACACTTTACAATTGAAGAGATGGTCTAACTAAGACCATCAACAACCATGAAATAGCATAACTATTTCATTTGTGGCCACTACCGCCACATGTACACATTTTACAATTTCATTTCTTCACTTCTATTTTTTCTACATCCATGAAATCCACTTTCAATTTCATATGGTGGGCCCTATTCACATTTATAATACAACAAATAATTTGTATACTCTCTAACCAATTGAAGTGGGCCCACTTTGCCTCTTCCATATTGAATTTCATCTAATGAAATCTTTCAAAGATGAAATAACAAGCTACAACCATGAAATTGGTAATGGAATTGCCATGTCATAATGAAATGGGGAAAAGACACCCATTGTGGATGCTCTAAGAAAATAAAAAATAAAGCGATTACACATGTGAAATGGCTAGAGTACTTTCCAAATTAGAAATCTTGCTAAATAGCAATAACTCCTCCATCAGCTAATAATTGCTACAATTTTGCCTCCACTTCACTTTAACAATTACTAAAAATTAGGAATGAAGATGGTCTAACCCTTTTATAAATACTTCTAAACCACCTGCAAGCATTAGTGTAATTTTGATCCACATGCATACTTTTCTTGTATCCTTTGATTAGTCAAAGCAAACCAAGTAACAAACAATAAAGCATTGAATTTCATAAGGAAAAAACAAAAAATAAGAAATATCGTGGAAAAAGCACCAAAACAAAGAAAAATAAATCAGTAAATAAGTTTATAGAAAATAATTAATTTATGACTAAAAAGTCATCCAGCCTGTGGAGCTTTGTACAAACTACAAAGCTAAAGCCCACTAGCAAGCAACTAGCATACTGAAGGGAGTCTGATTTCCAGCAAATTAGAAAGGGGGGAAAAAAAGTCGTCGTCGTCCTGGTATCTCCACCTCCAACAACAGGAAACCATGGGGAATTGCCTGACCTCATGGTTCTCTTGCTTCCACTCTTCCAACATCACCCCCACCACTTTCACCTCCTCCGATGCCAATTACTCTTCCTCCACACCCCAACCCACCACCACCGCCACCAGTACGGAAGCGGCCGGAAGCCAGTTGTTATCCGGCACCACTGCCTCCACCGGCGACGAGAGCGACCCCCTCCCGCCGCCGGTCGAGGGCGGCCGGATTCTGGAGTCCCCGAGGTTGAAGGAGTTCGCCTTCAGCGATCTGAAGTCGGCGACCAAGAACTTCAAATCCGACACACTGCTCGGGGAAGGCGGGTTCGGGAAGGTCTACAGAGGATGGGTCGACGAGAGGACTCTGGCGCCGTGTAAGCCCGGGACTGGCATCGCCGTCGCCATCAAGAAATTGAACGACGAAAGTGTACAGGGCTTCGAGGAGTGGCAGGTACTACTCTACTTACAAGTTACAGCTAATTTTACTAATTCCTTCTTCCTCTACTGATTTCGATCTGTCAGTGATTATTACTGGAATTTCATCATCGATGATCATTCTGTTATGGTTTTCATGTTTGAGAATGGAATTTTCTACCAAAAAAAAAAAAAAAAAAAAGAGAATGGAATTTGGTAGATTAGGCCGGAAGTAAAGCTTGATGTGAAATTATGACAAAAAAAAAAAAAACTTGGTGTGAAATGGGGAATGGGTTCAACGATTGGGATATATGATGGGGGCCTACATGCTATTATTTGTTTACCAAGCCGTGTGTGGACGGCTACATAGTACATACACATTTTTGCCATTTGTGACAAGACTAGGGCTATTAATGAGCCGAGTCGAGCTTTGTCATAATTCGGGTTCGGCTCGTCAATATATTTCCAAGTTCGAGCTCAGCTCGTGTTCGTCACGAGTTTTAATATGCAAGCTCGAGCTCGGCTTGTTTATGAAAAGGAAAGCTCGAGCTCGATTCAAGCTCGGCTCGTTAAATAAGGTTAACGAGCCCAAAATCGAGTTAAGCTCATAAAATGTTCATAATAACTCAAGATTGACCTAGAAATGGGCACAAAATTACATTCAAACATGTAGTAGTCTAGCAAAATAAAACACAATATTTATCCCAATTTCAATACATAAAATCCATGAATTCTGATCCTTTCTTATGCCAAAATGTTAAATGAGCTTGTTCGCGAGCTTTCGAGGTGAACATGGTATGGCTCGAGTTCGGCTCGTTTAGTTAACGAGCTTGTTCGCGAACCGGCTTGATTAAAACGAATCGAGTTTTTTTCGAGTCGGACGCCGAGCTGTTCATGAGCGGCTTGGTTCATTAACAGCCCTAGACAAGACAGAGATTTATGGAGTTTAATTACAGAAAGGGTCATGAACTTTAGGAGTACTAATAGGTCAATCACTCAATTTCTTATGTTGTTAGAGAATTTGTCAATTAAAGTTTTTTTTTTATATAAAGATGATAGAAGTTAACTTTTTGATTCGGTTTATACTAATTGAGGTAATACTCCGTCACTTTATTTTTCTGTTCAAATTATTTAGATATGATTGTTAACTCATCCAAATTACTAATGAAGACCAAGTCAAATGTAAGTTGAAATGTGGAGACGGTCAAGTTGGAGTTGGGTAGATATCACGTCTAGTTTGAATTACCTTAGAAGGTAAATTTGAAATTTTGAAGTTGGACTAATAATAATTTAAGAATGACGACATCATTTAACAACCTAGATTTGAATTTTGAGATCAACTATCATCTTTATAAAAAAAAATAGTAAGTATATTTAACAAATTAGCAATCCAATGAGGCATCACTAGATAGCTAATAATATGTACAGAGGACCTAAACAAGATGTACTACCAAAAAAAAAAAAACAATTACATTAATAATCTAAATTTCAATTATTATCTAGTAAAGAATTAAAGTCGGAAGACCAATATGTTACTATTTACTAACCTAATAGTTTAATTCATGTTTATTATCCATAAGCATATTATTGATTCTTTCTTCCTTTTTGTTTCATTTACAATTTTCTTTGTTTTCTTAATGTCACTTCTTTCTTGGATTGTAATGCAGTCAGAGATCAATTTTTTAGGAAGGCTATCGCATCCAAACTTGGTTAAGCTGTTGGGATACTGTTGGGAGGATAAAGAACTGCTTCTCGTCTATGAATTCGTCCAAAAGGGAAGCTTGGAGAATCATCTCTTCCGAAGTAAGGGGGAAACGCTATATACTAACTTGGTTGATCATAAACTGAAGACACATTTTCTCTCTAACACTTTCTCGCCTATTGAAGGGAATGCTATGGTTGAGCCACTACCTTGGGATCTTAGACTCAGAATAGCCATTGGAGCAGCTCGCGGCCTAGCATTCTTACACGCATCCGATAAGCAGGTCATCTACCGCGACTTCAAGGCCTCCAATATACTGCTTGACATGGTTCGTCTTTGACTTGGTCGATCCAGTTCCTTTATTCAGTTTAATTCTCTTAACACTGCTGATATCCTCAAAATTCAATTTCCAGAGCTACAATGCAAAAATTTCAGATTTCGGGTTGGCGAAGGTAGGCCCTGCAGGTGGTGCATCTCACGTGACGACAAGAATCATGGGAACATACGGTTATGTTGCCCCTGAGTACATTGCCACAGGTACATTATAACAAGTATGAATCATCAGTCCGAATCCTCTGTCTATGCTGAACGATGACTGTTACGAAGTAGTGTTTGTTAAACCTTTGGCTACTCAATATGTTTTAGGTCATTTGTACGTGAAGAGCGATGTGTACGGTTTTGGAGTGGTGTTGTTGGAGTTAATGACAGGGCTGAGAGCTATGGACAAGCACCGACCTAACGGGCGGCAGAACCTAGTGGATTGGCTGAGACCGACCCTATCGCAAAAGAGGAAGATGAAGAACATCATGGATGCTAGAATGGAAGGGCAATACTCGTCCAAGGCAATGTTGCAAGCTGCACAGGTTACACTCAAATGCCTCGAACCAGACCCCAAATCCCGCCCTTCCATGAAAGAGGTAGTGGATGATTTGGTGAAGATACAGGCGATCAAGGACAATCCAATGCCCTCTAAAAGGGGATCTGGTTCAGGCTCAGGCTCAGGTTCGGGTTCGAATCGTTCAACCAGTACTCATTGCCTCGGCGGCAGACCAGCGTTGAATCAGCATTATCATACCCCTCTGCAATAATAGGGGTGTCTGATGAATGGTACAAGTTTGATAAATAGAGTTGTGTTTGTTTGTACAAATTTGTTTGTTATTATTCTTGACGGGAGCTATGTTGTATCAGTTATGATATATATTTCTTGACGGAAAATGATTTATCATATAGATGCTCATTGATCTTGCAGTTATGGTTTCTTGCTGCTTATTCTTGGAACTTTTCATTTTGGGAAGAATTCTGACTTATGACTTATGAGTGAGTTCGTTTTTCTAATAATTGTTCTACCGCGACTAAGTGGAATAGAAAACTATGTTCCATTGGGTAAATCAAAACATGATACTTATTCAGCTAATATGAAAAGGAAAAGAACAACTGGAAACGTGCAGGGCAAGAAAAGATAATACGAAGAAGTCTGGTTGAACTAACCTCATTTATGCTTCAACGATTGAGATAGAGAGAGGAAGCATCACAGGAATGAGAACACGCTCTGGAACCCCATGAACGAATCTGCTTGTCCCGTCTGCACCGGCATTGCCAGACCACAACGCTGGCGTTTCGATCCACTGCTCGGAGACCATTCCTTCTGCTGCTCTTTCCTCTTGCTCCCACTGTTGCTATTGCTACCCTTCATCATGGAAATATCAAACGATAACATTTCTCCACGAGGTGGACGATCTACTTTAGAGACTGGCAGACTCTTCGAAGGCAGACTCAGACCGGTAAATTTCCTGCCGGGACTTGGAGAGAATGCGTCCACTTTTACCTTCTGCCCTCCAGGATGGGAATCCGAAATGACAACGTCACCCTTTCGGAAGCATTCTGGTCTCGGTCCAACCTCGGGTGGTTCAGAAACCGGTTCCAGAGACGGTTCATTCATCCAGCGCAGGGTTGAAGTCAGAAACGGGAACTCCTCAGCTTTCCTCCTTATGTGATCGAATATTGCTTCCCCGTACAGAGCTTTCTCGGGTTCGGGAGCAATGCCACCACCGCTAGCACCTTCCCTGTCTTCGACAAAACTTCTTACACCTTCAATGGCGGAACTATGGCTGTTGAGAATAATATCTTCACCTTCTTGTTCTAACCAGCTGGGGTCTATGGTAAGATCCATGATAGAGTGTTCTTTAGCATCCAGCCTTCTGCCGAGCTCGAGTTCAGTTTCGTTAAGGCCCCTTTGTTGTTCTTCACTTTGGAGAAGAAAGGCTTCTGAAGTGTTAATGATAGGAAAGTTCTTGGCCTTTTCACGTATGTGGTCGAATATTGTTCTTCCTGACAAGGTGTGGTTGGACTTGTCGTTCTGGATTTCAACGACTGGTTCATCTTCTGCAGTTGGAGAGTAGAACAGAAATGGTTAATGAAGAAATTAGAACAATACAAAAAAAATCATGATGACGTGTAAATGGTTTTCTGTACAGCCTATCGTACCATCTTCGATATCTTCTTCTATTAGCTTGAAACTGGGCCTGATGTACAGGAAGAAGCAGAGTACTAGTCAGCGCATTATCAAAGATAGGCCAAAACAATGCCACGACAGATATTGTTGCAGAACACATTGCTCACATTGAATTGTCTTCAGCTGCTTCAGCATTAGAAGACATGCTTTCATCGTCTACTTCTATCACACAGACTTCCTTGGACAGAGGAACATAGGGAGGCTGCTTGTTTGGAGGCAGTCTGTTGTGGTTCTTACTAGTGGTCCAGCTTTCCTTCATCAGAATAAGCTTCTGATGGCAATCGAGACCAACTGCAATGGAGTGAATGAAATTGGACCCTAACGTTTCTGATTTATTCATCAGAGTTCAGAAGGAAATGTAATGAATGACAAAGTTACTTAACGATACTCTTCGAACATGAAATCAGCCTTGATGGTCAGCTTCTGCTGTTGGTTGGCCGACACGAGGATTGTAGCACTGTAAGGGCTGCAACGGGTAGAAAATACAAATCCACTAAGGATCAAGTGTAAAATATATGATATGATGGGCTTTCCCAGAGAAATTAGGATTGGTTCAGTTAGTTGTTGGAGTAGTGGAGATAAGAGTATGAACGAAGTTGGCTCTAGAGTGCATACCTGGAGAATTCGTCCACTCTACAGCAGAAAACCAAACAGAATGTGAGAATGGATAAAAAGTTTTGCAGAAACAGTGGATACAAGAACGCGAAAAATGCATGTTGGGGCAAGTATTGGTTCTGTCAGAAAAGTTAACTCCAGCTCTTTTTGTGCTAATGTAGATTCACTGCAATTAAGCAAATAGCATCACCTTATTTTCTCGTGAAAGTGAATTTGGTTCTCTTCCTCCACACCAACAATCTGCAACAGTAAGAGACAAGTTAACAGATGATTGGTCACATTTTCATGAAGCAGTTACTATGTGAATGGGATATTAGTCCTAGAAACACGCATATCAGCATAATACCTACCATATCAGCAAAATGTCGCTTGGATAATGCTGAAGATTGTGATAACCTGGTCAATGTGACTTTTATTTTAGACTTCCCTTGCCTTTGGCAATCAATTTCCTCTATACTCATATCGACTTTGGGAGGCAGTGACAGTAGAGAATCCTTGATGTGGTTCCCAAATGGGAACTTACGACATGTGATTATCTCAATTCGCCTTGGATCAGCTTCAGCTAGTGCATCAAACGATTTGACACCCATGGAATGAAGAGCCTGTAGACCATCACACATGGAAAACTTTGAAAACTAATAGATTTAGAGGTGAAAACTTTCTTTTATTCTGTCGACCCAATAATGAAATGTCAAATGTACCTTGGCCGTGACCATTCCAATACCAGGCAATTGCTTCAGTAAGTAGGGACTGTCATCCCAAAGTTTCTGATACAGTGATTTGGCCAGAAGGATAGTCTGCACTGCTCCTTTATAATTTCTCTTGAACAAGAAGTACTCTTTCATGCACTTCGCAATTCTACATCCGTTGGTGCAAACAGAATTCATATCCTAATGCATAATAAGCACCAGGTCTATCATTAGATCAACAAAGACTGAAGCATAATAACCAGATGAAGGTAAGAGATAATGAGTAAGAAAACCTGGGATAGGGACAAATCTCGTATTGCGGGATCCCCAGTCAAGCAGTCATTTGCCAAGATAAATATCTTCTCTTCTTTGGACTGAATGCGTTTCTTCCTTTTCCCTCTTTCATCATTCACATGAAAACGAAGCCTAGCACCTTTGTCAGCATTAATATCATTCAAAACCTTCTTCTCATTGCGCCTGAGTTGTATCCCTTCATTTCCGGGAGGAAAAAAACACAAATATGTTAGAACTTAGAAGGTACAATCTTATACCCTTAAAGAAGAATACCAGTAGGAGGGAATTGTTATGGTATCATACATACAAGAAATTTCCTCAGCACGGCATACGACTTTTAGTGCATCTTCCAGACTGCAGTTATCTGGAGTCAGCATAATGTGCTTCATTGTGTCGAATTTCAGATAGTACTTGGTCATTAACCGCCCAGGCTCTATCCATAGGAAAATAGGATACAACTTACAACTCGCACTTCCCAAAAAGTGAAAGAGTACTTATACACTAAGTATGTGGTACCTAGTGGTTTCAGAATGAAGCCATCATGATCTGTTGAGATCATTTGATAGCGTGATAACTCCTGAACTTTGTGGACACAAATATCTGGAATTCGATCATACTGGTCAGACTCAAGAACAGGGAATTAAAAATTCTACTGCAAAAAACTACCTTTGATATGCTTCTCAATAGATTCTCTATTAATGCCCCTGCTAACAGCATAATTCTCTGGGTTCTGAGCACAAGTAATCAAGTAAGCAAGCTGAAAGGACTATGCATAAGTAATAACCAAAGAGGTTGAACTAGAAGTGCTTGCCTTTTTCATTCTAACATACAAGTAGGAGCATTTCATCCACTCAATTGCACGTGCTATATCCGAAACTGTCAGCTGAACTATCTCTGCAGTCAGATGCTCTGTCACGCATGGAAGCAACCTGAAGGAACAATTGTACAGTAAAAATTCTCGTCAGAATTGCTGATTAATTGACTTCGGAAAAAATTAACAAGTAAACGAGTAGTAGTCAGCAATCAGCATACTGTGATTCCACCAATTCACATCCATTCAAGAGATTTTCATACAGATGGACCTGCAAGGAATTATTAACTTAATACAATGAAGAAAATCCAAGCATACACACAAAACGCATCGTAGAGGGAAGAAGCAATAGGCTCACTGTTTCTCTTTTCGTCATGATTATCACCGTCCCTGTATCATCAAATGGTGGCCGACCAGCTCTTCCACACATCTAATAACAATTCAAATTGTGATTTTAGTGTACTGAGTGTTACAATTCAAGTGAATTGATTGATGAAGTAATGCTCAAAAGGAGAACATACCTGTAGTACTGTGGATCGATCGTACTCCATGTAGAGACCTTTTTCTTTGTTACTGTACCAAATAGTAATATACGAACACACAGAGTAAAATAATTCAGGTTTCTTTTTATATTTTCTATCCTGAACTATGACAAAACTACTTGAACAACTAGGATCACGTACTAATGCTGAGTCGACTTTATCACTACAGTATGTGCTGGCAAGTTGACTCCATGAGCAAGGGTATTTGTGGTGCACAGAACCTGAATATCACCCTTAAGAAAGAGACCTTCAACCAGATTGCGGTCCTTCATGCAGAGACCGCCATTGTGATACCCAACTGTAGATTAAACTTAGGCAGCAAACCTTGGATAAATGAAAATTAAACATAAAACTACATAGTGCAGAGGACTAGAGTCATACTTCCATAGAGTATATAAGATTGCATCTGTTTGTCACTGAATGACATGGAAGCCTCTCTAAGTCTTTCCTTCTGTTCATGGTCTTTAATGAATGGATTAGAATAGCCGAAATTCATCACTGTTTGGGAAAGTTGCTGTGCTGTTTCCTGTGCTCCTTTTCTTGTAGAACAGAAGATTAATGCAGACTTCCCTTTGGAGAATTGCATTAGTGTATCTACATATATCAATGAGAACCACCAACTTATATCTCGAGTAGTCAATTCAGAAGTTAACGAGCAAGAAAATTATGAAAATGATGTTAATTTAAGCTTTTTCAAGCAGCCCACTTACCAAAAATATAGTTTTGAAGGCGCTGTCAAAGAAGTAAAGGTAACAACAGAAGTTAGAAGTGCTCCGCTATTTTATATGCTTTTGAATTTTCACACATTCCCAAATAAAAAGGAAACATAACTTCAAAGGCTGCACAGTTCATCCTTATGACCACTTGCCTTTTCAAAGAGAAAATCATTCTTTGCTGAGGTATATCCTGCAAAGGGGATAGACGAACAATAAGAAAACAGTTCTTCCTGACCATCTGCACAAGTGATAATCTAGCAAGTACAAAGGGATAGTAATACTTCATCCATGCAATAAATAAACATACCAAAAACTTTAGTAGTCAGCTTCACAGGTCTCATTTCCTCTCCAAATCTGCCAACCAATGATGAAACTAATATAAATCTGTGACCAAAACATGAGCCATAGGAAAATAGCATAGTAGGGTACAGCTAGATTTGTTTGGGAGAAACAAAGTACCTTTTGATTCCTTTGACAGGAACATTAAGCCATTCAGCTGGAATTTTCATTACGTAAGAAGTCAATATCAATTGGATACAGTAAATTCTAGTCTCATTAATAAGATGGATAGCAGATATCGCGAAACTTACCAAGGTCGCCAATATTAGGAACTGTGGCTGAAACAGCTAAAAGCCGGATAGCGGACAGAGGACTTGGTCTCAGTTCAGGATTACTAGAAAGCATTTTAATTCTACTAACAATTGCCTCCAAAGCTGCTCCACGAGGATCATTCAATAGGTGAACTTCATCGATAAGTAGAAGTGCTATGTCACTGAAAAAGCTCAAGCCTCCATTCTTTATGCGGTATCGAGTCACAGCATCAAATTTCTGTTCCAAGGAAATGGCACCAATCAGCTAGTAGACAAAAGCAACAGCCAAAGTGCAAACAAGTTCATTATGTAGCTTGAAGAAAATCAGAACAGGAAACCTTGCAGACTCAAACAAGGTATGCCTATTCGGACCACTGTTTAGACCTAAGCAACATGAAGTCAGAGGACTCAGTTGATTTCTGTTTGCAGACCTCAGGGGTGGTCAGAATAATATCTGCTTCTTGTATAGTCCTGGAGTCATAAAACTCATTGTCTCCTGTCAGCTCCAAGCAAGCTATTCCAAGTGTTCCAAACTTGTTATTCCAGTCCCGGACCTTCTCCTGTACGAGAGCCTTCGATGGTGCAATATAGACCTCCACTCACACAAGAAAAGAATGCAGAAGAATCAAATAATTATTATCCATCAAATGAAAGTAAACTTCAAATCCAACAGTATCAACCTGAAACAAGAATATGGACTCATTGCCATTTCTACTGAACTACTCACTTGTTCATCCATCAACATTTTAATGCATATAATCTGGAATAAGAGAAATAGACCATCAGTTGATTCGGATGTTCTGAACTTACCGTTTTAAGGGTTCCCTTAACATGGATAAAGTTCTGCCCAGATATGAACCTTGAGAGAAGCCTCAGTATACAGAGTTCAAAGAGAACAGTTTTACCACTCCCTGTTGGTGCAGAGATGACCATGTTGACATCAGAATGGAAACAAACGGGGAAGCATTCACTCTGTAGCGGGTTGAAGTATCTGCAGGTGCACATGATTCATGAATCATGACCAATTCCGAATAGTAACTGTAATTTTCACTAACAAACCATAGATAAAATTATGGAAAGCACTAGCCTACCAATGAAGAGTTATCACAAGAGGCTCTAAACTTCCCAACAACAGTTTGCACATCACATTCACAGAGATTAACCTGATGAGAATGTACCTGAAACTAAAAATTGAACGGAAATGTGATGGCAAATCCGACACAGACTTGAGCGTATATGCATCCATTTCAATATCACTTCTCAAACGATGGAGAGATTTTAAAAAAACGAGCAGCTGTTCGAGATCAGCTAATCAGAGATGCCTGCAGAATGAGTGGTAAACGAACATAAGCGAAGAGAATAGTGAAATCACGCCAAGTAACTTCCGCATAGATGAGGACAGGAAAATTACATCGAACGTACTAATGGAAACCTAAACCTACGAACAAAATAAATGAGAAATCTACATGAGCATGAGTTGAATTGAACGATGAGAATTTCCAGTCGGAGCTGCAAATAGGCTTCAGATAGTTTCGATTCTTGATGATAACACAGTCGAAGAAATGGAGAAACATGAAAATTAATAGACGAAGCTACGCGCACGCAGGCAAATTCCATTCCGTCGAAGTCTCACGTAAGAATGAGAAACACAGGCAAAACCAGAATTCAAAGTTATTGAGATTAAAGAACCCCGAGGGAGGAATCTCCGGCTAGAACAGACGGCGAACTATCTTCTCGCCGGAAGAAACGATCTCAGGCGAGAGACAGTTCTTCTCCAGCCGAAATTTCAGGTTCTGTAAAGTGAAATTCTCGAGTAACTCGTATGCTGTTCCAACTTTGATTTCGAAAATTTTCTATTATCAGAGGCGGGAGCGAACGGTGGCGAGTTGGAAAACCTAATCACGGAGAATGAAATTCATTGAGACCTCTACAGGATTTGAAGCTAACAGTGAGAGATTCAGATCTGAGATGCAATTAAGCATCAGATAGGTTTGATTCCTGGCGACAATCACAATCTAAGAAACGGAGAAACAGCAAAGCAATGCACGAAGCCTCCGCAGGCAGATTTCATCCCGTCGAAGCCTCACGTAAAGTAAAAGTGGACTCTAAGCACACACAAAATCAGAACTCGAAATCAAAATATCAAACGTAACCTGAAGGAATAATCTCCTGAGACAGACGGCTGACGGTGAAGAATCCAGCGATCTGTCTCGCCGGCAGAAGAAACGAGCTCAGGCGAGCGAGAGACCGATCCGATCCCCAGCAGAAATCTCGAGTTTCTGCGAATTGAAATGCTCTTAGATAAACTCGTCTGTGATTTTGAAATCGCTTCGCTGTTCCAATTTGGAGCTCAAAATTTTTGTTTTCGCAAGGCGGGAAAGAATGGTGGCGAGTTGAAGACAAGAAAAGTGTGAAGTGAGTAGGAAAATCTTCGTATATGCCTCATTTATACTTCTGGTGTTATACTGGGGCCGGGAGGGGACGGGGATTAAATTGTAAAATGACGTCACGCTACGGCTACTAAATTTCCCGGACACCCTCCGGGGCAGGTGTAATGTGCTTTTTGGGGCCATTGGGCCTCTTCAGTCTTATGCCAATGTTTGGGCTTAAAACATATTGAGAAAGCCCGGTATGATCGGGATCAGCCACCATCCAAACGACGTCGTGGCTAGAATTAGTATCACAGTCCAAACTCGACAGTTGACGTGGCAGCTTAGATTCCCGCCACCGCGGCTCTCTAGAAGCAGCGAGCACAATCCAGATGGCCATGGGCTTCACGCCTTCGCCCAACTCAGGAGCGCTCTCACTACTTCCTCTCTTCCTCTTTGTTCATTTGCAGAATTGCAGGGAATTGAAAGGAACAACTACCCCTTAATAAGACAGATCGAGTGATCGACATGGCTGGCGGCGCGGGGAAGGTGGCACACGCTGCTTACAAGGGACCAAGCATAGTCAAAGAGATCATCTACGGCATCTCCTTAGGGCTGGCTGCTGGAGGGCTGTGGAAGATGCACCACTGGAATAACCAGAGGCGGACCAGGGAGTTCTACGATCTCCTGGAGAAAGGTGTGATCAGCGTTGTTGTCGAAGATGAATGAGTAGGCTGGCTAGATGGTTGATAGTCTTATTAGTTATTAGGGGTCCCGTTTGCAAGCCCAATAAATGGATGTTGTGTTGGTTTGGATTTGGTGCTTCGTTTGTTAGTTTTTGTACTTTGCAAGCTTATTAATGGCTGAAGATGCGTGTATTAGAGCAGATTGATGAACCCTGCTGTGCAGAGCTGGAGAACCAAGGCAGAGGGAAGACGAAGGTTGAAGAAGAGTAATACGCAGCCGTTTGTTCAATCCGATGCCGTTTCCATTGTCTCCGTTACTAGCTAGCCGTTAAGTGTTGGACGGTTGTTTGTTGCCACGTGTTAGGCACAGTAATATTTAAATTACAGTTTTAAACTTCATTTCCGTTTTTACTGTAGTTGATTTCTGTTGGTATAAAAGGAAACAGAGAAGCATACAGCTTTCTCTGAGATTTCCCCTCCAATCATTCAGCAGCTAAACCTAGCAGCTGCTTCCTTTCCTTCTTCTTTCATTTCTACTTCTTATGGTATCAGAGCGGCGCTGATCCATCTCTCCGCTTCATAGTCTGCAATGGCGAACAATCCACCTCCACAAACTCCACCAGGTTCTCAAAACTCAGGTATACCATTTGGCACTTTCAACGCTGAGTCAAGTGGTGCTGGAGGCCAGACCTACAACAATCCTGGTGCGGATGCTCGTCAACAGCAGAATGGTAACAATACTCATCTGGGTCTGGTGTTTGGAAGTCCCTATTACATTAATCCCAGTGAAAACCTAGGCCAATCCATCGTTGCTGAAACCCTGGATGGATCTAACTACCAGACCTGGCAGCGAGCTGTAAGAATGGCTCTTAAGACCAAGCATAAGCTGGGTTTCATTGATGGCACACTTCCAATGCCTGATCATACTCATCCTGATTTCGTTTTATGGGATGCTTCAAATACTATGGTTCTCTGTTGGATTCTGAATTCAGTACATAAAGACATTAGCAGGAGTGTTTTACAGCATGAAAATGCAAAAGTTGTGTGGGATGAATTGAAGGCTCGATTTGGCAGGTCTAATGCCATCAAGCTATCTAACTTGCAGGATGAAATGGCTGCCTGTAAGCAAGGTAATATGAGTGTGACTCAGTACTATATCACACTTAAGGGTTTATGGGAAGAGATTCAGCAGTATAGCCCTGTGGTTGAATGTGATTGTCTAGCTGTAAGAGTTAGGCCTTGTGCAGCAGTTGTTGCTTATAAGCAGAAGCTTGAAACTGACTATCTGATTAAGTTTTTGAAGGGATTGAAATCAGACTATGATGTGATTCAATCTCAAATACTCATGCTTAAACCCTTGCCTGCTGTGGAAGTTGCTTTGGATGATGTTTTACAACATGAGCAGAAGTTACAAGGTGATAAAGGGAGAAGCACCAGGGGTATTCAGTCAGTGGCACTTGCTGCACAAGGACAATCTGATCAGAACAAGAATTTGAACTCTAACAAGGAGACTAAGTATGAGAATGCTAGAGAAGGGAAGTTATGTCGATATTGCAAGATGAGTGGTCATCTAAAGGAGGAATGCTATAGGTTGAAGAACAAGAAAGCACGAATGGCTGAAGGAGGTGGTTTTGTTGGTTCTGTTTCCCAATCAGATTCACAAAGTGGTGACTCCATTTCCTCAGGACAAAGTGCTGGCTATGAAAGCAAATCTTCTTCAACTGGATCCCTCAGTTTTACTAATGAAGAACTGAACAAGTTAAGGCAACTTCTGCAACAGCCTGATAGCATGAGTCCATCTCCACCATTATCCCCTTCTATCAAGCATGCCTCATTCTCACTCTCACAACACTTACCATCTCAACCCAACTATGCTGGTAAATATGTTCTCTCTTCTTATGCTCAACATGGTTTGATGGCCCTGACTCAAGTCTGGATTTTAGATAGTGGTGCTTCAGACCACATAGCATGCACTCTTGCTGTGTTCAAACAAGCTAGATCAGTTTCAAATCAGTTTGTTTATCTACCTAATGGCTCTAAAGTGGAAGTGAGTCATATAGGTTCAGTCCAAATACCAAATGGGTTGATTTTACAAGATGTTCTACTAGTTCCCAGTTTCACTTTTAACCTAGTCTCCATTAGCAAACTTACCCATGACCTTCCCATTTCCTTGTTATTTGAATCTGACTCTTGTCATATTCAGGACCAAACAACCAAGAACCTGATTGGTTCAGCAAAACAAGATAGGGGACTCTACCACCTCACTCTTCCATCAAGGTCCACATCTGACATCTCATCCCACCAAGTAGCAACCACTTACAATTTCCTTCCTCACCAAATAGACCTTTGGCATTGGAGACTGGGGCATCCAAGTAGAGACAGAGAAAATCAAGCTACTGGATGTAATAGAACTTCTTTTAAACATTGTCCAACCTGTCACTTGGCAAAACAAAAGAAACTGCCCTTTCCTATTAGTGACAGTAGAGCTATTTCAGCTTTTGATATGGTTCATGTAGACATTTGGGGACCTCTTGCTGTTAAGTCACATGATGGCTTTTCTTATTTCCTTTCAATTGTGGATGATCATACACGCAGTGTTTGGGTATTTTTAATGAAACAGAAGTCAGAAGCTTCTCATCTTCTGGAATCCTTTTGTGTTATGATTCAGAACCAGTTTAGCAAAACTGTTAAGGTTATAAGGAGTGATCAGGGGGGTGAGTTTCACATGATTGATTTCTACAATGCTTTTGGGATTGAACATCAGCTTTCCTGTGTGGAAACTCCTGAGCAGAATGCCAGAGTTGAGAGGAAACACCAGCATATTCTCAATGTTGCCAGGGCTTTACGTTTTCAATCAGGATTGCCACTTCATTTTTGGAGTGATTGCATCCTGCATGCAGTCTACTTAATTAATAGATTGCCTTCACCAGTAACTGATGGTGTCTCACCCTTTGAGTTACTGTATCATAAACAACCAGCCTTAGATCTATTAAAGGTTTTTGGTTGCTTATGTTATGCATCTACCTTGTTGAGAGACAGAACCAAATTCAGTCCCAGAGCCAGGCAATGTGTCTTTCTTGGCTTCCTTCCAGGGATTAAAGGGTACAAACTCTTTGATCTTAACACACATCAAACCTTTGTTTCCAGACATGTGGTCTTTTATGAGACCATTATCCCTTTCTTAGACCCCTCTTCTTCTACTTCTGTTCCTACCTCTTCACCACCACAGCCTACTTATTCTAGCAATACACCAATTTTTCCCAATAATCCTATTCCTCCTGATCCATTTTTCTCCTCTTCCACACCTTCTCAGACTTCACCTCCTTCTTCCTCTACTCCTTCTTCCTCAACTCCTCCTTCCTCACCTTCTTTTCCTTCTGCCACAGACACATTGCCTGCTTCCTCTGTTGGTGAAGTAGTAGAGTCTTCAGGAGTGAACTCTGAAGGGGAGGATGAGTTAGTTGCACAACTTGAATTTGAGGATGTAGAAGGTGGTCCTGAGTTAAGGAAATCTGACAGAATCAGAACAGTGCCAGTTTGGCACAAAGACTACAAGGTTGGAGCAGTTAGCAAGTACTCCATGGATAAGTATGTCACTTTTGACAAACTCCCACCTGCACATAAAACTTATGTGATGAGTGCCATGGCTGTTACTGAACCAAAAACTTATGAAGAAGCCTGTAAAGAACTGTGTTGGAGGGAGGCCATGAAGGATGAATCTGATGCTCTTGAAGCAAATCAGACTTGGGAACCGGCTTATTTGCCAACTGGTAAGAGGGCAATTGGTTGTAAATGGGTGTATAAGGTGAAACTTAGAGCTGATGGTACCATAGAGAGGTTCAAGGCCAGATTAGTGGCCAAGGGATTTACTCAAATTTATGGGATAGATTTCTTGGATACATTTTCACCAGTAGCCAAGATTAACTCAGTTAAGGTTTTGTTAGCTGTGGCTGCTGCTAATGACTGGCTTATACATCAGATGGATGTATCAAATGCTTTCCTTCATGGAGAGTTAAATGAAGAAGTCTACATGAAGCCACCACCAGGGATGAACTTACCTGACAAGAGAATGGTACTGAAGTTAAAGAAGTCTCTTTATGGACTAAAACAGGCCAGCAGGCAGTGGTTTGCCAAATTAGCTAGTTCATTGTTGAAAAATGGCTTTGCTCAAACTGCTTCAGACTATTCAATGTTTGTCAAGAGAATTCAGGGAAGAATGTTGATTGTTCTGGTGTATGTAGATGATATACTGATTGCAGGAGCCTCCTTGGGAGACATAGAACAATTGAAATTGTTCTTGGGAAGAGAATTTAAAGTGAAGGATCTTGGTGATCTAAAGTTTTTCCTTGGCCTGGAAGTTTATAGGGATGTAAATGGGATTCATGTGAATCAAAGGAAATACTGTATGGAGTTGCTGGAAGACACTGGATATCTGGAAGCAAAGGATTGCTTGGCACCAATTGACAACAAGTTGAAGCTATCTGCTAAGCAAGGGGAGCCTCTTCCTAATCCTGAAGTTTACAAAAGGTTAGTAGGAAGATTACACTACCTTACTATCACTAGACCAGATTTAACATTTGCTATCCAGCAATTATGCCAATACCAGAAGGATCCATATAGTGAGCACTTGCAGGCTGCCTATAGGATTTTAAGGTATTTGAAACATGCTCCAGGACAAGGATTGCTTTTTAAATCTGATTGTGAATTGAAGTTAAGAGGTTTTTCAGATTCTGATTGGGCAAGTTGCCCTGACACAAGGAGGTCAATCACAGGGTATTGCACCTTACTTGGGGACAGTCTGATAACCTGGAAGTCTAAGAAACAGAGTACAGTTTCTAGATCATCTTCTGAGGCTGAGTACAGAGCCTTAGCACACCTGGTTTGTGAGTTGCAGTGGTTGAAAGGATTGCTTGCAGAAATGGGTGTCAAAATTCCTCTACCTGTTCAGGTTTATTGTGACAACAGATCAGCTATCCATATAGCTGAAAATCCTGTGTTTCATGAGAGAACGAAACACATCGAGATTGATTGTCACATTACAAGAGAAAGGCTGAAGTCTGGATTAATCAAGCTTGAACATGTCAGAACAGAAGATCAGTTGGCAGATTTGTTTACCAAAGGCATGACAAGATACAGGCTAAAATTTCTACTTAGCAAGTTGGGAGTTTTGGATATACACTCGCCAACTTGTGGGGGAGTATTAGAGCAGATTGATGAACCCTGCTGTGCAGAGCTGGAGAACCAAGGCAGAGGGAAGACGAAGGTTGAAGAAGAGTAATACGCAGCCGTTTGTTCAATCCGATGCCGTTTCCATTGTCTCCGTTACTAGCTAGCCGTTAAGTGTTGGACGGTTGTTTGTTGCCACGTGTTAGGCACAGTAATATTTAAATTACAGTTTTAAACTTCATTTCCGTTTTTACTGTAGTTGATTTCTGTTGGTATAAAAGGAAACAGAGAAGCATACAGCTTTCTCTGAGATTTCCCCTCCAATCATTCAGCAGCTAAACCTAGCAGCTGCTTCCTTTCCTTCTTCTTTCATTTCTACTTCTTAGCGTGTCCTTCTCTTCGGCTGATGTAGTAGGGTAAGGGACCCTTTTCTTGTTGATCGATGGTAATGGCAATGAAGATGGGACGGTTTCAATCAATTCAGGACGGTTTATAGGTGATTAGAGAGGTCGACTTGAACTTGTTCCAACCCAATGTTGATCAAATTTGGGTGTTAGTTTGATGCGCATCATTGTTGTTTCTTTGTTGCATCTATGCAGTTGTGCAGTGACATTTTTCATAAAAAAAACATCAAATTCTCTTTAACGACAACAAATGTCGTGACCATATTAGGACGGTTTTTGGTTGGTTTTGTTGGTCGAAAAGAAGAAAAGAAAACAAATACATGTGGAGAATCATGTATTATTTTTATTGCCGTACCCACAGGCCACATGTGAATGAACAAAAATTTCTATGACTAAAAGAGTATGACACCACTGGCGATGATGGACAACACACTACTGCTGATCCTTTCTGCACATTCCGCCCAAATCCACCAAACTGTATTGACATTTCTGCCGCCGACATTAACGGCACAACCAACCGGCCATAAAAAAAAAACAGCTAAAAGCTGGGCACCCGCCAGAGCAACCCCCTTTCCCTTTCCATCCATTTCTTCTTTCGAGTCCCTCTTTTCCACAGTGAAAAATGATTGATGAGTGAAAGATACAAGCTTGGAAAGGGACTACTTTTTCATTCCTCTATTAGTTCTCGACTCCTGGTTGGACCGGTGGTTACGCTGCTGAGTAGGCTAGAAGACTCTTTGGTGGATTCCCCGTTTGATACTACTGATACTGAACTGTATGTGCTTCGGGACCTGAAGGACGCATCAGGGTCCATCAAATCTGTACCCCTCATGAATGGTGGTTGACTTGGAGCTGCGATCACGCAGTCACGATTTGTCAGCATCTCGATGACTTGTGCCATGGATGGTCTTAAGGAGACTGAAGCTTGTGAGCACAGTAGGCCGATTCGCAGCACTGTTAGTGCTTCATCTGCTGGGAAATCACTATCGAGGGATGGATCAACTGCTTCGATCAGTCTGTTCGTTCTGTAATAGAACCATACCTGAACAAACAACACCACGTTAAGCACAAACGAAGTCACAACCGTGAGAGGTTTCGCGCTAGACTCCTGATAACGACGAGAACTAGCACTACTACTACTACATTAAAGTATGGCAGATGAAAGATTAATAAGAGGCCATACTGCTTGGAGGAGGGAGTTGGATTCGCCTATAACAGCATTGCACCTTTTCCCACTCACAATCTCCAGAACCAGGACTCCAAAGCTGTAAACATCGGCCTTCTCAGTGAGCTGCCCACGAACCAGATACTCAGGAGCCATGTATCCTCTGCAGCAAAACAAGTGGAACTTTAGTATCACTCTCCCAATGTAATGTAACAGGATACACAGTTAGATAAGAGAACACTCACATGGTTCCAGCTATCCCAGTGCTGAGGTGAGACTTATCAGCACCAAAATGGCGAACGAGCCCGAAATCCGCAATCTTGGCATTGAAATCCTCATCCAGTAGCACATTGCTGCTCTTGATATCCCTGTGTATGATCCTCACAGGAGACCCCCTTTCTCCATGAAGATATGCTAGCCCTTCCGCTGCCCCAACTATGATGTTCAACCTCTGCTTCCAGCTCAAAGTCACCACCTTGCTGTTCTTCTCTACAATGAAACAGAAAATCCAAATCACAATTTCTGAAATCATGTGTTAGAGAGGTCTCATGAAAGGGTCTTTCTTTCTTACCGAATAGGAACTGGTCGAGGCTCTTGTTGGGAATATACTCGTAGACTAGCAGGCTCTCGGGTCCTTCAATGCTGCAACCGAGCAGCTTAACGAGGTTCTTGTGTTGGATTCCGCTGATCAAATTCACCTCGTTGAAGAACTCGTCCACCCATTGGCTTGTGTTGAAGATCAGCCGCTTCACTGCCACGGTTTGGTTATTGGGAAGAGATCCAATGAAAACTGTGCCAGCTCCTCCTTGGCCTAGCTTCTTCGACAGGCTGAAGTAATCAGTGGCTTTTTCTAAAGTTTCATACTTGAAGTTCATGCTTAACCTGTTGAAGCTTATCGATACCTTGCCCAGATTTCTGCGTGCTGTGACAATTTCTAGTAAGTGGGGGAGCTAAAAAATGGAGTAGCTCTTCTAGTTTGTGGAGATGGTTTTTGGGTATATACCTTGTTTAGCCTTTAGGCGTTTGAGATGGACAGCGTAAGCTGCGAAGAGTGTGAGCATGGCGAATGCTGCTGATGCTAAGGCAATCGCCATTATCACTCCCAGAGTTGAATCCCCTGAAAATTCAGAACAGAGCCGTGGCAACTCAAAATCAATGCTCAATATTGCAAGAAACCCTAATTAAGTTATTCAAGATCGTTTCCCCCCTTCTTCCTGTTTCTGTTCCGTCGCTTTCCCTCTGATTTCTCAGCAAACAAACAAAACCTAGAGAAATATATAAACTTTCAAAAACAAAGAGTCCGAAATTACCGTGACCATGCACTCTAACACCTCCGTCGCCGTAGAATTTATGATCGGAGTACTTCAAATAACACCCAGCATTCAGCGCTCTCCCTTCCCTCCTCGGCAGACATCCTCCGACCACCGCGGCGGCGGCTTTACTCAAACACTCCCGGCAACCATCTCTCCCGACGCTCTCCCAGCACTGCGCCAGAGCATAAGCTCTTCCTCCAACTTCCGCCACTCCGAAAAACCCGCTCACTCCCTCCGACGCCGCCGCGTTCCTCGTCACATTCGCCACCGCGTACTTCACGCTCTCCGCGAACTCGAATTCCGCTCCTGCGGCGGCGGCGCTGCCGCATGTGAAGTTGTCGATGGCTGGGGAGACGGATTCCGTGTAGAAGCTGTAATTCTCGTAGCGGAGGAAGCAGCCGTCGAGGTAGATCCGGGCGGAGACGGCGGGGAGGCAGCGGGGGAGCTTCGTGCGAGCGGCGGCGTAGCAGAGGAGGCAGTCGGTCTGGGAGAGGTCGGCGTGGCACTGGATCAAAGCGTAGAAGGGGATTGCGGAGTTGTTGAGATGGTAAGTGGCGAATTTTTGCTTGTTGTTTATGAGCTGGGAGCTAAGGGCGTCCATTTCTTTGACGAATGTAGGGATGAAGCTAGCGGCGACGGACGGCGGCGGGCGGGCTGCGCCGCAGAATAGGCCGGACTGATCTGTCGTTCGGGGATCGGCGACGGCGGAAGGAGTGAAGAGAGCGCAGGCGAAGAAGAAGGAAAAGAAGATTATTGTCGTTTCAGTGTTCGCCTTCTTCTGTCTCATTTCCATGGCTGGCCGGAGGCAGTGAAAATGTGAAATGGTTCAAGTTCAACTACTGAGCTATGAATAAAGCAGCTGCAGCCGCGTATTATTTTTATTTTGTTTCCGAGCCTCGTACACGTGGATTGGAGGAACCGGGAACGGGAATCAAATCGTTTTATTTTTTAAAACCGGTGTTTAAGTAATAAATCCCTTCCCGCTAATTTCCGGTTCTGGGCTTCTAGAATGGCCGTTGTTTTAGGCTGTGTTATAGGTAAATTACATGTACTTTATTACGTAACGGTAATACGATCTAGAAATTATGACTATTCAAATTGATGTATTGAGTTAATTACTGCATTATCATTTGATGTATTGAATCAATTGATATATTAGAAAAATATTTTGTTTGGAGGTTTAGATTGTGGTTTGTTGTAAAGTCATAAAAATGAATTTTGAGTGATTGTGAAGAATCTCAACAAAATGTAGAAATTGATAATCCCTCAATTAAGAGTGATTATGGTGGTTGGTGGGGTCTCCAAAAAGTTAATGCATATATTCTAGTTCAATATAAGTAAAAAAAGCGACTTAATCTCATATGAATTGATTCAATACACCATTAAAAATCACAACTTCCAAACGACCCCTAAGATACGCTAATCTAGAATCAGAATCATAATAACTTTTGTAAACATATTTTCTAAGTATGGATAATTGTTGTTAACTATCATAATATAATGGACAAGATCTCACCAAAAATATATATATATTATAATGGACAAGATGGTTAGGTGTGAAGGGGACGTTGATTTGATAAAACTCTAATTTTGATTGTTGTCGTTTATCACTTTGTCGGTGCGATGCTAGCGACTTCGATGATGCAGATACTCTTACTTCTTTGATCATCTTGGATATTCAATGCAATTGTACTATATGTCCTTAGATACTCTCAAAAACAAATCTATGACGAACTTCTTTTTGTGTCTAGATCAACTCCTTTATCTTCTAGTTTTTTTTTTTGTTCTCTATTAGGTAGAAGTTTGTACGTCCTAGCAGTACAATCATGTGTCTCGTATACACAACTTCTCTTTTTATAAAATGAAAGTTGTTTATATAGTAAATGACTATGAAAAAACCAGTCTAAATAAGGTCATATTTTAGGGGAAATGGAGAAGTATAAGAAGAGGTTTTGCTTCTATGTTGTTGTCATTGATAAGGTCATCTTGAAAAATGCCCATTAACTACCTACTTTATACATTAAAGTTTCTCATGCTCTAGTAGTCGCAATCTTGAACTAATTTGATAGCAACTCCAACTCCAAAAAAACACTTTCAAATGTAATTTTTACTTTATAAAGTGACTCAAATCCTGGTTACATTAAGTCAATTACGGAGTCCACCAATTGGCTTTTTGGGTTTTAGGAGAAAAATAAGAGTATTTGTTCATGATAGCACAAAATGTTCCGGCCACCACAACCGACGAGTAAAAGTCCAAAGAGAATTGGAGAGTGGAAACCAACCATATGCAACAAAAAATTAAGGAGCCTTCATTTTTCATAATTTGAACTTTCAATCTAAGATTTTCCATAAGTATACGGTTAAAAATCACGAAGACTTGTGTAATTAACAGCCTGAGGTTGCAATTTGCGAACTTGGAATTCCACAATAAATTCCAAGTCTTCAACCCACTAGGTAAACCAGAGGTGTGGTAAGATTGCAAAGCAGAAGAATGTGCATTATCTTTATTTATTGAACATCATATATCTGGAAATTCCATGTCATATTTCGATTATGATGACCGGAGGTTACCTTTGTCCATAACAAATTAAAGGATACCTGTGTTGTATAATAGATATATCACTTATATCTCTTATGATGAATTTTCACACTTTACTTAATAGTTGTGTCAGTGATAAATCATAAGAGCATGGTTCAAAAAGACGCATCTAGAGTGCTATGAACATTTTGTTGACGAATAAGACTCCTACGCCCATCTTATACGTCGCGTCTTTTTTTTAACTTCGATAATAAAGAATGACAACCCACTTGTTAGTGGAATGTCTGGCTAATGGTAATCACCGAAAATAAAAAGTCTGGGCATGGCTATTAGAGCTGGAGGTTCGGTTATCGGTTGTCTGTTAACCGACCGGTTGGTTATTGGTTAACCGAGGCATTGGCGTCGGTTGGTGTTCGGTAGGGGGAGATGGTGATTCGGTTAACCGGTAACCGATAAATCGGTTATCGGTTATAACCGATCCAAACCGAATCCACCCCTAATGGCTATACGGTGGCTACATGGTTGGTGTGAACAGGGGCACAAGCCACAAGTTTAGGGCGTTAGGCTACAGCCTTAAACCTGAGTTAAATTAATTACATGATAGAACATAAGCCAGATAACTAATATGATTAGCTTTCTTTAATCAATTAATTAAGTGCGACTTTGGGGATTGTCACCTCAATCCTCATAAATGCGTCATCTTTTTCTGTTGTTCAGTCATCATCTTTTGTTAATGTAGTGCTGACCTAGCTTGCTGGAGTATCCACGTGCCACCTCATTCCTTAAACCTCTTTTTTAACTCATAAAATGAAGAATTGTTTAAATACTCCCCACGCTGTGATCGTGGATTAGCCCTGGCCAGCTATTAACCTTGCCTTGGGGTCCCAATAATCGTCGGCCGTCGCACTGCTTTCACGAATCATGTCGGTGACACAAGTGCCACCTCATCACCGGCGACAATTTCTTAGAAAATTTCTAGAAGGGCATATGAATTTAGCTCACAAATTTGACCAACAATGACACACCTTTCCCAAGCATTAATTGTGTTTAAGGATTTAGTGATATCTTGGTTGGATCTTCATTGGTGATCATGTTAATTCGAGTTGTTGGTATTAAGAGGTTATTGACATGGTATTAGAGTCTTCTGTGGCCGATTTTTTTTTTTAATTCCGGTGACCCCATTTGTTAAGCACATTGTATTTACGAACATGTGCGCAAACTTCAAGTCCATAGATGTGGATATCGTTTGATGGAACGTATTAGTATGTGTTGTAAGATCCATTATCGAACCTCTATGAGTTGTTGGGCCAACGAATTCTTAGCATGCCATCAAACTGTATGACCTAGTGAATTATACAATCTTGCTTATAACCAAGGTGGTAAGGTTACAGATCCTACCAAAAAGGATGTTTATATTGTATGACTTACTGTGTGCATTGTTAATCAGTCTAACGTTAAACATTTTGTTTTTGCATGAATAGTTTCTTTTTCTTTTATCTCTTTTTTACACCCTAATTTGAATACATGTGGGAATGAAGGGCAATTAAAAAGGAAAAGAACCAAAATTTCCTTACTTCACCAACTGTCTTCCTGTCGCTTTGAGCTTAAGCTCGCTCATATCTATATACAACTCAACAGGATACAAAAAGGAGCATGATTGCAGCACCCAAATTGTCAACACTTGTTTCTTTCTTAAAAAGTCAAACATTGAATTAAAATTTGTCCTATGCCCTCTTGTTGTTTTTGTCCTAAGCTGATTTGGGTGGTTCTCTTCGTTATAAACTGGACACATATTGGTCGGTTAAGTTATTTCCAAAGGGTAATGTACACTACAGGGTCTTTATTTATTTTTCCTTTCTCCTTTTCATCACCAAACAACACCCCACCTGTTTTTAAAGATCAACTCCAAAAAATTCAGTAATCATAATTGAGAGCTCTTGGATTTCAAAGTCTAGCAGTCCATGTTCACACTCTCCCACAATATGGATTGGTTGATGAGGGATATGTGACTGCTAAGTGCTAGCTAACACAATTTTTTTTTCCAATTATGATAAAATGATAAAAATGTTGCTAAATGTGATGAAAGTTTAAACTTAATAAATGAAATGAGAACAACTTGATGTACTTGTTGGTATATTAAGTTTAGCATATATGCTCATATGATAAATCATTAGATTATTTTGAGATTGCAATTATAAACAACAAATTCTCCCATGCAAAGCTTTGACATCATAGCTTTTGATACGGAGGTTTAAAGTCATTCAACGGTGATAATAAGGAATACACAACATACGAGATGGTGGAGATGAGAATGCCCTTCCACTAATATATGAAATAAAGGTAAGAAAGACGAGTAAGTTTACAATGAACGTTCTTTGTTACAAAATAAAGTGTTGGATTGAATTACTTAATTGACACGTATTAATATTTAGTAACCGAACACTAAAATAAAATTTATATAAAAAAAAAAGTTTAGCAACCATGTGCTAAATACCAAAGCCTATTACCATTTTGAGCTTTGGACCCCAAATTTGAGTAGGCCGGTCTGAACTGGACCAACGGCCCAGATCGTCACAGCTCGGCCCACACCGGAAACGGCAAGAAACACACCGGAAACGGCAGAGCGTGTCATGACATCTCTAGAGAAGTGCCGGAAACTCCAAGAAAAACCTTCGTCCTCGACTTTGCTCAAAACAAAAGAGCGCCAGACTTCCCTCACTTCCACACACTCCTTCGCCTGAATGCTCACCGGAATCGCCGCTTCCACACTCCGACTAGGCCTCATGTCAGGCGCTATGGCGATGTCGTCTTCTACCAAGTCCTCTCTCAGCCTGAGAAATCCTAGCTTGTCATATGCTTCGAGCTCTACGCTCTTCAATTGCCGCGGAGGAGGAGGAGCTGGAGTAATCGGGAGAAGTCGCGTTCGTTTCAACTCCCCGCTCATTCGCGGTTTTTCGCTTCGTTGTTTTGCTTCGTCTTCTTCCAGTTCTGATCGTGTTAAAGTTCAGAGTCCGATTGTTGAAATGGATGGTGAGCACTATAAACCCTTCCAAAACCCTCTGGCCATGGATATGGAAAGTTGCAAGTGAATTTGATTGGTGAAGTGTTTTCTCATGTGCCTTTGGTTGGCGATTAGGTGATGAAATGACTAGGATCATCTGGAAAATGATCAAAGATAAGGTAATGCTACATGTTCTTACCATAGTGAAAAGCTGCCGGAAGAATTGAGCTGTTGAAAATGTGTAAACCGGAGAATAATCAGTGATGTTGATAGTCTGTCCCTGGTTGGTTGCAGCTGATATTCCCGTATCTTGACCTGGATATCAAGTATTTTGACCTGGGAGTAACTAATCGTGATGCTACTGATGACAAAGTCACCATAGAAAGTGCTGAGGCCACCCTCAAGTGAGTTTACATGCATTTAACCTTACTGTAATTGCCCCTTTAGAGCAACCCTTTAGAGCAAAGCTTGATTGGAGCACTGTGATGCATGTTATTACCGTTTTTTTAATAACTCCACCAGTAGATTAGTTGGGTTTCATAGGTAAATGATTGAGTCCCAGACGAGACTTGGCGACATGTATGTTCTCCGTACGTAGTTGGTAATGTGTGGTGTATGTAAATAATTAATTCATTAGCTGTGTTGATTGGAATTAATCAGGAATACTTGTTGCTCAAGGATCAGCTGAAAACTTCGTCAATCACATACTGATTGAATCTTTTGGCGTATTTTTTCTTATCCTGCCCATATTTTTTTCTTAGGTACAATGTTGCTGTCAAATGTGCCACGATAACTCCTGGTTAGTTTGCTGGCAACAAGCGTTTTACATTTCAAGAAGCTATCTATACTTCAGATTTTCATGCCAGTTCAGGAAAGTTATACATCTTCGTAAGCGTCTAAGTTTGATAGCTATCATAATTGTTTTCCTCTTCTATGCAGATGAGACTAGAGTGAAGGAGTTTGGCCTTAAGTCAATGTGGAGGAGCCCTAATGGCACGATTCGAAACATCTTAGATGGTTAGTGCTGTATACATCAACCATTTACTCTTGTTTCTTAAGCAGAATTCTTTGAACTATGCAAAAAAGCTATTTCATTATGCTTTGACCTTCAATTTTGGTGTTATATTTGCCTTTGTAGGTACTGTTTTTCGTGAACCAATTATCTGCCGCAACATCCCAAGAATTGTTGCAGGTGACATTAGAACTTATACTGTCAAGAAGTGTAAACTACATTTTGGCAACATCACCTGGTGCTTACAAATGAATGAACAGGTTGGAAGAAACCCATATGCATTGGTAGGCATGCCTTTGGGGATCAATATCGTGCCACAGATGCTGTTATAAAAGGTCCAGGAAAGCTGAAAATGGTTTTCGGTATGGCTTCTTTTCCATTCTTGCTCAAGTAAGTGAAAAATTAATTGCCTTCTGCATGACACTATTTCTCTTACCCAAATTTTGCTTCCAAATAATCAGTCCCAGAAGGTGGTGATACCCCATTGGAGCTTGATGTTCATGATTTCAAAGGCCCTGGAGTGGCACTGGCAATGTATAATGTTGACGAGGTTTATTCAACCTCATGCTACTTCTCCTTTGTATACACAGAAATTTGAGTATTTGCCTAATCTTTGTGTATGTGTAGTCTATTCGAGCGTTTGCTGAGTCATCAATGACAATGGCATTTGCAAAGAAGTGGCCTCTATACTTGAGTACCAAAAACACAATTCTTAAAAAATATGATGGCAGGTAGCAACTCCTCATCTAAGTGACTTGTTGTGCCAAATCCTCTTCATTTGTTCCTTATTCTGACTGACAAAACAAAACAAAACAAAAAAGATGTTCTTATCATGACAACCTTATCTCAGGTTTAAGGACATATTCCAGGATGTTTACGAACAGAAGTGGAAGGATAAGTTTGAAGAACATTCAATTTGGTATGTTATAAAAAATTGTTTTCTGTTTTGTTTTTTGTAAGTAGTAATTACAAATCAAAGTGGTTTCATTCTCCAGGTACGAGCATCGGCTAATAGATGACATGGTTGCATATGCGATGAAAAGTGAAGGTGGATATGTCTGGGCTTGCAAAAATTATGATGGAGATGTCCAAAGTGATTTACTTGCCCAAGGTCTGCATTCACTGACACCTACTCTCAGAAGTTGCATATATCTTTCTTGTCATCCTTTTAAATGCAGTAATGAACTGAAGGACTTACTGAGGTTTAACTTCTTGTTCTTGGGGAACAACACAAACCTTTCTGAATTAGTTGATGTTGTTTTTTAATTGTAGGATTTGGCTCGTTGGGTCTTATGACATCCGTGCTGGTGTGTAGCAAGCTATCCTCTTTTTACACATTGATTCGATTTGTCTTTATGATTAAGGTGACATAATGCTTTAAGCAAACAATTTTCAGATTTCTTCCGACGGAAAGACGCTAGAAGCTGAGGCAGCTCATGGAACTGTCACTAGGCATTTCAGATTGCATCAGAAAGGCCAAGAAACCAGCACAAACAGTATTGCTTCAATTTTTGCATGGTCGCGAGGACTAGAGCATAGGTAAATAATGTTTCCTTCAGTCAAACTTATATCTTTAGTTATCCAACTTAGCATTTGTGTACTAATCACTCCTGATTATACTAGATCCATGATGATGCTGTGATTCTGTCTATTGGTTGGAAGAAAGAAATATGCAAATATGGATACGGATGCATAGGTGGGACCAAGCATGTGTAAATTTTTCTGATCCTGTTTGATTTATTGTAGGGGAAAACTGGATAAGAACGAAAGGCTGCTTGATTTTGTTCAGAAGTTGGAGTCTTCATGCGTTGAAACAGTTGAATCAGGCAAAATGACCAAGGATCTGGCAATCTTGGTCCATGGCCCCAAGTAAGTTGATCGTTTTCTTTCACCCTAATACGTCTTGTTTTTTTGGGTAGAATAATACGTACTTGCATTGTTTTCTCTTTGCTATTTGATTGTGAAGTCATGATCACATAAGGTGAATCCTTAACATAACTGTATGTATATGTAAAATGGGTCGCAAGCAATAGAAAAGACCTTAGGTCGGAATAGAGGTAAATAAGTCACATTGGAGAACTAAAGTTTCAGTTACTGTAAGTTGAAGACTAGAACCAGAACAACTTCCGTATTCAATCAGCTCGTGTGTTAAGGTTTGAGATCACGATTGTGTGTCACATGTGGAGTGATAATAACCATTGCCAATAACTCATATCGTGCAGGGTATCAAGGGAACTTTACTTGAACACAGAGGAGTTTATAGATGCAGTGGCAAAGAATCTGGAATCAAAGCTCCGGGAACCTGCTGCAGTTTGATGGGCATAGCATCCAGCTGCATCTAGTGGTGGTTTGGAGAAAAACACGACCAATTCAGACATTTCCATAATGGGGTGATAGGATTTTAGCATAGAACATATACTTGAAGTTCTCATTTTCTTTGGAAATAAAGTTGTAACGACGATTCAGTTTCAACTTGGTGATGGTCTTGTTCAAAATTAACTAGAACAGAGGCCATTGGGATTTCGCCTTGCAATCAATAACACTTGGTAACACATTCCTGATTACAGCTCCTATGACTCCTAACAAAATTCTCAGACATATGACAAGATCATGTCTCATAAACTGTCATGAGAGATACAGAAATCCATATATCACGCTTGTGCAGAGGTGCAAGTGCAAGAATCAAGTGCGTCGGTGTTTGATGGATCACTGAATGTACTTTGGGATTTCCCCCTTCTTCATCATACCAAGAGCATATTCAGCTGTGTCAGTGAGGTCCTTGATATTGTGGACGGATCTCTCCTCGGATCCCAGCAGGAAGATGGCACGAACCTCAGCCTTCTTTGCCAATCTTGCAGCTAAATTCAGAGGCAAACTTGGAGAGTTCAGACTGCGCAATAGTTGTCTGTAGAGAGACAGTACATATCCCCTATTACTTGCCAAGTCCTCAGCTGCCGCCCAAATCTTCAGGCCTCTCGTTGCCATACCTGAAATGGAGAAAAAAGGAAAAATCAATTGTGAGGAAAAATAAGACCAAAAGGCCAAATCCAATAAAAACCGTCATGACAAACACATTCAGCTATACAAACTACTGCAAAACCACGAGACCCTCAGACAATTCATCGAACACATGGCGTGCGCCTTCAAATTCATTAATTCCCTTGTTAACACAGCTCAACTCAAGTACATATTCTACCGACAGAATTTCGCATTCCAGGCAAAATTTCAGAAGCAAGCAAGACCCGATTCCCTCCTTTTCTCTCTTTACTCACGCATCCCATAAAGTACCCAAAACAGTGTAGTTACCCAAATTTATGATAATATATAAACCTGAAATGCCAAAACTGCAGCGAGAAAAAGGATACTGAAGAAGTCGGATCAATGTCGCCGGGCGTCCACACTCTGGTATAGGCCCCGGCGAACGACTTTGCCAGCAATCCGGCAGCGACGGCTCTCCTCCAAACTCCACCTCACTTCCGGCGGCTCTTGTTCGATATAACTCGCCGTGCTGACCTCACTTTCGCTCTGAAACTATTAGTCTTTAGCGTTTTTGCCACAAAAAAACGACATATTTCAAGCCCATTTCTCTATTGGGCCGCAGGCTTGTAATGGACTACGCATTCCCGGAGGGATAGGCCCACACAGGGACCAGCTCTCGATCAGTCTCCTCCACTTCCCCCTTCCCGTCGATTGTTCTCGCCTTTGGCAGAGAGCACGACACGAGACGGCGTACACTAGGGTTTTGGAAATCTGTGAGAGAGAGAGAGAGAGAGAGAGAGCTGTATATGCAGGAAACAAAGAACATCAATTGCAAGAGAGGGAAGAAGATCGGCAACAAGCCGCAGAATTCTCCGTCTCCGCTTCTCCTTGCATCTCAAAAATTATAGAGAGAGAAAGAAGAGGCGAAAGGGAAACTTCAACAGATATCTCCCAAGTCTCACACCTTCTCCTTACTCTATCGCCCTCTGCACCTCGTCCCATCGCCCATCACCGCCACTCACCGCCGGTATTCAACTCTCCGGAAGGTACTTCATTTCTGTATTTTAAGAGTGTTCTGTAAATCCGCGTAGGGAGTCCTTTTAATACCTTTGTGACTAGACTAGGAACAGTAAACTGTGATTCAGTGGGTTGAAATCACGCCGTGGCGTCGATGTGATTGAATCGCATCCGCCCCTTGGCTGGGGGCGTGAGTAGGCATGACAATTTTGCCTATACCCATGGGTTCCTTACTATTCAACCTAATTGGGTTGGGTATGAAATCCAAATAAATGGATATGGGTAGAATATGATGGGTTTGTACCCATACCCATTTATTTTCGGTTGAGTTGGGTTTATATCAAATGGATTTGGGTTTGTACCCATGCCCAAATACAAATTAAGTTTGGTACCCAAACTTAATAGATATGTATATTTAGTATCTAAATTTAATTTTTTTTGCATATAAGTCCTCAAAATATCGATGGAAAATTATGTTTTGGTACCTAAAATTTTTTTGGTCTTACATTTTGGTACCTAAACTTTTCAAGGTTTACAAATAGGTTAAATTTTTGCATGTGTAGTTAAAACACCCTCAAGTAAATGAATATCCATATCCAACCCATACCCATTTAGATTATGGAAACAATATTCATACTTTACCCAAACCCATCTATAAACCCCCAAATCCATATGCACTTCACCCATACCCAACCCATTATCAATGGATCTACTTGGGTTTGGGTATAATTACCCATGAGTGGGTAATTTGCCATCCCTAGACATTTGAAGCCATTTCAAGCACTACACACAAACAAATATCATAGTGGGATATATATCATTAAATTATATGGTGTTGTTATCTCATTCACTACATACAATACAGATAAGAACATTACTTGCAAATATATTGTTGGACGAATTCAATAAAATTGAAATCACGAAATTATGCAGCACAACAGATACTGTTAGCTCGCCCCAACTCCAGCCCCATCAGCATAGTAGCAATGTTTTGGTCGGAAATAGATGGTATACTAGGAGCTCTTGCACAGCAGATTAATACATGGGCACAAAGGACAAAACTTTGGATCATTTCTTAGCCTTGTACAAATACTGCCACAGAAACTTTCAAGTTCCAGACTCTTGAAGGAAAAGACTTCATAATGAGAAAAGAAAGGAAGATTAGCATACAGTCATTATCAAACAAGTTCACACAGTATCAGAGGAAGGGTCGGAGCAACAAAACAAGTTCACACATTATCAAACAAGTTCACACAGCAACAAAAAAAACAAGTTCACTTACACCCACCAGGGGAAGGGTCGGAGTAGAGGAAGCAGGAGGGCGGCGGGTGTGGACCGTCGGCGTTGGCGGAACGTGGAGACTACGCGCAGAGCAGAGGAGAAGGAGGAGGGCGGGACTGAAGGGCGGCAGGACTGGAGTCGGCGGGAGGCGGCGATGTGGAGGCGCGGAGCAGAGTAGCAGGGGGAGGGCGGCGCGCGCGCGGTATGGATTCGAAGTTCGAACGTCGGCGCCCGGCGGGGAGGTGGGGACTTGGAGGCGCAGAGCAGAGGAGTAGCAGGGGGAGGGCGGGCGGCGACTGGAATGGAGACGGGATCCCGATTCGGGCGGCGACGGGAATGGAGACGGGAGGATTTGGTGGCGGCGTGCTGCTCTCTGCACTCTGCTGGGAGGTTTGGTGGCGGCCAAAATTTGGGGTTGGAGGAGGTCATTCAAATGCCACATTATAGATATTAGGGTTTTACCTATATCCGGGTATTCACGGGTCGGGTTCCCCAAACCCGAACCCGACCCAACCCGCCCAGCCAGCCACCGGATTTTAATCCGAACCCGACCCGAACCCAGTCAACACGGATTTTACTCGGTTTGACCGGATCGGGCGGGTACCCGCGGGTCCGGATTTTATTGCCATCCCTAGCCTTTAGGCAAGGGATTATCACGCACACGCCGGCCGCCGGCGTTTCTGTTTTGACTTTTGACCCGCAAAACCACCGTCGACAGGCCCACTTATCCGGCCCATTCGGCCCACACAAACTTGAATGATAAAGAAACACGAGAATCTGCAAATGGCCGGTCGACATTTCTTCCTTCCTTCTTTCTGCTTTGTTTTGCAGCAACGCGTACTTCACAGAATCTATAAATTCACACGGTGCCCGCGATCTCTGAAAGATTGCTACTACTCGTAAGTCGTAACGAACTCTGCAACTAAGAAGAAAGGCCTGCCGGAGAAGAAGAGATGGCGATGACCAAGGCAAAGGACCTCATTTCCTCCAGCCCCGTCGTCATTTTCAGGTTAGAATTTCCTCCCGGATGTGTTCTGTCTCTCGATTGATTGGGTTAAATTCTTTCATTGATCGGCAATTCGATTGAATTTGCGGCGATTGTTTTTTTGCGGTGCAGCAAGACTTACTGCCCATACTGCACCTCTGTGAAGAAGCTGTTGTCTGACCTGCGAGCTGCTTATAAGGCTGTCGAATTGGATACCGAGAGTCAGTAATCTTAATCCCTCCCACAATTTTTTTTTTCTTTTCCTTCTGATTCGATTGAATATGTACCGAGATACTGGCTGATTTGGTTCTGCAATTGCTTCTTCTCCATAGCGATTCAGCTTTACTTGTTTGTGTTGGATCATTGTTTAATTATGCCCGCTCTTGTCTTCGATTGAGATTTGGGAGTTCGTAACTGGTTGTTTCTTGGAGGTTTACTGCAAGTGTAATAGGTCTTTGATGTAGTATATGTGAAAACCTCCCCTATACGGACGGAATTCTCCTATTCGAGCTTCGTTTTGGGTTTCTAATTCTTCCTTCTTAGCTGCTGATTTCTTATCCTTTTCAGCTACCCGGTAGTGTTTACTTTACTTAGACTGGAACCTGCCATGAACATTGCGATTTCCTTACTTGGATGTCTGGATTTTGTTCCAAATGTTTGTTTTTGTTTATCCCATGGTCATCTCTTTGGATGACTAAGCCACCTTTGATAATGGTTGTTCCTTTGCGCGTGCTAGTTTCACGCTGTTTATGGTTGTTCATTTCCTGTGCTACTAAGCCACCATCTTTGAGTTAGTTAACATGTCTTTGCTACGCCAATGCATTGATTGTCTCTGATCAGTTAGACTGCGAAACTGTTGATAGTTGTTGTTCATTTCTGCATGCTAGGGTTTACGTTGTTTATGGTTGTCCAAACTCTGTGACACAGGGAGCAGAATGGTCTCCTTTATTGCTCTTGTTGTTAAGAAGTGCAACTCATTTTGTTGGTTATGGTTGGTTCTCTCTTATCTGTTTTTCAGGTGATGGAGCTGAGATCCAAGCAGCATTGGCACAGTTGACAGGCCAAAGGACAGTGCCTAATGTCTTTATCGGTGGCAAGCACATTGGTGGCTGTGACGGTATAATCCCCCTGGATGCTTTCTCTTAAATTCCGATTGCTTTGCTGATTTAACTGGCTTTAGTTGGTCTCAATTGCTAACAGTAGAGTTGCACACCTTTTTTTTTTCTTGGCCGGCAGACACAATGGCCCTCAACAAGTCGGGGAAGTTGGTTCCTCTTCTTACTGAAGCTGGAGCTATTGCTGCTACTACTGCTTCTGCTTCTTCCTAGAGCGCTTTGTGGGTGGTTCTGAATAAAATCGTGTCTGAAGAACCTGAGTAGCAGATGTCGTGGTGAATGTAGTTGCCTCTCTGGGCTGTGTTCAATTGGATTGAGCGTTTCTGGTTTCTGTTGTGGCTTCAAACTCTATACTCGGTTGTGAGCTACACTGTTGTAAAGTCTTAAATCAACTGTGCCTTGCAGCAAGAGTGTCACTATATAGAGGTTATCATTTATACTTTTAGTCGTGAAATGAACTCGGTAAAAAGCCAGATGTTAAGCAGTCTTCAAAGGTGTTCTTGCGTACATTTGCCTACTTCGAATCATGGATGAAATTGTGTTTAAATTCTCTGTACCGAGAAGCATTGGCACAGCCGCACAGGTGACAAGCCAGAATACAGATCAGCAATGGACTTTCAGCATTGCAGAAAAGTAGCTACGGGCTGACCGAGTCAGAGAGCATGCACAGTACTGAAATACAAATTCAACAAGAGCCATGACAGGTGGAAGGCAAAGTTGCTTCAACACAGACGAGTGGAAGGCAAATGTATCGACCTGAAATGCAAATTCAGCAAGAGCCATGACAGAGGAAAGAACAAAGAAGCTTCAATCACAGCAGAAGCAACTTATGATCTTTTCAACCATTCCCTTTCTTCATGTTTAACATCTGTGAGAATTTGATTCAGTGTTCACTATTCAGGGGTAGACTCAGAGTTTACAAGAGAGTATCAACTTCATCGAGCTCGAGTAGATGCAACCTTGTTCTTGTCGATCAACTTCACACTTCCAACTGCCGTCTGCAAGCAGTTGAGCTTGTCATCTGGGCCAAATACCTCTTCTTTATGGAGGGGAAGGATAGGAAGAAGAACTAAAGAAGCGGTGAATATCCCTAGACGACATAATGGTGGCGGGAGACACGTAGGCTCGGACAACCGTTGGTCCCCGACCCAAACCCCCCAACCTAACAATTAATAATTACACCATCAACCAAAAAAAAAACCCCAAAAAGAAATAATACAGAGGGAAAGGCAGAAAGAGAAGATTGGTAGTTCCTCTTCCTCTGCTTTTGCGCTGCAGAGACACGGGACACAGCCATTGCCACCAACAGTTACAATCATCCACCCCAACAAGAAAAGTGCAGAGAAAGAGGGAGTGACAGACTATTGCATTGGCATTGCCTCTTCTCTCCGTCTCTTCCCCTGTTTTCTCTCATCTTCTCCGGCAAGCCACTAGACTCGTCAAACATTGCTTCTCTTCGACGCCATTCTTTCTTCCACTTCTACTTCTACTTTCCCCTCTCTCTCTCTCTCTCTCTCAAAATCTTTGTACTGGTGATCTTGTGATCCTGATATAGTCCCTCCATTAAAAGCCTTCACGATCCCTCCTTTTCTTCCCACCCACCTGACCCTTTATAGCTCACCCCCTCGCTTCTCTTGTCTTCTCTTCTCTGCATCAATACCATAATCAATCACTCTATTCCAATGGCGGTGACCGGGTTCAGAGAAAAGGCGCAATCTTTCCACATTTTGATTCTCTTGTTGGCTCTGTCTACTTCGCTTCAATGCAGCTTACTGATAGTCTCGGTGGATGCCATTCTCGACCCACTCGATTTCCTGGCCCTGCAATCGATTCGGAAATCGCTAGACGACATGCCGGGCTCCAACTTCTTCTCCTCCTGGGACTTCACCTCCGACCCCTGCAACTTCGCCGGTGTCTACTGCGACTCCGATCGGGTCATCGCCCTCAACCTCGGCGACCCGCGAGCGGGCTCCCCGGGTCTCATCGGCAGGCTCGACCCGGCAATCGGCAAGCTCTCGGCGCTCGCCGAGCTCTCCGTGGTCCCGGGTAGGATCATGGGCTCACTGCCCGAATCCGTCTCCCAGCTCAAGGACCTCCGGTTCCTCGCCATCAGTCGGAACTTCCTAACCGGAACCATCCCGCAATCCCTCTCCGAGCTATCCAATCTCCGAACCCTCGATCTCAGCTACAACCAGCTCACGGGCCCGGTCCCTCCCTCAATCGGGTCGATCACCGGGCTGTCCAATCTCATCCTCTGCCACAACCGCCTCTCGGGTCCGGTCCCTCCGTTCGGATCCCAATTACTGACCCGACTCGACCTGTCCCACAACCATCTCAACGGCTCCATCCAGCCTCTCTCCTTCCCTCCCTCGCTCCAGTACCTCTCCCTCTCTTGGAACCGGCTGGTCGGACCGGTCGACACGATCCTCACCCGGCTCGACCAGCTCAATTACCTCGATCTCAGCGCCAACGGGTTCACCGGGCCGATACCGGGTCGGATCTTCGGGTTCCCCATCGGCAACCTCCAGCTCCAGAGGAACGCGTTCGCGGGCCCGGTCCAGCCCACGGACCAGGTGGCGATCCCCACCGTCGACCTTAGCTACAACAGGCTTTCCGGCCAGATTTCCCCGATGTTCTCCACCGTACAGAATCTCTACCTCAATAACAACCGGTTCAGCGGGGAAGTCCCCGGGAGCCTGGTGGACCGCCTGCTGGCGGCTGGAATGGAGACGCTGTATCTACAGCATAATTATCTGACCGGGATCGAGATAAATCCGACGGCGGAGATTCCGGTGAGCAGCTCGCTGTGTCTGCAGTACAATTGTATGGTGCCGCCGCTGCAGACGCCTTGCCCGTTGAAGGCCGGGAACCAGAAGACGAGGCCCACCGCGCAGTGCAACGAGTGGCGAGGGTAGGGTTCGGGTTTTGGAGTGGGAGGAATGGAGTAGGGGCAAGACGGTCAATGGGAATATTGATCCAAGAAAAATGAGAGAAATTCTTTTGTATTAGTTTTTCTTTTCTTACTGTTACTGTCACTACTGTCAAGGTTAATTTTTTGGATCCATTCATTTAATATTTTGTGTAGTGGGAAGGAGTGGGGTCGAAGATGACTATTCATTGCTATGAAGGAAGAGGAGGAATAAGGATATGGTTTGGTTTGGTTGTTGTGTACATTTGTTGGCAAATATGTGTAATGTAATGTGTAGGCAGCTGATTTGGTTCTACCATAACTGGTCTTCTCCATGTGGATTTTGAGAACACTCACTGACTCAGCTTTCCTTGTTTGCTACAGAAATGGATGGATTGATCATAGACGATCGATTAGGACGCGAAAGTATCGATAATGGTTGCTCATTTCTGCACGCTAGGGTTTAATGCGATGTTCTTGAAGATATTGCTACAAAATCCCTCACTTAAAAGTTAAACCTATCACTTTGTGAAGGATACTATACTTG